TTCTTCTTCTTCTCTTCTCTCTCTCTCTTTTCTCTCTCTCTTCTTCTCTCTCTCTCTTTCTCTCTCAATTGTCTTGATTTAACGGTTATAATATCGCTTAGTTTAAAGACGGAAAGTCTTGAAAATCGCACAATGGCTGAGCGGAAATTGAAAGTGTGGGCATGGCATTATGGGATCAGAGAGCAAATTTATGCTGCCCATCTCAGTGCTTGGAGTATTTTAATAACAACAAAGAGATCAAGCGGGTTAATGTCGCTGGGCACAGCTTCCTTTAGTCGTGCATTTTATCCATTTGTTCATATCGAAACTTTTCAAGCTTATGCATACTGTGCATATCAGTATTGCAAGGGTGGAATTGGTGGAGCTTATTAGACATTCTCCCTTTGGCTGCGGGAACTGCCCCAAAATTGATCCAGTTTTCAGAGCTAATAGCCAGCCACAAATCTTGAATTGTATACACTGATTGGATAAGCCTAATGTGAGATCGTGCAATGCCTCGTTGAAACCCCGCAATGCCATTTATAATTTACATTAGTGACAAAAAATCTCATCAAGCAACCAGGCACTTTGGCGGAGTGGTTAACGCGATGCCCTGCTATTTTACAAGCAAAACCTCTAACTTCCTTCGGGAGCGTGAGGCCTGTGCAATAAATAGTGCTAGGCATTTCCTTCGGGAGCGTGTGTTCGAATCACACAGGTGTCGTATTTTTGGCGGGTTTGCTGATGTATTTTCGATTCTTATTGTATATCATGTTTCAAGTCTGTTGTTTTGCGCATTATGATCAATTGTGGCGGACTATAATGTTGCGGATGTTGGTTCGATCCCCGGGAAGGCGCGACCATAGACCATTTAGTGCGGTATGTCAAGGACCGCGACTCAATCTACTTATTTCAACACCCTTTAGTATTTCAATTGCCTATTCCATTGATTGTTCTTTTGTTACATTCGCTTTAATTGCCGCATGATAAATTATAATTGATGCTTTTAAGATATATGTCATATCAGCCTTCGCTTTTTGCGGAGGTCTTTCAAGTGCAACATTCCAAAGCAAAGTACTTACTATGTTGGCAACACTCTTTTCATATTCAACTTGTCCAAAACAATTTGCCTTGTTATATTAAGCCTTTCTAGTAAACTAAATATGTATTTTTCAATATTACAGCAAGCATCCATCTTGCCATGTCATTGTGACTTGGCCTTCACTATTAAACGTATCCCAGGCAAACGAATGCGAGCAAACGCGGCCAAAGGGTCCTCGAGAATCTCCATGACAAAGATCCACAAGTCCCATGGGCTACGCTTGAAGCCACTGAAGGCCATGGGGAGAAACTGACTCCAAGTCTTGGACTTTTTCTCATTGGCAATGGTCCAAAAGATCTCGGCAAACAAGCCACTCCTCTCCTCACGGTGCTCCTGGCATTTCGTGCATAGGTCATCGCCCCGCTGGTACTCGACATCGTGGTTGACCTGGCAAAACTTACCCCAAAAGTTGATGGGATCTGGTGAGCCCCAGCTCTTCCATTTGGCCCAGGAACACAGATGCCTGGTCGTCTTGGCGTTGTGCTCGTCGTGCTTACCACAGCCAAAGCATCTGTATCGCACATCCGTGTATCGACACATCTTGGCTACTATCTACTGAACTTGGAGAGATATTTTCTCCTTGGGCAATAGAAGCCAAGAACTAGTCGCGTTTGTGTTTGAATTTCAGTCAAGTGTTTTCATCTTCTGGTCCGAATGGTGAGATGTGCTCTTGGCTTAAATAAGTGTGGGACGCCATTGAAACAATGCTCATTGTATACTACAATACAATACAAGGTCATTCAACACTGGCATTGTATCAAACAAGGCTTTGGAAAAGCACAAACACCAAGGATTCATTGTAGTCATGGGTAATGTAGGGAACAAGCAACATTGTGCAAGGCATGCTTGTGACTCGTCTAAACGGAGATTCGGCTCGCCTTCTTTATTGTCACCTGATGTCTAGATTCTCCGAGTCGCTGTAGACTTCTCGGCTGTATATGGATTGAATCATCGTCGTCGGCCATGAGCAGAAAGTAGATGATGAACGAGGAGCGTGGCGGCCTGTCAGCAGCTGTATTGATGCCAAGCGGGCCGGCCAAGCTCCCGCTTTAGCAATATGGACCCCTGCTCTCGAGCCAAGCAGCCCAGAGTGGACAGCTTACCTGTCTCTACGCTAGGTGGCTGAGTACTACGTACTCCGAAAGTACGTAGCATCCCATCGACCTACAGGCAGCTCCCAAAAGCTTCATTCATATTCAGGACAACTTCCAACAACACAACACCCACACACTTTGAGCTGGGACCCGACACGCAACAGCACAAGCTCGCCATGGAATCATCGCAACCTCAGGCGGGCTCTCTGAGCTGGCGCCTTAGCTCCCACCCGATTACGCTCTTGTTCTTTCTCGGCTTCCGCATCTGTACGTAACGAGCCCATGTCAACACATTTGCTAGAGCCAGCTCCCAGTCGGCCAATGGCGCTGAAAGTCATGGCGCACTGGAGAGGGGGGTTTTAACACATGAAATCTATACATTGGAGGAGGGATATGCCCATAAAATGGAAATAGAGGAGGGAGCAACTGCACAACCCAGAACCAGCTAACATGTTGCGCGCACCATATAGCCTCTCTCCTCGTCTACCTCTTCGGCATGCTCTTTATCGACAACCTGGTCATGATCTTCATCATTACGATTCTCCTGCTCGCGGCCGACTTTTACTACCTCAAGAACATTGCCGGGCGCCGCCTCGTCGGCCTGCGCTGGTGGAACGAGGTTGACCCGAGCTCGGGCGACAGCCACTGGGTGTTTGAGAGCAGCGAGCCCGGCACCAAGACCATCAACGCCACCGATAGCCGCTTCTTCTGGCTCGCCATGTACGCTCAGCCTCTACTCTGGGTTGCCTTGGCTATCCTGGCCTTGATCAGACTCAAGTTCATCTGGCTGCCACTTGTTGGTGAGTTACTCTGGCTCCGGCCACACTACACGCATAGCTCCCTGTCCCAAGAGCGCCCAAAAATCGTCTTGCTCAGTGTATTGTCAAACTTTATTTCTATCCATGTACTGACTTGACTGTTTCCTTAGCCATTGCCCTCGTCCTCACAGTCACAAACACACTGGCCTTTTCACGATGCGACAAATTTAGCCAGGCCTCCAACATGGCTGGCAGCGCGTTCTATGGCGGCAATCTGGCTGGAAGTATTGCTAGCAACATGGCTGGTCGCTTGTTCAGTTTTGGCAGGTGATTACAGAGCCAGGGGCTTGAATCAGGATTATAAAGAGAAGACCGAAATAAATGGCATCTCGACAATTGTCACGATATACCATGGATATCTTGACGGCGTGTATTATCAAACGGCATACCGGGCGGCATTAGGTATTGAATTCCGTCAGCCTGCTGTACTGGACTGGGTCCTCGGCGTTATTGGTGTAAGTAAGCAGGTCAAATTCCATCAATATGAGTTAAACTCGACATTTTCGAGTCGAGACACGAGCAATGAGCATTGTTAAAACCCAGACATTGAAATGTTGGAGAAACAAAATGTTGTGATATAAACAAAAGACATTATCTAGACGTGATATTGAAACGACGAGCTACGAAACTGGTCGCATTCTAACAAGTGTAATGGGTAACAAGAGATGTATGGGATATCACGAAACATAATAGACCTCCCCGAAACATGCCAGCGATTCCAACGACGGAAAAGTGATCAAATAACCAAGAGACTGGGAACATCTCACCTCTCGAGGTATGTGCGCTAGTCAGGTACGCAAAAAAGCACTTCGCATTTATTCCAACTATCAGCTCTCCACCACTTTTACAAATAATTTCACCCTGTTTCAGAAAAAAAAAGACGTATACCAAACAAAAGCAATGCCAAGTCCACCCATTTTGCTCAACCTCATTGCGCTCTGCCTTGTTGTTGTTGTTGCTGTAGTTGTTGTTGTTGTTGGCAATAGCTCTGACAACGACTCGACCGGCCAGCATCCTCAATAGCCACGTCGAGCGCCCGCTCCTCCTCCTCCAGCCGCCGAATCTCCTCGTCCGTCATGCCCTCCTCCACGAGGTGCGCGTACCGTGAGCTTATGGGCGGGGTGGGGCTTCTGGCGTGGTGCTGCAACGAAGCCGGCAGACTCGTCTGGCTGCCCGTGGACGCGGCCGTGGCCCCGTCGTGGCTCGCGTAGACGGCGGGCGGGGGCGTGTGGTCCCGGTACGGCGCATACGTGTCATCGTCATCCATGACGACGCTGCCTCCGTGTGCGGCGTGTTGATGGTGGTGAATGGCTTGTTGTTGTTGCTGCAGCTGCTGTTGGTGGTGATGGTGATCATTACCGCCGCCACTGTTCATGAGTCCCGTGCCCGCTCCCACCATGACGGTACTGCTCATCGAGTCCCGCAGGCCCCGGGTCGGAGCAAATGTCGACTGGGGGCTGTCGGTGACGTGCGGGAGCTCCTTGTCGCTGCGCATGCCGCCGCCCACCAGGCCGTCGGACATGTAGCTGCCGTTTTGCTGGGCGAGGGCCGAGTGGCCGGTGCCGTTGCGCCGCCGCCGGAAGCAGCACAGGAACCAGATGCCGGCACCAATGAGGGCGAGGCCTACGACGCCGCAGGCTACTGCTATTCCAATGGTGGCGGCCGTCGAGAGTCCGCTGGATCCCGCGCTCGCTGCTGCGGCGGCCGAGGTGGTGGCGCTCGAGCTCGCGCTGCTGCTGGTCGAGGAGGAGACGGCGCTTGGGCTCACTGTCTGCGCAGTGCTCGTCGGCTGGTTCGGCCCCGACGTTGAACAAGCAACGCCCGAGCACTCTGGAAACGCAGCAGTGGTGCTCGCCTCTCTCTCGAGGAAATCGCTGCTGGTGGTGTCATCACCACTGCTTTCTCCATCATTCATTGCAAAGTAGCGACTATAGCTCTGGCCTTGTGTCACTCCATCCGTACTCTGCCAGTCTAGTTGGAGAAATAAAGGCGTGTCTAGATATTCATTAGTACTCTCTGTTGTTCCTGTTGTCAAGGTAATTGACCCCTTGTCACTTTCAGCGAAATTGCCTGCATAACATGTCCCATGTTAGTTGATCCATTATCGTACTGAAAACGTAGGGCCAAAACAACTGCGTAGGCCCGTTGCAAGCATCTGTTCATCTTACCGGCAATTGAAACGTCTCCAGCACTGCTTCGCCTTTGCTTTGAATTTCCACCGTCTCCTCCAAACTGGCCCTTTTCTTGGGGGTAGGTCGATATAACGTCTCCTGTCTTACTTGCTGGGTCGTATCTCCATAGACTTGCGTTTCTGACCTGTGTATCTGTCCCCTTTGTAAATTCCAGTTGGTAACTGTTGTCAAAAGTGCGAGTCGAGTTCCACCGCGCGTCAGAGTACGTAAAATTGATGATTAGGTCTACTGCACTCGTCGATTGGGACTCGGAATTCGCATCTTCGCCTTTCGCCCTTGCAACACTCATTAGAAAGGCAGCTAGCCCTGCTGATGTAACATGTATGCGCATTTCGGTTTGATATTCTCCCAAATGCCGTTACTATCGTCGAGCACGTTGAAACATGTACGTATTGTGGGTAACGCGGGCCCTATTGCTGGAGGCGATTGAATGGATGTAAATGTTTGCACTGAAATCTTTTCCCTTTTTCTTTTCTCGGAACCCCGCGTCTCTCACTTTGGATATTGTCCTTCCTAGATCGGAATATCGGAATTGCTTAGGCTGTTTTCGATGTGGTCGTACAACTTTTCACGGTGAATCTGCGAAGAGCAGCACCGACGGGTAGAGAGGCTGTATAGTTGGCCCCCGTGCAACCCTCTCCCTTGGCATCTGCTCGTCACGGGCAGCAACAAGTGAGTCTTAGAAAACGCCCAGGCTAAAATAAGGTTTCCGGGAAAAAGAGCCAAAAAATGAAGCAATAGAATTGCAAGCAAACGGAAATCTCAAAGGAAAGAAAGAAGATTGGAAACGATCCCACCTAGGATCTGCCCAACTAACAGACACACACACACATGTCACACACACAGTATCCAGAGCTTACAGACAACAAGAGGAGCCCAGTACAAAAAAGAAGTGGGACGAGGGGGCCAATACTATCTATCCCCTGGTACCAGGCCCACCACCTGTGAATCCTTCGCGCAACCCGCTGGCTGTCAGCATTCAGCTCCTTTGAGTAGCGCCCAGCCTACCTTCAATGGATCAGATCAGATCAACAAGAGGATACATACGGTAAAAGCCTCGCTTGTCCTACACATCCCCCCAAGCGACGGCCGAGGGCCGTCGCTCTCTGGTTTGTCTCTCTCTCTTCCTTTCTGCAGGCTGTGTGTGGCACCGCTGTCTTGCAGCCATGGGCCGTCCAATCGGCCTCTGCGGTGGTTTGGCTCGGATTATGAGAGGTTCAAGACCATACGATTGCCGTGTGTCGGTCCATGGTGGTGAGGATTGGACGGGCGCTACTAGAGTACATGAATGGCTAATTGGGGCCGAAGGGTAGCACAGTACCCAGAGGAGAGGAAACGACTTGTGGGGTTTTTCTTTCTTGGCTCGGCACTATAATTTCTATTCTCGTCTGCATGCGGCTGGCTTTTTTAAATTATGGCTACTACGGTACGCTAGGCACTGGTAGGTTGACAGCCTATTCGTCCCAAAGATATAGTACATAGCGTGTAGGTTCAGACGAGGAAACATGTTCAGCCAGCCGTTTATTCCCTGAAATCGGCTTGCCATTGAGGAAACAAAAAGGTCCCCCAAAGAAAACATGTTGGTATTATTCCTTTGCAAGCAACTTGAACAAGGCGAGGCGACATGGACTGCTCCAAGATGAGACATGAGAAGAAACGCGGCCGCCCTTTATCACATCATCTCGATGATCATCGCCTCTACACACAAGACTATGAACTGTGCCGCAGACGTACCCCCCTCCCAACTTGAACGCATCCACTGAGATGTACATATATATGATATGTACATACATATCCCTTTCCCTTGCACCCCCCACAGTCCGTCAAGATGCGCAGACGTAATCACTAAGCCAACAAGAGAACTCCCGTCCGCCGTCCTAGGTCAAGTGCTGACGACAACCGGATTAAAGCTGAGTAGACAAAGATTCACGATCGCGGCCTAGGACGGGTAAAGGACCTACATACATATATACATACGACTACTGCTGTATTAATAAATTGCAAAGACACCAGCGATATTCAAGTTTCAATCATTTGTTCTACTCGTCATGCCATCATGTATCTATGTCGAGATTGAATAGGGACAAGAAGAGAGAGGGAGAGAGGAGAAAGCCAAAAATACACAAGAGCCCAAGGACCCGCCTGGATATGCATAAGCTTATGGAGCACCTGAACTAGCGATGCACAAGCCTAAAAGTACCAAAAAGATGTGATTGGCAGTCTGAAAGCATTTTGGCAAGGGTCTCTACAGGGGCCCTCGTTGGCGCGATACCAGACATGGAATTCTTATGCTGACAAGAACAGCGGAGTGTTCCGCAGCCTGATCCTGAATTCCTTTTTTCTTTTTTTTTTTTAAAGTTCGTGCTCGTCATGCTCTCTCTCTCTCTCTCTCTCATTGCATGTGAAGCAAGCCGGGACTACGCCCGAGACAAAGGATTTTAAAGTTCTTGTTTGACAGCCAATGGTGGGAAATACTGATTTGCAAGGACTTGACTGCTTTCAACCCAAGAGGGAAAATGTATGCCATTTCTTTGGCGGTCGAACATGCAGTAGGGCTGTTGGGACAAGGGTCTATGTAGACTTGTTTTTTTTTTTTTTTCTGTGAATAATCTCGTCACACCACTTTTCTTCTCTTGCAGCAACCACCACCACCAATTCTGCTGATCCCTTTGAAACAATCTGATTTCGGGGGGGGGCACGCAGAATTCTTTTTCCCTGTGAGGAGGCTGAGCAACATCATACACACGCCTCTACACACAAGTGTAATCCTGCATACAAGGCAATTCTGCAGGCTGATAGTCTACTGTTGATGATACGTTATGTACATACAGCCTTGAATCCATCTGCACTTCTTCCAACATTTAAAAAAACCTAACACCAACGCGATATATGCTTAAACGCCTGGAGCAGCACATCATCATCACCATCAGCGCTTAAACGAGCCAAGGCCCCGAAATTTATCATTTCCATCTCTCTCTCTTCAATATCCACCTTTGCTGATGGGTTGTCGAACCAAGACAACAAGAAGACGAAAAAACTGCAACCCGTCCGTCCGTCCGTCCATTGGGTGGGTAAGAAAATCGGGGCTTTTGTGTCAAAAAATAGCAGCAACCACCAACTCTCTTCTCTTCTTTATTCCCTTGGCCGTTTTTGGGCTGGCACTGCTTCTTTTCCCCGTCCGTCCCATAGGGCCTTTTTCTTGCCGGATGGCACCTTGCCCCACACACCTGTGCGGTAGTGCTAGTGTAGCTAGGTATTGATGCAGGTAGGTATGTACACCTCCTCATGGATTATAAACGTTAGATTGGTACAAGCCCCATATTTCTTTGCTTTGATCTGCCTGGTATCTTCCCATATCTGTTCTATGGTGCTATACGGCTCATAGAAATTTCTAGCACCTGTTGTGGGTACCAGACGAAGAACCTCAGTAACAGCCAGTACTGGCCAGCACAAATATTATGACAGAGTACGCAGCAGATCGCTGGATTCAATTACGGGGCTTGTAACGATCTAACGTTTATAATCCATGAGGAGGTGTATGTTACTATGGAATATGTACTATGTATTGTAACCCTAGGATCATACGCGGCCATAACGCCGAACAAGTAAAATACCTAGCGAGAGCCCCAAGGTGATTGAATCGTTCAGCCACGACGAGGCTTTTGATACTTTCCTAGAGGGGAAAACCTTCTTGTCAATAAATCTTCGGCATTTGTTTCTTTTGGAATCATAAGGCTATTCCCGTTTCAAGGACAACCTTTTACATGCAAAGAATGTTGAAGATACATGTAGGTTTCTTTGTTTCCCCCTGTCCATGCAGAGAAGTCCTTCCTTCCTCCAACATGTATGAGAAATCTGCATAGAAACCAGTGGGACGTATTTCCCCTAAAGTCATTCATTGAGCGGGGGAAAACGTCCAAAATAAAAATTCAAGGCTGCCCACAGCCTTGAGTCGCCACGTGAGTAAGCGGGCAGTATTCTTGATCCCTTCCTTTCCCAGGCCGAGGACGGATACGCCGACAGCCTGATCAACCTACAATACGTAGCAACACATCTTGAGATTCCATAAAAAGTCTTTCCTTCCAGCAAGACCCTTGCAATAACGGTGACCTGGGGGGCCAGAGGATTTCTGTGTCCTAGACAAATCATATCATAGTTTCTCCTCTCATTTAGTGATTGGCCAACAGCTGTAATCCCAACAATAACACCGAGGCAGTAACTCTTCTCTCTCTGCTTCTTCTTGCTCGACTTCATCAGCCCTATGTACCCGGCACTTGCAATGACGTGACGCATAGCCATTCCCATGAGCGTTTAAATGAGGAAAAATGTGCAAAGTCAGAAAAGAGTCGCCTGGTCTCTAGGAATCTTGACCTGCGCTTCGCCACTACTCGACAGATATAAATTCCCAAAAGTTAGAAACGCTGCTATTCTTGGGACAAATTCATTCGTTGGCTTCATGTTTGTTTCGGAAATTTTCCTGTTGGCGCATACTGCCCCAGATTTTGGCTGAGAGATGCCGGGCCACCCCCTTCATGACGTCCCCCAGCAACCCAGGGCGGCTGGCTTACTGGGAAGGATCCTGCAATCAGCAGTCTTGTCTCGGCCATAGCCAAACTCTCAAAAGTTGGATTCCTTGGACATTGCTTGTTTTGGTCGCATACAGTCGAAGCGTCGTAAACCTTGACAAGCATATGTGTTGGGCCATGTATTGGTTGTACAACTTCACAAGAACTTGAATGTCTTAGCATGGCTCAGCGATGTTATGCTTACAATCATGAATTGCGCTTCCATTCGCTATTCTACCATAATGTTCTTCTCTCCCTTCCGGTGGATTCATACCGCCGTCATGACTGATCCGCGTCCCAAACGCCGTGACAATGTTTTGAAAATGTAAATAACATGCGGTTTCTGATTATGCATTGCGACAACCATTTGTGTGCTACTCAAAACAACTTGTTACAGACCACCACTCACCAGGTGCCAGACAGTCAGATCACAAGATAACTGAACAGCAACAAGTGTACGTCAAACTCCTTGCCACTACTACGCGAATGTCATGGAGATTTCCTTCTCTTTGCCAAAGTCTTCATCGTCATCTGCCCAAGGGTCGTGCATTGCCAAATTTGGCGTTGTCTGGGCGCTCTTGATTTCTGGTCTTGCTGGAGCGGCAGACGACGAGCCACCGAATCCGCCATCATCAAAAGTCATCTCGATGCCGTCGTCTTCGTGATCTAGCCCGTATGCTTGCGAAGGATTCGGGCTGTGGTAGCCGAAACCGCTGCTGGATAACCGCGGCGTCCGATCTTGAGAGACGGTGAGATTTGGCGAGGCTGCCGTGCGCAGCGTAGTCGTAGCATCGTCACTCTTAATTTCGCGAAGACCATTTCGCGGGTTCTCATTTGGCGGCACGTTGATCTTCATTGGCGGCAGTGTCGATTTCAACTCCTTGACGTGCAGCTCATCCCCGTCGTTGGCGTCGTTGGCTTGCTCCTTGGCAAGCTCTGCTCTCATGGCATCGACATCAAAGAGCACGCCGTGATTGCTTTCGGTTTGGTCGCTGGATTTCGAACCATTCGTGTCCGAGTGACCCTTGGAGTCTTCGTAGACCTCCCAGTCGGCGCGCTGAGCCTTCTTCTTTCTAAAGAAAGCAAAGGCTCCTTTCTTCTTACCCTCTCCTTCCTTTTCCAATTCCCTTCTCGCTTCCTCAATCTCGGAAATGAGTTCTCGTTGTCTTTCTCTGTGCTGTTCCGGATCGGGATCTTCGATTTCACCAAACTCGTCACTCTCCACGAGCCAGCCGCACTCCCTCAATAGTTTCGGCATGGCCTGTCGATAGTCCATGTGTCCCTTGACAAACTCGGTACAATCCATGTTTTCAATGCCAGGTATACCCTCAATTGATGTCAGTCCTGCCACGCGACGGATTCCTCCATTGGTCAGCCGGAAGAGGTATCCCAGAATCCAGTCATTCTTGTGATAGCCATTGACGAATCTGCCTGCGACAACAGTGCGGATCTTGAGATACTCTTCTGTCTTGAAGACGACTGGTGAACCAAACATGTAAACGTTCTGGACCAGCCCATAGGCGCCTTTGCGTGCCAATTCCAACAGACAGGAAAAAATTACTCGAGCACCAAGGGAGTAGCCTACGAGGGTGATGGGCCTGGTGCCGAGGTTGCGATCAATCAGCGAGTCTGCCAAAATCAGACCTGCAGCCCATGCCCGATCCTGAGAGACTGCCCACGGATTGTCGATCAAATAGGCCAGTTTTGAAAGCACCACTGGGAGCTGTAGAGCGGCCATCAAACTAATCAGGATGGTGCTGCCCAGCACTTGTTGTAGTCCTTGAGTAAGAGCCTAGACAAAGTTAGTGGCATTTCATGAGTTGCAGTCATCTCAACTTACCTCTGTCGCTAGAATGTTAATTGTGTCTCCCATACTGGTCAACAGCTCGGGCTCCCACAGAATTGAATATATATCACCCATGAGCGCGTCCACAGTACTGAAAGGCAGACGCACGTCATCAACCTTGCTCGTCATCCAGCCGGATATTGTGACTATAAGATTCACTCGCTTGTTGTTGTGCAATGGTCTGTACTCGAATGTCTTCACAGCACCAGTTCGGCGATGAGCGGCCTTGCCACCCATGAAACTTCCCGAAGCAGTAGAGCCAGCGGTGATGATAGCAGCACCTCCAGCACCGGCAAGGAACGAACTTGTACCACCTACACCAATCGTGGTGAAACCAGCAGCCAGACCAGCTCCAATGAGGGGAGCAAGGAGACCAGCAGAGAGACCAATGACTAGGCCACCGCCGACCGTCGCGAGGCCCATCATGACGTAGCGCTTCTTCAAGGCAAGTTTTCTCCGGTTCTCCAAATGCTCTTCTTCGTTCCAGTTTTCCTTTTCAGCGGCCTGCTGCATTTCAAGGGCATCCGTCACTCTTTTCTCGAATCTGCAGACATCTATCCACGGTACTTCGAGGGCTTGCGCAACTCTCTCTAGCAAGACTCTTGATCTCGCATCATATATCGAGTCAGCAATGAGCACCAAGAAAAGATCGCAAAGCACCGTCCATCGTAGGTCAATGTCAATCTTTTGCGAATTTGGGAGCTGCGACGGGGTCTTCACTTCTGGCATTTCTTCGCCGTCATGAGCGTGCGCTTCGTATGGCGGAGGAGCCGTAGCTGATTGCTCCTGTCTCGGTGTTCCAGGGTGGGAAGCCTGCGGGCTCCTGACCCCTACCTTTGGTGTCCCTGGTGCTGATGATTGCTCCTCTGCCATGGGGTTTTTGACAGTGGCATTCTGCATCAACAAGGGTGTCAAGTCTCCAGGCCTAACTCCGTGTGTGGCCAACTGCTCTATCATGACCTGCTCTGCCGAGCTGATCTCCATGTGCGCGTATAGGCGAATCATGATCTTCTGGCTCCACATTCGCATCGCCTCGGCTGCGGTCTGGACATCCTTCTTCGTCTTCTTTGTAAACGGAAATTCCGCTTCCGTCTGCATATCGTGTAGCTGCACGCGAACCACTCCTACATAAGCTATCCTCTGGCCCTCAGTGAGAAGATCTTTTGTAGCTTGTAGTTGGGAGACGGCATCACGTTGCTCATCTATGTCGTCAACCATGCTCGTGGAAGCACCAGTCTTGTTGAACAGATACCGAGTATTGTCGTCCATGCTCGTTTCAGATTCAGCGTCTTCGTCGTCGAGCACTCGCGTGTAACCTTTGCCAGCACCACCAAGACCGGCATATCCATATTTCTCGTCCTCCTCATCATTGTGCTCTCTTGCTATTAATCTGTTGTCGTCGTCATATATATCGTAAGGTGCGTAGGCTGGCATCTCCTGCCAGCCGTCGTCGTCATCGTCATCCTTCTCCTCCTTCTCGGCTGTCAGCTGTTGGTGGGAGAACTCTGACATGCTAGCAACGCTCGTATCGCGGTTGTGACCGATTTGGGAAGATCTCTTGGCTTCTTCTTTTGCCTCTTCAGCTTTCTTTCCAGCTTCCACATCTTGTATCGATGGGCCCGATATGGCTTGTGTCGATGAAGTAGTGTTGGACCGCTCTCGGGTAGTGTCGGCACTATCCGCGACTGGAGGTTCTGTCACAGCATCGTCTTTTGTGTTTTTGTTCAAGGACTCGTTTTCTTTGGTTTGCGTAGGCACAGGAGTCGCGGCGCCGTCATCGGACCCTGCCTTGGCGTTCGGCTCGGGTGACTTTTCGTTTGAGATGGTCGCTGGCGAGGGCGTTGCTGGAACAGGCTCGACGTCTTTGTCGCTATTCTCTCCAGTGATTATTTCTCCCTCCTTGGTGAACACCTTCGCACCGCCCTCTTGCTTTTGGCTTGCGTCTTTCGGAGTGTCGTTGGGTATGTCCTTGGTCTCTGCAGTCTTTGACGCATCTTCTGACTTGCCCGTCGAGTCACTCTGCGCCTCTTCTCCTGTTTCCTCGCTCGGGAACTTCCTAATCGGCAAGCCGAAGTCGTCGAATTCCTGCGCCGGCGCCATGAGGGTTCTTGGTTGGACTAGACTTGCATGCGTGCTGGTGAAATTGGCGCCTCCCTTTGACGAGCGTCTGTTCTTTTTGACAGCAGCGCCTGTCCGTGTTTTATTTGTTCGACAAGTACGCCGGATTTCTTGTTGTTCGATTTCTTGGAAACTTAAAAAGTCAGGGACCCTCCCTTGATCAACAAACAAAACAGAATTTAATGAAGAAAAAGCAAAAAAGAGCTTCGAGTCCCGGCGTCGCACTGGTGTGGCTTGTGTGGGAGCTCTGCAGCGGTCCGACGTGGGGAGATGGGAAGTTGCAACATCAAATTAATGGATTTGGAGACTAGGCCATTCCTGGGAAAAGTTGGGGGGTAACCTCAGGATTCATGTTAGCACATGAGTACATACATTAGCAGGCCCTTGCCCAGGGTCTCGGTAAGCTCCAGGGCGACTCGAGCTTTGCAGGGCGGCCGGTTTACCGGTAACCTGTCCAAGCTTCCAACCCCCCGAGACTTGACGATTTCTTTTTTGGAGACCAAGGTTGGCTTGAGGCGGAAGCAGGTCTTCTCCTGACTCGGACTTGTTGCGGCTTACAGCGGTGCCATTGCATACCTACCCTTTCAACCAGGATATCACCGACTTAAAAAGCATGACAGAACTAATCGTCTCTTGGTCCATTCCGGATTCAAAGACAATCAACCATGCCCTTGAATGTGGCATTGTCGAACAAAGGAGCTTACAGGGGCTTCGCCGGTGATGGCGTGTCAAATAACCACTAACGCAGGTAGTCGGCGGGGAACGGTGATGAAACGAGTTGGACAAAACCCCACCGAGTCTATAAGCCCGCCGGATGGAATGCCGACTTCACGATAATACCATCACGGTGGACATATTTGACCGAGTGATCGACATCTTTACCAACATGAGGCTTTGGCACACATGCTACAATATGTAATCCACGATGGCAGGAAACTTCTGGGTCTGCCGCGCAAGCTGCGACAAGCACAGACATCCATCTCTCCTAATGTACGGGGTTCAGGCAGTTTAGTATTACTGCCAGCTGACAGCTTCATGTTCACCTACATCAGCAATCGACCACTATAGAACGAACCTTTTTAGCAACAAGTCGCTAACAAGCATTCGTGCAAATTGATAACAAAAATTTCATTTATGGTATCAAATGCCCATGAGCGAGGTCATATCAGACCGTCAAACCTATTTGGGACGCCAAACGCCTTTCGCATGCAATTTTTCATAATGGTAAACCATACCTTAATCCGAGCCATCACCATCAGCCTGGACAGCTTGAGAAGCATTCTGATCTGCGCTGGCTCCTTCTGCATCTCCAGTCTCTGTCTTGCCCTTCTTCCTTCGCTTCCTCTTGGGTCCTTCTTTCGTATCTGCATCACCAGGTGTCTTCTCGTCCTTTGACTTTTTCGATGCACTCGTATCCTGCGTTGCCTTCTTCTTCTTCTTGACGGCCAAAGGGTTGGGTCCCTTGGGGCCCTTCTTCTTTGTTTTCTTCTTCTCGGATTCAGTGGTTGTGGCGCCAGACTCGCCTTTTTGCTGCTTGGTGCCGTCTTCACCAGCCTCGCTGTCGCTGTCGTCGTCCCTCTTGCGCTTGTTTCCCTCGGCAAATCTCTTGATCTCTGACCGGAGCTTGGCCTTCTCTTCCTTGTTCCTCACTTGAACACTCTCGTCCGCCATGGGCTCCATGATCATGACACTCCTCGAAATGTAAATCAACGGTGTGCCCTTGACAGTCCTGAGCGCCTGTCTCGTGGGCTGATCGTTGCATGCCACCACGTAGCGGTGCTTGTTGACTCCATTGTCTTTTGGATCCACCACGCTGTTCAGACACTCCAAGGTGCTCAGAGGTTCTGGATACTGATCCGGGTGGTGGCCACAACGACGACGCTCAAATGTCTTTCCCAACTCGATCGCAGCGTACACGCCAGGCTCCGACTTGGTGTTGTAGAGGTGGCGCATCGAGCACTGAGTGATGAGGGGCTTGACTTTGCCCGACAGGGTTTGCTCAAAGCTCTTGATGAGATCCATCTTGAAACGGCAAGCATCTGCAAGGAGGTTGGAATCCACGATGATTTGGTAGGGCTCGCGCTGGGGGATAGTGACGCCGGATTAGCTATTGCGTCGCGAGACGGAGACTCTCAAGATCACGGGGCGCAACTTACAAAACCAAAAGTCATGGAGTATCGCTCCATGAGCTTGCGGTATCGCTTCGCAGTCTTGGCGCGAGGCATGTTGGCAGTTCAATTGGCGCGGGTGCCAGTGTTTGTGACGATACTCTGCTCAGAATCGCGGGTAACATGAAATAGAAGCTGAGCGGCTCACGGAAACTTTTTTTTGGCAGAGGTCGAGCTTCGATAAGCGATTATCAGCACGTGGTGGGGCAGCAGTAGCAAGGTATAGACCCCGCTGGAGCTGCCTAAGCGAGCCAGCTGTTAGTGTAGCGTAGGACAGCCTCATTACAGGGTTTAATGCTGCTGGTTGATGCGAACGGGACCTGCCGCCAACGTCCATGGGTATGAGCCATTGAGTGAGGACTCAACATGTTTAGATTGACTTTTATTGATATCAATACCTAGAGCCCATCTTCTCGAAATGCGAAAACTCATGAATGGAGAATGATTTATGATTGCAGGAATATACATGTTGCGGATCAATTCTTGTTCAGGTTATACCAATTGTCACCTTTCACAACGATAGAGTAGATAAAACTTTGGTTATATTTCCGGTCGTCTAATATCTAACGCCAACCCGGTGGTATCTATTGAATACGGCGAAATGGAAGGACAAACGATCAACCTTATTGCTACAAAAGCAGCGGTTGGCCCGTCTTGAAGTATTTAGTTTTTCTGATGGGAACCCTGAACGCCGAATATGCACAACTAGATCCAACACATTCATTCATCAGTTGTTGCGTCGGCAAAGCGCAGCAACTACACTAATATCATCCAGCTTGCCTGTTCTCTAGTCAGTGTTTTGTCCTTGGTGACAGTGTCAATATCGATACTCACCTCCTTCACTGGCCAACCCCTCCTCGATGGCATGTTCCATGAATGGACTTTCGGCAAAAGGATCAATTGCAACAGTTTTGGCCGCCGTCATGAGTTCCTCGGCCACAAACGTCATGCCGCCATTGGCACCACCATATCTAGCGCCATCAGCACTACCCCCTTCGCCATTTTCCCATCTTCGGACACTGCGCGATACATTCTCTACAATCTCATGTTCCCAGAGGTTGTCAATGACGCCGTCGGACATGGCCAGGACCACATCACCCTCTTCAAGCTCAACAAGGTCAACTACCGCGTTCTGCATTGGGGTATCGGGGCTGTTCGTGCCCAGTTGACGCGGGCAATCAAACCAATGCCACTGTTCCGTCGACTTGTAGACTATTTCCTGGTCTGCCGGACGGACAACCATGATTTGACCATCGCCCAAATTCGTCGCGTACAACAGAGGCACTGATGCCTCGGCGCTATTGGCGTCGCCTTTGTAGAAGAGTTGTGCGCCTGCTGCCGTCGTGGTACCCTGACAATTGCTTGGCCCCGAAGTAGCATCCAGCGTCCGTTCATAAGCAGTCTGAAGGTACTTGACAGGATCAGGACAATACGGTTGGTCTGGTGGTCTGGGCTTTGTAATGTCTTCCTGCATAGCTGCAACCCAGAAATGCAGAATCAAGCGCGACCATAGCCCTGCATGACCTTTTGGTCTCATGGACCAGGCCCCAACGCCATCGTTGGCGCAAATGAAGTGGTCGCTTGCGTATATAGCATCGTCGCCATTTGTCCAACCTCTGATAAGCTCACCTTCCACAAACACGCGCTTGTCTCTGCTTTGGTGATGTGTACTCAGAGGATCGCTAAACGAGCCGCTGGGCGGACTCAGGAACGGAGGAGGAAACGGCCGCGGGGTCCGCTTGGCAAAGAGCGCGAAGCCGGTCTCAAATCGGAAGGGCAGTCGCGGGCACGAGTCTGTGAGGGGAGGGGTTTCGGTGCCCTTCTCAATGGGAGGCGGCTCCGATGCAGCATCAAATCGTGACCGTGGGAACGACTGCGAGAACGATACTCGGAGGGGTAGCGACAGGCGCACGCGCCGGCTCGACGATGCGGTAGTAGGGGGTAATGTCAGCGAGGAGAGAGGTAGCCTCCTCATCCCCACGACCAGGCCTCGCGCGACCTTGGGGGAGCACGTGGATCGGCCAGTTTCTCGTCTGCGGTCTTTCTCAATCTCACGACCAGGTAGGTTGAGAGGCTGCAGTTGCTGAACGTTGTACGAGATAAGAGAAGCTACCTAGATGGGTGTAGATGGTTAAGGTCGTAGTGGTTGGTTGGAAGCTTGAGTATGAACGGCGAGGGCGGAGGTCCGATAAGGCCAGGTCTACGTCTTATCACGGCAAGACCGCGCCGACAATAGGCGCGTAGATTGATTTTTGGCTCCTATGCACTCACTTTATAGTGTCGGGACGTGAGAACCCCGAAATCCTTGAGCATTGCTCGGGAAGCGAACAGACAATCCAACACAGCAACTCGGGAACAAATCAATTATCGCTGAAATCATCAAAAGCACAATGTACTTCAACAACAAGACGGTATCCTTATGCTGCAGTGCAAATGACATCACCCATGATATTTTTGGAGGCTCTTCCAGGACCAGCGACGTGGAAGAAAAGGGGACCCGCTCATCTCTAAAATCCCCTAGCGCCATGTCACTCGGGCTTCCAGAATATATCATCCCAGGTAATAAGCTCAACTGCCCATATGATACCTACAATGCGAGTATCCCGTATGCGAGAGCATGAAACTGGGCTGAAAAATAGTAATTCCAGTATATTTCTCAATTCAACATGTTTTGTCAAGCATCCACAAAATGGGGGGAGGGGAATGCTCAAGTCACACAAGGAGATAGACTCGACCACGACGGCACGTGTTTACTTTAAGAATAGTGGATGGATATCGTAGGTTGGCATGCGCGCCGCCAGCCAGAGTAAGTTTGTGAAGTTTATTGCACCACCACCGCCCGTAAACTTGTGCACTTGCACTATTGCTAGCTCTGGGTGTCTTGGTGTTCGAGGTTATCACAATCGGCCCCAATGCTTTCCCAGAAAGATTTCGAGCTCGCTTCGGGAGGAATTTCAAACGACTTTGTCTTGCTGGATGAGATGATCTCAGCAATAGCAGCCGGCCTAGGCCATTCGATACTTAGATCCACGCCGAAAGGTGGTTTCGAGATTTGAATAGAGTAAGCTGTGTGGGTTTATTGCATCTTGCGTCAACATCATGGCAAGCTGATGCCTTGTGCTCGTTGACATTGGATAATTACACAGTTCGCCTGGCAATGGCAGATTGATTGCCAGACCTGACGTGCCGCGCGGACTGAGGCTGAGTGACATGATTATTAGAAATATTTTCCTCCGTTCCAATGGACCACCATTGTTGCGCGAATATACTGTACTCTAACAAGTGTTCATAAGATTTGAAGGCGCTTGTGATGGGGAACTCGTCCCGCCTGCGAGAAACGTACCCATTTGACAGATTTTTTTCTTCAGGGGTGATTTCAGATCATGGAATTGCTATCAGGCTAACAATCTCAAAATTGCCATGCGATACTTGATTCACACGATACATGAGCTTAGTTTATCAAATATCGTTCTGCAAACCCGAGCCAAGGAATGATTGGGAGGCCATATCAATGATACAAGTTTGTCCAAGTACAGACATCATCTTCTGCATATGCCTTCCTCCCTACTGACTGACTGCTTCTGCAGGTCTGTATGCCTAGGTATGCTTGATCCTAGCAAGACCTTGCAGGAAGATCGCTTCTTTCCGATCCTTGGCGCTGCAATACGGTGGGAAGCGCCGGGCAATACGCGGCTCGAAAGCCACGATCTTGTTCATTTACTGCCTGATTGGGGAGTGTCAGCAAGACGAAGGATTTATAAATACATCGAGCCAGCCATCTCTCCCGGTGCGATTGGCTATAAGACGCGATGAATACTACGTCCTGAGGACAATCCATGTACTGAGGGCAAAAGCTCTGACAAGCTGAACAACCTGAACTCGTGCCGCCAACCACTTCCTGCGACAAGTTGTGTAAGAATTGCATGTACGTAAGATGAGAAATCCACGCAACAGAAATAAAATATCATATCCGGTACTGTCCAATAGTTTCATAATCCTTTTACATTTGGCCAAGAGGTTGCTTAATATTGCGTGGTTGGTTCAACTCCGTCGCATCCGGGCGATTCAAGTCATTGGATCTGGGCAGGGCAAGAGGTCAGCTTGTGGGGAATATACCTGCAGAGAAAAGTTGATAGTGTTTCCCAACCCCTGGGATATTCGTGATACTCTGTTTTACCGCATCAGAACGACTCTTGAGAGCACTACCTGAGCAAACTACGTACTCTACACTCAACGTGACGGGAGCAAGCAAATGATTTGGTGGCAGAAACGTCAGAGCACTAACCCCCCCGATCGCCTGCAGCTGTGGGTACGAGCAATCCCAACTGGGCAGATCACCATGGCCATCAATGAAGAACAAGTTGTTGCTTGCGAAGGAGGTGAATCATCAATAGTAGGTGTGTGATTGATCGACGCAAGAAATCTGTCAATGGGGGATGGTTGACAGGAACCACTAAGGGCCAGCAATTTCGGTGATCAGATGAGTTTTCAAAGTTGAAGGGTGTCTGTCTGGATGGATGGTGTTGAGTCGCATTTCTCGGGTTCGGATCCAATTCACGGTGGGTGGAATCGTTGTAAATTACCTCGTGCAAAGGCTGAGTGGTTCAAACCGGGGGAAAAGCCAAATTGTGCCTGTCTCACAGCCCAGTTGTGGTATCATCCGACTCTGTCTCCCGGCCACGGGGTCCTTTCCACCGTTCCCTGTGTGAGAGAGAACTGAAGGACAAGAAGATGAAGCAGAAGCATAGTCGGTGCCAATGCCACCGCCTGCATGCAAGATACGTACATAGCTAACTAGTACACTACGGAATGGTACATCAGGTGTCTTCGGAAGTGCGCGCGTCTGAGTGATGAGTGAATGTATGGAGCCTGCAGCAGTATGTGGAGCAAGTTGCTTGCCGCGCGCTGCTGGGATTATTTGTCCAAGACCTGGGCATAGCGTCATACAACCTCGTGAATCTTGTTGAAGCGAAAGAAGGCTTGAGCTTGCCAAGGTATATGTAAGCTAGCAATGTAGCTCGGGCCAGACCGTAGTTTTGCTGAAATAACAAGAGCAGTGGACCGCCTTGTTTCTCGCTTCAGTTCAGACGGCTGGCTGGGCATCTATTCGTATTTGTTGTGACATATAATTCTAATTACAAGCATCGCCTGGAGGGTTTCTGTTTGGGGCGCGCCAACTGATTGTACGTGAGTCGTGGGCTGTTCTTGGGATGTTTGATATTGGCCCTGTCCCTTCCACCTGGGCCGCTGCGTATTGGCTCGTCTCCGCGTCATCCGCAGCCTCCAAAGTCCCTAACCATCTGAGACACACGACATTCGGACTAACAGAGAGAAAGTCAGGAAAAGGAGAGAGTGGAAAGGAAAGAGTCAGGAGTTCCAAACGACAAGAAGAGTGGTTGCATCATCATCTTCTTCTTCCTTCACATTCATCATTGCTGCAAGGTCCCATATCCTCTCATTATCTGCTCAAATTCATGGAAAAAGGTCCTGAAACCAGAATCACTTTTTTTTTTAACACTGGGAAGCCCCACGAAAACGGAAATAGACGAGGTTGTCTGAAGCTACGACACAACCGCAAAGTCGAGCTGCAATAACCTTGTTACAGAAAGCAACGTTTACGAGAAAGTCGGGCCTTGCTTTGCACCACACACATACCTACACACACACACAGAGCACAGCGGCTAGCTAATAAGGTGGCCCGGACAAGGTCCCATCTAAAAGCCCACTTGTCTGAATCGACACTATCGTTGCGTAGAAAACGCATTGAGCAGCTACAAAACCCAGTGTGCTTCCGACCGCCGTCTCGGAACGACAGGCCTGGGTTTTCCTTCTCTTTTTCGCGTTTGTCAATATTCAAGCCGGCGAAATCCGCTCACTGACGAGTCCTTTTTTTTACTCCTTCTTTTTCTTTTGGTTCTCTCATTCACTGTTGATAATTCTCGTCAGGGGTGTGTTATTGTTTGTGGTTGCCTGCCGATTCATCGCCCTTGCCGGCTTCCGGCGCACAATCGACTATAATTCAATTTCCAATACACCTGAGGCCGTCTCATCTACCTGGCCCTGGCCATCTGGAATTGCAGCGGACACGCACGGAAAGGACGCTGACGCACTTATACACGACGACCAATCCATCTCGGTGGATCTCACTTGCTACCTACTTCTCTCTGCCAGCGCGCTGCCCGGGTTTTGGCAGTGGTCCATTTGCCAAGCACAAATTACAGCTATAAGGCATTTTCCCATTTGGGGGATACTACATGCGGCGTGAGAGCAAGAACAGAAAGCAGAGCAATAACACTGAGCAAGAGAGCAGACCAGCACGCCAGACACAAAGATGGGTCGAAGTCGCGGTTCGTACATTCTCTTTTCTTGATTTTCTCGTTCAGAGACAGATTCACATCCCCTCCAAAAGCCAAGCAATTACCATCCACATCACTACCTTACCTTAAAAAACCACCCCACGCACCAAATCCCTGTACAGTTGTTGGCAACAACTCAATTGCCCAGGGCCTACCACTGTGGCCTAGCAGCATGAAGGCATCAAAGGGGGGCTGAGCTGGAACATGGCAATTTCAAATGATTGGGTCCTCGAAAACAGCTTCCGCTCAGTCAGCAATGGATCGAATACGAAAATCGCATTGCGTTGTCGCTTCCTAAAGAACGCCCAGTTCTGTGCGATAGCGTCATCATGCCCTGATCAAGTGCGACGTCCTACGGCCGCGCGCCGAACGGAAGGAAGCCAAGAAGCCAGCAGCAGCCCAGTTCCACAGGCCACATAATCGAATCGTCCCAGTCGGTTTGGACGGCACTGTCATTAGCTTTTCCGAGGTGGTTCTTGGGGGGCGGTCTGATTCTCAAGTGGGTTGGTTGGAAATTACCATCATCGCTTGATCGCTTGCTTTACGAGCGTTGGGTCGTGGGTTTGCGGATCTCCTGGCATTCCAGCTTGTGCGTCCTTTGTCTGCCGATCCAAAGCCCGGACTCTTCTGAAGCCTAGACCCTTGGAACCGTCGCCGCGCTTTTTTCCCCGTATTCCAGTTCGCCTGTATTGACAGACTGCGCCTCTTGGGAGCCTTTCACAACTTGGCTTGCACTTGACCCCCCGTCGCACATCACTGGGCTCTGCTGTCACTTTTCAGGCCGTCGTTTGGGCGCCAATCCCAGAACCCACCCCCCTATCAACCGTTGTTCTTTGGCTCCTCTGGGGAGGGGCACTTCCACTTGCTTGCCTTACGTACCTGTCCCTCTAACATTAACACACTAAGCGCATCACGCCCCAGCCTGGCGCCAAGCACCCAACTAATCATTCGTGTGCATCATGCTAATTTGGCCTTCCTGAATCAAACAGTTCTTTCGCTTTCTTCGTTAATGTCCCAGTTTTCTACTGGTGGCAGCCCGAGAGAATCATTCACCGCGTCGCCTTCTGCAAACTCCTCACCGGTGCACAACACTCCCTTGAATAAACCAGATTTCCACACACGGCCAAACCACAACACTCCACCGCCACCGCCGACGTATGCGCAGAGCTACACGCAGGAACCCAGCACGCCGGCTCCATCGTCGCCCGTGAGGCCGAATCATGATCACTCGCCCATAGGAGAACCACCCGCTACCGCACAAGCCAATCATTCACGATCTCACTCACGAACCCGAAGCAGGAGCTCCTCGAGGCCCTTGTCTATGGTGCAAACCTACCAGCCGCCCCTCATGGATGTGACCGAGGATACCATTCCCGAGCTGCAACCCATCTTCACCTTTTTGAACAGCCATGGCAACAAACTTTACCAAGAAGGCTATTTCCTGAAGTTGGATGACCAAAATACACGTGCGTCATGCAGCTCACATTTGATTTTCCTGTTGCGACTGCAAGCAGAGTGAACTAACAATGGTACAGAGGGTAAGCCCAATCCGGACAGAACATGGACGGAATACTTTGCGCAACTCGTGGGGACTGTCCTCTCGCTATGGGACGCTGCCGAACTCGACGCGGCTGGGGAGGATGGAGAGGTGCTGCCCAAGTTTATTAACCTGACAGACGCATCGATCAAGATGGTAAGGCAAATACACTGCTGGCAGTGCTTCTTTAATCTACCACGGCAAGGTACTAACCACTACTAGATCGATTCTCTGCCAACCAGGTCCAACGATGAGCAACCCTTGCAGAACATTCTGAGCATATCGACGGCAGGAAGAAACCGATATCTGCTGCACTTTAACTCGCGCCACTCACTGATACAGTGGACTGCTGGCATTCGTCTAGCCATGTTTGAGCATTCAACTCTTCAAGAGGCATACACAGGAGCTTTGATTGCTGGCAAGGGAAAGAGCTTGAACAATATCGGCGTCATCATGGAAAGATCCAGAACAACAAAAGAGGAATGGGTCAGAGTACGATTTGGAGCCGGAGTTCCCTGGAAACGTTGTTGGTGTGTCATTTCGCCGCCCGACGAGAAGGAGTACCAAAAGATGCAAAAGGAACTCAAGAAGAAATCGCCCTACGACCGCTCACATCCCCCAATTCTCAAGGGTGATATCAAGTTTTACGAAGATCGAAAGGAAGGCAGAAAGCAGAAGAAGGCCAAGCCCATTGCGACCATTACCGATGCGTACTCGGCATACGCACTCTACCCTCAGGCAAAGTCTCTTATCGATGCATCGACCTTGATCAAGATTGAGGGTAATATGACGATTCACTCAGACCCGCCCTCGTCTACTGAGGGTTTTGTTTTCATCATGCCTGAAGTCCACCCAGCTGTCAGTGGCTTTGGTATGATGCTGCAATTCCTCTTTCCGACTTGGGACACATTCGGTCTCTACGGACGACCGGGCAGATTGGCTGCGAGCACGATTGACTCAAGGTCTCTCATGTTCGCCATGCCAAAACATAAACGATATGGTTACCTGGAGATCCTAGATGTTACTAGCCTAATTCTTGCAGAAGGTAGTTCGAGTTGGACGGAAAGAGACTGGAAGAAGAAGCTCAAGGATTTGACGGGCGAAAGAATGACAACCGTGGACGACAAGCCACCAACGAACCATAGCCGCAATAATAGCCGCAGCAAGAGATTGAGCTTTGGCCCAGCTACCGAGGCTGGTGCAAAGCCTCGTGTGGGCTTTGCAGATGGCGGGGCACCTTCCGTACGCTCGTCACGATCAATGTCCCTCACCCATCGCGCTGCACCCAGGACGGATTCGGTTCCTCCAGGTGCAGAGCGCGTGCCGGCCATACCCAGTGCTTTGAAGTCTACTCACAATAGAAATGCATCCGACGGCAACCTCCCTGGAGGTGCTCCTCCGCCACCTCCACATGGCATCAGTCCCGTTGGTGATAGCCCCTCCGGACGCGGATTGAATCCTGCCCGAAACTTTGTCAATGACCTCGCGTCGACACCTGAGCGAGTCAGTTCCGATGAAGAGCGAGAGCACTCGACCCGGGCCTTGGATGGAATGCGCCATCTGGACACACCAGAGCCAGTATCACAGCCACCAGCTTTCACGCATGCCCCGGGAGAGAAGCCCCAGCAGCGACCTTACCATGCGCCGGAACTACGCCGTGCTAACAGCCGGATGTCCGCTACGACCCTGGCGCAACTCGCACAGGCTGGAGGCATCGAGGGCGTGGCCAGGCAGGAAGGCTGGATCCACGATGGTAGCAGCGGAAACCAAAGCCCGGTTGGCCCTCGAAATGACCGAAGCGGTCCACCAATGGTACATGCTGCTCACGGCAACAATCCTGGAATGAATGCTAATGCCGGCTTTCGTGAAGATTTAAGGGAAAAGACCAGTTCCTCAAGCCTTGCCGCGCCACCTACCGACCTCCGCCAGCAGCGCTCCAGATCTCCCCTCAACCAAACCATGGGTCCACCCAGCCCCGGCATGCGAGGACCCAGCCCTGGCTCTCACCCTGGCACTCCTGGACCACATGAAATGAGGAGCCCGCCACCAGGACCACAGGTCCGTCCTCCACCGGGACGTGGTGCGCCGCCAAACATGCCGCCCGGTCGCGGACCTCCTCCAAACATGGCTCCATACGGCCGCGGTGGTCCACCCGGGAGCATGGGCCCGCCTCCGCAGCGTGGACCACCAAACGGACCACCGCCGAACATGTACCGCGGTCCGCCAGCCCCCTCCGGACAAGGAAGCCGTCCTGGAACCCCTAGTGGGAGGCGGCCTCCTCCCCCTGCTTTGACCACTTCACCACCAATTCAGCGAAAGGCATTGCCGGCTCGAGGAGATAGCTTGAATCATCGATCCGAGTACCCAAGCTCCCCGACCGTATCAAGTAGCGGCAGTTTTACGCGTGGTATAGACCCGGATATTGTTGCTCATATTCATGGACCCGGCTCGAGCGGCAGAGCTACCCCTGTACGAAAAGATACGGCACGTAGCACAACCAGCAGCAACTACGATTCGACTGATTCGCCAGACTATGCTAGCACCAGACCGTCGACCGATTCAGGGGCGTCTGTTGAGCGACCGAGGGCAGGTGTCCTCCGAACTGTGGGCGACGATAACTTTCAACAACCCTCTTCCAATATACCAAGTGTTGACTTTGGACCGACTTTCAACTACGCTTCACAACAGTCCCGGTCCAAGACCCCAACGCCAGCCATGCCAGGCCCGCCAAGTACATTTTCTCCTGGCCCGGCTGGCCAAAAGAATGCTCCAGGCAGGGATCTAAGCCACGGACGCAATGCATCGGAAGACACTGTTCAACAACAAAGACGAAGTGTCATTTGGCAGCCGCCCACTCCGGGAGCCTCTGCAGTAGCCGGTGCATCTGCTCCCGGTCTCACTGCAGAGCAATTTGTTCAACAACGAGCCGCAGCCGCTGCAGCAACGCCACTTTACGCACATCAGCGTCAGGCATCATCTGGCAACATCAACGTCTACCGTGCTGGCACTCCTACACCGCCGCTTGACCGAGGTCATGGACGAGACTACATGCACGCCCACAGCCGGAGCAACTCACAGGATTTGCTTCAAAGGCCCAGTTCTAGGGGTGCCGGCGCAGTCCTTGGCGGACAATCGGCGGGAGAAAACCACCTCTCTGCACGAGAACAAGAACACGTTGCAAGAATGACGGGTACTCCTCTTATCAACATGGCAAGCAATAAGAATGCACCTCCACCGGACGTAGGGTTGATTGGTGCTATCGAAGCACGAGAGAGGGAGAGACAGCAAATGAAGCAGGGCTACAGTGGCCAAGCGGTGCAACAAGCGATCAATATGCGTCAACAGCAGCAAGCCATGCAGAATTATCAGCAGCCCATGGCATCGCCCGGCATGGCTCCGCCCGCGGGTATGTACTCGAACATGGGCCGACAGTCGCCTGGTCCGCAACAAGGCTTTGGGTATGCTCAGCAGGGTCTCCCGAGCCCAGGTGTTCATGCTGGAGCAGGATGGGCAAGCCCGGGAGCAGGATATGGGTCGCCGCGCCAAGGTAACTTCCCAGGCCCCGGTTTGATGCCTCAGCAAGGCCAGTTTTCCCCTCAGTATGGATCACCGGGCCAAAGTCCCCGTACCGCACAGCCACCGGGACGGCCAGGATTCAACGCGGCACATCAAGGACATGCATTCTAGGGAAATGATGCTTGCAAAAATCGCAAAAAGGAGAACAAGGAAGAGCCTGTTGTCACTGAAAACAGCAATACGGGCTGGGTGAAAAGGAGGACATTGATTATAGAGCAACAATTAATGGAACTTGAGGGCACAAAACTCAAGCCATTGGATAGAAACATTGGGGGCAAGTTTGTATGAAGCATTCTGTATCGGCATGGCATTGCGTTGGCCTGTTTTGGGGCCCTGGTTTGCTTTTGATATATACCTTTTTTTGTTCTGTATTTGCATGGAATGGCCATCGGGTTTAGAAACTCATATCGCATCGAAGAAGCAATAATTCGACTGGATCCAGCCTTTACTTGACGTCCATCACTGCGTCCTGACACTTTATTGATAAGATCAAGAGACCTGTTACTTCACCAGCTAATGATGATTTTCCAAGGTCATCATCAGTTTCACAGTGAAAGTGCTGACTAGTACTTGAATGCTCATACTGTCCTGTGATTCCCGGGCAAGCAAGAATTGAAATAACCATGACGGATCATGATATAATCAGATGACTATCCATCTACCCACCCAAGCACTCGGCTTTCCAATTATGCACAGGTATATTGAATCATGACGTCAAGTATTTGCAAAAATATATGTGTATTGGTCTGGGCGTGAGAGTAACGCTAGCATCAATGCCAAGCCCCATGAAGATTGAGTCGAGATTTTGGTAAAATGTCTTGCCCTGTCAGGATGAAAATACACGAGACCGGAGGATGTCTATGTTACACGTTTGTAATTGTTCTTGATGAGAATAATACAGGGTCGCAGTGATCACCGCAAGGTAACATTGGAACCCGAGAAACAACATTATTGAACCCTTACAGCAAACGATTACCGGCTGTGTGATCAGCAAATTGACCCGATAGAGTCAAAGCTGGTTATTTCAGAGGGATGCGGGCAAAAAAGTTTATGCAAAGAATGCCAACAACATTGAAAGTTACCAAGGTTACTTATTCAGCTCTGACGAGAACCTTACAGGCTTGAGCTAGTCAAAAGGACAGATCTATTTCAATGTTTCACAAGCGGGGGTTCGGATGCGGACGCCCAAGAATCCTACAGGACATTCCTTGTCTCACTCAACTGTGATGGCCAGCGCGTGGCTTGCGTGCGTGGCCTGACTGACAAGCAACCCAGACATGCCAGAGTTAAAGTCGGTTGTGCTAGTACTCACCCGCTTATTTCACTCTTTTGAACTCTCGGCAGGCGAAAGGCCAGAAGTCTAGACGCAATAAGCGAGATGGTTAACGTATGCAGATTTGGCAACAACAGAATGGACCCTGTTATAATTGCCTGATGTAGAAGGCCGCTAAGCAATAGGTCACGGCTGGTGGCTGTCGTCGGCTCACTGGAGAGGATGTAACAAGACGGCAGGCAACACGAACAGAACGATGAAATACAATTTTCAAGTAATGAGTAGGTCGTACCTATGATGATCTTGTGATGATTTTCAAGAAAATGAAAAAGGAGTGACCCAATTCTACAAGTGCATGCGCATTACATGGTAATAAGTCGCATTTAATTACTGGTCCTGCAAATGATCGACATAAAGGTTCCGGGGTTTGATTTTTTTGGGTTTTGCCATGCCAGGGGGCAACTGCCAGTTAGAAAAAGCGCTGAGGAGGAAAAATCCATTTGCGGCCCCACGGGGAGGATGAGACCGCTAAAGTTGGGCGCTGGATTGGGATTTTGGGACTTGTTCCAGTGGGTCAAGTGAGGAAAAATTTGGCGTAATCCTTGGGGTTCGATTAGGGCGATTATCCCCGATTGCCCAGCGGCGGGTGGCAGTAGCAACTAGAGGTGGGATGACTTTTCTTTGGCTTGTGATTGATTCGGAGTTGGCCAGCAGCGCTGCCTTGTTTTATCCTTGGCCCTTCCAGCGGCTCACTCCAAAGTCTCTTTCTTCTCTTTTTCTCTCCCTCAACACACCACTTTGGGGTGAATAGCTCGATATTACAGCGCACCTTTCCGACCTCTTCGCAATCGCCAAATGCATATACAACATTCAGAGGATCTTTTTCTTTCTTCGCTTCTTTTCCAGCTCCAGATGCGCGTTTCCGCCAACCAGAAAACCCACCGATCAATCTTTGAGCCACGCATTGAAGCCGAGCGTCGACGAGCAGGCCAATCCAGCCTGCCTTGAATCGGAGAGGGCTGAGCAATTTCTAGGGAGGAGGAAGAGACTCGGCGTTGGAGTGAGCGTCGCTTCTCTCTAGAAGATATCAAACAGATTACATTTTTCGATTTATAACACCCAGTCGCCACAGCACCATTCACACAGCCGTCACCATGATGCCAAAGGCGGCCCCGGCACTCTCCACTGTGCGTGGATTCGGCACAGCGCCCGTCACCTCGGGCGATGAGGACTCTGACCACTGCGCGACACCTCCCTTGACCGCCCGCCGAGGCAACGGACGTCGACTCGACGATGTGGTCAGCGCAAACTGCAGCCCCCTCCTCCGCGCCCACAACTCCCCCGCCATCAGCGGCATCGCCAAGCTGCGCATGCAGCTGGAGCCACTCAGCCTGAGCGACTCCCGCACCAGCACCATGACGGGCTACAGTGACAGCCGTACCACCACCATGATGACTCGCACCAACAGCCAGCATAGTGCGCTGGGTCGTAGTGATGATGACATTTCCGAGAACGGTTCGACTAGCTACGAAGTCGCTCTGGAGCACGAGTTTGTTAGCGAAAGTGTCCGCGAGAAGCCCAAGTTTGGTGCGATTGAAGGTGGACTTGTCCAGCGCAAGGTACAAGCTGATGATTTTGAGCCCCTGCGCTGTCTGGGCAAAGGAACCTATGGCACCGTGCTTCTCGTGAGACAGCGTGCAACTGGTCGCTTGTATGCGCAGAAGCAGTTCAAGAAGGCCTCGGTCGTTGTTCACAAGAAACTGGTGGAGCAGACAAAGACTGAGCGCCAGATCCTCGAGTCGGTCAACCGACACCCCTTTGTCGTCAACCTGTACTACGCATTTCAGGATCACGAGAAGCTCTATCTCATTCTCGAGTATGGCCAGGGCGGTGAGCTCTTTACTCACCTCAACACAGAGAAAATGTTCCCTGAGCCAGTGGCGGCTTTCTACATGGCACAAATGATCATTGCCTTGTCGCACCTCCACGATAACTTGGGCGTCATCTACCGCGATCTGAAGCCCGAGAACTGCCTCTTGGATGCCAAGGGAAACCTGCTCCTGACGGACTTTGGGCTGTCCTCCCAAGTCCCTCTTGATGAGGAGGACTGCTGCAAGTCTATTCTGGGAACTGTTGAGTACATGGCACCCGAGGTGGTTCGCGGTGACAAGTATGGCAAGGCTGTCGACTGGTGGTCGTTTGGAGCTTTGGGCTACGACCTGATGACGGGCAACCCACCTTTTAGGGGCGGCAATCATGCCAAGATCCAGCACAACATTCTCAACCAGAAGCTCGTGCTCCCCTACTTTCTCAGCCCCGACGCAAAGGATCTGCTCACGCGTCTTCTCAACAAGAATCCAAAGAAGCGACTCGGTGGAAACATGCCCAAGGACCTTCAGACTCTCAAGAAGCACCGATTTTTCCGCAAGATTGACTGGAAGAAGCTCGAGGCCAGAGAGCTTGAGCCGCCTCTGCAGCCGATGATTACGGATCCTGAATTGGCGGAGAACTTTGCGCCCGAGTTCACTGATCTCCCGCTCAGCCCCGTCATCACAGCCAAGGACCCTTGGGGTGCAGAGTCTATCAAGAACAAGGATGGCTTCAAGGAGGATCCTTTTGGTGGATTCAGCTTTGTTGCCTCAAGCAGCTTGCTCGATAATGCGGGTTTCCTGGCTGGGGAGGCATAAGAATCGAGATTGAACAGAGAAACAAGACTGTATAGGACAGGATATACTAGATATGCTAGATATATACCTACTGCAAGACAAGACAGCATTAGAGGTTGCGCCTCGAAATATTTGGTTGGTTCGGTTGGTTCAGTGGCTTGAGAGGGTGCAGCCCCCGAGGATCGTAATCAGGTTCAATGGCGTTACGGAGTAGAAAGGAACGGACGGGCATAGTTACAAAATGTTTTCTAGGAGGCCTCCCAGTAGGATGGGGCTCACAATCACGATGGGGAATTTGCAGCGCTGTTTGTATTCACCGCTCGTGAGTGCAAATATGGTTTCCTTGCTTGCTGACGACAAAGCTGCGGAGTAGAGACCAATCATGACTGTAGATATTCGCTGCCGTGTTCCCCCTGCCTCGTTTCAAGTTCTGCCGGCCACGCGGTGCAGCGAGTTATCAGATAAGAGATTCTGACACGAACAAAACCATGATTTTGATTCTCCCGATCTTTCCGGAATACTCCAAACATTTTTATCTGTTGTTCTTGTCCGATTGACGTTTGACCGCGACCGCTGTCCCGTTGGCCAAGCTATTAGCTAGCTAGCGCCTCACCTTACTCGACTTTCCAAGACTATGCCCAGAAACCTATTTTCTGGTATCCGTATCTGGGTATAAGCCGCAATCTGGCTTGGTCACTGTCTCCTTCATTTGCCAAAAACGGAAATTTAGAAATAGCACAGTTAGGTAGCTTTCAAAGCCGCTCTTTACTATACAGCAACTCCACGCTCTTTAATAAGTGATCGGCATTCTGGGCAAAGAAAGGAGTCGGTGATGCGATGGACCAACGAATTTAAGTGGCCACAATATCAACGCCGGTGTCAATTGTTGATTATGCCATCACATTTTGGAGTTCCAAGTAAATGGTCTCTAGTCCGTCAAGATCCAAGCAGGCCAAGCAAGTCGTGAAGCGTCATGATTTGGAGACGCTTTCTTGATTACAGTATCAGATTTGAAGCATGTGTTTAGCCACTTGTGTGTATACTCTGACGACGCTCATGCAAGTGTCGATCCACAACCAAGTCTTGATTGAGAAAGGAACTGGTTGTGGAATACGATATACGTATGGTCTACGGGCTACTCCACTCAAAAGGCTATGGATGGGAGGGGTCTAACTGTGCAAATTGATGACCGATCAAGCCTTGACGGATTAAACACGAATGAAGACGGTTTCTTTCAGGGAAGCAAGGTGAAAGATTCTGCATGGATCATACGGCAATCGGTTTCATGCTTGCTGGCAGCGCCCATCTCCGCGATTTTGACGAGTGGTTCTATTCACAACGGTGGTTGAACCCATCATCATCTACCGGACCTCGGGAAACGAATTACGCCCAAAAAGATTAGCCTCTGATCTAAGCCTCACGAAACCCCAGGATCGCGGTAGCACTGTACATCAACCATAAAACCTTAGTTTAAATCCTTGGCGCGACAAATGGTTTCTAGACCTCATTTGCCGGATTTGGGTTAAAAAGACTACTGTAATATAAGAACGTTTAAAGCTAAATCAGGGGCGGAGCGCGAATGGTCAAGGATGATGGAAATTCGAGATGCATTCTCTGGCTTTTCCAATTCCAAAAAACCTACCAAGCATTCGGGGACGGTTAGAAAGAACGTTTACTCAGCCTGCCTCGGTGCCTTGGCCAACTATCCCATCCCCGCTGACGCCAAGCACGTTTTCTCTCAAGAGCATGCTGACACATATCACAATCGGGAGGGATGTGTCTTTGTCAACCTTTTGCCTACGTACATGCCCAAGATACCCATGAACTTGACCTTGTGTCTATGCTGTGCCAGAACAGCTATCATCTCCATACCTACGAATCTCCCCCTAATGTAGTAGATACCTACCTAATAAGCCCCACGAACGGACCCCTCTTTCTTCTCATTTCCCCCGGACAAACACTTATTGGTATTCTGTGGCACGAGGCAAAGCCAATCACGACGGCGCCAAGGACCGCTTCGACCCTAGCGAGATGCGCGTGTGTGGGTTTTCTATGAAGCCCCGAATGTGTAATGTATGTATGCTATCAGCTCTTCCGTTCCTGCAAGCCATGTAAATGTGTACGGATGGTGTGTGTGCATGTATATGCATCTGTTCGCGCACCTTGGCATTCGCCAGCAGGCGTCGTCATCACCCTTATCGTGGCTGTGTATGTCAGTACCCAGGTATTTGGGCTGAAAAAGAAAAAACAAGAGGATATGTTTGGCACAATACGTCTAAACCTTGTAGATATTGAGTCGCTACCGGCACCTTGGCACGCAGCATGCATCAGCCCGTTTTGCATTGACCTTAGCCTTTTAACCACCTTTGCCTTGGCCCTTGGGCCCCCCGGGACACCGACGATCGTCGTCCCCCCCAAGCCAATCGCTGAATGATATTCTCATCAATTGTCAGCAGTATCTAGTCCTTGCCAAGTGAAATAGGTCCTCCGGACGCCCCCAGAATACCAAGAGCTCTTAAATGGAGAATTTGGGGGGGATGTAACACGGGCTGCTTGCCGAGTGCCCATGGACAGTGTCAATGTCTGCCCGTTTATTGGCCCCCGCTGGCGTCATTCCCAAGACATTGGACATGTCGTTTTGGGTTATGTAAATCCGTTGCATGTGCAGGAGGAAACAATGATAAAGGGGAGCTGAAATCCGGGCTGAATAACTAGATGATATTTTTCACCTTTGACAAGACGCTCCCCGAGGCATTTCCCTTAGGCCAAATACATAATTTGTAATTGTGTCTGACAATCCATTTTCAGAAAAGAAAAAAAGAAACTCGTCATCCATTTGATAGAAATCATATTATACCCATCTTTCTCACCTCGTGGCTGCCACGCTTTTTCCCTGACCCGGTCTCGAAAGAGCGTCGCTTCATAAATAAGCACTAGAAAACATACCAGCTAGCAACATTGTCTGGTGCGATACAACAAACCGTCAGCTACGGTCAAGGCTGTGTGCTGTCTGCTTTGCTCTACGCCGTGGCGGGTCGAGCATCAGTCCAAGTCATTGTCTCTCATTTTGTCCCGTTTGGTCCGTCTTCACGCCAGGCCGTGTTCCAATCTGATAGCGCGTTCTGCTCTCTGCTCTACTCGGTTCGTTTACCTTGCATTCCTCTTTGGGTAAATCTCAAACACACAGACACAACCAACCCAACATCTGCCGTCACTTGGGACACCAAAGGCTGGAAGCTAATTTTTGGTGACGCAGAGGTGTTTTCTTTGTTTTCCTAAATAAATAATCCCCCTCGGTCCCTGTGGAAAACACCCGAGACTTTTCTTTTGCCTTTATCTCCATCGAATCGATCCGTGGCACTCGGGGAAAACGAGTGTCCATTCAACTATGCGCTCTTCATTCACGGCCGCGGCCTTGTGTAAGTCAACACAACTTCAATGCTTTCACTCCTCAAATAGTCACAGACAAACACCGCCATATCTTTGGGAAGAATAACTGGCTAACCCAAAGTTCACCCAGCCGCTCTCACATGTGCAGGACTCGGCTCAGCAGAGATTCAGCAGAAATGCTCAACGAGCGACATCTGCTTCAGCGTGGCCGTAACCGAGGCCGCTGCCTCGTCAGGTTCCGGAAATCTCTACTTTCAGATCCAGGGTCCAACGACGTACTCGTGGTTGGCAATGGGAACCGGTTCGCGCATGTCGGGTTCCAACATGTTTGTCGTTTACACGGACGGGAGCGGCAATGTGACGGTCTCGCCGCGCCTGGGCACCAACCACGTCATGCCGACCGAGGACACGTCGTCCACGGCCGCCCAACTCACCTTGCTGGCCGGCTCGGGCGTCGATGGTGATACAATGCGCGCCAATGTCCTGTGCACGAATTGCAACAGCTGGGACGGTGGCTCCCTGAGCCTTGGCAGCACCAGCGCCTCCTTTATCGCCGCTTGGCACAGCGGTGCCGCCCTCGACACTACGGATGCCAATGCCGACATTTCGCAGCACGACGGGACGGATGGCTGGACCGTCAATCTGCAGTCTGCGACCGTGTCTTCGGATTCGAACCCGTTTGTGGCCGCAAGTAGCAGTGGCGGCGATAGTTCGTCCTCTGGTGATGGCAGCAGCGACTCTGGAAGCAGCTCTGGTAGCAGCGGTTCATCCACGGGGTCAGGCACCTCGAGCAGCGGAATCAGCGGCAGTAGCGGACCCAGCCAGAGTTCAACTGCCCAGCTCATCACCGCTCACGGCGTCATCATGGCCATTACCTTCATCATCATGTATCCTCTCGGCTCAATCCTCATGCCGCTCCTTGGCAAGTGGGCTCTCCATGCTGCTTGGTACGTGTCACTTGCCTTTTCTTCGCCGAAAACAATCACTACTGTCGTGGTCTCTGTGCAAGCTTTTTCTTATAATCATACTGACAATACATTCATCTTGTAGGCAAATGGTCAGTTTCATCCTGATGTGGGTTGGTTTCGGAATTGGTGTCGTGGCTGCCCAACGGACCTTTATTGTAAGTGAAAATGCCAGAACTGCCCCTACTTGGGCAATAGTTACTTGACAACAGCAAAGACTTTGAGGGCTGACAGAATTGGCTCATGAAATAGAACTTCTCCGCCACTCACACCATGTTCGGCACCGCCGTGGTCGTCCTCATGGTGATTCAACCCGTGCTCGGCTTCCTCCACCACCGACAGTACCTCAAGACGGCACAACGCGGCGCCATCTCTGCGGCCCACCGCGCCTACGGCTCCATTCTCATGAGTCTCGGCGTCATCAACGGCGGTCTGGGTCTGCAGCTGGCTGGCGCCTCGCGTGGGGCCGTGATTGCCTATGCCGTGGTGGCTGCCATTGTCGCTGCCGTGTATCTCGCGATCAAGGTCTTTGTCGCCGCTCGCAGGCGCCGCGGGTCTTCGACCCATCGTCGTGGTTCATCTGCTCGAGCTGGAGAAAAGATTGGGGGCAGCCGCCGTGATAAGTATAATCAGACCCACGGCGAGGAGATTGAGATGCCGAGAAGGTAGTTTCGTGTCGTTCCAATCCATCATTTCAAGTCGGAGCCCTCGGAGGATACAAGAGTCTTAACTTTTCTGGGGAACAGGTAAAACGAGCCGAGACTTCTTGGTTCAGAGATGTGCTGTTGAGTATGAGAGGTCTTGAAAGACCTAGTGCCTTGATAGAAAGCGGTATACGACGGAACGAAAACATGGGAAATGAACCCGAATGACTTGCTTAGTGTCGCATAAATACAAAGTATACCTGCCCATCTACACGCCCTAAATGAGTGAGACTTTTCGATGGATTCCTAAGAGGGGAATCATTGAAATTAGAATTATCATCATCTCCAACACGAGTCCAAAGTCGTCTGAAATCTGAACAAATCACCATAATGTAACCTCAAACAAAGCCACGTGCAAAGTGTATATTAGAAATTGTATTCGGAGAGACCAAAGACTGAGGAGTACTGTCCATATATCGGGAACTGGATCGAGTTGGGTATAAGTCTAATGTCATATTATAGTCGTAACCTCAGGCTCTGCTGAGTAGTTAATCACTGTGGTCCGTTAAATGACATAACGGAACATGGCCTTGTAAGATGTTAGTACATATTGGCCATGGACATGCATGAATCACTCCAGACTTACATTGTTCTTATCCGTCACGTCCTCGAAACCCTGAAGCTCGCTCTCGCGCTGCATCTCGGCCAGCTCCTCCTCGGACTTGCCGGCAATGGCGCGGTCGCGGCGCCGGTTCTCGCGCACGTACAGGAACCGCAGGACCTGGTTGAGCACCAGGTTGAGCACAAAGCCCGCGAGCATGGCGGCGATGCCGCCGTGGTAGGCCGGCGCCTGGGTGGACTTGAAGAACTGCGGCCCGGCAATCTGGCCGACGCAGTAGCACACAAAGACCCAGCCCGAGGCCATGGAGCGCTTGGTGGACCCTGCAATGTTGGTCGACAGCAGGCCCAGGATCACCATGAAGCCCACTGGATATGAACCTAGAAGCCAGAGGCCGACGAGGCGGCCCCATTTGTTGTCGGTCGCGAGTTGGTTAATCAAGCAGGTGCCGATGATCTACGCAGCTGGTTAGTCTCTTGGTGCAGCGTACTTTTGGCAATCCTGAGAACGGCGTGTACTTACAGGAGGAATCATGGCCAGAGATGCAATGTGTAGACGTGAATTCGAAATCTTGGAAGTCAGATAACCGCATCCAAGCTGGGCGACCAATTGGACAGTAGACAGGGGCAAGTTCATCAACGTGGTCTCAATGGCTCCGAAGCCGAGGCCAGAAATGATGAGGGAGCCAAACGACAGGCCACCGGAAGCCAGGGCGTTGACAAAGGATATGAGGCCCAGAATGACAATCTTGGGGTCCAGGGCCGCCTCGACGACCTGCTCGCGGACAAAGCGCCGACTCTTGGTGCCCGTCTTGTTCTCGATGACGCGCTGCACGGCGGCCACCTTTTCCTCCTCGCTCAGCCACTTGACCCGCGACGGGCTGTCGGGCACGCAGAGGGTAAAGACGACGCCCCAGACAATGGTGACGGCGCCGAGGATGATGTAAATATACCGCCACGGATGCAGGTGGCCGGTGATATGGCCGATGCCGTAGGCGACCAAGACGCCCACGAAGCTGCCGACGCCGAGAAAGGAGATCCAGAGGGCGGAGCGGCTGGCCTGCTCCTGCCGCGTCCACCAGATGCCCGTCACGGCCACGAAGCCGGGCGAGATGGTGGCCTCGGTCATGCCGAGGATGAAGCGCGCCGTGGCGAGCCCGGCAAACGACGAGCACGCGGCCGTCGACATGAGCACGATGCCCCAGAGGACAATGTTGACGCCCATGAATTTTGCCACGGGGAAGCGCTGGAGGATGGCGATTCCGGGGTACTCGGCTAGCAAATAACCAAAATCTTTTATGAAGTAATATTAGCCTCTTTGTCTTCCACTGACATGTAACAGTTTATAATTCTTGTTGCTTTTTTATTCTTTGTTTTAGAATGCAAAAATAGGATTCCGCTTATTTCGAGTACTCACAGAAAATGGACGAGACCCATGAGTAGTCCTGACCGACGAGTTTGTTATCGTCAATGATCTTGTACACTGAACTGTAGCCCAGTGATGTCTTGTCGATGAACTGGAGCGCGTAGGTGACACATAGGAAGGGCAGAATGTATCTGTCAATCTTTTGCCGAACCTTTTTGGACATTTCCGCATCGACGGCGCCGGCAGCCAAAGCCTTGACGGCGAGGTCTCCGGTTTCATCCTTGATGTCGACCTTGGTGAGGTCGACATCTTGCTCTGCCGTGGCGGCCGGATGGATGCCGTCCTCGGCCTGCTTCTCGGTATTCATGATGTTCAGTTTGCACAACCGAGGCCGTATGACCCAATGTTATCCTAGCAACCAGAAAGACGAGCAAAGCTTCCTCGCAAGATTTCGAAAAACACGTCGCAGCTGGGGGCAATGCACAAGTTCTTATCCAAATATCTTTATCACAACCTACCTACAGACTAACCAAACACAATACAACATGGCGACCGGACCGCTGCCGATCATCTCCACCCACTGATAGTCGGCCGACTCCGGTGCCCCATTCACCTTATAACCGTACAAGACGTGATTGGGTGCAACGCCGCCAAGAACAGTCAATAGGTATTAGCCTCGAACTCTGTTACTGGGGTTTGACCCAACCACATGGCGCCCTGGATTTCGCTTCTTTGCCGGGGGCAAAAGCTCGCTAAAGGATGAGCTTCGGGACAGGACAAGCCGCGACTTGGTTTTGCATAACAGGGACGTCTTGCCATCAATGCACACGACGAGGGAACAGAAAAGGTCTGGACTTGAACAGGCCTCTTTCCAAAGCGTTTTCATTTCGGACGCGCGTCTTGATCCGGGTACTTATCTTTTTTTTTGATATCGAGTCATCTTTAATAGTTTCTTTTCTAGTACCTGAGAGAGTTGTCCCCGACTATTAGATACCGGCTTGAGCTCTTCCGCAAGGTCTCACAAACCCCTCCTTCTGGGCGCCGCAGCCATGATGTTGCGCGAGGTAGCCGACGACTTTGTCCTCGTGTCGCTGGACAGTGAGAGAGTAGAGCATGCGTCGGACGACAAGCTGCCGCTGTACATTGACCACATTAGCCACCATGTCGACAAATTGGCCGAGCAGCTGTGGCCGCTGAACAAGACGGTCCACGACAACCCGGAACTGGGCTTCAAGGAGTTTATTGCCCACGCGGCGCTCACCAAGTTCTTCAAGCGCCAGCCGGGATGGAAAGTCACGCCATCGGCCTACGGTATGGCGACGGCATGGGTGGCCGAGTGGGACAGCGGCAAGAAGGGTCCAGTAATCTCATACAATGTAGAAATGGGTATGTTTCTGCTTTATTTCTGACTGACAAGGGAGCAATGTTTCTAATGACTTGAATTCAAGACTCACTTGAGGGAATCGGTCATGCATGTGGCCACAATCTCATCATGACGGCGTCTGTTGCTGGCGGTTTGGCAACGGCGAAAATGGTTGAAAAACACGACCTCGGCGGCAAAGTGGTCGTCTTTGGAACTCCAGCAGAAGAAGGTATACTTGCTCGGCATGAAACTCTCTCACAAAAAGGCTCTTTACTTACCCTGCATAGGTGGCGGAGGCAAGATCAAGCTACTAGAGGCTGGAGCCTACAAGGACTATGATGTGGACATAAACCTCATTTCTCATCCGGGTATCGTCAGAGAGAGCGCATTGGTGCGTACATCAGCCTACCACATGTTCTCGGTCGAGTACTTTGGACGCGAGGCCCACGCCGCCGCTAACCCGTGGCTCGGCATCAATGCCCTCGACGCCATGGTGACGGCGTACACGGCCATCTCGGTGCTGCGGCAGCAATGCATGCCCGGCGATGTGATCCAGGGGCACATCACCGACGGCGGGTCGCGGCCAAACATTATCCACGCCCACGCGGCGGGCAACTGGGTCGTGCGCGCCGACACGCAGGCGCGGCTGGAGGAGCTCAAGAAAAAGGTGCTTGCCTGCTTCGAGGCGGGCGCGACGGCGACGGGGGCCAGGCTGCAAATCACCGACGGGCAGTCGTACGCGGACCACGTGCCCAACCGGCTGCTGGGCGCGTCCTACGTGCGCTACTTCAACGCCCTCTCGCCGCCGAGCGCCATCCCCGTGGACCAGGACGTCGACGAGATCCACGGCCGCACCATGGCCAGCACCGACCAGGGCGACATAAGCTACGCCATGCCCAGCCTGAGCCCCGGCTTCTCCATTGTGCCTGGGCCCGGCGGCAACGGGCCGCATAATCCAGAGTTTGCCGAGGCCGCGGGCACCAAGGACGCCTTTTGGCGGGCGCTGCGTGTCGGCAAGGCGCTGGCGGGCACGGCGGTGCAAGTCCTCACGACAGAAGGTCTCCTGGCCGCTATCAAGGAGGAGTGGAAGCAGGACATCAAGGTGAAGCGTGCGCGTGTCTAGAGCCTTCCCCAAACTCCAAGGGCGGAAAACTGGCCGCCATGAGAGCGGTGACCGGTTCTTCTCTTCTGCTTGGCATTCTCAATAAAAGTTTTGGAGATTTACAAAAAAGCATTGACGTGACATTCGTAGCGGTCAAAGCAGCTCGCTTGACGAGGCATGAGTCTGTTATGCAAGGGCCCTTGGAGTCAACGAACGACATGAATTGTGGGACTTGGAAAATCCGTGTATAGTCCAAGGTCACGAGGCTGGATCGAGTATATGAGATGTTATTAGCTTATTAGGCGTCTACCTACAAGCCTAGTCGTCACTTTTTGTGTCTAGTGCCACCTGCATGCGACCCCCAAAATCAAATCTGGATGCGACTGTATATAATGACTATACCTATTTGAAAAACCGTGTACCGAGGTAACTTTGTATAGGGGTTCTATAAGGAACGCTTTCATTTCACACAAGACAAGAATAGCAATCATCAATGACATGGGCATTTTTATGTGAAAGTAACAGTCGAAACTAGGAGGTCATCCTTTAGGACTCAGGCTACCAAGTTGGGGGCGGTCAATCCCATGTTTGGGTACCGAGTATAATCACATGTCAAGCTTTAAGCACACACGTGATGGTTGGTCATGTTGAGTAAAAAGAATGAATCGTGGTACGTAGACAAGAAAAATAGAGTTCCAGGATATACTTGATTAATTTAAATTCTAGACAAGACTATAAAAGATCATTACTGGTGGAAATACCCAATACACTGAGTCATGTTCCGAGGTTCGTTCATGACAATAAAAAACAGAGAGGGCGCATCTTGGCGTTTTGTCGGGATGCACCAACAAGAGAGTCTAGTATACTCTTTTTGTTGACCTGTCGGACCGATTGGCGCATCCTGTTTCTGGTTATCCTGGGGCCTGGGGCTTGGGCTTGGGGCTTTTCTCTGAAGGGATGATCGCGTCAGGCGCAAAGTGGATCTTTTGGTATTCCCTGCCCCTGCTAAACACATGGATGTACTATTCTGTACGTACGCACGTACTAACTTACCCCGGATTTTAGAAATCTCAAGCCATGTTGGCAGGTGGTAGTACTTTGGATAGGCTTATGGCAATGATACTCTGCAAGTCCAGTCGGCAAGCAAAAGTCATATCCTCGCAATGGGGGGCTCAACGGAGAAAGAAAGAGATGGCGAGTTTGCGGACATCCTGTCGCTTACTGCATCTCGCAGAAAAAGAGGGCAAACAAGGTCAAAAATTCAGAACAAGAGATGCACGACATTGCCGGCTTATGGCTATGCGCTGTCATGGCGCAGTGACTAGGGATGAGGAAAGGGGAAGATGAGATCCCATCGGATCAAGCTTCCTTTAGATCTTCGACTTTATTGAAGAGACTGCCTTGCCCCTCCCTTGCGCAGACGACTATAAACCCTGTGAAGATCGGTTGTCGGCCGGGGGTGCTCTATTCTAGTTTTAATTATCCCCGATCTTTGACTGGACGCCGGGCCTCATCCGAGAAAGGTAAATGAAATATACTCCACCAGACATCCTTTGTGTATGCCTTGTCTTGGGATGGTATCACGCAACAAGGTTTGTTGTTGTAAATAGGACAGAGAAAAAACAAAACCCTTGCTTGATGCGCGCGCGCGGGGTGAAATGCCAAAGGGAAAAGAAAGAAAGATGATTTACACACATGCGAATATTAATGCTGCATCACCCGGTGCTGACCGCAGCGCGCAGAAAAGACCCTAGGCAGGTCGTCAGAAGCATTATATGCTGCCACGGGTCCGGGGCGTAATAGGTCACGGCTCGCGAGAGGTGATAAAAGTGTGGCGTAATAGAAACTGCATGCGGCCGGTAGTGTCTCTTTTACAAGTCAAAGGGCACTGGCTGTCGAAGGCTTCTGGAAGAATAAACCACATTGAAAAACAGAAAATAAGCTGGGGGAGGGGGGTGACAAAACGTGGCTATTCGTCAGTGGAGTGGTTCTTGGGGTCGTTCAACCATCTCCTCACCCCCCGCGCGCCGCCATATTCTACTTTGTTTAGTTTGGTTACTAGGTAGGTTAGGTTGGTAGTATGAGCAAGTATGCCCATCTGATAGAAGCACCCCCATCCCCAAAATCATGTTCCCGTGCAACTACAACGATCTCATGGGCCGGAACGGCCCATTCAGAGGCTTCCACCCTTCATCACCTGTCCATCTGGCTAGAGACCACCCCCAGACTTTGCCCATTTTCCGGGGGCTCGCCAACCAGAGCCCCGTCCAGCATTCGGCCAGCAGCGCTAGTGCAGGAACGGTCGCCCCTTGAGGCATATGGTAATCAGGCTGACCGCCCAATGGGAGGCCCGAGACGGCGTTCGGATGTAGGCCTGCCAATGTCACGGCATCGGTAATCTGATGAACATTTTTTTTGTTTCTCTAGGTCAGAGGGAAGATTCTTCATTCTCTCTCTTCCTCTCTCTCTCAGGTCTCCATTCCCGATGCTACCCCACAAGTTGGGCTCCAGAACGCGGCTCAATACAGACATTGACTGGATGCCCACTCGCATATTCGATCGCATGGGAAAGGAATCAGAGGAACTTGTTTCAACATGCTCATCCGTCCGCCGGGGGGACCCCCCTCACGCGGCTGCTTGACAGACTGGGGTGGGTTCCCTTTTTTTTTACGGCCGGCCACTTTGGGCCAAAAACTGCGATCAATCATTTTTTTTTTCCCTCTCTGTTTCTTTCCTCTTTGATAGTCCTAGACGAAAGGAAAGAAAAACTTGCAAGGGGGCCCCAAAGGGAACATGAGCTGCCCGGCAAGTATGTCGGCCAAATCACTTGCAACCATGTCTACTCCATGATTGGTGCCCTTTCCTCAAATGATCACAGCTCACTACCCCCCGAGAGGGAACTTTTCCCTCTCTTTTCTCTCTATCTCTCTCTCCTTTGTGCGGTGTGTACTCGTCATGACCCAAATGCGTAAGCTCAAACCCGGTGATTTGGTCAGCCTTCTACAATGGTAAACTTGGCAAATCTCAAGTATAAGAAGCGACGGGTGATCCCATCGAGTATATTAGCCGAAATGCATACAGGCTGGTTTCTGATTCATCACTGTCCTTCCTTGAGACGAAATACTTGCCAATCCTTGTAAATATTCTATTTCTATTATATCAGTCTTCCTAGAGAAGACGACAAACTTGCATTCTTCAGTTCTTTGATCATTATCATCATATCATCATCGTCATCATCATCATGTACAAGTCCCTCCTTTCCAGTCTGGCCGTGGTGGCCCTACTGTCGGGCTCCGTCTCGGCCACCACGCCTCCTTCTTACTCGGGCTATACCACGGTCTGGTATGCCAACTTCGCCGGCGACGCCGGTTCCCTCCCGGACACGAGCAACTGGAACATCATCACGGGCAACCTGGGCGTCAACAATGAGCTCGAGACGTACACGTCGTCGAACCAGAACCTGCAGCGCAGCGGCGGCCAGACGCTGCAGATTGTGCCGCGCCGGGACGCGTCCGCCTCGGGCGGCTGGACCTCGGGCCGCATCGAGAGCACCTACACCTTTGTGCCCAAGGCCGGCGGGCGCACCATGGCCGAGGCCCAGATCCAGTTTGGCTCCAACCCCGTGGCCAACAAGCAAGGCCTCTGGCCGGCCTTTTGGATCCTCGGCGACTCGATCCGCCACGGCACCGCCTGGCCCGCCTGCGGCGAGCTCGACATCATGGAGACGGTCAATGGCTACCTGACGGGCTACGGCACCACCCACTGCAACGTCTACCCGGGCGGCATCTGCAACGAGCCCAATGGCATCCAGGGCTCCATTTCCATTCCCGACCAGGGCTGGCACACTTGGCGCATTGTCTGGGATAACACGGCTTCCAGCTGGACGGGCCAGACTATTACCTGGTACCGCGACGGTGTTGCCTTTAATGAGATTTCTGGCTCTCAGATTGGCGATCAGACTACTTGGAATTCCCTTGCCCACAGATCGCTGTACTTTATCTTGAATATGGCTGTTGGTGGCTCCTGGGTGAGTTCTCTTTTCTAGACATGTCTCGCAGAAACTCTGATGACTGACCTGAAATTGTTTATAGCCTGGCAACCCCAACTCGGCGACCCTTGACGGCTATGGCAGCATGATGGAAGTTGCTTGTAAGTCTTGCTAGAACATGTTTCAGTTTACTCTTTACTGACTTTGTCGTGTTTAGATGTCGCTCATTATGCTTCGACCTGATATTACCATTTAAGGAGTGCGTTCGTGTTGGAGAATGTTGCATCTTCACTTCTTGTTCATGTTTACCCAATATTTTCACATATACCCCCCAACAATGGACCTGAGTGTTCATATCGTTATGTCTTTTGCATATTATACATTATTTGCGTATTCTATAACATTTTGATCCCATGTAAGCCTGGCTCTAAATGGCTTTCATCCGAGTGCGCTTGTATTTTCTATGGTGACGCGCGTTATGGTTCATGATAAGCACTTGTGGAACCAGCATGTTTACTGGCGTCCACTCGATTCGTTCTTGAGCTTGGCCGCTTGTTCAGACTGTTGTCTCCATTTACCAGCATATTTCCAAGCCACGGAAACAGCTAACAAGGCGGCGACTTGCACAATGGCACAAATAGTAAATGCCAATCCAACGCCGATCCCATTAATCAGTGGCATGATGAAACTTGTGCCGCCCGCGGCAAATAGGCACCTGGCAAGATTGAGACTGGCTGTGGCTGCTGCACTGCGGTCGGAAAAGATGTCGACCAAGTAGGTTGTAATGACGGATTGTATAGAGACAGACGACCAACCAGTGATAAAGGTCGATATGATAGGAATCGCCAGAGGCACTGTATTTGGAAATTGGATGCACCAGCCAAACAAGAGAATAGAGGCGCATTGAACAACAGAAAATATTGGAACAAGCCGGAGTCGAGCCTTTTCAAGAGGAAAGTTTTCTTCCGAGCCGGTCGATGACGGGTCTTGACCAGCCTCTGTGTCCGCAGAGCGTGTTGGTTGAGCCTCGAACGCAGCTTTGACTCGGCGGTAGTCGATATCGAGGATCTTGCCAGAGACAAGAGTTCCAACCATGGAGCCGACTCCGTTGGCAATGAAAGTCAGTCCAATTTGCGTTTCACCAAGTCCGTAGCGGCTTTCGAACAGAGAAGACATGGCAGTAATGCTCATCTGCCATACGGCGTAATGGACAGCCAGAAAAATGATCGTGGGGGCTGCGAACTTGCTGGTCAGAATACGCAAGGGTCCAAGTACGTCAATCTTCTTGGGCGATACTGCAACGGGAATTATCGCTGCTTTTACCTCCACCTTGATGAACTTCTGATATAGCGTCAGAGGAAACTTGGCAATTGGATTCGACGGTATCTGCCCGCCATTCCCGACGATTGACCTCAGTGTTTCAGGAAGGAGTGCCAATAGAAAGAGCAAAAAGACACCAGTGTAAATGGTGAGGAACCAGAAGATTGCTCGCCATCCCAGAGATCCCGCCAAAGCACCTCCTATCACTGGACCAATTGCAGTTGGCACAAGTAATCCGGCCTGGAAAATGCCCATGTAGCTTCCGCGGTCGGCACGGGTAGTAATGTCGCCAATAACGCCAGCGCCAATAGCAATCGTGCTCGCGCTGCCAGTGCTTTGTAGACATCGCAGCACAATCAGTGTGGCATAGTTTCTCGCTTCAGCCAGGCCGACGCATGCGCCCAGGAGTACCAGAAAGGTCAAGCAATATGCTACTCGGCGTCCCTTGACATCCGACACAGGTCCCCAAAGGCTAGGTGCGAGTCCTTGGAAGATGAGATAAGACGTCACGGTGAGGTTGACTAGCTCCACGGAGACATCGAGGTCGTGGGCAATAGTAGGAAGTGCTGGGAAGTAGATGTTGGACGCGAAGCCAGAGACTGTGTCGAGTTAGACTTTGGGAATAATTTTTGATGGTAGCAGAGAGCACTCACATGTAGCCGCAGTAGATGCGATCAGAACAATAAGTGCTTTTTGTCATTTGTCAAAGATGCTGAAAGGCGCCTCCTCTACTTTCGGGGTAGATTGTGATATCGGAGGCGGATCGTTTTCTGCGGGAAGCTGGTTTGTGGACATAGTGAAGAGAGGAATGAATGTGAGTCCTAGACAGAGAAGAATAGAATGAGATGGACACTGTTGAGTTTGAGCAATAACGAAAAATCGAGGGGTGCCAAGGGCCTTCTATTTACATTGACAGCAAGGCAAGGTTGGTAGGGAGAAAAGTGTATTAAGACGGACTTGAGTGTGGGGACCGGGTCCGGAGTTGAGCACAAGCGGCGGAGTTGAGCCCGAGCTGTGGAAGCACCGTCCGCTGGTATGGACTTGGGTGGATCCATGGTCCATAGAGGTAGTCGTATACTATTTTCGCCTCGTATGAGATTGTGTCTTGAATCATTATAAAGACTCTGGGATCTTTGCATGACATACAGTGCAGACTTTTTTCTATTTTCTTGGTTGTGAATCTGGCGACAAAACTCATCCTTCATTCGAAGACCTAGACGATACGTATATCATCATTCCATATTCATCAACGGCTTCTAGCCACTGGTCCACCCTGCGTTGCCTCTCGTCAACTTGGGGTTGATTGAAACCAGCAGGAGTTGGCCAGAGCTCGTCAATACGTAGGCCGCCGTCCGGCCAGTCTGCCAAGTAGGCATTGTAGGCTATCTGCCATTCTTGCCGAGATGAAATGGCCCACAGGTCTTTGGGTCCAGGGGCAAGTAGCCCTTGCAGCTCGACGCCGATAAATGTTGGCAATCCTTCTTCAGCTGAGAGGACGTTATCAAAAATGTACATGGCAAAAAGGGTTCGCCGTTTGGCCTCGGCCACGATCCAATCCTCCCACCGTGGACGTGCACGCTCCTGCTCGGCGATGCACATCAGACCACGTCGACTGCTGGCGCATGCAAGCTCTTGCAGGTTGATAATGGTGCTCCGAAAAGTCTGGTCCGCCGCCCGGCCGACTTTGAAGAACAAGACAATGGCATACAAGAGATATGCCTGCAATGCCGAGAGCGAACTGATGTCATCGTGTGTCGCACGCTGCTCGTATACTTTCTCCATGTCTCTCTGTAGCACATCCATCACCGCACTTTCACTCCCGGGCAGGATCTTTTCGCAGATACGGACCAAGCTCAGACAAGTTGACAACGGCGGCCGCGCGGCTGGTGATTCGATTTGTGAGGGATGTATGAAAGGCGGAGCTCCACGACCGCGCATCGCCTTTGAAGCATAGGACCCGAGAACTCTGCGCATGTAGGCTGTTATATTGGCTGGATACTTTTTCGTCTTTTGTCCGGGAATAGGCACAAACGTGTTCAACCACCGACTGGCAATTTCATCAACGTTTAATTGACAGGCGAGTGCGGCACCTCTAAAGTCAAGTGATGAAAAATCGTCCGAGATCTTGCTTGCTGACCTACGCCCTGAAATGTGGCTCTGAGAATCAAAGTCAGTACCATGAAGCGTGGCTGTTGTGGCCGTCATGGGACTACAATGGTCCGTTGCCGACGGGGCTGGCTGGCTAATAGAACCGAGAGTGTCCGGTTCAGAAAGAAGTCCGCGATCGATGGCCGTGATTCCGCTATGAGCTGATGCAACAGAGTAATTCGTACTATTTGTCGCGACAGGGGAAGACTGCTGATGTACTGCGTCCACCATCAGCTCTTCACGCTCGTTCTGCAATGGTTCTGGGCTTGGCTGCGTCTGTGGATAGTAACAAGACAGGCCTCGCAGGGCGCATCTCGAGCAAGTTCCAGCTTGGCGGTTGCATTTCGCCTTGGCTCTAGAGCACTGCTGGCAAGACTTTTGTCGAGAGCGCAGATACCTCGAACCTCTCATTGTGTCATAAAGTATTATTATTACCAGCAAGTGGTATACAGACGGAGAAGCCCTGCCAAAGCTTTGCCACACGCAGTATACATGGCAGAGATTTATTCCATAAGCGGTCCAACCTGCAGCGGCCTACTTCTTGGAATGCCAAAGGAAAGAGTGGAAAGCAAACGAGGTTAAAACTTAAAAAATGCACGTTCGGAGTTGAGGGACAAAGATACTCAGCTCCGTAGCTGCGGGAAGGAACTACCACGTTACAGAGCTAACACGCCAGCAACGCTAGCCCAAGACTGCTCTTGCCAAAAGGCAATTCAAACAACAATAAATATTGCCAAAAATCTTTAAATATTAACAAAGGAAAGCACGATGCAAGAATTTATAAAATATAAACCACGCGCCTGCCAAAAATACGACACCTGAGTGATTCGAACACTCGCTCCCGAAGGAAATGCCTAACACTATTCCTTAGATAACTGTCACCTCCCGAAGGAAATATGACGCTTCTTTTGTAAAATAGCAGGGCATCGCGTTAACCACTCCGCCAAAGTGCCTAACTGTTTTATGGAAGGCGCGCATTTATTATAGCTTAAGATATTTTTCGCACTAACGAATAAATTTATAATTATTTCCATTATATTTAATATTATTAATTCATTTAGATTTAACACAACGAGCTATTCTGCTTATGGTAAATTATATTATATATATTATTTTAAAAAAAAACTTCTTAAAATAAATAATTTAGCAATACATTATAGCAAGTTTATCATTTGCCTCTTCACTAACTAGGGGGTTTGCATATGGCTCTGGATTCCAGTTCCCTTTGCTTAGTGCTGTAAGTCACTGTCAAACAACAGGAAGACCTTAATACCAAACAAATACTGCGGTGACATTATTTGACATATCAGGCAACCACCACATATTTTGAAATTCAAGAATGGCAAGAACACAAATCAAAGTTGAGGCGTTCGAGTTTGAACAATTCAGATTACGAATCACGTGGCGATAGGCTGAAGTCGCACCGTTCGGGGATCAACGCTAAGAATTCTAGCGCAATTACCGGCGCGCGCGACCTTTTGGTCAATTAACGACAGCAAATTTGAAGTTCGCGACCAAAGACGTCAGGGTCGCGTAAGTCGGAAAGAGGTTGGAGCAAGTTCTTTGTTTTTTTGAATGGCATTTTGGCTTGCGATAACTATCTAACAACATTCTTCCATCATGGCATTGCTTAGCTTCCACTCGATATAATAACCGCATTCTTTTTGGGACAGAACCTTTGGCGCATAACCCATGTCTGTTGGCGCAATGGGCAAGAAGACCACAAAGACCTCGACACTGGGCGAGGGGTCCGATCAGCGGGTACAAGCTGCGAATGGAGCTTCCGAGTCGACGACCACTGGCAGCAGCAAGAAAGGCACCAACAAATCGTCCACCGCGTCTCAACCATCGACCTCGGCACTCGTCATCTGCAGAAACAAGTGCGTGCTACTGCTTTCCCATGCTCACTATGCCACCATCCCTTCTCGTGGCTTCAGACATTGTGTAAACAGACACTAATGCTGCCTTTTTCTTGCAGACATTGGAAATACATCTCATCGTTTCACGGACCATGGCTCCAGTTACCTCTGGAGGTCCTCGAGACCATCGCCAATGCCAATTATTACATGCCTCTGCCTCGGCCGGTCGACCCTTCCGTCTTTTACGACCTGGTCAAGATTCGAAAGCTCGTTGATAATGCCACGGACCTCGCAGTCCGAGCTGCCAATGGCGTCTCCTCGCCTGCCATGTCCAATTCGTCGGCCGGAGGAGGTACACATCAGATGCAGGCGCTCGGGCTCGGCTTTGCGAACAATGGGGGCATGAAATTAAGTCCCGAGAGGCGATTCAAGCTGCGCGAACAGGCAACACAAAAGTTGTCGCGGGCATATCATATCGATGAGATTGCGTCGAGCGTGGCCACCATGCAATCGACCTCGACTTTGGAAAATGTGGCCGGTCTGGTAATGCAGAGAGCGCCCGAGGACCCAGATGCCAACTATGTGCATTTCTTTCACGAAAAGATACCCAGTCGGCAACTTGCAGAATGTACTGATTTCCGCGCCCTGGACCTAATTATAAATCAACGTCACGGTGACTGTGAACCACTGAGAACTAGGGCTATAGTGCGCATGTTCAAGGACGACTTTGAAGGTGCTGCGCAGGATCTCACCCGTTCCCTGGCTGTCTATCGGACGTACAACAGCTCTTCCCTGCACCAACTTGCAAATGATTATGACAATATGGAATTGGAGCCCAGAACTACGCGGCGGCGGGACTTGCCACCGTTGGATGAGCGGGATCAGCCAAGGAGCACAGAGATCCAAGTCTTGTTCCAGCGCGCAGGTTGCTATCTGACCTTGGCCTGCAGCCACGTAGAGCAGTCGCTGCTGAAACGTACGTCACCCAGGAACGATGCTGCCGATGTAGCTTCGAATGAAACGACAACCATTAAAGATGCGTCGCTGCCATCTCCTACGATTGACTCCCTCTCCGCAGAGACGGGCCCTACCAAGCGAGAATTGGAGAACCGCAAGGCTGTCAGAATGTATGCCAAACGGGCACTGAGAGACTACATGGAGTACCTCAAATCTTTACAATATTCGCCTAATATGCCCATCGAATTATCAGATGAATTTACCAAGCTAGTCAATCAAGCCAATCAACGCAGTCGGAGACATCGCGTTGGAACCCAGGACCTATCGAGCCCAACGGACGGGTCAGAAGGTCATACGGTCTACTCGCTTCACCAGTTGTTTTCTGCGACGCCACCTGCAGATCTGCCCGCATATCCCTCCACAGATCTGGTCTCTGCCCGTGACTCCAACCCTGTGACAACAATGGAGTTTGTCACTTATCATCCCTTGCTTACAGATGCCCTTCATTCCTTGCTATTGTGTCATGCTCTAATTCAGACATCTGCAAAAGAGCTTCAAAGACATGCTTACATGGTTGCTCGCCTTGCTCGTTTGGCAGATGGCTACCCAGTCTTCCAAGCTAGCAGGTCTCCGGCCCGGGCCGATTGGATTGAAATCTTGCGTAGAAGTGAGAGCTGGCTCGATCTATGCTCGTCATGGGAGGCACTGTGCGCCCCAGCACCTCTTCTCACTACTTTGTCGCCAGGCGGCAATCTTTCCAGCGCTGCGGCAACAGCTAATGCGCTGGCCATCACAGGGGGGCAAAGTCCAACTGAAAGTGATGAACAAAGAACAGACCGACTCAAACACCAGGCGATTATTGAGGCCCTCGAGGATGAGCGCGTCAATGATGAGGCGAGCTTCAGAGCGTCCATCCTTGCACGTCAACGCAGAGCTGAAGCTGAGCAGGCCATTGCCTCTGGGGTGCCTGCAAATGGAAGCAGTGCCACCGCCAAGTCTCCATCCCTATCATCCCAGAAACGGTGGGCAGTGGACGACGGACGTGAGTACCCGATTCTCACAGAGAGAGCGGAGGCCGTCGCCCTCTGGGTTCGTGAAGCGCCTGCGGGATCTGGCGTTGGCGGCGGCAAGCGGAAGAAGAAGCCGGGATCAGCGAAGAAACCTGCATCGACGCCTGCTACCGACAGTGCTGAGAGCTTGGACGTAACCGCAGTGCGGTAAGATTCGTCGACTCACTGGAAACGGGAGTATAAACATGCACAAAAAACACACTGTAATCGTATCCTTGCGCAGTATTTCATAAAAAAGCATCTGTATCGATGTAGTTACTGCTTGGCGATCGATTGGCTCAGTACTATCATTGTTCCCGTCGAGCTGAATTTGCGCATAGCCGCCAAAATGCAACAGCAAAATCCTTGAGCGAATCGGCAAGTTTCCGATCAGCGATCACGACTGGATATTGTCCATACCCTCGGATGAGGCTCCCCGTCGCTCGCTATGTGCCACAGATACTACAGTAGTATTTGCGGCCCCGACGGTAGGTGCATTTTCTGGTAGTCACTGGTTCACGCGCTGGACTTGAATAGGCAACCAAGACCAAAGTGGTCGTCTGATTCCTGGCGCTGACCGGAAGAGTCCAACTTGGCTTGTATGACCGACATTCACCACCTGTCAAGGCGTAGATCTTCTGCTGAAATTACCATGGACGGATGGTGCGTTCCGCGCGCATAAATGTGCCACCATGACCAGAAAGTTCACCCAATGCCTCGTTCCGACACTGGATAGATAAGCAAAATGCAACTCATCTTGCACGTCTCACTGGAACCGAAATATCATGACATCACAACACTTCGGAAGGGGTCAGCCTATGGCGCTTGATGTGGGCATGAAGATAAAACTATAACTCGTGGCCGGCGCGGGAATCCGCCACCATGCTGGCTGAGCCATAGCAGTTAGTGCCAATATACTTAAGTGCGGCTCGTCTGTAGCCGCCTACCGACGCCCAGGTTACGATTCAGTTCATTTCGAGAGGTAATATATCTGAGGTTGCATGTGCTAAATCTGAAGGTGCCCCTACCCCAATTTCTCCAGTCGTGCGCTCTAATTTTGCGCATTATACTTTGGGGAACATATGTAACCTAGGTGGTAGACAGCCCGCTCTCCAATACCCCACGCACGGGGAAATATAGAATTACGGTATAATTCTGCACGCGAGCAAGAGACACGTCAGATGACCGCCTGACAAAAAAACCTAGACACGTGCGTCAAGTTTGGATAACCTCTCAATACAATACACAAGAAAGTCCATTGACGGGGTGTAAACTTGGATCCAGCTTCGTCAGCTCTCCGGGTAAAAAGGAAAATACGATATCAGAATCATGCCGCTCCAGCATCTTTCTGGGCCCGAGCTAGGACAAACGGAGACCGAGGTCATCTGATAAAACAATTAAGATTCTTTTGCCCTGGATGGTGGAGTAGTGGCTCAGGAGGTCAACTGGCTTGACTGGTGCTGAGAAACTGACGGCCAGGAGTCTGTGGAGTATCCCTGCCAGTCCGGGGTTGGTCTGTCGATCTTCCAACACTCCCTAATCTTGCAATGGTTGAAACAGATGATTTCTCCATGGCGATTCGCCCCAAGCCACGAGGGATTCCAGGCACAGCGTCTACTTCCAACAAGCGAAACATACTCTAGGGACCGACACCCGGTCCGGGGGGTGGCATTGCGATCCCGAACCGTCCTAGTCCGGGCCCTATGCCGCTTTCTTAGGTGATACTCGGCAGATGGCCTCCGTTCTGCCTTTGGTGTACCTGGAAATAAGCCTCCAATCAGATTGCAGCCCTACTAGCTGCTACTTGCCGCTTCTGGCAACCCCAATCTATCTGCCCAGGAGATCTGGCGACCCTTAATCAGCATTGACATCGCCGCGCCAAGGACTACCGTTTCTTCACCCCGGGTCAGCCTTTTTGCAGTGCCGGAGGCTCTTCATGTACGATTGACGCGTGCAAAATGGTCGCGCCACCTTGGGACAGACTCATCATTCCAAGACGCCGAGACATGTCGACGGGCCCACCTTCGCAGAGACCTGCGCCAGAGTGCCCCGTCGCTGGAATAGGCATGACGACGAACAGCAGTCTATCCGGCCCGCCATCCGGCGCAGGTTCCTCTCTTGATGGGGCCTCCTCAAGTCGTGGCGTGGTCATGAGGGTTGATTGATTGCTTTGCTTGACTTTTGGCTTTGCGGTGTCTGGCTCCCGATGTCCACTGTGGTAGACTGGTAGTCTTCCATCCGAAAGCCGGACTGGTTAAGAGATTTGCATCTCTAAAGGGGCACTTTGCACTTCTCTCGAGATATATATCTTGAGTCCTAGTGCCGTCCATCTCATCATTCCTTTCTGCTTGCTCAACCACACCACACTCCTTCTCATTCACTCCTTTCCCAGTTTCAAGTCATACAGAAGTTGACAGGCTCAACATGCAAGTTCACTCCAAGATCGCGGCCGCCTCGGCCCTCATTGCTGCCGTCAAGGCGCAGTCAGCTTGCACACTGACCACTGAGACTCACCCTTCTATGAGCTGGTCCAACTGTGACGCTTCGGGCTCTTGCACAACCACCGCTGGTTCCGTGACCGTCGATGCCAACTGGCGATGGACGCACACAGTCGATGGCTCGACCAACTGCTACAGCGGCAACGAGTGGGACGCTGCCCTCTGCCCTGACGCCGAGACATGCACTGCCAACTGCTGCTTGGACGGTGCCGAGTACTCGAATACCTATGGTGTCACCACGAGCGGTAATGCTATGAGCCTCACTTTTGTTACCGATGGCCAGTACAGCACCAACATTGGTAGCCGTCTCTACCTCATGGCAGACGATTCAACTTACCAGGGCTTTACTCTTCTTGGAAATGAGTTTACTTTTGATGTTGACGTCTCCAAGCTCGGGTAAGTAGTGAATGGACCGCGGAGTTATCGGAACAATTGTTGACTTGAAATCAAGATGCGGCTTGAACGGTGCCGTCTACTTTGTGTCCATGGACTTGGACGGTGGTTCCAGCGCTTTCCCATCCAACACTGCTGGTGCCAAGTACGGAACTGGTTACTGTGACTCGCAGTGCCCCAGTGATGTCAAGTTCATTGACGGAGTTGTAAGCGCGAACTAATCCAAAGAATCAAAAATACAGTTGCTAACATTTTGCAGGCCAACTCTGATGGCTGGGAACCTTCATCCAACGACGAAAACGCCGGAACTGGTTCCAAGGGTGCTTGCTGTGCTGAGATGGATATCTGGGAGGCCAACAGCATCTCGACTGCCTACACTCCCCACCCCTGCACCAACAGCGCCTACCACTCGTGCGAGGGCGACGCCTGCGGTGGAACCTACTCCTCCGACCGATACGCCGGTGACTGCGACCCTGATGGCTGCGACTTCAACAGCTACCGCCAGGGCAACGAGACCTTTTACGGTCCCGGCTCGAGCTTCACCCTCGACACGACCCAGAAGCTCACCATTGTCACCCAGTTCCTGACTGACGACTCTGGTTCCCTGAGCGAGATCAAGCGCTTCTACGTCCAGGACGGCGTCGTCATCCCCAACTCCGAGTCGAGCATCGGTGGCGTCACCGGAAACTCCATCACCACCGACTACTGTACTGCTCAGAAGACGGCCTTTGGCGACCAGGACATTTTCGCCAAGCGCGGTGGACTGGCCCAGATGGGTGCCGCCCTCGCCGAGCCCATGGTCCTGGTCATGTCTCTCTGGGACGACGTGAGTTGCCTCATTTGTTGATATTCCTGGTTGCTTTGCTTGCTCTACCATACTGACATGTATTACCCCTTTAGCACGCCGCCAACATGCTCTGGCTCGACTCTACCTACCCCGTTGACTCCACCGCCGACGGTGCTGCTCGTGGTACCTGCGCCACCACCTCGGGTGTCCCCAGCGATGTCGAGGCCAACCAGGCCTCTTCGACCGTCACCTACTCCAACATCAAGTTTGGCCCCATTGGCTCGACTTTTGCGAGGTGAGTAAAAACGTATAACCCTGTCTATGGAGATGATTACTTTTGTACAAGTCAATGCTAATATCAAACGTGCAGCTCCTAAATGACCCCGGCAACTCTGGGCTATAGAAAGTGATCAGAAGACTCTATAGATGACTCGATCAGTATTTCGCACAGACTTTTGCTCCTCGAGCTTGGAGTAGAATGGAGGCTCGTGGTGTAGACGAGACACAGACACGGGCTAGAGCCTAGAAAAAGACCATATGCGGAGACCCGGCAGTCGCATAGATCGAAATGAAATAAAACGGTGTGGAATAGGTTGGATTTTCGTGTATATACTGTGGGGACACTTTTCTTTGATCTGAGCCTTGAGATCCTGGGTTTGTGTCTTTCATTTCTTTTCCCTCTCTTCCCGATTCGAATTGTACATACATTTCTGATGCTGAATATATGAACACATTTTTCCTCAAATATCTGTCTTCGATGAGCCTTGCTGCATTCATAGTGTCATGCCGTAGTTTTCAATCGTCCAGTACAACTCCGAAAAGACTTGCCACCATGATCTCACAGTCTCGCCTTTTCCTCCCGGGCAGCTTTGACAACGACACCATTGGTACCCTGTCGCGCGCGGTCCCGCAGCACTCTTCGGAGAATCTTGCCGCTCGCGCTCTTGGGGATCTCGTCGGTGAACTCGATCTCCTTGACCCACTTGTGCCGAACCTTGTGCTCTTCGACATATCTGATGATATCGGCCCCTAGAGCCCGGAGATGACCTTGTCCGGTCTGGTTTTGCGGCTGCTGCTGCTGCTTGGCCACAATATACGCCTTGGGCCGCTCGCCCGCCCGGTCGTCGGGCACGCCCAAGACGGCGCAGTCCTCGACGGCCGCGTGGCCCAGCAGCAGGTCCTCGAGCTCGGCCGGCGCCACCTGGATCCCTTTCACCTTGATCATCTCCTTGATGCGGTCGGTTATGGTGATGAAGCCGTCGGCGTCCACGACGCCTTGGTCCCCCGTGCGCAGCCATCCGCCGGGCAAAAACGTGGCCCGCGTCGCCGCGTCATTGTTGAGGTAGCCCATGACGATCTGGGGTCCGCGGGCGAGGATCTCGCCGGGCTCGCCGACGTCGGCTTCGGATTGGGTGGTGGTACCCTCGTCGTCGCTGTCGCTGTCGCGGAGGATGCGCACCTCAGTGCTCGCGACAATCTTGCCCACCTTGTGCGCGTACCGCCAGTCGTAGGCGTCGGGCGGGTGCGCCGTGATGCACGAGCACGACTCGGTCATGCCGTACCCTTGCTTGAACCCGGTGCCGGGAAAACGCTGCTGCAGCAGCTGCAATATCTCCTCGGACACGGGCGCCGCGCCGCTCGAGAAGCGGCGGATGCAGCTCAGGTCGTACCGCTGGACTACGGGGTCGCGCACCAGCCGGATCAGCAGCGGGGGCACCAGCAGGAGCTCGGCGATTTGATACCGCACCACGGCGTCTAGCATGGCTTCCATGGAAAACTCGGGCAGCATAATGACCTCGGCGTTCATGAAGACGGGGAGGTGTAGACTGTGCACGAGACCCGTGATGTGAAACAGTGGCAGAGCACCCAATGATTTGCGCCGTGGCTCCTCGGGCGTCAGCTGCTGGATTTGTAGAGCCTGGGCAATGACGTTTTGGTGTGAGATCATGACCTGTCATGAGGCGTAAATGTCAGCATACTTGTACATATTTCTTTCTATAGTCCCCCTTTTGAATAGATGGATTCTTACGGCTTTCGGCAGTCCTGTGGTACCAGAAGAAAAGCTCAGAAATCCACAGAGATCCCCATTCTTCTTGCCCGGAGGAAGTTTGTACGCCGCGACCTGACCCTGTCCTCCATAAGACTTGCCAATATCAATGAGCTCTTGCACCGTCGTATACCCATCCAGGGAACCCTCGAGCAGAAAGATGCGAGACTGTGGGATTCCCGCGTTCTTGGCCGCTTGCGAGGCCACCGCAATGGACGAAGGGTGAGTGGCGAGGAATTTGGCATTGGCCGTCTTTAGGGCATAGGTCATTTCTTCCACATTGTATGCTGGTGAGGCTCCAGACACGATACCGCCTGTCGTATAGTTGTCAGCGGAGGCTTTTTCATGGACTCATAATACCCTTTCAATCTCTCGTACCTAGACGTATGGCTGCAAACAAGGTGACGGGATACCAGATCGAGTTCCTGCTAAACAAAGATATTGTGTCTCCAGTTTGAAAGCCATATTGCTTGGCGAGGGCCGTCGATATAAAGGTAGCGGCTTGCTTGACTTCTTTCCACGAGACACGCTTCTCGGTCGATGCATCCAAATAGCCGGCCAGCTCTTCCTCGGGGACATTATTGAGTGGCGAGTAACGAGACGTTTCCCCAAATAGCCACTCAAAGATTGTAATCTCGGTGGGCAGATCAATGTCCGGATGCTGGCTCTTGAAGATGGTCATTTTTGATAAGCTCTATGTACTCGTCGTCTGTAGAAAATCGAATTCTTCTGGTAACTTCACCAACACTTTGAAACGGTCGTCTTCTTCCAGAGGTCAGCCTCTCAGCGCGATCCCCTCACTTATAACCCTGCCGTTTCCCCGCATAACACTTACTGCCGAGGCTGCGGTGCGATGCAGTGCAATGCAAATCATGTCTCAATTGCAAGTCATCATTTTGGGGGCACTCTGAGGAATTAAACTTACTATTTCCGGGTCATGGTACGGGGCCCTGGCATTGATGTAGATGCAACACCAAGTTGCATGCATATATGTATTTGAGTATACCGACCCACTTTGCAAACACCTGAATTGCTTGATGCTCGTACATTGGCAACCCGTGTATCATTTGGTTCATTTTGTATATGAAACCTACAATGTTCCCTCGTGGCCACAATTGTTCAATCGGTCGTCCAATACTTTGCCCCCCACTTGGTATCATTCTGTCGTGCAATTCGGTGTCATGTCGAGAGCAACTGGAGTGCAGCACAATCGCTTGTTGCCAAGTGTCCTCGAAATTGCCGCTTAATTCATTTCAGCCCAGTGTCTCCCCGTTGCCATGGTATTCTGCAGATGGGGATACATATGTTGGCACCAGAGACACCTTACTCGCCCCATGAATCGTGTGGGCGGGTCGTCGACTTTCCTGCGGATTGCCTTTGCTCCTCTCATGAAAGCACGTGTAGACGTGATCAGTTTGCCTCGTAGAAGGCGACCATCCCACACGTCCAAGTCAATAAGTATGCTGTTTCAACCCACCGACAGCCCATGGACCACTCAAACCGCGTCACATCATAAAAACATCTTGGGGCCATCAATGGTACAAAATCAAGGTCAGCAACTGGATTATCGTATCCTATCTACCTACAGTACAAGTCGGAAGTCGTCGTCATTATGATGCCCTAGACTCCATGCACTCATGCTAATCATCCCCGTTCGCCGGATAACATCTTGATCTATAAGAAAATCGCGTATGGAAAGATTCGCATGCGGGTGGTATAAATTTTTCAGGATTGTCGGGTGGTCGTAGCCGTGATTTACAGAGTCTCCAATTTGTCGAGGATGGAGCGGGTGAACTGGTGAGTGGTGGCGTCACCACCCATGTCGCGGGTGCGGGTCTTGCTACAGAGATTGTCAGTTCTACCAGAAACACTCATCACAAAAGATCTATCACGGGGTGGTTGCTGCACTTACCCCTCGGCAATAACGTCGTAGACGGCCTTGGAGATGCGGTTGGCGTGCTCGTCGAGGCCGAGGTGGCGCAGGAGCATGGAGCCAGACAGGAGCAGAGCAGTAGGGTTGGCCTGGTCCTTGCCCTTGATGTCGAGACCGACGTGACGGCAACCGGGCTCAAAGACGGCAACATCGCGACCCATGTTGCAGCCAGGGACGATACCGGGGCCACCAACCAGGGCAGCACCAATGTTGGACAGGATACCACCGTACAGGTTGGGCATGACCATGACGTCAAACTGCTGGGGCTTGGAGACACACTGCATGCTGGCGTTGTCGACAATCATGTCGTTGTACTCGATGCCGGGGAACTCGAGGGAGACCTCCTTGCAGGTGTTGCGGAAGAGACCATCGGCCAGCTTCATGATGTTGGCCTTGTGGATGCAGGTAACCTTCTTGCGGCCGTTGGCCTTGGCGAAAGAAAAGGCAAACTTGGCGATTCTCTCCGACTTGGGGTGGGTGATGATCTTGAGCGACTCAACGACGCCGGGCACGCTCTGGTGCTCGAGACCGCTGTACTCTCCCTCGGTGTTCTCACGGATGATGCACAGGTCAACGTTCTTGTGTCTAGTCTCGTAGCCGGGGATGTTCTTGATCAGGACAATGGAGGCGTAAATGTCGAGCTCCTGGCGCATGGCGACGTTGAAGCTGGAGTGGCCGGAGCGCTCCATGGGAGTGTGCAGGATACCCTTGAGACCGAGCTTGTTGCGCTTCAGGGAGGAGACGGACTCTCTGAAGAGAGCGTCGGCGCTGCCAGGAGTTCCAGAGTCGACACCAGTGACATCAATCTGCTCCCAGTCGATGGGGACGTTGTCGGCCTTGAAGATGGTCTTGACGCTCTCGGCGACCTCGGCACCGATACCATCACCGGGGATGAGGGTGACAGTGTACTTGCTGCCAAACTTGGTCGGCCTGAAGAGGTCGGACTCGACGGTGGCGTATGATCGAGCAGCCATGTGAGGCTGCTGGCGGGCGGCCTGTCGCGCCAGGCGCTGTGGAAAGCAGAAAAAAACATCGTGAGCTATTTATCCCGGCATGTGACGGCGGCAGTTTTTTTAAGGCCTGCCTGCATCGCTTTGGAGGAGCTGGGCCGTAGCAAGTAGACGGCAGCAGCAGTGGCAGTGATGTGAGCTTACCTGGGCAGCACGAGCAGAAGTTCGCGATAGCATCTTGCCGACTTAAATTTTTGTGGTTACTTTAGGAGAGTAATAGGATGCTGGGTCGCAAGAGTGGGTGACGAGAAAGGTCAAATCGGCGGCGAGAGAAAGTAACTTGGGGAATGGAACTCAATTCTCACAGGTCCCAAATAGCGCGCATGCAAAACAAAGATTAGATCAAATCGGCAAGTAGAGGTGGGAAGCGTTCGACCGAAAAGTCCCGAGCGGAATAGTGGGCATCCACTAGCTGCGCTAGGCTTGGCCATTGCTTCATTCGCCAAACGGGGGGGAAGGCGGCTGCTGGGTTCCAGTGGTTCCAGGCTCGGATTTCAGCCGTAGAAAGGTTATCCAGGTAATAACTGTAGTCACGACATTGCGACTATATCTCGCAAGCACTCACGTTCACACAAGGTCTGTCACATCTCGAACCCAATGGCAAGAATTCAAGTTAGGAACAAGCCCAATTGTCTTTGCAACACTCAATCTTTCATCGGAGAAGACTTTGTCCAGCCATGTGTCTACGAGTACCTGGCAGACATCCTGGTTAGATCAAATCGATAACACCTGTGGGTGGCGCCGATAAGTGTGGGAAATTGATGGGGACTTAGTGTATTTAGTATAAATGAACGGATCTGGCTATATGGGTTTAGTTAAATAAAATGCACAAGACCTAATTGCCTCCTACAGCCTACCGGAAATAGCCGTTAAGCCGGAGGTCCCGGGGTTTGATGCTTTTATCCGTTAAAACGAGAGTTATACCTATTATTTTAATTAAAGTTAACTTTTTATACGCCTTTTATAACGAGCGATTTAATCGAAATAAAAGGATAAGCCCTATTACGATAATTTATAATATAATTTATAATTAAATAGTAATAATTATTTTTATAATTAAATTATAATTTATTATACCTAATAAATATACGAAATGCTTAAAGTTTTTGGGTCGCATCGCTTTTATAAGCTTATTAACGGCGTTTTCCGTAAATATAATTTTTTTAATTAAAATATTCCTAGCAAAAACTTTTTATTAAATATAATAAAAATACCTTTTAACGTGCTTTTTCATAAGTATGCTAATTTGGGCTTTTATTTACGCTTTTGCGTTTATATTATTAATTAATAAAGGAATCGCCTTTTAAAATATTATTTTTAATTTTTTTAATAAGTTCCTAATAAATGCGGCTTTACGAGCGCTTTTATTAATAGCGTAATATTTAGCTTTTATAATAAATTAAATAACTATGTTTTACAGCTTTAAATTTTAGCTTATTAAGGAGCCCGCTATAAACGTTACCTATTTAAACGTGGATTTAAAGGTTAATTTATCGTTTGCAAAATTAGCGTTAATATAAATATATAATCCTAATTCCTTATATTTAATATAGCGATAAAATCGGGTATATTTTATTTTTTTATACGGGTGCCTTAAAGGTATTATAATACCTTATTTAAATGCTTAATATAATTAGGAAACGGGTTATTTATAAAGCGAATTTATATTTTATTAAAATATGCTATATTTGCGCGTAATTTAATTATAGCGTAATTCGTTTTCCCGAGCTTTTTAAAATATTAATTTTTAGATTCCTAATTAACGTAGCCTTTAAATTTATAAATTATTATTATTAATCCCGGATTAATAAGAATAATAGTATTTTTAATATTTTAGCATCCGAGTTTTTTAAATATTTAATTTAAATATTTATTTTATAATAATATAATATTATTATTTTCCTTTTAAATAATACGTATTTTTAAATATTATTTAGCGGTATTTAGGTATTATAATTTTAATTATTTATTTAGCTATTAAATTAATTTTTCGATAGCTTTAGTATTCGTATATATAATTATAAAATCGTTTATATAAAAAGTTAATACCGTTTTATTAGCTTTATTTTAGTAAATAATATTATCGGTTTTTAATTTTATAAAGCCTAGCTTTTTTAGTTTCTCCCTGATTTTTTGTTGCTATTCGAAGCCGCTTTGCTTTAAGCCGTATAAAGGGCGTAATAGCCTAATTATATTACTAAAAATATAATTATATTATTATATAATATTAAGGTATTAAAATATAAATTTACTTAAGTATAAGAATTAGCGTATATAGATTTTTTTATTAAGCCGGCCTAATAAATAGGCTATAATAAAATCGATTTAAAAGATTTTTTAACCTTTAATTATAGCTATTACGATTAAAACGCGGATGCTTATTTATTTAGCTATATTAGCAAAAATTTCCTTATAATTAATTCCGAGGGTTTAAATAAAGCCCTAAATTATAAGGCGTGCCTTTTATTTATTTATATTACCGGTAAAATTATATTTAGTTTTATATATTTATTTAAATTTAATTAATAGCTTTTGCTTTAATTTAAAGTTATTATAATCGAGGAATTCGAACGTTCCTTTTTTAAATAGCTTAATAATTTTTTTTATTATAGCTTATTGCTAATTAAGCCATTTTTGTATATTTTTTGCTTAATTAATCGATAATAAATTAAGGTTATATTTAATAATTAGCATTAAATATTCGTTTTATATTTATTCGAATAAATTATTATTAATTAATAATGGATAATTATATAAGCCTTTATTTAGCGCAATTAATAGCGTATTTTTAAAGCTTGGATCTTTTTTATCGTCTTAATTATAGTCCCGTAAAATAATTAAAGCGTAGTAATTATTTTTTATGGTTATATTTATATATACGTAGGCATACCCATTTAAGCTTTAACGTATTATAGCATAATTATAACTATTATTTATATATATTATAGTATATTTAATTATATTTTGCCGTATAGTTATATATATTTAAAGGAAACCGGCTTTAAATCGCCGCGCCTTTTATTTTTATTTTTTAGCTATATTCGGATTATAAGGTTTTATATAGTAAGTTAGCTTTAAAATCTTATATTGCAGCTTATTTTAAACGTGTTACGGGAGTGATTTAATTATTTTTAACGGATCGGGCTAATTAGCGCCTTTATTAAGGTTTTTATAAAATATAATATAAAAAGTTATAATAAAGCGTATTATATTTAATATATATACCTCGTATAGGTATTCCTTAGCGTAATTTATAAATATGCCTTTTAGCGCTTTTGCCTATAATTTTTTAGTTTGTATTTTGTTTTTTTTTTAAAATATATATAAAAATACGCGATTTAAGGATTTTAAAGTGTTTAATTAATAAGCGATTAAATATATTTTATAGCTAGAAGTTATTTTTTTAGCGTTATTAAAGAGTAATTAATTCTTTTTTAATAGGTATTATACGGTTTAAAACGATAATTTATATTTTATAAATTTTATCCTAAAATACCGTAAAAATATTTATTTAAATATAAATAACGCACGTATTATTTTATAATACCTTAATCGCGCGTTTAACGGTATCGTTTTAATATTAATTATTCGGTATTAATATAATTAATTCGATACCTTTTTATTATGCGTAATTATTAAAAAAGCCACCGTTAAAATTATTAATTTTATTAATGCGAATTGCTTTAATTTAGCGCTTTTTTTTCCCGAGCTCGTATTATAGCTAAGCGATATATTTAAAAAAATCGCTTTATAAAATTTTTTTAAATAAAATATCGATAAAATATAATTTTATAATTTTGCGGCATTTAATTAATGCAAAATAACGATTATTATTTAAATTAATAGGTTTAATTTTTTTAATATTAGCTTATAATAAAATCGCCGCGAAATTTGCGCAAATGCGCATTAAATTTATTAAATCGATCCGAATACTCTTAGCTTTATTATATATATCGCATATTAATATAAAAATGCTATTTAGATTTAGATTAATGCCCTTAATAGCTTTAATCGTTTTAATTAAACGTTTTTTATTTAGATAACCTAATCGACGATGCTATAAAGTTATTTATTTAATTAACGGCTTTATTAATCCGTTTAATGCTATTAAAGCTTATATATAAAGTAATTCCTTTTGCCTATATAGCTATAAAAACCACCTTTTTTTAATTATATTAATAATAATTAACATTTTATTATTAGGCGTTTTAATAAAATTATTATAAATTTTAAATTTAGCCTTATATAATTTATTATTAAAAATTACTTTTAATAAGAAATTTTTAATATAATAATATTTTTTAAGCGTTAATTTCTAGCGCTCGCCTTTAAAGCTACGCTATATAATTAATATTTAGCTATATTTTATTAAATATATTATACCGTTCCTAATTATAATAGGTAACCGATTATATTTATTTAGTTTAATAACTAATCCAGCGATAAAATTAGCTTTATCGTTTATAATATAAATATTAACGCTTATATTTAATAGCTATCGTTTACGCAAATCTAACGCTTAGGTAGCTATTAAAATAAGGAAATTATAATGGTTCGTTTTATTTTATATATATAAATTATATTATTTAACAGGTTTATAGCGCTTATTATTAAGCGTAGCTTATAATTATTTAATTGCGCCGGAAGCGACCCGTATATAGTAATTATAAATTATTTTTTATTTTTTTTAATTTTTATCCTAATTAAAAAGTTTTATAATTTTAACGCTTTTAAATTAGTAAAAGGAATTATTATTTATTATAATTAATAATAATTATTAAAAGCCCCGGAATACACCTGCAAACGCGCCTCCCCGGCCCCGGCTACGACCCGTACCGCGCCTATAGTAACTGTTTTTATTTGCGCTTAATCGCATAATTGCGTTTAATTACGTAAATAATTATATTAATTGCGTAGAATTAGAATTTTATTCGTTTGCAGCTTTTTTATCGCGTTTTTTGGATTTGCAATTAATTCGCCGATAACCTTTTTTACTATAATACTAATATTCGCCGTTAATTTAACCGTTGCCATTAATAAATAGTAAATTAGCGTTATTTTTATTATTAATTGCTATTTTGCTTATAAATTTAATTATAAAAAATTGCTAAAATTATATAAGTCCTAGTATAACGCCTTTTAGGAGGATAGCTAATTAATTTTTTTTTCGTTTTATTTACTTTAAAGCCTTATTTTTAATAGCTCTTAAATATAATTAAATTTAATTATTTAAAATAAAGCGTTAATTATTAGCATTATAGCTTTTTTATATATAATAATTTTATTCGGTATTAAATTTAGCTAGGTTTTTATTATTATAATCGAATTTATGCAATTTTTTTAATAATTTTTATCTTTTTTCGATAATAATAAAATTAAATTAACGGCGGAAAGCATTTTTTATTTTTATGCTTATTAAATAATATTTTATAATTATTAATAGCGTCCTATCGTTAATTATAGCTAAAATTATAATAATAATAAGCTTTTTATTTAAAAGGTAAATAGGGGTTTTTGCGATCTATTTAACGGCCTATTTATTAAGCTTAAGCAATGCTATATAAACGCGATAATTAAAGGTTCTTGCTAAAAATTTTAATTTATCGATTTTAAATTTAAAATCTTTTAAGCGAAGAATTAATATAATTAAAATTTGCTTTAATATATTATAATTAATTATATTAGCGGCTGCTTATTTTATATTTTTAGCTATAGCTTTTATAGCACCCGCTATAATTATATATTTTATAGCGCTTTAGCCAGCCTTATTAGCGATCGCCTAAGCAATTATTATAACGCTTTAATTATTTTTAATTAAAGTGCCTTAACTAGCAATATAAAATTCTAAATAACCTTTAATGCCAAATGCTATATTATAATAAAAAAAGCTATTCGTAATATTTTTTATATTAATTATAGTGCTATTATATAGGAAATTAATAGGGATTTAATATATTTAATATAAATAAACGGATCTAGCTATATAGGTTTAATTAAATAAAATGCACAAAACCTAATTGCCTCCCACAGCTTATCGGAAATAGCCGTTAAGCCGGAGATCCCGGGGTCTGATGCTTTTATCCGTTAAAACGAGAGTTGTACCCATTACTTTAGTTAAAGTCAACTTTCCACAATAAGAACCATCGGACCTAGATGTAGTACCTCATGTCAACAAGGGTAAAAGTACTCAAGTTCCACCCAGGCCTCAAGACACAGGACGTTCATGACCAATCTCCAAATTAGACCGTTGGATCTCGTGCAACCGAAATGCTACAATCATAGCATCATGAGATGTGTTTACATGTTGTACAATTTGCTCCATATATTAACATGAAGACCGAGTGGGTATCTCTTGGTATAGTACAGTGATTTTCTCAAGTCCATCGGGAGCAAAAATCCGTCAATGAATAGCACCAATCGCGGGTTTGCGCCAAAATTGGATTTTATATGTCATACAACATCAAGGCTCGGCCTCGAACTTTTGTGGGATGAGCGCGTCGGCCATGCTGATGGAGCCTTCCATATTTTCCTTGTGGAATAGGAAAAGACCTTGGATGGCAGCCGTAGATGTCCTCTGAGGCTGCTCTCCATCTTTGGCCTCGGCAAACAGTCCAAGTGCATCCAGTTTGGCCAGAAAACGCTCTCTTCCTGTACCATCCTGATCGACATCGCCATAAAAGTTATCCCACATATGGGCTGCCTGAAGCCGAGTTGCCTCCCCGATCCGTATCAGCATATCTACACGACCTGGTCGTATCAGGGCCGGATCCAAAAGCTCAATGTGATTTGTGGTCAGGAAAGCAATCCGCTCCTCGCTGGCCGACAAACCGTCCAAGGCATTCAACAAGCCAGAGAATGTGACCGTGGGGCCGTTGTAACCATCGGAGCCACGCTTGGTACGGTTGATAAAGGCCGAGTCGACATCCTCGAGTAGCAATATTGTCCTCTCCGGGAGTTTGGTGAGCAAGAACGCAAGCTTGTCATCAGTGACGCCGAGTTCGCTTAGATTGACCATGGCCACACTGTAATCAAGCTCTCCTGCCAGTGCCTGAATAAAAGAACTCTTTCCGCTTCCTGGCGGTCCGTGTAGCAGATAGCCTCTTCGGTATGGGATTCCCCTATTGATATACCACTGTTGTCTTTCCAAGAAATCCTTGACATCACCAACGATGCCTTCCTTGATGCCCTCATCCAGGACCACGCTGGACAGCGGCCGCTTCCTCTTGGGCTCGCCGAGGGGTACCCAGTCAAAATTGCGGACAGAATATACCGTGGTCTTTCCCTCATTGGCCTGCATCGCAATCTCACGCGCCTCGGTGAAGATGTCCTCGAAAATGTGGCGATGCGCATATAGCGTCGTGAGCTCGACGGTCTCGTGGGGCTCGCCAGTGTTAAGGTTCGAGGTCGACTGCTTCTCCCTGTTCACGGAGATGTAGGCATGTTTGTGTTTGACAATGTGTCTGCCATAGCCGGGCTGTAGAAAGAAGCTGGCACGAGTCGGGCCATTGGGTGTCGTCGTGGTTGCAGTCGTCACGGCGAGCTTGTTGATTCGCGTCAGTCGCTTCTCGAGAAACGACGTGTACTCGCGCGGCTGCGAGAGCCATGCAAGAATCCAGGGGTATGCTGGGTCCTTTTTGCTGATTTCGACATTGACAATGAGCCGCCTCCTGATCATGCCGGCACTTGCAATCGCGCCTTTGCGGGCCATGGCCAGCGCCGCGCCGAGCGACGCCAGGCCGAAGCCTCCAGCAAAGACTGGGTTGTCAAGCAAGGCATTGAGATTGAGGAGCGAGGTTGTTGGCGAAGCTTCAGACATGGCCGGGCATCGCTGCTGGCCAGTTGCGCGTCGAAACGTTTCTAGGAGCTGCGGGTAGAGGGAAGCTTGACTGCAAATGAGCCGCTGCAAGCTATCCAAGAGGTTGCTGAAAAATTCCGCCGATTGCGGTGACGTCGCACCTTGCACGCGCGCCTTTCCGTTCGCTGTGGATCCCTGTCCGGCATTAATTCCGGCGCCCTTCTCTCTCGACCATACGCATCTCTTTGTAAGCAAGAAGCAAATGTATCACTGATCATTTATTTCTGATACTCTGTAGTCGGATAGGACTTAAGGTGCCGCATATAATCTAGACTGGTAGTTTGCATCAGTTCTATGTTGAAATAGTGTTAGCATCGTTTGGTTAGTTCTCAGGAAATAAACAGAAGAAGAAAAAAAAAACCTGAAGAATAATCGAGCCACTCATTGCTGTGAGTGCTCCTGCTATTTTATATGGTAGAGATTGCAAATTACAATCCATGATATTCAGAATTAAATCTACAAAGACATTGTTGGTGATGTATCTACATTGAGCCGCGGGTGACAGATTGTGCATTAGCAGGGACCATCGCGATCTTCATTTCTGCATGCCAAACATGCATTATCTTTGGAACCTTGACCGAATACAGTGCTGACAGTTGTTGGTCATTTGCCGAAACAAAGCCTATCCTTGAATGAAATTGATACCTAATCACACTTGCGAGATCTAGTAGAGCACAAGGGATCAAATTGACCCATTACTAGGTATATTTCAGTCTGACTGACTAATTCTACAATGAGTGATCACAAAGTCTCAGCTTCACACACCAAAAATAAAGGAGCAGTGTATCTTCATGATGCTGGACCCCGCCTAAGTGAATCAATGCCTCGGGTTGGCGAGTCTGCGTCCCTTGTTGAGCCAGTCGGCAACCTTGCCGTGTTCGGCCGTCGTGTTTGTTCACTAATCGGTTTCGGCACGGGTGCGGCGCAGGCAAGGCACCACACGGCAAACCAACAGCACCGGTAGTGCTGTGTAAGATGCTGATAACATTGCTTGAAAAATCAACTCAGGCCGAAGTATAAGGGGTATCAAGAAATAAATTTACTACATGTTCTACCAGAAAACCTTAGCCTGACTCATCATGTTATGATTATCAAGGTCACTAACACTTGTTCGTCTTATCATCAGACTATTTAGGAACCACGACACGGCTTTTATACATTCATTCGAACCGCGAGCCTTGTCCTTTTCTGGCCTTGGACTAGAGCACGCAATATCGACTCTCCAATCCTTACAAATTGAGGCGACCCCGTGCAGTTCGTGGATTGACATGCGCAGTATATAATCTTCAGGGGCACCTAGTATCTATATCTTCCTTCGTCTCGGCGGATACATTTGCCATCACAAAGACAACACATGGTAGTATCAGCAATCATGGACGCACAAGAAAAGGAGCGTCCGGCAGGTGACACCTCGAATGAAGGCAATGTCGCTCATGACGTCGAGTCCAACATCAACCCAGGTGGAACCTCGGACCTGGAATGGAAGAATGATAGGCATAACCCTTACAATTGGCCAAAGGCAAAGAAATATGTACAGCTTATGACCATCATGTCGATTGCATTCACCTGGTAAGCAAATAATTTTCTTCCACTCTTCACTATCATGACGGAGCATACTAAAAACTCGGCTCAACAGCTCCCTCGGCACCTCAATCATCAGTCCTGCGCACACTTCCCTCATGACGGAATTCGAAATCTCGAGCACTGCAGCCTTTTTACCATTGTCACTCTATACATTTGCCCTGGGACTCGGCCCTGTCCTGGGCGGTCCCCTGTCGGAAGTTGCGGGCAGACAGGCAGTTTTTGCCATGGCAGTCGTGCTAGGAGGGCTCTTTGCCATGGGGTCTGGACTGACCAACAGCTTTGCCGGGTTATGTGTGATGCGGTTCCTATCGGGCTTCGTTTATGGACCTAGTCTCTCTATTGGATCCGGAGTACTTCAGGAAACGTATCTACCAATCGAACGAGGTCTACCTTCCGCAATCTACATCTTGAGCCCCTTTCTGGGTCCTGGTCTAGGGTATGTTTCACCATCGACTTTTGTCAGGTGTCCCAAGAGAAAAAAGACTCACATTGTTATAGCCCGGTCCTCGGAGTCTTCTTAGTTGCCAGGAAAAGTTGGCGTTGGACACAGTACACAATAGCATTGTTTTCGGCTTGGAGTGCCGTCTGGATGCTCTTTTCGAGAGAATCCTATCATCCTGTCATCAAGCGGAGAAGAATGAAGCAGCTGGGCCTCGACACTCCTGCACGACCGCCGCTATCGAAAGCATTGCACAAGTTTCTGACTGTCGACCTGTTGCGGCCCGTCCACATGCTCCTCACTGAGCCAATTGTCATGTTTATCTGCCTTTACATTGCTTGTGTTTTCGGCACATTGTACATGTTCTTTGGAACGTTCTTTTACATCTTTCAGACTACATGTAAGTGGAAATGCCCACCAGTCAATCCTGTCGCTTGCAGCCATAAATATTGTTGCGAGAATCGTGGTCGATAAAGTCTTTTGGAATTAACTTGCCTTTATACGCTAGACCACTACACTTTAATCCAATGCGGTCTCGTATTTCTCGCTATTGCGGTGGGCTGCTTGGTCGGCTTTTTCCTCATTGGCATCTCCGACAAACTGCTCTACCAGCCCAAGGCGACCAAGTTCCCACTTCACCAGATACCTGCCGAGTATCGTCTCTACCCGGCCATGGCCGGCAGTTTCGTACTCCCCGTCAGCTTGTTTTGGTTCGGCTGGACGGTACAGAAAGGCGTCAATCCTGCAGCACCGATTGTCGCGATTGTGCTCTTTGGCATAGGGAACATTGGGCTGTTCATTAGTTGTATGCAATATGGTGAGTGCTCTATCCATGAAGCCTTGAAATCTGATGTTCGGTATCTAAAACATCATTGCTGATATTGGAGTAGTAAGCTTTCTGGCCTGGCAGCTCTCATCCCCCGCTAGAAACCTCCAGACAATCTCTTCGCCTTCTTTTCAAATCATCAAAGACAAGAAATACACAATCAAATCTCCTCAACCCCTGTAGACAGACTCATGACTGATGAATTTCTTATTTGCAGATTGGTGACGCTTACCACTCCAGCAATGTGGCGAGCGCCTCGAGCGCCAACAGTTTGGCGAGATACACTTTTGCGGCTGCCTTTCCATTCTTCTCTATCCAAATGTACACTGCGCTGGGTACGGGCTGGGCCTCAAGTGTGCTGGGATTCCTGTCGGTCGCATTGCTGCCAGTCCCATGGATCTTGTTCAAGTACGGGCACAGGATAAGAGCAATGAGCAAGTACGAGACAGCCAGCTATTAGCCAGATATGGGCTTTCTGGTGAATTGAGGCGTGGCGGCTACATCTCATTGAAGCGAAGGAATAGGAGAGAATAAGCTATGATATCACCTGTGATAGCGTCAGGTTCTTTCCCTTTTTCTGTTTAAAAAGAGAAATATGCCCATTGAAGTTTTGTGGAGAGTACTATACAAGGATGAAGAGATAGCACACAATTTATAGATTTAATTAACCCTCAAGAGGGCATCAGCATACATCATTCATATTTTTGGTTTTGTTGATTACCGAGAGTGTCATTCAAAACTTCCAGTTTCGACAGAGTCTCGCACACTTGAGCACCGGTTCACTACCACGATAAACTTGGCACCGAGTTCTAGATTCTAGATTATGAAATAGCTTCTATTGGACCCATAGCTCTTCTACAACTTGACCATACAATCGATTAACCCTTCTCTCGTAATCTTTGTGAAGCTTGAAATAGGTAACGAGCATATATGCCAAAAACTCCTTGGCGCAAAACATGAGGAAGACTTGAACTACGTCGCTTCAAGTCCTAGGTCGAAGACGTGAGGGTTGCGCTTATGATATAATTACTCGATCCCACGTCAACCTGCCCGCTTCCCGTCTTGAGCCAGCAGTTGCCATAGTCCTTGGGTATCTCAAGCGTCTGATTGGCATTGAAAGTGACAGCGGCACACGTCGCGTTGCCCGAAAAATAATTCATGGCCGCGCAGCCCTGCAGACAGTCTCGGAAGCTGTAGACGATTATGGCGGTAATGTCAGCTCCGATGTAGTTGGTCCCACAGGTCGGTTTAAATGTCCACGATTGGCTAGCGAGTGAAATCACTTGATCCTGATTCGTAAGAGATGGACAGTCGAGCGCCACGACGCCGGTTGGTACCGATAGGACCGATGATGACGTGCCTGTTGGGGTTGAAGCTGCTGTCGCTGTGACGGTCGTGACCGAGACGGTATTGCTACCCGAGGAACATGGGGCGCAAGTAGAGCTGTTGAGAAAGACGGACAACTCTTGTCAGCCATGAACATGGTCATTATAATAGTCCTCAGGCCTTGCTTTTGCTTACTTGTTCTTGGCTGCCAATGAGCCGCCGACTCCACCCCCTACGGCCGCCCCAATGATGACCACAAGAAGCGCTACTGAGAGAAAGAATGTCGCCCTCCGCATGCCAAATATCGTACGTTCTGGTTTCGGGGCGGGGGCCCCCGGGAGCGCGTAATTCCCGTCATATCGGGGTTGTTGGTAGTGCTGCTGTGGTGATACCTCCAATCCCTCGTGATACGCCTGTGGAGGTTCTGGCGACCTGGTCACCTCCTTGCCCGAATGCACGGAGTAGGGCTCAGAACTCATCTTGGGTTATAATAGCATGATGTCTTGGGGAAGAAAAGAAGACAGAAAAAAAAAAGAAGAAAAAAGAAAAAGGAAAGGATCTGTGTCGCGAAATGTGCGGCTGAGCTGACTGACTTGGAACATACGGGTTGTGCAGCCATTGGCGTGTCGCAAGCAATCTATCTTCGTCTCAAATCCTGCTCTGGTGGACACTCCACCTTCCGGACAGGGGCCCTATCTAACATATAAGCCAGATCCTATGATTCTCTTTGTATGTTAACTACGATCAATTGGCTGATCTAACCGAGGTGAAACGAGTTTGAGCATAGTCTCCTAGGTTGGACCACTGATATCTTGCGTAGGTATATAAGCAACCAGGAACTCATATCAACATGATCAAGAAGGAACCATTCATGCTGCCGGAATCAACTTTCAATTGAATTGATCATATATGCCCTTTGCTTGATGAGCTTTGCTCAAATCATGTAATATCAATCACCCTAAACTCCTTTGCTGTGGGTATCGGCATCAAATGGATGCAACCATATCTCCTCTGAACTCCTCCTGATGCGTGTTGTCGAAAGCAATGCACAAATTCCCCCCCGAAAATGGCCATAGTACCCTTATCGAAACCAAATGCAAGACCATGTCCCTAAACTCCTTTCCTGTCGTTTCCATGCAATGCCCTTGAATCATGTTTAGACTCCTGAACCACGTGTACAGATCCAGCTTCCTCCAAAGGTCTCAAAAGTATCCATCTCTGACTCCCAAATTGCTGTGTAGGAGATTATTCAAGCATCCCACGTCTATCCAGCCTCATTCAACGTAGTGGCAACATTGTAGCCATTAGTCATCCCTATCAGTTTCCTCGCCAATCTCCATGTCGTTTCCACCGCCATACTCCTGGGTAGTTTTGGCGGTGTTGACTGGAGTATAGTAGAAAAATTCGTCGTCATCCTCGAACCCCTTGGCGCGCTCGTAGGCGATACGGCTCATCTGAACGGGGTCCAGGGCCTCCTCGTCGGACTCCTCGTCTGAGTCGTCGTCAGACCCCTCGGCTGAGTCTTCGACTGATTCCTCAACTGAGTCCTCAAGTGACTCCTCATAGGGAGTGCTGTGGCACGCCTGCGAAGTGCAAGTGAACGAGCCACGCTCGTTGGCACGCTGGCAAGCGTCGGCGTTGAGGCATGCTAGTCTGATGATCATCTCCCGGAGCTGGGGGTCGCCCTCGGGATCCTTGACATCATCGGCTATATCATAATTAGCATTAGATCATACAATGTGTGGTATGACTACGGTAACAGAGATGTGAAAAGTGTCTCGAGGCTGGTTGGACGTGGACAGAAGCTCGAGTCCACTCGAGTGCGACGGCTGCCAAAAATGTGCGCATTGAGCGGCAGATCTTTGTGATGACGGCATGATGGCGACGCGCATACAGAGACAATAAAAAATCAAAGACTTACCCGCCTGCTGGTAGTAATCAAGAAGTTGGTTGAACTCCACACTAGTGACCATGCCCATTCCATAGCGAGTACGGGTGGAGACTCTCAGCCACAAGATCTTGTCATCGCTGTCACCTCCGATGAACATGAAGCGCAGACCGAGGCGCGCATGGATACTGTACAGTCTGCCGACCTCGGCTCTGTTCCGAAAGATGGTCATCAAGTCGGGCGTCGACATGATTGTGAAGAGAGAATCAATGTGCTTGGTTTTCTTGGTGTCCAAAGTTGAAGGTAGGCTGGTGTCGCGGCGCGACTGGCGGGCAGTTCTCTTGTTAACTTTGTTGTTTGTCAGACGAGCTTGGCAAAGATTAAAGGAAAAGCGGCGTGGAGAGGGAATACAGTTCAGTGCGCGCTCGTGAGGACAGCAACTGGAGTTTATTAAAGTGTGCTTTTGTCGAAATAGCTGAGTTGTGAATTGCAGAACGTGGTTCTTGTGGTGCGAGCGAGAAAGAAGAAGGAATGGTGAATGAAGAAGTAAGAAGAAAACAAATGAATGAGCTCCTAGGCTCTAGTTGGAGGGGCAAAAAAGGTGTGATGAAGCTCTCGCACCGAAAACCTTGATGCCCCGAGTTCACTGGGCAACCCACAACCGTTGATGATTTTTAGCGTCGCGTTTGCTCTATCACGTTTGCACAAAATAATCCGCCACTGTAAGTCCATCCTGTAAACAAAATTTGCACAATCTTGGACTGATTAGTTGTTCTCATCAGATTACTTCGATCTGGTGTAATCTACTTGATTCCTTTACCCACTGAGAAACAGTCTTTCGACATTGACAACACACGACCTGTCATGGAACGTGAATGAATACGGTAGAACCATATGAAATAGGTCAGTCAACAACTCCGACCGTCAAACATGGAACTGAACTCGAAATCACCTGGTATGTTGACAACAGACCAACAAGGTGCCTAGGCAATGTTAGTTTGATATCAAGATGTGCTTTTTGACAGGGGCCTAATATTCTACCCAGGCACAACAACCCATTGAGTTATGAACTTTATTGCTATGGCTGATATAAAGCAGCGCTTAACTTTATTGTCTCCTTCAAGGCAACCACTTGCCAAGCAAATATTCTCATGCTCAACTGTAGGACAAGCCCCTCCGTTCCTTGAATCTTGGCACAATCCCTCCATTTCCTCAATGGCGGATAGTTACACTCGCGTTCTCGGGATTGTGGCATAATGACAGTGATCTGCCCAAGATTTCACCTCGATAAATATCAAGTGCTAGACATATGATGTCTCCTTGTAACAGTATACAAAGTACGGTCGCACCAATCAGGTTTAGCCTTCATGGTTAATAGTGCTCAGATCTCTTGGCGATGGCGCCCCAAAGTGCGGGTCGTGAATTAAAATTCCGCTGTACACTACACCAGGGGTCCACCCCACTCACAATAAGATCAGTCAGCATTACTTTTGATTACTACTACTACGTATGTAACCTAGATACTTTGCTATTCCCGTACAGTCCCGAAGATTGCTTTTCAGGAGAACCCCCAGCTACATTATCTACCAACCAGTTTCAAACAGGGCTGCATTCACGTCCAAGCACGACCGAAATGCGACATTTGATTTCTCAAAAGAGAAAGCAAGAGATGGTGGAGGGCACGTCAATATCCGAATGTGTCCTGACAAGAGCAGATACGAGGTAGGTCCCAGTCCTACTCTACAGGTGTGGTGGGTATACGCGCAATTTGCCTGACCTATGCACGTGTTTAGACGCTTCAGGGCTCCGAGCTCTTCCGCAAGGAAAAGATAGATCCCGTCTTGGCAGCTTTCGACCGTGCTCAGCTTCTACTCCTCTCTTTTCAGCCTCTAGGTTGCAATACTAGTAAAATCAAAGCCGATAAAGACCCCGACTACTATCCTGTTGACGATGCGGCTGAAGTACGTACAATGCAATTTGCTACGTAAGGTAGGTTAGCTGTCCAAGATCGGGATTCGGCAGGAAAAATCAAATGCCCCACAAACACTGAAGAGGACCACGACACTTTTGTTTCCCCAGCTCGCAGCTTCATTCATTCATTGGATAGAGGCAGCCAGCGACAAAAACAATCCGCTTTCGCAACTGGTGCTCCGCCTCCAGTGGTTGCTTTGTGACCAGGGTCCTGGAGACGCACATGGCCCGGGCTCAATGTCAGGCGAACCAGAGCTGCCAAGGGCATCTGGGGGGTAGCTTGGGCCTGCAGCTTCGCCCAGGGACAGGGGCAGCTGGCTCAGAGGGGTCCCAGAGGCGCCAGCAGTTAGGTAACAAGCGCGGGACTGGAGCGAATTGCTCAAGTGGACAAATGCGCAGCAGGACATTTTCAGCCAGTGACGGGCTCCGATGTGAACATCCCATCTTTCCATGACCTCCACGCTTCCTGATGCTGACTGACGGCCACCTCAAACATCACTGTAAGCTGATACATGAGCTGCGGTCTGCAGCCGCCAGCCTCCACCTTCGCAAGACCCAAGACCACTAGAGAGCCAGACAAGGTTGCCTTGCCTGACTTTGTCAAGAGCGCGATCGATGCCACGTCAATAGCAAGCAGGTGCCCAGGTGGTAGACAATGTTAGGTACGAGCGATAGATATATTGAAGCCCTACCGTATAAGAGGGGGTCCCCTGGTTTGCACGCGCGTTCCGACCATCTTGAAAACTTTTTGTACTATATGAAAAAATTTTAATTGCAAAAATCGCTTTTTGAATCAGTCTGTTGATCGGACAATATTCCATTTCAACCTCGTCTTCTTTTCGGCAAAGCAGTTCAGGCCATTGCAGGTCTATGGCGGATCGAGCACCACACAACAACACCAACCCCAAACCGAAACCGACTGACTGGACGGGGGTTTTCTTCTTGACCTCACCGTTGTTGTATTAAACTCCAAATTGGCTTTTACTATCCGCCTGCGTACTTGCTTCTTTTGGGGTTGTGGATCACAGGTCAAATTGACTCAGCGCTGAAGATTTCTTGGGGCAAAATGCCGTGGATCACTTCAATTTCGTCGTCGTCGTCGCCTTCGTCGGTGAGGAGTCCCCAGAAACTCACTAAGAAGCCAAAGGGAAGCTCGGAGCCGAATGCAGCACCAGCGCACAGCCGAAGACGACAGCCACCACTGGTCATACCAACGGCAGACGACCATCAAGAAGGGCGGCGCAGTGGTGGTGGTGGTAGTAGTGCCAAAGATGGTTTTCACGTTGACAGCAGCAGGTCTGCTAATTTTAACCATAAGTAAGTGCTATTTTATTTCATCAACTTTTAGTGCGGCTGATGGTCAGGTCAGCCAACCGCTCACCCGGTGACCCGACAAATCCTCCTTCTCTTTCTCCTAGTATGGACACTCTGGTGTGCTCCATAGTCTCTTGAAAGTCCGAGAGACAAGACACTCTCTCATTAGTTGATCACCTGTTTCTGGCCATCTCATATGTGGTCTCGTACACTGCACTCTTACAGAGTACACTACTACCCACCCATCTACCCACCCACCTACATTACCTACATACACGATAAACCTACCTAACATCACGTTTCCTCCGGGCAGTTCAGACGCACGTGGCGGTCTCGTAGTCGAGCCCCGAAAGTATGGGCCACTGGGCCCAAAGCCCGTGTTGGTGAAAGAAGCTGCCCCAACTCTAATCCTAATAGTTATGATTGTGGTTTTCCTCTCTCCTGTCTTACTGTCTTGACATGTCGTCATGATCATCCTTCAACTCTATTGCCCCCATCCCCAATCGAGCAAGGCTCCCCTCTTGCACTCCTTGGCTTTTAGTGAGCACTATGCGGGCGACTTGGGGGGTGAAATAGGGGCTTCCAATTTCCACTGGGAGATCGTGGTGGCGCTAGATGCTTAATTGCTACAGGCCCAGCTCACGCGCAAAGCTGCTGCTTGCTGCTACTGGGTTGCTGCTACTAGCGCTGTCGCTGGTTCCAACTTCCGGGGGGCTCTTTTTCCCAAGGCTAAGGTACCAACCATGCAACCCGGCCCCAAGGACTTCCAGTTTAAGCGCTCTTTTGCACACAAAATGCACAGGCGGGAAAGACGGACAGGTCAACCTGAGTCAGTTGCCGCCTTCACAGCAGCCAAAGGAAAGAAAACCACCGACGCCATGTCTTCGAGAAGCGAAAACGGGCCCTATTTGGTTGAGATTTAGTTTTATGCTGGTCTCGCAGCAAACAAGCCGTTGTGGCCGAACGATGGGAAACATCCGATCGCATGGGGAAAATCGAATGCCTACCTGCCTGCCCATTCATTGTTCTGCTCTGCCTCTCATTACTCTACTCTCTGTCCTGCTCTACTTTTTTTTTTTTCTGTTCTTCCCGAGGTGCCCGTTGGCCGTGTTTGCTAGCTAGGTACAGGTGCCTGTTAGCGGAGGGAGGTTGCAGTCATTCGTCGTCTTTAATCTCCTTGCCCCACGTTTGCGTCGATCGTCTCTCTACCCTCTGACCGGGGATCACCTGGCTTGAATTAGGGACGCTGATGCCAATTTTTTTCCTTCTCTTCCTTTTAGGATTACACAACATCAACATATTCGAGCAAAGTCCGCCTCTTCTGCTGTCGTTGTCGTCTCTTCCGTACCGAGACATGACAGGTGCAGAAGTTACACACAACCTATAAGCAGAAACCAGAACATGGGATCTGTAATGGGACCCGGACCGGCCTACATGCCGCAACAAAACCGCGGATACGGCTCCGATTCTTTTGCCGGCGGCCAAAACACAGCGCCCAGAAACTTTACACCACCTGGAGCCCGGCCAGGCAGACCCGAGAGCATGGTGCGCGGCAACAATGGAGCACCAATTCCCCAACCAAGGAGGATGCCCTCCATGCAGCCCGGCTCGTACGCACAATTCGATAACCGACCCGTCATGTATAATCAAATGGGCAGACCTGCACCACCCGGCGCCAATCCAATGGGTCGACCACCCGGCGGCCAAATGGGCCGCCCCCCGAGCAGCAGCGGACAGATGGTACGACCGCCCAGCAGTGGCCAAATGAGCCGACCGTCCAGCAGCAGTTCCAACGCCAGCTCCGTCATGTCCCGAGAGAGTCACGAGTCGGGAATGCGCACACCCGTCAGCAGCCACCGAACAAGTTTCGGCTCATGGGATGCACATCCAAGGAGGCCAGAGTATGGGTGGCAGCGACCAGCGCCGATCAAGCAGCAGCGCAGGAGGGTCATGCAGCCCGGCGAACTATGCGCTGCTATGCCTGACGAGGTCTTTGATCTCATCATGAGCAATTTGAGGACGCTGCACATGGAAGATGGCAGCTTCAGCTGTGCGACCTGCATGATGAGGGATATCTGCTCGGTTTCTTATGCATCCAAGAAATTGCTTCAGGTGGCCCGGAGAGCTTTGTAAGTGGGAATTTATATTTTATTTTTACCCCCTACCCCTAGCTCATGCATCCTGCACCATGTATGCACCCGACCCGGAGCTAACCAAATGCAAGGTACGGTAACATTGAGTTGGTCGGTAGCGACTCGCAAGCCATGAAGAAGCGATACAAGATCAATTTTGGATCACGAATGGTTCTGCTGCGGCGCACATTGAGGGCGAATCCAGAGATCGCTGCAATGGTGCGCACTCTGAAGGCCCCTATGCAGCCGCTGGGTATGCCCATTGATCAGTATGCCAACCTGGCAGCCTCCATCATCATGGCTTGTCCCAATTTTGAGCGCCTCATTGGCCCCCATCAGTCTTATGATCACAACTTTAACCGGCTCTTCCATGCATTGTCGACACGGGAAAAGCTCAAGGAGATGACCTGGGTTATCGAACCCTCTGCTTCCCAGCAACAACATCGCCGACCCATGGCAGACACCGACCCGGAAGATTTACTTCCTCAACAAAGTACCGCTTTCCTCGAAATCAACATGCACTGGAAGAATCTCACAACCCTTTCCATCCACTGCCTTCCTGGCGCTGCATTGACGCCGGTCTCATTGGTCGCCACTGCCCTATCCACCATGCCGTCCCTGCAGACACTACATCTCTCAAACCTATCACAAACATCATTTGACGATACCGACTTACTCGCATTGCCCAAACTACAAGTGCTTTCGCTGTCAAGCATGGCAGGAATCACCAGCACAGGACTGTCTACTTTTGCTAGCCGACCTTCTTGCCAGACCTTGAAGTCCATCCGATTGGAGCACATGGAGGTAAATTCACTCGCTGTTTTGGCTCGAATCTTTATCGGCCTCACCTCGCTCGAATCTTTCACTTTTGTACAAAACTCGACGCCTCTGCTTCCCGAGGGAGAAGAGATCTGGCTGTTTCCTTACATGGTATCCCAGTCACTGAAGAAGCTGCACTGGGATATCACTGGCATCCAGGGCTGTGCGAACTTTGCAGACTCGATCTTGGCCAAGAGCATTGCCGCAAATGGATTCCCCAAGCTCTGCTGGCTGCGCACCCCCAATGATCCCGAAGGCATATTTCAGAAACTCTGCAAGCCGGTAGAAAAGCTTGAGAAACCGAGCGACAAGTACCGCACAAGAGGTCTGGTTGCTACCATTGAGGCACGCCCAGCAACACCAAAGACGCCGACCACGCCAGGCAAATCGCCAGGAGGTAAATCTCCGTACACGCCGGCATACTTTTCCTTCTTCATGGACAAGAAGTACAGCGACCTGCACGCAGCACGCCTGGCAGCACAAAAGAGGCTGGAAGAGGCACGAAAGATTCCGCGCTTTGAAGTCAACGTCATTGACGAAGACGGCACCATTAACGAAAACTGGATGATGGCCGGTTTCATGGGTGAGGTGCCATCAAAAATTGATTACTACCTGTTACCCGACACCGGTGCATCGGACGACAATGGTGGACTGGTTCTACTCTCCGACATTGTTGACGATCGACGAGAGGATCTCACCCAGGATAAGGACGGGTGTACCGGCCGCTGGAACAATTACGGCTACATCAACTACGATAAAAAGGGGCAAAACCAGGAGAAGTGGTGGCATACCGAACGTGTCCGGTGGACCGAGGTCCGCCTATCCTGAGGGTAGAAATACACGTGCTACGAACACCTCACGACTAAACTCACTGATCGGCGTTTTTTCTTCTTGTTTCTGGACCCAAGACTTTTCCAGACGGCGGCATCTGCATGCGTTCAACAACTCCCATTCCCCCAATACTCTTTTTTTTCTGCTTTTTGTTTTGTACGGCGTTTGGATCGGAAAGGGGCTATGAAACACAAAACATAACCAGCACAATCTGGCGCACACGGGATACCCATCGAAATCTTTGGACATGTGATTGAATAATCATTTACTATTCTCATATTGACACATTAATACATAAGACCTATTTGTACTTGAAAAGTTAAGACTTGTCTAGTAGTATTACATATGCGTTTTGGGTGCTGTTGTAGCCAGAGATGATACGTTGCGTGCCTCTGGATTGTATAACACAAACACAGCTCTTGAAAATGCTCAGACACTCAGTATTTGTGCCACTCTAATTTATCTTGACAAAATAGCAAGCGCAGGTCCAGACATAACAAACGCAATGCATGGCATTGCTCAAGGCGAACTAATAACCCTACGCTGACAACCTCTACTTATACGAGGGCGCTTCCTTGATTTCGTGGAAAAGCAGCTTCGCCAGCGTAAGACGCTCGCCATAAAAGAAATCTTTCACTGGGGACAAGAAAGAGCTCCAGTCAACTCGTGCCATACTCAGTGCTCAAGCACCACGGGCTTGCCCCTCTCCCAATTATCAATACTCTCGCGGATATTGACCCAATACCGCAACTTGACGCACTCGCGCACCGCAGCCTCGAGATCCGCATGGGCAAACGCGCGCTCCAGCTCGGCAATACTCTCCTCTTCGCGCGCAGCATTAGCGGCGCGCAAGGGTTCCAACTCGCTCTCGTCCTCGGCGTCCTCGATCTGCTCCCGGGCCTCGAGGACCTCCATGAGCAGCTCCGGGTCGTCGACCTTGGCCGTCTCGTCGGCGGCCACGTCGAGGCCGTACTGCAGGGAGAGGAGGTACTGGGCGCGCAGGAGCGGGTTGGCGAGGGTGCGAAAGGCCTCGTTGATGCGCGCCGACGTGGCCTCGGCGCGCGACTTTAGGTGCGGCGGGTGCAGGTCCGGGTGCGCGCGCGACTGCAGCTGGAGGAACTCGCGGCGCAGCGTCCGCACGTCGATGCTGAAGGGGCCCTTTGGCGGCGGGCCTTGGGGCAGGGAGTCGGGGAAAAAGTCATAGTGTGTCTGCGGCGTGGGTGCCGTGGCGGCGCTCGTGGAAGTCGCGGTTTCTTCTGCTTGTGCGTTTGCAGTCGACTCGGTCCTTAGGATTCTAGACGTTGAGAAAGGGCGCGCCGACCGGTAAGGGGTGTTGTTGACCTTGGACGCTGAACTGGGTGCCGACAAAGACGGCGACGTATGCCGGGCGGCGGCAGCAGTGGCGGCACGAGACGAGGATGCGATGCTCAGAGACCGCCGTTGTCGGTGCTGCTGCTTGCATGCGTCGCACAAGCCGCCGCTTATTTGTCGGCCCTTGGAAAAGATGGAGTTTCTCATCGTGGTCGCTACGAAGGTTTTGGCTCTGCAGAAATGTCCTACTCGTGGTGTATTTGGAAGAAGAAAGTCCTTGTTATTGTCCTGGGGGCAAACTGCACAGGTTTGGTGTTGGTTGGAACTCGGACAGTCGACTATTTTTTTGGGTAAAAGTTTCTAGGATGACGTCTAAGCCCGACCCGAACGCGGTTTCGGAAATTCGGGGTCCAGGGCCTCGGGTCCGCTGGAGTTGACACTTGTACAAGGGGGTGCATTAGCGCATCATGGCCCACTGTTTACGGTAAGTACAGCCTAGATAGTAGTACGAAGATCGAGAGACTTTGTAATCACTAGAAGCTACCATGTCTAATGAGACGGTCTTTTCAATGTTTGTATATTTCATTGATGGTCCTTGGGTGCTGCCACCATCAAGTAGCTGTAGATCACGAATACATTCTGCATGTCTTGTGGGATTTGATCTCTTCTCTTCTATTGTTAAACAGTCTTGGATTTTCTATATGGCAAGCAATGACAGATCGTGTCCGTTGCTTACAAAGTGCATGACTGTGGCCCGTGAAATTTGGAAGAATCAGTGAGAACATGTCAATCGTTGAAGGTTATATCCAGTCGTCTCATTTGTGGTATTCCCAAGCCGCTTGACTTTCTCTAAATCCACGCATTGGTCCCACTTACTACGAGAGCCGCCTGAAAAACCGCAAGTCGGCTAAAGAACACCTTCCTTTCAGATTATCACTCAATATTAAACAACAAGGATCCATTCTATCAACCGGAACGAGGGTTCAGCGATTACACACAGGTGCCGCGAGAATCTACGTGCGGGGGACACTCCGCAAACTCTAAATGGGGATTGTGACAACTTGGAAATTTAACTGGCTGGATTCTGAGTGGCATAGAACTTTATGGTGCCATGAGAAGAGGACAGTGAGTAGATAGGACGGAGACATGGATCCGTTAGGCAAAGACAAATTGCAATTTCTGTTTACTGGCCCGCATGCGTTTAAGCACAATGCCAGGTTTTACTCCGGGGAAAGCCGGGTGATCGATATTGGGGTCATAGGAGCTCTCTCGAGGACGTCTTCCGCAAATCTCTGGAGCTCCTAGGGAAAGAACTGGAGACTCTATCAAGTGGAAAGCCCGAAACCCAGTCTTGATGATTTAGTTCATCAGCAGTTGTGGACCGGAAAAGCAGGTATGCGCAAACTTTCCCCCAATTTCATCAGTATAATGCTTGACATTTTCATTTCTTAGTCTCATAGTTGGATCAGCAATGCTGGTTGAAGACGAGAATACTTGCTCTCAGAACCTCTATGTGTACAATCCCGCTTGACCTTGAAATGAGAGCATATGGTGTGGACTTTGTCCAAGGTCACGCCTACCACTCTCTGGGGTTTGGATCGTCGATGGAAAGCTCGACAACTTTGGCCCTCTTGGGCAGGTCTATGCGAATGCTCAGGGACTTAATATCGTCACTCTCACCACGACACATCAGACAGAGCGCGAATGATTAAACAGAAGCAGGTGGATATACTATACAGATCAAAAGTGATTGTAATTACGTCAACTACCCTAGAATACTCAATCTTGATCACATTCCAATGTCTCGCCTGGCCCCTATTGGGATGAAACCCCCATAGGAACGGCCATATGGGCCAGCTATCACTCACTCGAGTCATCTGTGAAATCATCCCTCTTCAGAAGTTTCCCTGCAAGTAGCTTCCCCATGTGTGTCTTCTCAACTCCTTCACTGTTCCGTCGAATCCTGGCCATGAGTTCGTGAATAAACTTGGTAGGGCTGCGCATGTAGTGGCCATCGTTCGTGCATATACCCGCCGTCTGACCTGGGGGTATAAATCCATCTGCTCCGAGAGGGATATCGCTGTCGGCAGTCTCACAAGCAAGGCAGAGAAGTTGGCAGACTTGAGTATACTCCTCGAAAGATTGCAAGTACAGCTGTCCAGCAAAGAGATTGAGTTGGTGCACCAGACTCGGGGCTACACTGTTTATGTTCTCACGTCGAGGAACTGTGTAGAGCATTAGATGATCCAACGACGGGTTGTTCAGATCCATACGAGGATTGTAGAGGTGCAATGAAACAAATTTCGACCTCTTGATGTCTTCGAGAAGCTCATGTGCTTCGTATTGGCTGATTACAACCAAGTGTGCTGGAGACTCATTTTGCCGGCCCGTCGCGAGGATCCATTGTACAGGCCGTTGAAAGAGATCCGAGGGAAACCTGGATCTTACCTTTATGGTCCTAGCAAAATCATCTGTGACAAGAAGATCACGTGGCAACTCGTTGATGTTGGCGTGAGCAGCTATACTTGTGTCTCCAAGTGTCTTGAAGGCCTTGTTGAAGCCGCTCTTGTTTGTGGCGACAAAGCCATGTCTGACAAATTGGAGTACGTTTGGATGAACTCGGTGAGATAAAGGCTCTGCACGGGTCGGTCGCTCGACTTGGCGTTCTTCCTCTGCCTCTGGCGATAGCTCACGCTCTTGCTGTTCCTGAAGAGAAGCCATCTCAGTGTCCAATGGCCCAAATTGTTCAAGATGATTGTTGATCTGTCCAAAGATGGCATCACTGAGGCCTTTACACAAGTCTGCGATACTGGAGCTCGCAACTCCTGGGCGGTACCGACGTTCTAGAGAGTGCGCCTCGTCTTCTAGGAAGCGTCCAGCCCAAAGCTCGGAATAATTTCCTTTGGCCTCAATTCGCTCTTTTCGGACACGGTCTTGGTTGTAGAACCTTGTTGCCTGCGTAGCCCACAACGGAGCCGCCTTCTTGGTATCCAAAAAGGTTTCGCTGATTGCCCATGTCAAAATGTGGGTGACATCAATATTCCCGTCCACGGGGAGAGCGTGCTCCTGCATGATTTTGTTTCTGATTTCATCCGGCACACAAAACACTACAGATTGACCCTGACCTAGCATTCGCATCCGCATGCACGCTAAAAATCGTTAGATTTCACCGAAACTCGAAACTCGAAACGCTTGATCTGTGATTGCATTACGTACCTTGAACAAGACGGTCCTTGGTGATATTCTGACCCAACGTGACTGCAGCACGATAGTCTTGTGGCAACTTCAAATCTGTACCTCGAGTGTGTGACTCATCGAGAAACGCGAGACATTTTTCCGTTTGCTTGGCAAAGGGAGAAATTTGCAAAGGCTCAATGCATCCGGACCTGTCGACAACGGATAAAACATCCTGATCATTGAAGAAGATTACGGCTTGAGTTTGTTCGCCATCTTCTTCCACCATATCTAACCATTGTTGAGCGACTTGAACATTTGTAAGGTCGATGATTTGGGCGCCAACATCAAGAATGACCCGGACTTGGGGTTGCAACTGCATGAATTGTTGCAGGAGCTGTGCCCCGTCTGAAGATGGACCGTTGGAGCTTGTGCCTTTAGGCATCAGAAATACCTTGGTCTCAGGCCGCACCAAGTATTCCAGGACTAGAGCATTTGTGTGTCTCTGCTGCGGCAAATCAAGCTGCTTGATCGAAGCTGGCAAAATGCACCGAGAATCATTAGTGCCGCTGAAGCCGGTGACTGGATGTGTCTTGACCCTGCACAAGTCCCAACCCGATGCCGAAAGCTTGTGAGGAAATTCTTTCATTTCCTTGGAAAAGATGATGCGCGACATGAAATAATCAATAACGCCTTTGGAGTATCTCAGATGCGGAAAGATCTCCGAAACGCACTGAGCGCGGTCCTGTAAATTGATGCCAGCCAGATCACGAAATGCGTGCGGCAAATCCGGTGATGCATATTGAACCCAGATTGCATACTCTGATGTTGACTGGTCATTGACTCTGAGCATGTGAAATGAATCAAAGAGATCCTGGTCTTCCAAGCCGGAGTAGTAGTAACTCAAGCTCGTCAAGACTATGACAACATCGGGGTGACTGAATTCGGACCTGGGGGCAGGATCGTCTTTGGCTCTGAAGGGGACAGCCAACCGTGTTTTTGGTACTCGATTCACATCGACGCCATAGTTGACCCGCCACCGTTTCTGACAGAGAGCGTGAGAGATGACACCACCCGCAATCAAGCCTCGAAGCAGGAGTAGAGTGCTCACGACAGCATCAGTCCAGAAGGCACCCTTCTCGACACACTCAACATCGTCAAGGGGGATATCATGCATTGATATGTACTTTTGGACAGCAAGCCTCGTCTTTTTCGGCTGGCGTGAGATGGGGAATCCGTCTAGTCCTTCCTGACAGATCTTCTCGCTTAGACGTTCTACGAGCGTGCTCAGCGCATCTTTTCTGAAAATCCGTATCCGCGGGTAACGCCATGATTCATGGCGCCAATCGTAGACATCCATGGACTTGGGGAACTCGGATTGCATATCCACAGCCAGCTGTCGAACAAATTCAAGGACTTGCTGTATCACGGTCCATCGCTGAGGACTGTGCTCAATCGGTCTCTGTTGCCCGATTGTATACACGAGCTCGAACTTGACACTCAAGACCTCATCGCTCTCATCGATGATGTCCCTGGAGTGGGTGTCAAAGTGATGCTGAATATCCAGAAGACTGCGCGCGATCGTGGCTTGTCCATTGATCATTTGTTCTATTCCCATCAACTGAAAAGAAAGCAAATGTTCCGGCTGGACAAGCATCAAGCCACCTTCTTGAATACACTCCTGTATCATACCGCGTATGACTTCAACTCTGCTGGTGTCGAGGCGCACGTCACGCGAGATTGGAAATTCGTAGATCCGACGCCCAGCCAAATTGCCAAGCCGTGCCAGCAGGATCTGACGCATTTGCCGGAATTGCGGTTTGGTCACGATAAGCCGCAAGAGTTGCGAGCCATTGGCAAAAGCGAGAGCAATTGAAGGTGCTATGACTGAAGACTTTCCCTCTCCCATGTTGAGCTGCATTGTCGCGTTTCTTCCATCAGGTGGTGCCATCATTTGCAAAGCAATCTGATGCTGCACAGGTCGTATGAGAAAGCCGCTCTCGCACTCCATCAGGAGCCATTCTGGATACTCAAATGGGTCCCAATCTTGATGGCCTGGATTGCGAAGTTCTTTGGTGAACTCGGACTCATTTCCACAGTGTTGTAACAAGCGGCCAGCGCGCTGTAGGTTTACCAGAGCAAGACCATATGCCACAATTTTCCTCTTCCAAGATTCAGACAGGCGACTCCACCTAGATCTTTGCAACTGACTCAAAAAGAACGACGGGGAACGGCGAGGAAGAAAGTCCGTCTGACCTTGGTGATCATAACCCGTTTCGCCCGATTCGTGTGACGGCAATGCTTGTCTTGAAAAGTCAGTGTCCACCATCATCATGTCGAACAGTCGAGACACATGAGACTCGCATTCCAACTGATACCTTTGTACCAAGTCTCTCAAGAATGCACCTGACTGAGCCACACAGTATTGATGGCTTTGAGTTTGCAATTCATCCAGGCTGTGTTGTAGTTCGAGTATATAATGTTTCTCGTATATGGATGAAGCTCTCTGTTCGAGGTGGTTGATAACATCATTCAGCTTCCCACTGCAGATTTCATGCTGTGGACTGTTGTCAAGAGACACAGTCAATTGAATGCATGATGTGAGAGCTTGTGATGTCTCGCCACCTCGAAACAGATCATTCGTAGAAATAGACCTGGCCTGCCGAGAACTGGGATTTGACTGGGTAGGACCCTGTACTGGTTGGAAACACAGTGGTGTGACATCATAACTCGAAAGAGCTTGCTCGATCTGTTCCAGATATCTCAAGAAGAGCAGATTCTTGTGCCAAGTCTTCCATATTGATGAAATAGCTACCATAGCCTCGGGACTCTTGATGTAGTCATTCGGCGGCAAGGGGGGAGGTTCTGGACATGGCCATTGGTTTCTGAGATTTTCGACAAAAGCGGAGATCGACTTGTCCTTGTTGCTGTTGTATGATCGGTTCTGTCTTTCCTGGAATTCCCAATATGTTTCCGAGTGATTACTCAGAAGATGCGATTCGGGGCACTCACTTAGTGGGTATACTGCCTTGTTGACGAGACGTTTGATTTCATTTTCATCGAATTCAAAGCCTCCAGACAAGTTGTAATTCCCCACGGCCGGTAGCTGAACCTCGGACACCCTAGGTAAACAGGCTAGCCCAAAGAGAACTTGATTCACTTGGCTGAATTCTTCAGATGCGTATGCTTGGGCAGCAAGCCACATGGCAACTTGGAATCGATTGATCCACTGATGGTTAAATTGAAACGCATAGTGGATTTTGTGCCATAGTTTCGAAAGAGCACTTTTTGGCTTTGTCAACCAGTTGGCACTATATTGCACCTCGTAGAGCTTTGGCTCCTCATTTATTGCTGATGTCAGGGACGACTTAGACAGAATATGATAGATATTCGTAGCCAAGCCATTGATAGGACGTTCTTGAAGGGATTGGTTCTTCTCAAACACCCTCATGGCCATTTTCCCAGTGTGCTCAGTGCGCTGAGAGTCATGAGTGCGATCCCTCTGTTTGTAAAGCATGTCTCCACTTGTTGAGAATACCTCAGCACCAAAGCCATCAGTCCGTAGGTACGCTGTATTGTTGAGATCTCTTGCTACTAGCTCCATGTCTGAATGTTCAATCCTCAGCTTTGTAGGTGATTCATGAGGGTAGAGGAAGCTGGTACGTTGGACATTTGCAAGTAGATCCTTCGCGACAGTGTAGAGCAGACCATGTTGCGAGTAAAAGCTCAACTGAGAAGACCATGTTACTGTCTGCATGACCTTCTCATTTCGAGGGTAGAACTGTCTCGTTGGCGCCAATGCAGCAATTCGCTCCAGGCGATCACTCTCTTCTTCGTTCAGGTGTACAGTTGATGTGACGACTGCTGATCTCATGATTGTCAGTGCTTGCTCAGTACCAGTTGTCCCAGTCAATGGATCTGGCAAGCAATGAGACGTGGTTGCGTGTAGATGAGCAAGAAATAGTTTGCTTTGCAATGTTCCACAATCTACGAGCCTGCCCAACTTTGGGTCAATTCGGTAAGGTTGGACTCTGGAGGCTGTACCGATCTCAACAAACACCTGTGGGTGCATGTTTGCTGAAAGTCCATCGAAATCACCTCGTAGTTTCACTCGACCCTCTGAAACAAGGACCAAACGGCTGTTTTGATTGTCTGATCCCCGTAGAACGAGCTTACTTCTCAAGCCGATCAATGTGCCTATCGATTGTTGTTCGTCAACTTGCATACCTCGAAATTGGCATGATTCAATTGCAGTAGAGTCTCTTCGAGCAAAGAAATCCATGCGTAAACGATAGAGTTGAATGTCAAGACATCTCTGGGCCGCATCGTATATTACATGTTGATGGAAAGGGTCTTCGAGTGCTCCAAGCACTACGGATATGTGTTTGGCAATTTTGCTTGAAGGATTGACAATGTAATCGTCCAGACAGTGGGTCAGTTTCCAGCCATGATCGCCATGAATGAGTTGCCAATTCTGATCGCTTTTCTTCCACGGACTGTTGATTGATCGAAACTCGATACTTCCAGTGCTATGATCATACCAGTGTACGAAGTCTCGCACGAAGGCGTGTGGAAGGACCCCAGCCAAGGTATCAGAAGGTACGATGTCGTAATTTGAATCCGCCTTGATGATGCGTATCAACAATTGCTCAGGACAACCTGAAGTGGGTTGCTTGCCAAAATGTACATTGTGACCTTCAAAAGCCATTTTGCTTGAAAAATCCATTCCAGGAAGGAGACTCGGCATCACGTTCATCAAACAACGGCCGAAAAGATCACGATACATTTGGTTGGATGTATATGTCGTAGGCAGGTGTGACAGCGGTCGCCCATTCACAAGCAGTTCGCCAGTCAATGTGTTATAATGAATCGAGTTGGAGGGACTCTCAATCCAGTAATCGGCCGATGGACTCGAACACCAGTCTGATGCCGAGGTGAATCCTGGCCAATGGCGGCTGATTGCCAAATTCAAACCATTGTTGCCGCAAAGAAGGACTTGATCCCTCATAATTGGACTTGCACGATGCATGACGTGGCGCCATCTTTCAAACAACAAGGACTGGAGCGAATCGTTCTCGTCTGCGAGCTGTGAATGATCGCGGATGTTGATTGACGACTCAACGAAAATCGAGACGGCGTCGGGGTGATCCAAGATGTGCTCCAATTGCTCATGATCCACATTGAACGTCTCCGAACATATCAGAGCAGTATTATACAGCATACGCTGCAGCTGATTTCTTTGTTCATCATTTTGTGAGCTGCTTGACCTTTCGACTAGTTTGAGCAACCAGCGATAGGCTGTCGTTCTAGCACAACCCAAGAAATCCATCAGCCCTGCCTTGGAAGTGTTCGTGATTGTCATGGATCGAGCTGCCAGCAAAATGAAAGTCCAAAGGCTGGTGGTGGATTCGAGGTTTTCCTCGATTCGTGAGAGACGGTTGTGGAGAGCAGCGAGGAGTTGACTGATCATGCCGTCATCTGTGAGGTCCAAGTGGGAAGCTCTACATGGCTTTCCCGAGAGGGCGGGGCCAGTTTGAAGAGAGATCTGAGCTAGGAAGATGGCCGACTCTGGTTTGTTGAAGTCGATTAGCGGGCTTGTCAGCTCTCGAAGTATACCCATCCATTGTAGCTTGTATCCGCAAGGAATGGACGCGAGCGCCTTGCACTCTCCAAGCTTCATATGAGCCGGGTATTCATCTTGATATGCGAGAACTGTATTTGGAAACACTCCGTTTGCAGAACTATGTGTGCGAACCATGAACTTTTCCAGACCTGCCGAGCGCCGTGGAAGCTTGATGAGACAACTTGATGAGGTTTTCTCGCTAGATGCAAGCTTGGACATGAAAACGTTCCGTTCACTGTCAAAGTAGGACAGCTGTAGCCCGTTGTTGACACAGACGTCTGATGTTTCGAGGGATGCAAGGTATTTGCCATCTCGATGCGTTCTGACATGAGGCTTAGTTTTAGAAAACAAATATAAACGACCGTTGTACGACATATTTTGCCATTGACGCAGGCCAGCATAATTCCGAAGAGTGTGGCGAGTCCTAAGAGTTTCTTCGTGCGACGGATATGACTTGAGAACATCGTCAATGAGATATATCGTCAGGTCCCTCCAGCTTTGAAGGGGAGGAGGCGGATCAAGTTCGACAACAGTTGCTTGTTTCTGGGACTCCAAAGCTGGTAGTGGCCATTCGTGTATCTGAATCGTCAATTCTTTCGCACGTCTCTCGTACCAGCATCGATCGCAGCTAAGATGGGACGTGGAAGGGACGTTCCAGTCATCGTAAACTGTCTTCTTCGTACAAGTTGCTTCACTGTGAAGTCGCATGAGTTCTCGGTACTCATTCTGTAGTCTTTCCAGTTCAGTAATCTTGGCAGACCTTTCTTTGTTTGCGTACTCTTCAATTTCAATCAGCAGACGTTGATGCTTGTGGGAGTCGGAAAAGTATCGTGTTGAGAACGAGCCTGCATCTCCAAATGACCGGAACACGGAAGGAAAATCTTTTTGAAGTGCAAATGCCTTGCGTTCAATGAGATACTTTTCTGCCTTGTCCAATCTCTCCATGTCGTGTATTCGGGACAACAGCAAAGCCTGATAGAGCTCGACGGGAATTTCATGCTGGTAGTCTCTCAACAATGGGAGAGCTGTCACAGCAACCCTGTCGGCCGCCACCCATAGCTCCAAGATGGTCAAGAACATTCGAGATATGCCTTCTGGAAGATTTCGGTAGTAAGCTTTGGCATCCGCGTGATACTTTTCAGTCAGATCCCTCAAATCATGGCAAACGGATGGGCAATGAACATTGGCCTCTAGCCAGGTAGTAAGATTCTTGTCTACCCACGACTCAAATGCGGCAAGGCGAAATGGTCGGTATTCCTCGTTCTTGGAATCTAGGACCTGTGTAGGCAAAGACAATGACGAAAGTCTTGGGACCTGGGAAAGTGGCGTGAATGATGAAGTGACTGGAGACGAAGTGCGTCGAGGGATGCCTCGCAAAAACTTGTCCAATTTTGGCAAATGGAAACGAATATCTCGCTTCGTGTCAAGGCGAGATAGTAGCCCTAGATCGAGAGGTGGACTCGCTTGCTGGCAGATAGTGTCCCAACGTGTCTTCACAAATCGCGATGCTGCAAGCATACTTTGGTTGATATGCTGGGCCAAGGCACTGCTTTTGGAATGACCCAACTTCACCCAGCGACGCGAGAGCTTGGCAGACATGGCGTGCAAAACCTCGGATGCCATCGAGACTGAACAGGCTTGATCCATGATGCCCGACAACAAAAAGGCCATGAAATACTTGTACAAATCGTCCGAGCCATGGGATCTGCGTCGCAATGTCGATTGTAAGGCCACGCGTACAAGTAACCATAGTGGGCTGCGTCGCCAGGGAAGCCTGCTGTCGTTCCACATGACTTCTTCTCGGGTATTCTTGCACAAGCTGGTCTCGGTGGCCTGGGTACCGAATGCCAGTAACACGTTGGAGAGAAACTCGGTGACTACACATGGCTTGGTTGTATCTCGTTCTTCGTCGTGGTACTGTTGGGCTTTTCTCACTTGTGGTCGCATTCCGGGGACAGCTTGATGACTCATCTTTGCGAGGGTATTTGCAATGACTTGGTTGAATCCAGGTTCCTGGACGGTATTGGTGGCGATTGCCACAGAAGTAGATGGAAAGTGTCGTACGAGACGACCTTGGGTCTTGAATACCGAAGCATTGTCGGGCGACAGTTCAAACACCTCAAAAACGACTTGATCTTCGGCTTTTCGAATAATGATTCCAGCATTCTGTTCAGTAATCTCGAGGGGAAGTACAGTAGGCGATCCTTGGTCGTCAGTCAGCTTGAACTCGGAATTGGAAGGTGCTAAGATGAATTACCTGTGGTGGACATGCTCTGCAGAGCGTTCAATAGTGCGTGCTCATCGAGGTGTCCGTGGTCGTTACGGACTTGGCGCATACTCTTGACCATAGCACTTAGGTCTTGGAATACATCTTGGTGTTGCTCTTCTGCCAGGGAAGAGCAGCGCAAAAGACTGTCTTGAACGAAGCGCAGCAAATGGTCATCTTGTCTTGCGGAACGGTTATCCCCGCCTGGGAGCTTTGGCGGCAGGAAAACGTGATGGAAGAAGTAGGAAAGTGTCTCTATGGACACCTCGGCCTCCATGGTGATTGAGACGCACTGAGTGCGCTTGATCTTTTCGTGATGGCTACCACTGCGAAAAGTTGATAATGGTCGATGGCTCAGTATTCTTGGAAGTGACAGAATTGGGCGCCCTTTGGTACCGTTCCAACTGAGGTGAAGAAAAAAAAGTCCAAGGGGCAAGAAGCAGACAGGCGAAGGTTCGGATTGGTTCGAGGTCTGGGATTGAAACTCAAGGTAGCTGGGGAAACACTAGGTACAGAGCCCTAACTTCAATATTCCAGCCATTGTCTGTGCCTGTTTGTTTGAAACCTGCCTTGGCCCAGTGATAGAAGCCGTTGCAAACGGCTAATATTAGGTACTAAGCACAATGCAGAATTGATACAATTCGTCAGGAGGTGGTTTCATTTCTATGTGGGTCATGTTGAAGCAAACGGCTCAGGTAAAAAGACGTTGACTCGATTTCCGAAGGATGAAGACTGATAAAGGCAAACGGTCAACCGCGGCACGCACAAAATCACAAGACTCTAAACAAGACGAAAACAAATAGAAACGTTTTGCATGGACATGTCTTATAAGCTAAATAATAGGCTGCGTGTATTCTCAGATATCTCAACTCCCGATTGTTTGTTCATTGAACATTTGTCTGAGAGCCCGCCTTTCCCTCCCGCTGGACGTATGCGCACTGGGGATTCATTGCTGTCAATGAACGCCTAGCTACGCGTTTTATTGTAATTGTGTCAGATTTCTCCCCAGGCTTTCAAAAGTCTGAGGCATAGATACTGATGATATGAACGGCAACTGACGCCTGCCTCCGATTAGAAAGAAGATACCGGCGCGGCAGAGGTCGAATGAGACACATAGATTCCGTGCGCTTTCCAGCTCTAAATTGCAGATAGGATCCAATAAGCGCCATTCGATTGAGAAGGATTGAGAAAGAAAATTAAGTAGCAGTCAGGTTGCTCTCGGCAGCTGCGGTTTCATGCCGCTTTCTATCGGCAAAATCATGCCCGGAAAGTCAATTGCGTCATTCGCAGCTGGAGGCCTACCAATGCGGGTTCCTCAGTGCGCTGTTTGAATTAAAACTCCAGGTCAATAATGAAGACCACCCAAACTTAAGCTTTTCAAAAAGCTCATTTCATGTGCCTCAAAATTCTCTTTGCAGCACGGCGCGGTTTTCAAATCTTCTCCTCACGTGGTTTACTTCATGCACCCGAAGCCGAGAGATATGTCCAATGCTAAACTATCTCGGGCCCGAGTACGCTATCTGTCAGATTATAGATAGTCTAGTCCACACCTATGATATTCTTTTTATTCGCGGAAAATGAAAAGATGCGTTCCGATAATGGCATCGCAGCTGCCTGATCTACTATAGCGCAGAGTATAGCGTAATCCTTCGGAGCCCGCTAGCCGCGATATATAACTATGTAGGTAGCTACATACCTATGTAATTGATTGAGAGTATCGTGTATCTTTAATACCTGAGGAATGATTCCAACCTTAGGTCTTGCGCAATGGAAATGGAACAATCTACCCACGATGTCATAATAGTTGGAGGCGGCACAGCGGGATGTCTCCTTGCATCACGCCTATCCTCTCAGTTGCCACATCTCGATCTTCTGTTGCTTGAGGCTGGGGAGAATCACAATGAAGAGCCCAAGGTGCTCACGCCGCTCATTAGTCGCCGGATGTTTGGTGATCCCGCTTACGACTGGTGCTTTGAAACCACAGCGCAGCCTGGACTTGGGGGCAGGACCATCCAGCAGACGCGCGGGCGTATGATTGGGGGGAGTAGTGGCATCAATTCGCATAGTCTGGTGTACCCAAACAAGGCCATGCACGACACCTGGGCGGAACTGGTAGGGAGTGAAAGCTGGTCATGGGCAAACATGGCAAAGTTTTACCAAGCATTTCAGTCGGAGCAACCCCCTTCCGAAGCCACGGAAAGCACAGACACGACCCCCAAGATCCAGGCGTCGTATCCGACTACCATGAACAGTCTTCAACGGGCTTGGGAAGATGTATTTAATGATTTGGGAGCAGCATCGCAAAAGTCAGGCGTCTCGGGGGAAGCAATCGGAGGCGTAACAACAACGAATGCAATCGATAGGTCAGGTGGAAAAGGTAGAAGAAGCTTTGCGGGCAACACATTCTTGAACTCGGCGACTATCAAGAAGAACTTGCAAATTGAATCCAGTGCGACGGTAGTGAAAATGGTTTTGGAGGACTCGTCAAATAGCAACTTCATCAAGAGGGTTGGCGGAGTAGTGTACGAGAGACAAGGAAGAAGCATTTTTGCAAAGGCTAGAAAAGAGGTAATCTTGTGTGCAGGAGTGTTTGGAAGCCCTCAGATCCTGGAACTGTCAGGAATAGGGAACCCCCGCGTTCTAGAGACAGTAGGTGTGCATTGCACTGTCAATTTGCCAGAAGTCGGCGGTAGGTTTCTGTCCTGCAACCCGTACACATCGAGAAGAATGCTGATACGCATCTAGAGAATCTCCAAGATCACATCAATTTTGGCCCAAGCATCGAGGTCGAGCCTACCATAGAGACAATGGATGTCTATGCTAGAGATCCTGCAGTTCTTCTCGCCCACAGCAACGAGTATCAAGAGCATCAGACAGGCCCACTATCCGAGGGGGCAGCTTACAGTTTTGCGTACTGGCCACTTCAGCTATTCAACTCCAAATCTGACCAAGATGAATTACATGCCCTTTTGGACTCATTAGCCACCTCACCTCGGAGCAAGGGATTGCAGCTTCATCACGAATTCTCCCGTCGCATGATATTAGATCCAGAGGAAGCAAGTGCCACTGTCTTCATGACCAGGATGCAGAGATATACCTTGCCTGGGCACAAAGCGCCTGGGAATTATATGACCGTCGTTGCAATGCTGGCACACCCTTTCAGCAGAGGTTCGGTTCATATTGCTACACCGGAGAGCAGCGACCCGCCTGTAATTGACTGCGGGTATCTCACCCATCCTCTGGATGCCGAGATACTAGCGCTTCACGTCTCTCAGATCGAAAGACTAGTTACGCAGCCGACATTCGCATCGATCATGAGGCCCGGTGGTCGTCGACTTCCCCCTGGATTAGAGAGTGCACCATCACTTTCTGAGATCAAAGAGAGTATCAAGACTTATGGAGCAACCAACTACCATCCATGCGGAACGTGCGCAATGATGCGGGCTGAATATGGCGGTGTCGTCGACGAAGAGCTGCGAGTTAGAGGCGTGGAGAATCTCCGTATTTGCGATGCTAGCATCTTTCCAATAATTCCACGGGGAAATATCTTGACTACAGTCTACGCGGTTGCGGAGAAAGGGGCCGAAATGCTCGTGGGACTTTACGGACCGGAGAGTCTTTCGGCTGAAATGGTGTAACTAATGGATCTAGACGACATAGCTTTGAAACACTTTTATTCTATTGACGTATCAAATGATACCAAATTTGACATCCGTTCGAGTATGGTTTGCTTTGACGACAGATGCACCAGATCGCTTTACAAGGACCGTCATTTATTTTTGCGCACTCTTGACCATGATATCTACATACATACATACATACCTACGTTACCTAGGTATGCATTCATGTCGCATGCCTTTGCTATCTCCAATCTGACTGGTTGCGGCGACTACTGCAAAACGTCACAACCATAAACTTGCTGAGTGATCGCAAGGCCCGCGACCCGAGGTACTATGGATATTTTTCTTCAGTCCCATGTATATGATGGGCATGATTCCTACCGTACGTGCATCAAGCAGGTTTTCGAGTTGCGTTTACGCGCTTTTCATGTGAACATTTGCGGAGGCCATGTGAACTGTGTTGAGGGATCAGGCACTAAAAACCACTAACTGGGGGACCTGCCTTGTCAGCTACAGATTACAATAGCACACACCTTTGGGTGCATCTTTGACCACGGCTGCATCTACGCATAGGGAAGTATTACCCAGATAGAGTGGGGCCAAATTTTGAAGGTTTTAAGTGTAGTTGCATCAACGGATAATCAACCTGGGCTTTTGCTAAGCTACCCATTTATCCGTGCCACACGACCACTTCTCTAGATGGCTCGTTTCTCACCAGGTGCGAGGCAGAGGTGTGGCACGGGTACCGGGTAGTGGTTCGTCGCGTCTGACAGACGGACGCGTACATCCATGGATGGATGTACTTGAAGCAGGTTTTTCCCCGTGGTTTTAACCACTAGGTACTTTAACGTTGGAGGGGGATAGAGAATCCATGGAACGATCAGCGACATGTCGCTTTGATTGTAGTTTGTAACGTCTTTCTGTATTTTTTCGGAACTCATTCTCAGTTAATCTACTTACATGTAGTTCCCGAAATCCCTATGAGATTGAATTACCCAATTCATGGCCACGAAAGTGTTTACAAACACTAATTGATTTGGCGACTATAGGCCATATGCGGGGATAGCCAGGCACAGTGTCTCCACTGAATCGCTTTGAACCCTTTTAAGCCCCAAGACTTTGTGGAGGCGCCGACTTGCTCAATCAGGCATAGATCGTTCTATATCTTTTGAGAGAACGATAGAGGAGAAAAGAAAAGCATCCTTCGATAATGGCTTTTGGAAATCGCGTACCGTGCATCCCCCTCGGCCGTAATCTTGGGGCCGACAAATATGAGGAGCTGAAATCGCTACAGAAGGCTTGACAGATGCACAATTCTTTAGGCGGATCAGCCGATATTGTGGCTGTCTGGCCCGTTGTGCGTCTTTCTATTTGGGGCCGGGGCGAAGCCCATCAAGTAGCCAAGGCCACCACCATTATCGGGGATAATAGGCGAGGTAAGGATTATCTGCACATGGCCATCGTGGCTTGGAGGAGTGTATTAGCTAAGATCCAGTTCGTCGGGATCATGCGGGCGGCCCTTTGCGGCACGTGGCCTAGGGGGATTAATGCACTTAGATAAGCATTTCATAGTAGTCACAAAGGATTCAAAGAGTCATCACTCTGCTGTTTCGGTGTTATGCTTCGGACGATCAAAGTTTGGTGAGGGGTATATCAATGCCTAGCGGCGAAAGAATCCTGATGGATCAACACGGGAGTTGACCACCGTCCGAGACTAGTAACAAAAGCGTGTTGAAGCACATACAGGATAGTCTACCCGTAAATGCTAGGACGCATCCATGTGCATGTTCACCCTTAGCGTATCAAAGCCGTGACTTCTGTAGGGATGGGAGTCCTGGACAACATCCGAAAGATTTGATGCCAAGAAGCTTCAGTCTATTCTCTCCAATAATCACAGCCATGTTTCTGATGGGGAAGAAGACATCTCGCCCTTTGCGTAACCTTGACCGCGAAGCAGCCTTCAAAAGTAGGACTCGGTCGCATAGAGTCGAAACCACGTCTATCAATGGATATACGTACTAAATCGCTGCTATAACAGTGGTCGTTGGATCTGCTTATTATAGAAAATACCATCTTAGATAATGCGCATTACTGATAGTGGTCCGACGTTGTTCTCTACTTGCACTGCTTTTCGTGTCGCATTAACTACCAGGTGTTGGGGGCTCAGGTTGAAATAAGCAGGGGCTATGTATTCTGTGGCTTGATTGGCCTGGCTGCCTCCAGTGAATCTCGTTTAAGACAAGCGAGAAATGAAAAGCCGAAATTTTTCGGCTTTGCACCATGAACCGACCCGAAGCCAACATCCTACTCAGAATCCTACTGACTCCTAGTGGGGGAGGGGAAAAAAAAGCTATCCAGAAAACGAAATAGAACCAGACTCTTGGAGTAAATTATACTTGGATAATGGTGGCAAACCATGTTGGCTCATTGGCTAGACCGTACTCTGCGGGATATCTGTGCCATTTGTTCCTTGATGCCAAGACACCAAGACACCAGCAGCTGTGCATTATACCCTCATCGACCTGGCCGGGTAATCATGTAATGGTCGGGTGCGGATTCGGTGTGGTATCCTACATCGGCGGCCGGGCAATCCGAATTTTGTCCTTAGCCACGTGGAGTCACAAGACCCCATGCAGGAACAGTCATGTTGTAGCATGGCATAGGGCTGAGGCTAAATGTCAGCAGCCTTGACGAGCGCTGAGTGCTGAGGATGATGACTTATTTTAACCTGATATTCGCTTGGAGGCGCCCGAATTACCGGGACCGATGGACCTGATCCTTTTCTTGGCCCCCTTGTCGCTGCCTACCACTACATACAATCTTGGACCGAGGGAACCTGTTCGCTGGAACTCGCATACGCCCAATCAAGTCCTTGAACCCTCTTTCTTCAAGCTGAACTGACCTAGCCACATTCTGACAATATCGAATCCCAGCATTCAAAGTTAGGCGTCAGCATAACGATGGCTTACGTACGATGGTCAGGACTCAAGATAGTACCTCGAAAGATATGCCGCTAGCATAACGATTCAAGTCAATTCTCTGTATTTTAAAATTTGCAAAGTTCACGTGAGATTGAGTATGCGCAGGAGACCGCCAGCCACAGACATTGCCGGACTAGACCCCGAGATATCCTTGAATAGCCAGAACCATGGCGTCGGATATCGACCCATGCACACTCTGTCTAGAGGTATAAAAAGGCTGCATTCTTTCCATCGAAAAGGAAGATGGAATAGTCCAACACAAAAAACAGCAAGGCACCCAGCATCTAATACACAATGACCCGCTTTTCAGCCCTGGTCGCTTGCGGCCTTGCATTATTTCAGCCTTTGGCTCTTGCCAGCGCGCTTCTTCCTCGTGATGGCTACCAGTACTACACACGACACAACCTGACGGTTCAGCAAGTACAAAGCGAGCTGGGTCCCTTGCTATCACAGAATGCCAGCATCTTTGGGCCCAATGATACTCGATGGGAAAATGCCACCGAGAGATATCAGATGTACGCTGTGCCCGACATTAAGATGGTTGTCCGACCTGGAATGGAAGACGATGTGGCAATAGTTGTAAGTCAAACCACATCATTACTTCCCTGATGACACTCCCGGAGCCCTGCTGATATGTTGCAGGTGAAATATGCCAATCGCAACAGCATCCCGTTCATGGCCAAGAATCGTGGCCACGCATTGACTGCCACGGTTGGAGCGTTCTCAGGTATCCAGATCGACATGACCTCTTTGAACCAGATCAATTATCAGCCCGATATGAAAACAGCTTGGTTCCAGGGTGGTACTTATGACGACCAGGTCATGGTTGAGCTTTGGGACAGAGGATATGTTGCAAGTGAGTGATCTACAGCGCAGCCCCGACAGAGACAGGAGATGGACAGAAGACTGACCTTAAATCTGTAAACTAGCCACTGGAAGCTGTAGCTGTGTTGGCATGATGGGCCCTGGTCTCGGTGGAGGCCACGGGCGCTACCAGGGACTGTACGGTCTGATCAGTGACAACTTGGTCAACCTCAATGTTGTGCTCGCCGATGGAACAAAACTTCGAGTCAATGAGAGTACCAACCCGGACCTATGGTGGGCCATGCAAGGCGCTGGACACAACTTTGGCATCGTCACCAGCTTTGAGCTCAAGATCTATCCCGCGAACATTGAATCGTGGTACTACCGCAACTACGTCTTCACTCAGGAGCAGCTCGAGCCACTGTTCGAGGAGCTCAATGACTTCCACGACAGGGGTGCTCTACCAGGTGTCGTTGGCGGTGGCTATGTCATCTACGGTATGAACAAGACCGTCGATGAGAACAAGGTAAGTCACAAAGCCTGATCTATTTTCCATGGATTAGTACGCTAAGCATTCTTCAGGCCATTCTTTTCGCATCCTTCATCTACGCTGGTGCCCAGGCCGACGCCGAGCCAGTTTTCGAGCGCTTTGACAAGTTCGAGTACGTCGACAGACAGGAAGGCAATGTTCCGTTCCCCCAGGTCCCCGACGTCCAGGGGTCTGGACTGCGCGACCCCCTCTGCGCCGGAGGCAAGACGCACATCACGACTACTGCCGGTCTTCAGGAATACAACGTCACTGCGCAGCGCCAGATCTACGAGCTTTACAACCAGAAGATTGCGGAGCATCCCGAGCTCGAGGCCACCCGTGTCGTCATGGAAGGCTACTCTGTCGAGGGAGTCTTGAAGCACGACCCCAAGAAGTCTTCCTTTGGCCACCGTGACGATTATCTCACCACGTATGTCTTTGCACCCTCCCTCTTTTCCCACTTGCTCCATCGAGACCATTCAGACTGACAGCGCGTTCCATGTAGATACTTTGACGTCGAGAACCCCGCCGACTACGGCCTGCAGGACTATGCCCTCGAGTGGGCCAAGGAGACCCGGGACCTGTGGAACCTGGGCCAGCCCGAACCCCGTCGCAGCCAGCCCTCGACCTATGTCAACTACGCCCTCGGCGACGAGTCCCTGGAGATGATCTACGGCTGGGAGCCCTGGCGCCTACAGAAGCTCCGCGCCCTCAAGGCCAAGTACGACCCCCTCAACACGTTCCGCTACTACAACCCCATCCCACCGGCGACCAATCATTATTAGGTGAAGCACCCACAGCTGCCCTTTTTTTTCTCCATTTGGGTCATTCCTTTTCTTTGGTTATTAGACCATGTATCATTTTCAACCCCCTAGATGTATAGATTGTATGCTTCATTGAATTGTATTTTTACGGAGGTTTTCTGATGGGGTGTTCTTCTCGGGGAGGGGAGCGGTTAATTGAGGTTATTCTGCACTAGGCTGGGTTTTAGCTTTTGAGAAGGAATTGGCGCAATAGTATACAGCAGACAGGTTCGCACCAGGCACTTGGCACTTTTAGAATGAAACATTTAAATAGTCTACATGGTTCCTTATTTACATATCTTGAATCTCCGGAAGCTGGCTGCAGAAATTCCATATCTTTGCAAAATATTCGTGCCAAAAGACCTTGTAAGGCTTTTCGAAGACGTCCTCATCCCTCCTTCCCGTTGTCTTGCTGTTGCAAGTGGAAATGCTCTGATCACGCACAAGAAACCAAGAGTCAGGAACCATCAATCAAGACATCATTAGAGTACACCTGAAACCAGAGCAATTTAGACTAGAAGAAGAAAGTATCATTCTATTCAAAAATAACAACAAAATACAAATCTCAATCAGCCATTCCGTCGTGTGCGCATTGCTCACATGTATGATCTAACTCGTTCTTACGAAAACCAAAACGCCCCGAACCCCCCGAACTCCAAAAATGATTACCAATCTTGCCACACACAGCTGGCTGAAGATGAAGCTTGATTGGACGAGGGTGTCTTTCTACTCGCTCGGTGCCAACGCGTCATCAACAACTTTGGCGGCAAGCTCACTAATGCTGGTGTGGGCATCCAGCAAGTCCGGCATGCTGATCTTGAACTTGAACGCCTGATGGAACCAGTTGCGCAACTCGGCCGCTATCAGACTGTCCACTCCATGCGCTGCCACGGTCATGGCGGAATTCACACCTGACGCATCAATGAACAACATTTCAGCGACGGCGTTGGAGATGGCCTCGCTGACGAGCTCAGTGGCGCTGGCGTGCCCGTCGGGGCCGGCGTCAATTGCCTTTTGGAACGCGCGACGTATTTGGGACAGTCCCGACTTTCCACCGCCTCCCGCTGCCTCCTCGGCCGCTGCTAGATCCCCATCGTGGCGCTGCGCATCTTCAAACGCGCGCATCACCAATGAGACACGGCCGTCTGTGTACCACCGAGGCACGGTGCTGGTTGAAGTTCCCATTTCCACTTCGGCCCTCTTCTTGGCAGCCATGGCAGCTGGATCCATGCATGTGACAATATTGGCAGCGGACAACGGGTCCTGGTGCTTTCCGATCCAGCCTCTCTCATCTGATAAGTGCTCATGATCCAAGAAAGAAGGCTCGAGCAAGCCAAGGAACTGGTGCTCGGATATTGTCAGCACTTTGTTCCGGGCAAACAGATCGACGGTGATGGAATCAGTGCTGAGAGAGCCGAGATCGTTGATGAAACCAAACGATGATGCCGTTGCCGGTAAACCAAGGCGCCTTCGGTAACGGGCAAAGTAATCTTGGAAGTTGTTGGCCGCAGTGTAGGCGCTCTGCGTAGCGAGAGCACATATGGATTCTATGGATGTAACCATGACAAAGAAGTCCAAAGGTTGTTTGATCGTTGCGTCATGGAGATTTCTAGTACCGCGCACTTTCGCTGCTAGACTCTGTTGCCATCTCTCGGCAGAAACTTTATCAAAGGAGACATCCAAGTAAGAGACCGCGGCATGAATTACGCCCTTGATTGGTCTCTGTGCTGCAGCTTCTCCAATGACACGAGCGACGCTGTCAGACTTGCTCACGTCGCAAGCAACGGCTTGCACGTCAATGTCGCGCAATTTCATCTCCTCAATGAAGCTTGCTGCGCCTGGCGTGTCGAGACCACGTCTGGAAAGTATTATCAGGTGACGTGCACCGCGGCTCCCTAGCCAGTTGACAATGGACTGACCAAGCCCACCAAGGCCTCCCGTTATGACGTAGCAGCCCTCGGGGTCGAATCGAGCGACCGGCGTTGGCGACATCATCCTCACTGGCGTGTCCGGATTTTCGAAGCTAATGACGAGCTTTCCAACGTGCGTACCTTTGGAAAACCCAAGCAGGACTTTGTCTAGCTGTGAGATATCGGTGGCTGAATGTGGATGAATGGGTCCAATGAGGCCTGCCCTGTAATACTTGTCCACAGTCTGTAGCAGCTCGGCTCCAAGTTCGGGATCGTCATCAAGCAGCAGTGATAGATCAAATGATGAAAAGTTGGCATTCTTCTGGAAAAGCTCGAGACCAACTACCTTGGAAGATGTCACATCCATTCTACCCACGTCGACCAAGTGGCCTAGAGGCGCCAGCGCCTTGAGAGACGCGTAAAGCATGTCTCCTCTGGAAGAACTGAGAATGACATCAAAGCCGCCTTTGGGAAGAGAGCGGGCCAGTTTCGCAATATCCGATTCGCTACGCGAAGAGATGATATGCGAAGATGGCATGTTGAAGTTTTCAACAAGGAAGCGGGCTTTCTCGTCAGTTCCAACCGTGGCGAAAATCTGGGCACCCTTGGACTGCGCAAGCTGTATTGCTGCCAAGCCTAAACCGCCAGTGGCAGATTGTATCAAGACTGTTTGCCCCTTTCTCAGATGTGCAAGGTGGTCGAAGGCGTACACTGCTGTCATGTACACAAGGGGCATAGTTGCAACTTCGACGAAGCCATCACTAGACTGTAGTTTCTGGGCTGCAATGGCCCGGACTCTTGTGTAGTTTCCGAAATGCCCCTTGGCGGTACCATAGACCCTGTCGCCTATGGAAACATTGGTCACATTTGCACCGACCGCAGCAACAATACCCGCAAACTCAGAGGACAGATTGTTGCCGTCAAATTTGCCCGAGGATAGGCCCAGGTCCTTCCAGTTCAGCCCGACCGCTGCAACCTTGACATCGATCCAGTCGGCTGCAAGCGGCTGCTGAAGTTCGGTGTAGGATTTGAAGTAAAGGGAACTCAGTATACCGGGGGTTTCAAAGGCGGCGCGGACGGGTCCCTGACTGTCTAGAGGTAAGAGCTCTGTATTGCTGTTCTTGGGACTCCTGTTCAGTTCTGCAAATTCTTGCAGTCCTGAGTCTGGTACAATCCGGCTGACCCAAAGACAACCGTCCTGCCAGACAAACTCGCTGTCGATATTTGCATCGCTTGTCTCCTGCTGCAGCAACTGCTCCTGAGCGAGGATCGTCTTGACTAGGTCCTTGTCATCCACATTGTAGTTTTCAGCATTGATGTCGATGGACATGTATTGACCCGCGGGATTTTCAGTCGCAATTGTACGCAGCAGACCAGCCACCACGGCCCCATCGGGATTGACGCCCTTTACCATCCCTGAAGAAGTCAAGCACAGCAAGCTTGCAGCGCTTGATACGAGATTTTGAAATGTCTTCAAAGTATCTTCGTCTTCATCTAGCGTCAACTGGTTCTCATGGAGGAACAGAATCACCCGTTCATTGGATGATAGATTGTGCAGGGCTTTCTTGAAAGGAACAACTTGAACAGAAGCCCCTTGAGACAGTAGATCTTGGTAGAGTGCGACAAGGAGCGACGGTCGCTCTGTTTCGTCGTGCCAGATCAACCTGATCTTAGCGGTTGCCCCCTCTCCTCGACTCTTTGCTTCCTGTCCGGGGTTCTCATCCTGCAGCGTACTCACAAGAGTCGTTGTCGTGTTGTGAGGATGAGGGTAATCGTCCAACACAATCTCAGTACCGTTGAACCCTGCCGCTCGGAGAGCTGTCTCCCATGAATTCAAACTCAAGAAAGGCATGTCCAAGCGCCCGTCGGGAATACCATGCCAGTATCCGGTGAGCGTTCCAAGCACCAGACCAACCAGTATTTGATTTCTGGTGTTCTCTACCAGTACCAATTTACCACCTGGCTTCAAGAGCTTTCGGCAATTTGCCAATGTCTCTGAAATGCTTGTTGTCGCATGCAAGGTCTGCGACGCCATGACGACATCATACACAGGCTGAAATCCTTGTTCCAGTGGGTCCTTCTCGATATCCAAGGTCGCATAGTTGACGTCGTGAAACTCGGCCATGGATTCCCGAGCCGAGGTCAAGAATCCCGGGGAAATATCCGTGAAAGTGTAGTCACCATATCGTTTGATGCCGTTGGGACCAGCAAGCGCTTTCATGGCAACTCGAGTCGCACCACCTGTTCCAGCTCCAAGCTCCAGTAAACGCAGATCGGGGTTTGCATGGCCCAGACTATCGAGGATGTTGTGAAGCTGAGGATATGCGCTGGTCATGAACAACCCTGTCTCGTAAAGCGATGCCAGAATTCCCTCATTGACGAGGACATCAACTCCGGTTGTGCGTTCCTTGAGGATATCACTCATGTTTGCATGTAGTGCCTTGACAGCTCTAGCTTCGGGGTTAAAAGACATTCCTTGGTACAACTCCTCAATGGATTGAAGTCTCTGCTCTTTCGAAAGCTGTTTTGCTTCTTGCATCAGAGGTGTATCCTCATGAACACGTCGCTCCACCCAATTGAAAAAGTGACCGACATTCCCGGAGGGTATCGGGATCTCCGAGCCTTTGCCAAAGGACTCATACATGTCGTAAACAATGATGGAGGCTATCTTATTCAAATTGAGTAGAAGCGGAATCTTCTCGAGGTTCTCCTTTGGCGGGCTGAATATCTGGCGACACTGATCGTTGTCGAGATTACGGATATCTGGCTTCCACACCAACCTCGTGAATGGGCTGCTAAAAGCTTTGGATTGAGCTGCACTAATCGACTTTGACTCGCTGTAGCTGATGCAACGAAGCTGGTCGATATTGAGCACAACGTCTCCAGTGTCATCAAGCACTTGGAGCTGGATATACGCGCCGCGGAGACCGCGAAGCTCTCCTTTCGCGATGGCCGTAGTCTGTTTTCCGTTGATGCCATTCTTGATGTACATCTCCGAGAGGTGAACAGGGACATACGCCGTGGTAGCTCTACTGAGCTCGCCTCCATGACAACCAATGAGGCCGAGTTGGAATGTAGCATCGAGTGAGCTCGGATGGACAAGATAACCCGATTCTCCCCCAGTTATGGTATCTGCGGTTGTGCTCATTGAAACTCTGGCTTGGACCACTTGTTGCCTAGGGTCGGCACTGATCTCCGACAAGCCTTGAAACGCTGACCCATACCCCAGGCCGATGGACGAGAACTTGTGATACCATGAACGAGCATCAACCACCTTCCGGCTGCTTGAGATGCTTATCTTGGTCTGCTCCTCGGGGTCGGCAATTTCAGCCTTTACAAGCCCGGTGCAATGTTCCGTCCATTCGTTAGACCCATGAGAAATTGTGCTGATGGTAAATGAGGCCCAAGTGGGAGATTTTGGGTTGAATGCGTCGTCAAGTTCCAGGCTCAGGATCACCTCAACGCCGTAGTCATCTTCTGGAATTCTAAGGGCTGATTTGATGGCAACATTTCGAAGTTTGTAGCCACTGACGTCCAGAGATTCGGGCAAATCTGTATAGACCTGAGCCATTGCCTCTAATGCCATGGTCATGTATCCGGCTGCTGGGAATACAGCGTCTGGGATCAAGCGATGTTCAGCTAACCAAGGAACATCCTTGACTCGAAGAATGTTGCGCCATTGTGGTCGCAACTTGGCGTTGCCAGCAATCCTAGAGCCCAGCAAGTCGTGCCTGATGACATCTCTCAATCGGTATTCCTTACTCACACGACTCTCGTTATAAATCACAGGGCCATAAGAATATTGGTACGGAGGAAGATCAATATCTGTATAGCCATGTACGACTGCAGTCTCACTGTCACTGCCCTCGTCGAAAGCGTTGACTGTACACAAGTCGATAGCTGCGTTGAGTCCGAAAAGCGTACCTGCAAGTTCCAACACAGACTCCCGTGCATCTTCGTTTCTGCTCAAAGAGGCAGCGTATGGTACAGATTTTCCAACGCTCTTCAGTATTTGGGTGACTGGACTCTTCAAGGCACCATGAGGCCCTATCTCAACGAGAACATCGATTGGAAGATTTTCTTGAGACACCATGTTTTTCAGCGCCTCGGAAAATCGTACCGGAGATTCTAGATTGGCCCGCCAATATGCAGCTGTCGTGTCAGAGCTTGATATAGACTTTTCAGGCGCAACAGAGGATAGCCAGGGCACTTCGGGATAATGCTCGTGGTCGACATCGAGCTCACGGATGCGATCGAGGCCTCCAGAAAGCATCGTACTATAGTCAGCACCTAATGGGATCATATGGTGCGAGTGGTACGCATTTCCACCTGTACGAAGCATGCGATTGAATACACCATCCGAGGTCAAGGCCTTTGCTAGCTGTTCAATGGCAGGTGTATCTCCAGACAGTGTGACGCTGTTTGGCGAATTGATGGCTGCAATTCTGGCCTCACCGCCTTGAAGAACATGCAAGTAGTCGGACACGTCCTCAGGTCCCAGGCCTACTGCTAACATCGTACCCTGTTGCTTGTTCTTTGCGACTGCTTTGCCGCGATAGTAAGCCGCCACGATGGCTTCGGCGGCTGTTATCCGACCGGACGCGTATGCTGCTGCCATCTCACCAGAAGAGTGCCCGACAACGCTCGAAGGACGAACTGACCAAGAAGCCAAGAGATCCACCAGACCGACTTGCAGTGCCGTGCATGCCGTCTGCGATATCTCAGGTTGTTGGACCAAGTCCTTTTCGCAGTTTCCGCTCAATATGTCCTTGATAGACCACGACGGAGGATCGTGCAGCGATCGGAGGACGTGATCTAGGTACAAAATGGCAGTCCGGAATGCCCGATACTGGAAAAGCTCCGCACCCATGGCCGTCCATTGCGCACCTTGACCCGTGAAGATAAATCCGACATTCGCCGACTGTAGGGGACTTGAGAAAATCTTTTTTTCGACATTCAAACCTTCCTTCACGTTGGATTTGTTGACAATGCGGAACGTCCTTTGCTGCAGCTTGGAGCGCTTCAACCCAAGAGTGTACGCCACGTTCGCCAGGGAGAAATCGTCGACGACGTCGGACAGCGCGTCAATGTTGAGCTTCAGCGATTGTGCACTCTGGGCGGAAAATGGCAGTAGAACAAGCTCGCGAGAAGGTGCGGTAGCTTTCTGGATCTTTTTCGGTTCTTCTATGTAGGGTTTATGTCGCAATACTGAGTCGCCGTTTTGATGTGCATTCGACTGTCCATTGGAAGTGGCACCATTGGAATACCCATTTGTACTCCCATTTGTGTGGCCGTTTGTGTGGCCATTTGTACGACCATTTGCTGCCTGTGCTCGACGGGTGGAGCTATGTCCTACATTTTCGTGATAACTCGGATAGACAACACTGACATCATCAATGATACAGTGCCCATTTGCGCCGCCGAAACCAAATGAGTTGATACTGGCTCGCAGGACCTTGTCTTCTGGCCATGGTGTCAACTCTGTGACCACATGAACTCGAGCCTTTTCAAAATCGATGTTTGGATTGAGTCTCTCGACGCCGAAACTCGGTGGGATCGCTCTAGCCTCTAGCGAAAGAACAATCTTCATGATGGCTGCGAGGGCGCTAGCACCCTCGCTGTGCCCCAGGTTGGTCTTGACGGATCCGATGAACAGAGGGTCAGTGGGCGAGGCTCGGACTGATGAGAAGACATTGCCGACCGCTGATACCTCAATGGGATCACCCACTGGTGTTCCAGTACCATGGCACTCGAAATAGGTCGTCTCTGAAAATGGTAGATTGCCAGCATTTGCGTATGCTTGGCGAATGACAGCTTCTTGGCCTGCTGCACTTGGCCGAGTGATGCCTCCAGTCCGACCATTTGCATTTACAGCTGTACCTCTAATGAGAGCTCTCATGGGGGACCCATCCAGGGCAGCTAATGATGACCTTTTGATATATAGTGCGGCAAATCCTTCACCTCTCGCATACCCATCGGCGCTGGCATCGAAAGTGTGACATCTTGAAGTAGGCGACAGGGCGCCGAGCTTGTTTAGTGCAATCTGTAGGCTGGGGTCCACTAGCCAGTTGGACGCTGCTACAATGGCCGAGTCGCAGTCTCCGTTGCGGATAGAATTGACTGCCAAATGCACTGCATACATGGACGAGGAACAAGCAGTATCCAATGCAAGACTAGAGAAATGGTAAATCATAGTGAAGGGAGTTAGAGAGCGATCTTGGTACATACCTTGGGCCCTGCAAGTTGAAGATATAGCTTATACGATTAGCAAGGATACTGGTTGCCGCACCTGTGGTGGCATAAGGGCGAGGGTAGTCCCAGTCTCTGGCTTGCATCATCCAGTGGTCGAGGGAGAAGTTGCCGACGAATACGCCCGTCCGAGATCCTGAGATACTGTCCCAAGTCTCGCCACCATTCTCGAATGCTTCGTAGACGACTTCGAGTAGCTTCCGCTGCGACGGGTCCATGGTTTCCACCTCCAGACCCGTCATACCGAAGAAAGAATGATCGAATAGCCGGGGGTCCTCGTCCACCAGGAATCCACCTTTGGTCGACATTGTACCTGGGCGATCCGGATTTGGATGGTAGAACCCCTTCTTTGAGAAGCGTGGCTCGACAAATTCCCGGTACCCATCTCTCTTATTCTTCAAGAGATCCCACAAGTCGCCAGGCGACTTGACACTACCAGGCCATCGGCACCCTGTTGCACTCATTCATGAGCATGTGGTCTGTAGGTACCTATCGAGGAATATTTGACTTACCCATGCCAACTATGGCTATCGGCTCAGGTCCATCGCTGGGCCTTGCCTCTGAAGTCATGGTTGAAATTGCTTCTGATTTTGGTATCTATTTTCTGATTGTGTTGAAGTGTCAGTCTCTGACATTGAACAGGACATGGCCTTGGACTTTGGAATTCTTGCAGAAACTATCCTTATCAACTGTGATCAAGTTTCTCCAGAAAAAGGTTGGTCGTACCGTGCCAATCTGCGAATGTAAGCATGCCCGACTTCGGACTTTCATGAAAGGTACAGAGTGGTCGTCGTAATGCCGCTTTTTTTCGGCCGTCCGCTGATCAGCAATGCAGTCACTCGGGCATGATGCCCGGACTTTTTCGGTTTTATCAATGTAGCGACACCCTGTGCGTCACAATGTAACTATGGTTTGTGTGGGGGATTTTGTTGAGATGCGAATTGATAAGTAAACAGCCGGTAGGAAAAAGTTACGGGGCGTCTTCCACAAGCCGCCTGGTTTCTTATCTCTGTTATTCCTACATTCGGGAGCGACTCATCCTCACTTTTGAGAACCGTTCATCCCTGCTTCCAGAGACAAACGAACGTCTAAGATGGCTACCAACGGTATCAACTCGCACCAAAACGGCCATGTGCCTGCCAAGGGTGCTTCCATCCTCGAGCTGGCCGAGAATATCCTTGAGCAAACAAAAGGCATCACGAAATATCTTCAAGCCAATAATCTCGCCGCTCCGACATTCTCGGTGAACTCTAGTGATCCTCCAGCGACCGAGCAGTACCAGGCCCTACAGAGCAGTTTGCGAGAATCCTTGGAGGACCTGCAGAGATTGATTGACGGTCCCCGAAGGTTCCTGCGTTCTTTCGCCGCTTATACCTACGACTTGGCATCAATGCAAATCGCTCTAGACTTTGAATTCTTTACTTTGGTGCCGGCCGAGGGCGAGATCTCGTTGAAGAGTCTTGCGGAAAAGGCTGGTTTGGATCTCGACCGCGTCAGCCGCACGATCCGCATGCTCATCACTTTACGATTCTTCCAAGAGGACACTCCCGGCTTTATTTCGCATAGCTCCAGCTCCATTGTCCTCCACAAAGATGAGGAGTTGCGAGCTACAGTGCACTACACGTACGCAAATCCTGCCGAATACCAGTGCTCACCCGCTTCCGCAGAACCGCTCACTCTGTTACAGGCTTGACGAATTGCTCAAGGCGGCCGCCTACTCGGCTGCCAGCTTGAAGGCAGACCCATTCGAGGCGGATAGCAACCATTGTCCATTCAAATATCAGCATGGCCTTCCCATTTTTGAATGGTATGCTGCAAATCCGTCTAACGCGGGTCGTTTTGCAAGGGCAATGGCAGGGGCAACTAGAAGTAAGTTGACACTCACTCTCTGATCTCATGACCATTTTTGGACTCTACTCAACATACGATAGTGGATCGGCACATCAACGAGCTAAGAGACTGTTTCGACTGGGGTAGTTTGAAGGGCACAGTGGTCGACTGCGGTGGTGGCAGTGGACATATCTCCATGACTTTGGCTCGGGTAAGTGACCCTGGACTGTCCGAGACGCTCCGACCTGCGATAATTTGCTGACCTATTTTGTTGCTCAGCTTTTCCCTGAGCTCACGTTCGTAGTGCAGGACGGGTCGACGAACATGTTGGATGAGGGCCAGAAGCTGCTCACCGACGATATTCGTGACCGTGTCTCATTCGCGCAGCACAGCTTCTTCGACCCACAGCCGTACCGAGACGCAGCGGCGTTCCTCATTCGCCAATGCACGCACAACTGGTGTGACCGAGACGTTATCACCATGTTCAAGGGCATGGTGCCAGGCCTCGAGGGCTCCAGTCCCGACACGCCGCTACTGGTCAACGACATCATCATGCCGGAGCCGGGGCAGTGGCCGCGATACGCAGAGCGCGAGGTGCGACAGATTGATCTCGTTATGCTGGTAGGATTCGGCGCAAAACAGCGAACCAAGGCAGAGTTCGAGACCCTGTTGAAGGAAGCAGATGCCAGGTATGAGATTCGCAAGTTGCACTCGACGGGGCCGCTCGGTCTCCTCGAGATTTACCTCAAGCGATAGATACATATGTACGTAATGACTAGAGGTTTAGCTTGAACATGCTATCAAGGCATACATTCAAAACAGACCCAGATGGATTGAAGACTGCGCAGTGATGCCGCTACAATGCTGAGACTCTGTGTGCGAATTTGGTAAATTATCGGTTCGAGGCGCGCACGTACTGGTCTTATCGCAATGAATGCCGCATTTGTGCTGAGTGGATGGATGGCAACACGTCAATTGATGACCTTGACGGCATGCAGGTCGAGCATAACGGCCCATTATGCCCTGCAGGGTCTGGCTAAAAAGACCTCGCGGGGCGTTCCGCGGGCTTGGTCAGGGTTAGGGCCAGATGCCCGGCTTCCTCGACCAAGTCCCGAGAAGCAAGTATGTTAGGCCTGGGGGTACATTACTTGGCGGGCGGGGTTTGCACTGGCCCCCCACTGAGAGCATGCTTGGACCTGGAGCAATGCCCGATTTCCATACTTACAGCGACCTACTAACTATTAGCAGCGCGCAGGGAAACCTGGGGGCGCCAGAGGGTCACACCCAACATAACTCGAGGTACCAGGTCGTGGATAAATATCATATCATATTGTGCCAATTTAGACTTTAGGTGGCACACTGCAGTAAAGGGCGGGACAGGTTCTATAGGTCACTTTATCGGAGCGGGGAGTGCAAGCTGGCAGGTGCATTGCTGACTGCATTATCAGTAACATCTATGGACACCCCAGAACACAACCAAATACCCGACAGAACCTTTCAGCTGGGCGCTGGGAGCATCCGCCCGAATGCAACCTCGGACTGCTCAACACCACACAACGTTCAACGTCCAGTCTAGCTGTTGCGAGCTGACGTGAGAACTCGTGTCTCATATTCATGCCCAGAAATCTGCAATCAAGACCCATCTGCTGCCAAGGCAGCCAGGAAATGCTCTAAGCTTGGGGTATGTGGGAATCGTTTGACAGTATTTGTCTACCCGCCGCATACATGCGTGCACACAACACACACACACATGCACGCACCTAAGTTGCATACTCACCTATTTCAGTAAGCTTACCTATGTTCCATATGTGCGTCCAGGGTTTCTTACCGCGTTCGATATATTCTTCATCAACATAGGATATGCCGATCGATCGAGTGTCAGACGAGACATACATATCTGTTACGACATTGTACGCGCCCGTCTTTATCACCAATGACTGAATTCGGTAAAATTGCCTGTTCATTCTTCTGGCTACCCTCATGCAGAAGACACAATCATGTAGCCCTTTTGGATTTCATGACTGACATATGTAAGTCACATATTTGAATCAATTGAACACGGTCCACCCGAGACTGGGAGGGAGCGCTTCGCTCTGATCTCCTGCAAACTCTGCCTGCGATGGACAAGGCAAACCGGAGGCGACGAGTGTATGCATGCATCCATTGCTACAAACGAAAACAAAAAGTAGGTAGAGGTTTTGTCTTCATTCGAGATATCAAGCTGTATAGACACCTAGCTCACAAAGACATCCAATCGACTAGTGTAATCGACAATACCCTTGCGACCATTGCACTCGTCGGCGACGACCAGAAGAATGTGCTTATTATCCTTCTTCTTCTTCCACCACCTCAAATGCGTCTTTGCCAAGACAGGCGGATACAAGTAGCGACACAGAGAATGATGCACTTCAGCGCAGAATCAGCGTTGGGACCGATGAGCATAGCTGGTGGACTCCAGACAGCAACAGCACCACCGTCAGCAATAGTTGCACATCCTCACTATCTGATCTTTTTGGATACTTTGAGGAAAGCGAGTCCAACACGATTGCATTGCTCCATATGGTCGGTACCCCTCCAAGCGATCTCGTACCTACTGTCTCTGGTCTACATAAAAACGACCATTAACTAACCTTGGTTTAGGCGGGACTAGATAGAAGGCAGATCTTGGGTGATACATATCAGACCTTGCCACAAAACGCAGCGGCCAGTGTGCAGCAAGAACTGGAAAGGCTACCTGATCGCCAGATTATTGATTTTATAATCCAGTTCTTTATCACTGATGTCAATTGGTGAGTCTCCTTCGTATCTTGCCCGCCCCTATTTAAGGCCAAGCTTGTAGAGAGGTCAAATGGTCTGAAACGGCAACCAACTTTGTAGGTGCCCGATCTCGTAAGTGAACAGCATCTCACTAACCACCCGTGAACTCTAGGATGGAACAGATCTTGCACCCACCTGTAAGTCCAGTCCTTTGCTTACGGCTGCATTTCTCTTCTTTCCCCCGAGATTGTAGCAACCTGTAGGGATTATTCGCTTGCTACCTGCATCTGCAACAATGTGATCTGATGCTTACTGGAATCATGATGGAACAGTGGTTTTTAAAGGAGTATTATGCCTGGTGGTCCAAATTGCCGCCTCCATCTCTAGCCGATTGCGAATTTACCATCCTTGTCTTGAGGGTCTGTTCTTATGCGTCGCAATTCCTGCCTTCTCCATCACATACAATTGACAGTATCCGTGGAGTATCCCTGACGGACATCAGAAGAGACTGCGATGAGATTGCAGACAGTCTTGCCAGCACTTGCAGTAGTCTAGATACGAGAGGCACGCTGTTGCGGGTACAACAGCTTGCGTTCGTCGGTTTAAGACTCCAGTGTGAAGGCCGAACCACTGCTTTCTGGGACACCCTTGGCAATCTTCTACGGGTAGCACAACGTGTTGGCATCCACAAAGAAGTACCAGCATCAATACCAGGCCCATCCGAGCCCGAGAAAGAAATGCGCCGACGATGTTTCTGCATTCTCTACATATGGGACAGGTATCATCACCCTTCATGTTGAACCGCTCAAGACCAAAACTAAGCATTGGACACAGCTTGCTTTCAAGACAGCTTGACCGCATCCCGTTTCTACCAAGCGGGCTAGCTGCTACCAACCTACCTCGCATGAGACTCTTGCTTGATCCAGATGATATAGAAGCGCCCGAGACCTTCACTGAACGTCTTCTTCAAGTGCGTTTGGCAAATTTCTGGAGGAGTCTCAGCCCCAACTTTGGACTGGAGTATGACATGACCGAAGCTGAGACCAGATATGAGAGATTCTGTGCTCAATTTCTCAATACTCTGCCGCCAGCCTTTGCACTTCAGCCAAACAAGATGTGGGACGCGCGGATACCCATGCTTTCAAGGCAGAGGCAAGTTCTGCACATTACCATTTGGGATACTGTCTGCTGGAACTTCAAACCCCTACTTCTCCTCCCATCGACTGTAGTGCAGAGCCTCCCCTCGTACAAGCAAGTACTGCTCCTCTCGCAAAAGAAAATGCTGGCTATGGCGGCACTCAGTATGCTTGCCGCTGTTGACGTACTACACAACCTAATGGGTAATTCTCACACACGATCTGCCCCTATTATCTTCGCCACGTTCGAGGCTGCAGTTATTATTGCCTCGATTTGTCTGGACCCAGCGTTTGTTGAGGAAATTGACACGACTATCCAGCCATCTGTATTAACCTCGTTGATGAACGGAGGAACTTCACTGAGCAAGGACGGCTGCTTGAGGGCTCTTCATAGTGCACAGAAGCGCTTGCACATGTTGGCCGAGGTCAGTAGCATGGCAGATGCCGGGTCGCGGGTTTTGAACAACCTCGTCGAAAGATTGAACCCTCGATCATGCGAGTCAGAAGAATTAGATCTAGAAACAGTTGTGCCCGAGTATTGGGCAAACATTGATCATGATCCAGCCGTGCAGGTTTTCGGGCTGAGCGGCTTTCTTTCCAGTTCAGTACCTGATGACCCATATCCAGATTGGGATATGCTGGGTCCTTGATCAAGAGGGATAGAGCTAGTGATAAAGTATCGAAAGCACAGACTTGCGGGACTAGATTATAGATTTGTACAATAGATATCGGAGAAACTCTCTGGCGAGGACTTTGTTTCATTAATTTTCCGAAAGGCAATGGTATTCACATTCGGAGTCGCCTTTTGTATCATGAATTTAGCAACACCATGTCTAGTGAAGCTCGACTATCTACAGTGGACGGCGCAAAATGGAATTTCGGATGGAACAATTTGACAATATTTGAACACTACTCGAAATCGCCATAGCTAAAAACCAACTAGCACCCGCACGATATCACTAGATAGGGTGTATTATACCACTGCCAAGCATTTGCAAATCGAAAATTCTGTTGTTTTCTGCACAACTACAAGCTGTATTAGCTAAACAAATCTTTAGTAACTTGAAGACTTGGCAAACAAACCCCATGCCATGGGCGTCGAAGGCTGCTGACATTGTGATCGATCCCAAGGCCCTAGCAATTCGATTTCGGTTCTGTGACTGCTAGACTAGAGTAGCAAGCAGGATCTCAAAGGATCGTGGCGCAAACATCAACATCAGGGCTACTGCCGTGTCCCGTTACTCAAGACTTTAGGGAAGGACGGGGGTACAAAACGGGCCAGGTACCCCGCGGTAGGTAGAGCCCCCAGCCATGTGCACTTTTAGGGCCCCGGGCCCAGATTTACCCGTTTGCGTCCGTCATGTTCCCATAGGACCGAAAAATCTCGGCTTGGAACTTCACACCACAGGGGGAATCTCACCTGCATACATGCCCGTCGTCAGACGGACGTTGTCAGCCGGACAGACGGACATAAGATGGCGCTGCAACAGATATCCTATTATCAGGGAATCACCCCAGATCAGCTCACGGATATGGTGTCATCACCCCGCGGAGGTCAAGGCAGGGCAATCATGGCGATATGGCCTGCCTGATGCGTTCTACCCTATGCATTTGATCTATCAACATTACGCAACTGTAAGTACTTTGTGGCACAGTCCGACCCGACCACTGGCGGGCCAAGAGCCCCCCTCCTTCCGCGCCTCCTTCCGCGCCTCCTTCCGAGGTTGAAGCGAGCTCGAGCTCCCAATCACGGCATCTGTGCCTTTCTGCTGGAGGGCTCCTGTACACCCATCGGCTTTCCGTTGCATTGGGCGGGCTGTTGAAGACCGCAAAAAGGCGGTCTAGGCTGGCGATGCATCTGGCATCTGCATCAATGTCGTCACGCTCTCCTGGGGAAGACAATGATGGCCATTTAGCACATGCATCTCGTTGGTATCGGGTCGGCCAAAGCAAAGCCGACATCGCAGACTGCTGAGCACTTGAGTATGCAATAATCACTCTGTTCAATGCTGCTGGTCGCTCAAATCCTTTCACGATTTCTATCAAAGCATCCCGCGAGAATTGCTACCCAAAAGAGAGATATAGAGATTAAAATAAGACATGGCTTCAACGCCGTATGACTTTGCCGCATCGGCACCTTACCATGCCGTAGCCTTCCTGGCCATCGCAGCCTACAGCCTCTATCGATGGCTACTACCCAAACCGCTGCCAGGCATTGCGTACAACGCCAAGGCCGTGCGGTCCCTTTTTGGCGACGGGCCGGATATGCTGCAAGAGATCAGCCTCACGCATGAGTTTGGCGTCTGGTGCGCTGACCAGGTCGAGCGCTTGGGGGCGCCCATCTGCCAGGTCTTTGTGCGCCCATTCGCTAAGCCCTGGATTCTGGTCAGCGACTTTCGCGAGTCCCAGGACATTCTGACGCGGCGAACCAAGGAGTTTGACAAGTCCTCCTTCATTACCAATGCGATGGCGAGCCTCGGCGACTTTCACCCACGCTTCCTGACGAATCAAAAGTTCAAGGCTTCGCGCGGGTGGCTCCAGGATCTTATGACTCCGTCTTTCCTGCATGGACACATGGGCCCTATAATCTATTCCAAGGGGCTAGAGCTCATTCAGCTGTTTGAGAGGCGCATGGAGCTGGCGGCCGGCAGGCCGTTTACTGTCCGGGACGATTACGACTTTGCCTCTCTGGACGCCATGATGGGCTGGGCCTTCGGGAGCAATCTGGGATATACGGCGGTCGGCCCCCAAGTGGAGCTAGCTGCCAATCTGGACCCCTCCGAGATCCCGCAGGGTGGTCTGGACGATCCGATCATATTTCCTCCAGCCAAGCTGCACGACTTCCTCGTGACGGCGCACGAGGTGCCGCAGGTAGTCGAGCGTACTGTGATTGCCTGGGTCCCCAGCCTCAGCTTGTTCTGGTGGCGGAGGATGTCCTGGTTCAAAAAGCTGTTCTCAGAGAAGCAAAGGACGGTGAAGAGCCAGCTTGAGATCGCCAAAGAGCACTACGAGGCGGGCGAAATCAAGTCTGGCCTGGAACACATGCTGATGCGCGAGGCTTCGGCGGCCGAGAAAGAGGGCCGGCAACCGGACTTTGACAACCACTTGATATCAGATGAGGTATGTCGGAGCTAATCATTGTCTTCTTACATCTACATGAGTAAATAAATGCAAAACACTTGACTAAAACATTTCCATGAGTCTAGATCTTCGGGGAGATCATCGCTGGTCATCACACCACTGGCGGTGCCATGGGGTGGCTGACAAAGTTCCTCACGGGCCACCCGGATGTGCAATCCCAGGTCCGGTCTGAACTTTACGCCACTTTCCCCCAGGCACTGGAGGAGGACCGGCTGCCGTCCTTTGACGAGATCCGCAAGGCCCGGCTCCCCTACCTGGACGCAGCGTTTGAGGAAATGTTGCGCCTGACCTCCGTGACGGTGACGCGCGAAGCACTGTGTGACACGCAGATCCTGGGCCGGCGCGTCCCCAAGGGTAGTCAGGTTTTCCTCGTCTCCAATGGGCCGGGGTTTCTATCGCCGTCCCTGCCTATCAATGACAGCGACCGGAGCCCGACGGCCAGGGCGGCAGCGGAAAAAAGCTGGGACGAGACTCAGGACCTGCGGCTCTACGAGCCGGACCGCTGGCTCGTAAAGAAGGAGGACGGCTCCGTGGAGTTTGACCCCAATGCCGGACCGCAGCTCGGGTTCGGCCTGGGCGCCCGCAGCTGCTGGGGCCGGCGCATGGCGGCTATGGAGGTCAAGACGATACTATCCATGCTGATCTGGCACTTTGAGATGCTCGAGATACCCGCGGCGCTTAGTGGCTACGCTGGATTTGACGGTGTGTCGCGGCGGCCGCAGAAGTGCTTCGTCCGGCTGAGGAGAGCAAGGGCGTAAGAGGGTGGGGGGGCTCAGGGAGCATGGAGGAGTCATGGCGTTGGGTGGCTGCAAACTTGCATGATGCATGGACGGGACGGAAGAGGTGTCTAAGACATTAAAAGGGTACGGTTTCAAGGCCGAGCAGCCCTGCTTGTAGTAGTGGTTTTTCCCCACCCTGCAACACCTAATCAAACTCCAGATTGTGAAAAGAGAAATATTGATTCAGTTCCCAGTGTTTGTTAATAATTCCAGCAAACAAACTCAGGATCCCATGTTGATACGTTAATAGCAGCAGTGATGGATTCGCGTCAGTATTCGTGCATTGCCACTCGCTTGTTCTTACTAAATTTCTTTGCATCAATTTAATGAGGATTGGATGTGGTGAGAATGAAAATATTCAGCTGTTATTATTAGGGTTCAAGGCGTCCTTATGATCCTCAAACGAGAGGGGGGCTGAGAAAGTGGCAGAAGGCTAATCCATCGGATGATCGGATTTTAGCCCAGCTCCCACGTGTCTACGACCGCCAGTATGTCGGTCAGGAACGCTCTTTGTCCTTTGCGCAAACGGAGGGACAGACGAGACAGATTGGGCACTTTGTGTTACCTCGGATCTTAGCATGCTTAAGCCCGCCCTGTAAGCCAAATATTCATTTGGGGGCGTAAAAGGGAAGATCTAACCAATGAATTCGTATTACCTCACTCGCGCTGATCTCCTTGCTCTTGGCGTTTTCGGGGGGTCGGTGAGACTTGACGCTGATCTCGGAATATGTATATATAAGTAGTGGAATGACTTTGCCCGATTTTGCTCTACTGTCAAGATAATGGACTGTTTTTATAGGTGTTTTCCCTTTCGATCGAGAACTGCTAGTACTACCACTACTTTGAATAATAACAACAACAAACACAGCGACAGCAACGTTTACAGCAGCGAGAACAAAATGTCGGCTACTTACGATGTACAGACCTACCTGTTGGACCGGGCCAACATTCACGACACAGTCTTCAAGCTAGTGAGTGTGGCTGGAAGCATTTGGAATAATACATCCTGCCCATGAGCCCCTGATGAGTGATATTAATACGAATTTTCACAGATGCAAAGCTTTGACGAGGTTGATACCCCCAAGCTGGTCAACGCCGTCTATGCACCCAAGGTGCACCTGGACTACACGGCCATCATGGGCGGCGAGCCGCAACACCTCGAGAGCGAGGTCTGGGCCAAGAGCCTCGAGCCTATCCACAGCGCCTATGAGGCGACCCAGCACGTTGTGCAGTGAGTGGAATCTCTCCAATGACGGCCTCATTTCACTCCTCCTCCCAGGGGGAAAGGGGGAGAGGTGAGCCAATGGCGGCTGACTAGTTGTTTTTCGCGATTTAGGGATCTCCTGATTGAGCTGCCCCAGCCCACGGGCAAGTCCAAGCCCAGACCCAACAGCTGCACCGCAATCTGCGTCGGTGACGCCAAGTTCTACCGCCGCAATGGCGATGGTCTGCCTTGCGTCATGGAGAGGCGCACCGGTGTAAGTTGAAACAATCCCGCCTTGGGAATTACCTGAAATGTCCACCAGGCTAAAGCTAATTGTTCATGTAGGGCCGCTATGATCTGGAACTTGTCCGTGTCCCCGAGCTCGAGGAGAAGGGCGAGAACCCCTGGAGAATCAGCAAGCAGACAGTCAAGCTTAGTGTCATGGATTTGGGCGCCGCCCCCGAGGCCAAGTAGATGCATCGAATTCTTTGAATCTATGGGCGTACTGGATGAACGATGCTTTTGGAGACAGTTAGATGGAATAAATGATACATTTTCATTTTATATCTGGGCTTTCACCACATCATTGAAATCGTGTCATGCTTAATTTGAATACTCTGTGGTACTGACGTAGTTAGTACCCACCGCAGATCACCTGCGTGGGTAAATAGGTCGCTCTATAGCGCCTCTCTTTTGTAGATTACCTAGGTTAGTAGAGATCAACTCAGGCATCTTTTAATCCTCCCCCGTCATCTCGTCTTCAGTCCCCCTTCACATGTTGGCTCAAGTGAGATATTCCGTTTCGGTGCAGACTGATCCTTTGTCGCGTTTGCTACACTAAATGAAAACTTGGTCAACTCATAAGCAATGACATTTAATTCCGTGACAGACTATGATGTAAATGAAGGCTCCAAAACAATTATAATTGCGCAAATTTTGTCAGATCACCTGTGATTGTAGGCATATCTTACAATCTTCTGCTATGGAGAAAAACAAAAGGTATATTATGCATCCGTATGCGTCTAAGTCTAACCAAATACTCCATCTGCAAATCTAAAAATATTAATTCCGTTTCCAAAGATTATTCCCCTAAACGCCGAAAGTCCCTTTAATCATATTTACAAAAGTCCGCGAGCATCCACGGCCACCACCTTGGCGGGCTCAATGATGGTTCCGTTGACAGGCGCCACTGTCGCGCCGTTGGTCGAGACGTAGATGGTGCTGCGATCCCACTTGGTCCGCCCGAAAGCTACCGCCGTGTCACCGGCCACGGTTAGCTCAATGGGCGCGCCGACCACTACCTGCGTGCTGCCGTTTCGAGCGACGCGGACCAGCATATTGTCCACGTCCGTCGTCACCCAGACGTTGCCGGCATCGTCCAGGGCAAAGTCGTCGACGGCGATTGCCAGCCCGTGCAGGTCAGCCACGAGCTCAACAGCGGCGCCGCGCGCGGACAGGCCGTCGCTGCCCAGCCGGATGCGGTACACTGAGATCAGGTCCGAGTTGCTCCAGTACAGGTACCGGCCGTCGGCGCTGGCCTTGATGCCATTGACGGCAAAGCCAGAGGAGGCGACGGGCTTGGGGCGGGTCTGGGGCGTGTCGACTAGGATACGGCTGCGGCCCGAGGCCATGTCCAGGTGATAGATGCGGCCGTTGTTGTTGTCGGTGACGGCTACGGCGCCAGTGCCAGGAATATGCGTGATACCATTGAGCAGGCCAGCGTCGGGGATGGAAGCTATCCGCTTGACCTCAACCTTGGGGAGCTGCGACGGCTGCTGATGACTGCCGCCGCTGGTGGGATAGCCGCGCCGCGACGAGTATGAGGCCGGGAAGCGCACCTCCCATACGCCCATGGTGCCGTTGATGGCGTCATGAACGGGGTCGTTACCGCGGTGGAAGCGACCACCGCACACGACAAAGACCTCATCTCTGTCATGTGAGAGCTCTACTTCGCCGATGCCGAGGATGGCCGTGTACTCTACACCAGGTCCACCGTTGGGGTCCATGCCCGGGTTGAAGTTGTATAGCTCCGAGAAGCGTCTGGAGTCCGAGTATGGCTCCTGGATGATGTAGATGGAACCGACTGGCTCATAGAGGGTTACCAGCAGGTCGCCATTTGACCTAGCGACAATATTCTCGAAGAAGGTGTCACTGCGGTTGAGTTGGGCAATAGTCTTTGCGGGGAGTGGCAGGGTGACATTTCGAGGATCAACATATTTTGGAGAGTATTGTCCGCGACGCAGGACAGGCTTGGCTAATGTTGAGCCTATCAAGCTCGCTATGACAGCGAAAAGGCCAAAGTTCACCATGATTTTTGAGCAAGACGATGTATATGATAGGAGAATTGGTGAGATTCTGTGTTCGAGGAGTTGCGAATTGAAGGCCTTGAGGAATCGTAAATTTCAAAGACTCTTCACCCTGTGGGTTATAACTCATATCTATCATTACTATTCAATATCTGATCCTTCTCTTTTTTGTTTCTTCCTTCTTTTCTTTTTCTCTGTCTATCTCGTTCGTATCGAAACCGGAAATAACACATGGGATAATCCTGCCGTCCTGCTGAAGCCTTCCTCACTCTACACAGCCGCTTAGGTTTAACAATACATTTTGCGAGTACGCACCACTGGGCGCTGGATTCAGTACTGGGCGTTGGCATCGTGGGCTTGTCATATGAGTTTTTGGGGATCTATTATCCATCAGCTGAAGCCCAGCTGGAGCTCAGCTTCGCCTCATCTCGTCTTACCTAATACCACACCATCTCAGGTACACGCCACGAGATCGCGGGCGGCTTACCCGCGTCAGCGATCTCGGTTCGAAAATAGCTGTCACGTTGTCGCCAAGAGGCTTCCTTTTAAAGCCACACGTGTGGTCGCCGACTTGTGGGATTCCAATGTGGCTGCTTCCTGAATCAGGCACGATAGCGAATATTATGTTTCCCCTGCCACGATTATATTTCTCTTATTTTTACCTGATTTACTAAGCTAAGCTAATTTGAGCTTCGGGAATAAGCCACAACCCGAGTATACTTCTCCCACCGTGATCGCTTAGGATTGACACAGTGCAATGTTGTCCAATCCACAATCCACGGGCAACCATTTTCCCACTATTACAGGTGTTCCGTCACCGAAACATTCCTACCAGTCAAGCATCTTACGCGGTTCCTTATGTTTATTTATGGGCGATCCTAAAACAGAAGTACGCGCCCGTGTCTGAAATATTTGTTTTTAAGACACGTGCTCACTTGGCTGCGGCCGCACACCTTTCTCGAACGCATATTAGATGGATACAGACCTTCTGGAAGAGAGCGGAAATATAGCTCTGATATGTGCGATTTCCTTTCCTTTTTTGGACATGCCTTTTTATCGTTCCTAATGCACGTCGGCGCCGATTCGAACCACTCGACCGTCTCCCACGAGCAATACACTCCTGCACAAAGTTGCGAACCCTAGTTGTCAAGGTCCTAAAGGAGAACCTTTAATCGTGAAATCTGTCAATGACGAGTCGAAAAATATCTTGGAGGTCTCGACACAGGGCATGTCATCTTACAAGCGTGGGAATATTATGGATTTTATTCTCTAGTTCCTCGGCAAAGTCATGCGTGGCTTCGACTTGGGAGAGTACCTGATCGAAGTCTCGTGATGCTATCTCGAAACTTTCATCAGTACAGCCAGTGTGTAAAATCGCTATCATGCCACCAATAGTTTTATGTATGCACGCATGGCCCATTTTTGATCACCCCTCCACACTTGTACGATCGGCACTCGACGATAGATTACGTATATCGTTATTTAGTTTAATATCATTTCCGTATGGTCTATTTGGTATCAAAGTCTTCATAGTGCCTGACAGGTAGTCCCGACTATTAAATTTGCATTTTGTCCCATTATCCTTACTTCTTCCTCATCGGTACCAAGCACAAGGTCGAAAGTGGTGCGTGAGCCATCCATTCTCACTGGCACCTGAGTACTGAAGATGGCATAATCACCCAAAGTCTGGTCAGTTTGTTCAAGTAATGTCGTCTCGGCTTGTAAAGCATCGAGAAAGACGCCCTGTCTTGCTATCGAATGAACAAGATCCAAAGCGACTGTGTTGTTTACGTTTTCCAGCCTAACGGCAGCGGAGACAGTAATGGTTGCAGTTCCATCATTGTCTGTGATGTTGACACAAGACTGGGACTGTTGATACAGAATCTTATCTTGTACGGGGAATCCGTGGCCGAGATTGTCGTACGTTGTTGACTCGCCCGTAGAAATGGTTTTTAGCTGTACGTCAAATGAGCTGATACCGGACTCTGGGTTCAAAACCGTCGCAAACTCGAACCACGCGAAGGCTTCTCCAAAGAGACCCGCGGATAGTCCTCCTTGGAACGTTCCCCGAGTCGTCGTAATCACGTCTGATGACCTGACGCCATTTCTGTCGATGTATGTCAAGTTCATGCCGAGATCGTTATAGTTGCGACCAGTACTCGATGTAACTCGTACACGAACTCTTCCTTGGAAATCAATCTTCCCCTCGCTGTTCAAGGCCATCAGCGTGATATAGGGCTTGATATCAATGGCTTCAATCGGATCCCCGAGTGTCACGTCGGCGGGGACAGTGTTAATCATTCTGGTAAAGATGTCCGCACACTTTGCCTGAAAGACCGATCCATCTGCTAGCTCATTCATGGTTTGATTCCCATCAGCCCCGAACACGCGCTTGTCGGAGTTGGTGGTGTCATTGGTTCCCACAACCAATGGATTCTCGGACGAGTCTTCTAGGTATTGAGTGACGACCACATTATCAAACTTTGAAAACGATGTTCCGTTGTTGCCTTCAAATCGCGAGACGTGGCCAACTGTTGCGTTACCCGTGATCTCTGGAAAGTCTTCGCCGTGCACACCCCCAAGCGTGTGGCCACAAGCGACCATTGAGATCATGTCGCTGACATTGAATCCAGCTTTTGCAAACATCTGTGTATGCATATCGATATCTTGCTGAGGCTCCGGAACGCCCGGAGGTCCAGCTTCAGTTGCATCGATCCTGCCTGGTCTGAAGGGTATCGAAGGGCCACCACACGCTCCGGTGGCTATGATGGTCGCTAAAGCGATGAGATCCGCCGCACCAGACCGGCTCGTGTAAAAGTTGCTCAAGAAGCCAAAAGTGTTATTAAAGGCCGACCCTGGGTTCTCCGCCCGGTCCAACTCAAACATGATTGACGCATCCAGCCCACCAGTCCCAGCCGCCGCGTCATGGGTGGCCATATCGTGATATGCTGTGCGTACCCATTCTGCTGCATTCTGTCGCCCTTCAATGTTTGTGCCAAAAGAGCACGGGCTCACACCTATTTGGTTAGCATTGCTACTTTGTCAGCCAGGTAAATCAAACTCACCATCGATAAACCCGAAGTGAATATAGCCCGACTGTAGGTACATGATATCCTCAAGGAAGTCATGTTCTGATGGCCACACATATGCGCCATGAGAGAGCCCCACTAGGGCAAGCCCAAACAATTCCAGCCAGTGCATTTGCATAAGGTCGATTGCTATCCTCAACATGCGTGAGTTCAAAGGTGGGATTTTTAGATTCTAATTGTGAGCGGCAAAGAGCGCATGTGACTGATTATATGCGAGACAAGCCGGGAACTCCTGAACGAATTAAGCGACAAACGTTGCAAATACGCACCATTCGATGGGTTCCACCTCGTATTCAACTACAGATTAACCTAGAAAATATGCATAAATATCAAATTTGACAGGGTTTTAAATATACACCGTGCACGATGGTGTTACATGGCGACTAATTGTGGGGAAACAATGCCACATCATTAGCGGGTACCGTAGCAAAACGACAACGTTGCAATTGGTAGGTAGGTATTCGACTAAAGCTAATACGAAGCCTGGTATACGAGACCTAGTATACGAGATCTATCATCGGCTTAGTCGAAATCGGAAAAGGGCTCAATTCCACTTTTCCTGGATGGCCCCGGGGCTAGCCCCTGGAAGCCCCGTACAATTATGTATCTGGACGACAAGTGTGTTGAAGCACACCATGACCCTGGCGTATGGGAGCTAGTATCCACTAATCAATGATAATTATAAGAATCAAACATTGTCATTAAAGAACGCTTGCGAAACGGTGTACAATCTTTTACTTCTCTTGAGTAATTTAGTTTGGTTGCGCTGGTGTTTACATTTGCTGGAAAAATGTGAATCGAGATTTGCTGAATCAAAGGTCGCTGTCCACAGTAGATCTTGGCTTGCTTCTGAGGCGGCTTGCGAGATGGTATCCAAGGAACACCAAAACCAACAATAAAGATTGTATCTGCCTGTTGGACCTTCTTAGTGAAAGCAAGGTGTAACCCCTCGGACACAATGTGCAAGTAAGTAAAACTAGAGTCGCTGCCCCCAGCATCTTGGCCATGCATATCTGGAATAAGGTTCGCGAGAGCTTCGAGAAGCTTTGGTGTCTGGTAGTCACGACCGAAATAGTCCAAAATGATAAGAGGGTGATTGGCATGGACGATTTACTAGGAGATTCCGTGAACAGCATCATCAATAAAAGCAATTCTCTAATGAACCCCCGTGGGTTTTGATCTCATTAATGTTCGAATAACCTTTGTCAAAACTTGTCGTCTTTCAGTAACATAAAGTGGCCTCTTGGGCCAGCTGTCCATGACTTCAGAGCGCAATTAACCGTTTATCCAATCTGTAAGCCAGTACAGACCTCTCTAATCTATTTTCAAGCTGTGGAGTTGTCACAATGGCTCTATTATGGTGGTGATCAAAGACCAGTTTCAAGGGGTGCAGTGGGAGATGCAAGGCAGTTTGCTCTGTTTAGAAAAACTCTTACAGTATGGTTTCCAAGTTCAGTGGGGAGATCAGAAAAAAAGAAAGTAGGTAGCTATGATGCGCTGCTTGATCATGTATCATGGCGTACCCACAAGAAAAGTTCATCTACCCCGTTCACGAACATTCGCCTGCCATAATTTGGTCTACTTCATCCTTGAACTCCTCAAACGAAAGGTAGAACCGACGTGGTAGCCTTTCGCGGGCGGGCCTTTCCGGCCTTGGCGATTGCCAGTTTACTCCTACATCCTCTGCTGCTCGTATCTCTTCCCGAGTCAGATCAGCGCCATCGAGGTCTGTAAGGACGCTATCCATCTTTGCCGCCCAAACCTGAATCCAGAACTCGGCTGGATTTGCACGCCACAGAGGTGTGCCGTCTCGTTCTTCTTGGGATTTCAATTCGAATTCGGCCACTAGGCTATCCAGCAAATCAATCAATGATGCCTGCTCAGATTCTAATTCCTCTTTCTCTGCAGTGCTCATGTGCTGGCGATTGTCAGGATCAAGGGGCGATACCATGAATGGAGATCTCATGACTTCCGCCTCGCAACAAGTATGCTTGACTTTCAAGGCTGTGTGTGTCAAACATCTCAAGGCCTCTGAGAGATGGCATTGCGACATAATCGAGCCAAAGGTTTCGGTGAACAGTAGCATTGCATCTGCAAGGCGTTGTGGTTGACTTTCCGTTGGCCACAAACGATTTGTCCAGGGATCACTTTCCCATACTTCTCCAAGTACAGGTAGGTATTTCAAGAACCAGACAAAAGGTGTGCAACCTGCCCTGGAGCATTTGCAGCCACAAGCATCGTCAAGCGTTGACCTAAGCAGCTTTTCGATCACAGCCCGTCCTGATTCTAAGTCCTTCTTCATGTTCCTAAGGATCTCTCCATCACCTCGCCAGTGAGCTACACTGATCATTTCACTCAAAAAAATTGTCCCTACAAGCCGAAATAAATTGTGACCAACCGTGATGGACTGTGTTTCGACGTCTAGTCTGCCTTGCCTTCTCACTGGTTCCTCTACGTTTGCACCATGATTGATGAACCATTCATATCGTGGCATATAGTCTGCATCACTAGGATCATATCGCCAATCCATTAATGGAGGTATGCTTTCGTTGTTGAGCATGTTGATGTCCCGAAAACCGAGAGTCCAAAGGTCTTCCAGTTGTCCCTCATCATGATGAATAAGGTGGTACATGGAATAGCTGCGCGCTTTGAAGCCCGGGCGCACTGGGATCAAGGCTTGAGGAACTGCTATGCCTTTATCAAGGAGCAATTGGTAGACAGTAGCAGCATTCCCATCCAAAACGGCATTTTCCTCCAGTCCACACGCCTCAATCTCCTCCTTGCTGAATACCTTCATGGCCAGGTGTTTTAGCCTTTCGCGCCGATTCAACATTGCCTCGATGATCGGCTTCCAATTATCATCTGTTGCTTCAAAAAAATGCAAATCGTTTTGCCATACTGCACAGTCTGCCTCGAGAAGGATCTTCGTAGATTCATGGAATCCGGTTATAGAGTTGATCATGGCACGATCTAGCGGTGATCTTGAGTCTGCATCGAGGATATTCAAAAGTGATTCATCGACCCCATTCGCTTTTATCAGAACTTTGAGGCAGGATGGATGATGAATAGCGAGATGAAGCGGACTTTGGCCGAAAATATTGCTTTCTCGGAGCGCTGAAGGCGTAGTCGCCAGTATTGCGGAAACAGCAGCTTGATTGCCGCTGGCAACGGCGGAGCATAACTGGCCATAAGCGGCAGCTGTATGATACAATCAATAAAATCCAATGTTGAAATAAGCAATCGTACCTTCTGCTAGAGCAGGCCATCGGGGAAAGAATGCTGGATTTGTAAAGTATGACACGTGCCGATTTGTTGCAAGCGCTGAGAATAGTGTTTCATCAGGCTCTGCAGAGATGAGCGAGGTGGCGAGCATAGGTCCTAAATCACCATACCAGAGCTCTCGAAGAAACATCATGGCGGAGGATCTGTATGGAGTGTGAAGGTTTAGCGACAATAATTATATAAAGCATGAGAGACAACTTACTGTCCTTTGTTGTCGTGGGCCATGGTTGGCACTTTGCTCGCAATCAACTTCTTTACACCTAATAAGGTCAGTGTCTTGATGCCTTTGCTCATAGAATTGTTGTTGGTCTTCTGTATGCGAATCTGCTTATGGATGTTAGTGACGTATTTCGAAAATAACACTAGTCTTCCCAGGTTTTATTTGGGATAAAACTTGCTGTAGCTTTGGCTAAGTGATGCATCAAAGAGCGACCACCTGTATCCATGTCTTTTGGAGACGCCCTCCCTTGTCGATATAACAGTAAGACTTTTGCAATGACCATATCAATACTGTTGGGTATGTCGGACCTAACTCTGGGAAGTAGCTGAACCAGACGAAAAGCAGGGGCAGATCTGTGATCGACCAAGGGAACGTAACTTATCCCTGGATTGATGCTCAAGCCACCAGCGCCAAAGGTCATGTGTAACGACAGTTGAATGGCTTTCTGAAACAATGTTCTCAGACCAGTATACTCGAGAGTCATTCCAAAAGTCTGTAGAGTGTTTGTGGCACCGGCAAACTGGCAATCCGGATTGTGGATCGTAGAGGATAGCTTTTCAGAGGACAAAGCAACGGAAGACCAAACCTGGCGCTGCCTAGTAAGTGTTCGGCGGGGCTGACAAAAGCATATTGAATCTGACAATGGCCATGAGGTGTGTACTGGCTGCTGGCTGTATGACTGCAATTCATCTATTGCGGATCTCAAATACCCTGGCTTTGAAACAAGCTGGCGCAATGCATTGTTGTGATCAAATGACTGGAGCCATCATCAGTGCAATTCGTGTGAAATTTTATTACCCAAGGGCACTTTACATCTGAGCTGATTATGGCACGGCTTTGGTGTGATGAGGCTGGAGTGGAGCTCATGACTCGTGCCTCAATCGTGTTTGCACCAACCATGGCTGTTAAGAGGTGGTACACATCGGATACGTGGTCTTGTATACCAAGAGAGACTTCACTGTAGTAGGAATGAGACCCGTTGTTATTGCAGAAAGGGTGTCATACTCACAGATTCGCAGTATTCAGGGCAGTAAGAAGGTTCCCGTTGGCTAGTGCCAATCGTTTCTCTAACCGATCGATCTTGGAGCGATTGAAAGGAAAGGTCAATTTCTTCGCTCGCACCTGTGCTCGATGCAATCGGTGTCTCAAGCCCTCACCAGACGGTCCAGTCGCAGTAAATTCCAGTAGCATGTCATTTAATGTTTTGATATCGAGCTCGCAGGATCGTAGAAATGATTCGAGTGACGATGATGATGCTGCATGTTTCGGCGCGAGCTTGGGCGCGAGCTGTTCGATTATCTCTAGCGATCTCCGCATTTCCAACGTCTGCCTTCGGGCAAAGTCAAGCTCCTCGGACCTAGCTTCCACGGCGTCGAGGTAATCCGAGATGCCTGCATAGAGCTGGAACCCCCCTTGGACGAGGGCAATGACCAGGCCCGCGATGGCTAATGGGTCCGCCATTTTTGAGTTATAGCACTCCACTGACTCACGGATGTTAGCTCGGATATATGCAGAGCAATATGATATCACTTCACCTCGTCGGACTATCGTGTATGACCTTGGTGGTCGCGCGTACACTTGAGTCCCTGGAGTCCCGCAACTAAGGACGTTGTACACTGATGACGGTGTTCTTGAAACAAAGAAACATTCGGGGTGGACGAGGGCCGTGGGAAGAATGTGTGCTGATTATGCCCGATTCTGCCTTCTCACAGCCTGCTTGGTCAGTCAACCTATAAGAAACTTCGGAACAGAATTCTTTCCCCGCATTCATGCACGCCCCGTGGCTGTGCCGCCCACGGCCAATGAAGTACTGTGTCGGAGCAAGAGTCCGCCTTATCTCTGCATTGTGTGGTTGCACGACTTGAGAAGTAATAATTCGAGGCGTTTTTTTTTTTTGGCCTTTTTATTCTTCGTCTCGCCGCCACCTAAAGCTGTTATGCTATCGTCTCTCCTGTTGTGAGTCGCCTTATCGAAGCGACTTTTGTGGCCTAGAAATTGAAATTGCTGAGCCTGGTGATGTTACAGTCGATAATTCCAGGACTCAAGGTACGAGAAATGAGGTTATATTCATTAACTATTTCTGAAGTGACATTCTTGGTTGAGGGTCTCCAAATGTTTTTGTCTCATCTTTGGGGTTCATTTCGTCCTGAAAATACACAGAGAAATGATTGATTCCCAGGCAAAATAGGCTTTATGATGCAACGGTACAATAGCAGCCTGGCCATCGTTGAGTTATAACGGTTGAATGGAGCCCAGAATAACCCTTTGATTAGTCGGTGACTCGTTACCGAGTTCTTCAGTTTACCATCAGTATTTGAGCTGTCGCGGGACAAACTTAGCTCTGGGTGGCTCGCCAATGCTGGAATGTATGCCGCGATGGGTATGTCCATTTGCTTGTTGAACTGTGCATAGTTTAATGCAGTAAACCCCAAGTCTCTTCTACGAATTGCAGACCCTGGACGGTTGGCAGCTTCATCGGCGGCCGGACATAATAATGTTCCGAACATCACAACATCAACCTTTCTCCAAATGACCTCGAGCGTCACCTATTGCTCTGCCATGACCATGAACTACTGGGTAATCAAGGCAGCAACTGTTTACAGAAGCAATGTTTGCTCACAAATCTATACACGCCACTACACGCCTCCTGGCAATCTTTTCTGGCGACTTTACAAGTCGGACAAGGCTCATATTACCAACAACGGGGTCAATACCTGACATGGCTGGGTGGGCAAAGCCGGAATTCGAGCTCGCACTGTACGAGCTTCAACACACGGGGCAACAGGGGCTGTCATACCAGATCCAAGATGAGAATGAGTTGGTACATATGCAACACGATCGCCGCCTAAATTCGTTACCAACTTGTGGTCCAGAAAGATCTATTCATCGCAGTCTTCCGACAAGATTACGTATGCGAAGAAGTAGGTCTTCGCGGATTGAGTGACAGTGGTCTAAAGTGTACAGAAGGCACTCTCGCAGGGTTTCGACCGATTGATTATGAAGGGGGTCCTAAACAAGTTGCCATTATGCCATTGGGCGACAAGCAGAGCTTGTTAATTGGACAAGCAATAATGATATAGTACTATCAGGATCGATGATACTGGGTCCGGAGCATGTGATATATGGATTTAGTAGGCGCCCACCTCTCAGGTTCGGATTCTTCCGGGTGCGAAAAGGTAATGAGGCCAATATTGGGAGGGCTCAAGGGAAGATGAGTCTGCAGTGGCTGTTGAATGAATAAAAAGCAGCAGGGTATTCTGATCGGTGGTATCGTTCCAGGCGATACAAAATGGGGTGTATCAGCTATCTCGCATGCGTGTCGATGCCATGAACAAGCTCCTTACTCCACCATTTCTAGTTCTAGGTTGATGCACCACAGCGTGGCTGTGTTGTGTGTCACCCTTTGAATGACACAACGGGAAAGGTCATCAAGTCTGCTTGTTCATACATTGATTTCGTAGATGGAGGCCATCTTTTATTTTACCCTTTATTTTGTATACAGGTTGTATCACAAGTCCTGGGGACTGGTTACCATCTCTACACTCTTTGAGAAAGCTCGTACAGAGCCATTCGATGCAAAGTTCTAGCTTCGACATATTCCCGATCTGATTGACGTCTCAAAGCTACTTTTCTATTTGACAGGCTTCTCACAAGTCAGGGACGGGCTCTTCGAGTACTCATGGAACCACGACTCGCATGAGCTCAGTGTATTCGGGAACCCAGGCTCTGGCACGATGAATGAGGCTGCCGTCCAGCTCATCTCGGTGCTTAAGTCAAACAATTCATGGAGAAACCCGACCGGGAATGTAGAGACTGATGGTCTTTGATTTTCTTTTTAGCCCAAAGTCAGGCTTGGCGAGGCAACCTATTCATCGCAGATTGTGCATGCGCCCTCAGCAGGAAAACGCCCCGGGAAATTGTTTCCTTGTTCCTAACGGGGCTTGAGAAGTTGCATGAGCAGCTGTGCTCTTTGAGACGAAGACTAATTGATGAATACTCGACGATACCACACCTGAAAATCGCCTTAGAATCCTGTCTAGACATTTTAATTGTGATATGCCTGATATTTGGCATATTTCTCATCACATTGATGTATCGATATCCAAGTCCTTCGCGTCATTGCCATTAATTGGCACCCATCTATTCGGAATTCGATGCATCTCAGCCGGAGCTCGCAAATCCTCCCATCGTGGTTTTATTGGAGGCACAAAGGGTGGCAAAGACCCCCAAGATACCAGCTGTATCCCATTTTGGGGATCAAGTGGCGGGCGTGCTGCGTCAATCTCAGCCCTCGTCATGATTTCGCCTTCCTCTCCACTAAGACGGGCGGCGACACGTGCCAGTGATGACCAAAGATATCCAAAGTCGCCTCTTCCCTGGCCGTCATCAAGCGAGATAGTACGGAGCTCTACTGGCCGAACATAGAAACTAGTATCCGCCGCTACTGGTCCATCCTGATGCACACCCATGGCTGAGAGGATATCGTCACGATTTGTCTGGAGAAAGGCGTGTACGGCGACAATGTAATCGTGGATTGTCAGGTAGGGTTTACTAGATGCCTTGATCTCGAGCTGAGGCGACTTTCGGGGAGGGCGGTTCTCATCACAGCAGCGCATGAGTTTGCGGCCTGTCTCGTCGTCTCCATGACTGTCATCTTCATCCACAGCATCATCATCCTCGCTGCCATCCGTCCATACTGCTCCATCGTAGTCGGCGTGGGGAATGTGGGATTCTACCCAGTCCTCCTCCCAACTGTCAAGACAGTCCTGGGTTACCGTAATGGACGAGATCGGGGGCTCTGTCAGCGACGAAGTGCAAATTGGATGGAATCCCATAGCATCTTGACTATAAGGCTGGTCCTCGGGTGATGGTGGGTCACCTGGACTGTTGGCAACATGGATTGATGTCGCCATAGGGCCAAAAGGCTTCCATCGGAGGCGCAAAAAGTCCGGCGATACCTGAGGTGGCTTGTTCTGAAGACGAAAAGCCTCGTACGATGGGATGCTCAGCGATTCATCCATTGATGCATGTGTAAGATCAGGAACTTGGAGTACGACGTGGGTTGAAAAAATATGCGATAATTCTAACACTACTAGAAGGTAGGAAAGAGATGGGTAACATATCTAAGAGACGAAAAAGCTTGATTGATTGTTTTTTCTTCGAAGGATGGATTAGTGCAATAATCACGTGGCCGCATATGCGACTCAGCGGCGAAGTCATAGTAATTAAAAGGAAATAAGCAGGGTGAAATTAAAGCGCCTATACTAGGGAGTTTAAAGGGTCCTTTTGACATACTATGATGAATGCAAACTCTTGATGGCCGGGCCGTCTTGCATGTCTTGCTGAGGATTGTGCTCGTTTTTCCAAAAGCGTGTCGTCGTGGTGTCTCGGCGGCTCCTCGCCAGCAGCAGGCAGTGTCGAGCTGTAACTGCAATTATGATTAGGTACACAGATTGAACACTGTTAAGCACAGGTCCAGCTGCCGACAGGCCAATCGGGATGCTTCTTCGTATGCTCCCGAACCAGTTTCAGCTAGGTTCATTTCTAGCGTGGGGAATCCGCTGCCAAGCTCACTACCTACAGAAATCGGAACTTTTTATCCGTGCCACGCTAGTCGACGCGCTATAATTAAAATAACGCGTATACTACCCTTTATTTTATTTCTTTTACTATGCACTATTACGATAGCTATTTTACGTTAATTCGGTACCGAATTATCGGGAAATCGCAGGCGTAACGGGGAATTTATATCGGATGCCCGTATATTTATAGCTAGTGCCGCTATAGCTAGTAAAAAGCATAGCGATTTCGCGGACGCGTTCGGCACCGTACGGCGCTAAACCGTTACTAAAATAATCGGCCGTATATAAATAAAATAAATTAGGAAAATAGGTAATCGGAGGAGAGGGAAATATAAAATAATTCTCCGGGAAAAGCGCTATTTAGTTATTTTTGCCCGTAAATACCCGGAAAACACCTATTCCCAGCTTATTAGGAAAAGCACCCTTTTTATTTATATAAAAACCTGTAAAAGGATTTTTTAACGCTATTATTTTAGGAATTAAAAAAAAGCTAAAAAAATCCTTTTTACGGAAAAAAACGTAACGGCTAGGCTTGCTTTCGCACGAAAATATTTAAAACCGGCGGAGCTACGTAAGCTTCTCTAAGCTTTATTTTCGGACGAATATACGGTATATAATAAATCCGGGAAATTTAGCTAATAAATTTTCCGTTTAGCTAACGAAAAATTCCGTCCCGATTTCGTAAATATATAAAGCTATAAAAAGCCGAAAATCTTCGTAATAATTTAAAAAATAATATAACAAAATTATAAAAAAAAAAAGGAAGGTCCCCGATCGTATTTTGCTAAAAAAATCCGGATATACTGCGTTAAAAAATAAATTTAGAATCGTATATAAAGGTTTTCGAAAAAGGCCTGCTTCCGCTATATATATTTAGCGATTTTTTCGTTTAAAATAACGCTTTAATATATAAAAGTTACCGTACGATAAAATAACTATCCGATAAAAGGGTAGAGCTTATCGAATAGCTACCTTATAGCCCGGATTTTAACCTTATCGAATACGTATAATAAAAACTAAAAAAGCAAATCTGTAAATTAAAACCTGCTTTTTTAAAGCTTAAAAAGAATATTACCGACGAAGCATACGCGAAAAAATTAATTTAAAATGCGTAAAAAAAAATAAAAATAAACTTAATTAATACTTTAATCCAATTTATCCCAGACCGGCTATATATAATTAAAAAAGCTAAAGGGTAGTATATAAAATATTAGATAACGGTTAAAATAAGCTTATTCCTAGTTCCGTAAACCCCGTAGTGGCTAAGATATCGTAATTAGAAAATGGTAATTGGAACTGAAAATTTATGCATTTTAGTCCGTGTACGCATATAAAGTTCCGGTTATTATACCTTAATATAGCTTCAAACAATAAACCATCTAGCTGGGATCGTGGCTGTAGCTCGCTGGCGCTCCACCTTGCCCTCTCTTCCCTCGACCAGCGATTTTCCCTCTCTCAACAAAAAGCGACTCCGGTAGGTATACGCGCGCTATGACATCTCGAATATCATATCCACTGCAAGGCCGGCGCGCAAAGGGCTCTTCAGTACGCATACGTACAGGAAGCAGAACCCATGTCGCGTGTGTAAACTGCAAAGACCGCAAAGTCAGGGTGAGACGCCTGCTGATGCATCAGCGCCAGCCCATGTTGAGTACATACTCAATACTGATTGATCCCATTGTTGGTCCTGTGTATAGTGTGATGGGCAAGTCCCAGCATGTGGTAATTGCCAGCGTCGGGATCTTGGTATGACATGAGCTTTCCAGCCGCTCTTCCTTGACGCATAATTGATCTCGCCTCTAGCCTGCGTCATTGAAGACCCTTCGACAAAGCAACATCAGCCTCGACATTACCTGAAGCAATTAGAGCAGCGGGTCATTACATTAGAGAAGCAGCTGCAAGAAGCCAAGTCGGGCCCAGCGTGGGCGTCAGTGCCTGAACGCGAGCCTACCGCTTTCTGGGATGCCGAATTTGAGCAGTCCGAATGCGACGACCTGTCGTCCATGATTGGAACCTTGAGCCTCAATGCTGCAGGCTCTGAGCCGACCTACCTTGGGTCCTCATCAGCTTACGCCTTCACACGCTTCTTGAAGCCGTCTCTCCGCCCCGCCATCGAATCGGTAACGTTGTGCAAGACGACGAATGACGAGAGTCGCGAAGTACAAGCGCCTGAGCCTTGCGCGTTGCCGGATCATGGTACTGCCATCAAGCTGAGCAATACTTATTTCAACAACATTCATCCCCAGTACCCTTTCCTACTAGAGAAGACTTTCAGAGAATGGGAGGATGCTCTTGCCGATCCGTTCCAGACCATCTTTGACCCTGTGCCACTTTTCTTCCTCAACATGGTATTCTAGAGCCTGCAACTCTTGCCGCTTCAAGGTCCAGAGTCTAAGATGTTTCTTGCAGGTTTACGCCATTGGAGCCACACTGCTACCCAATACCGGTTACTCGTCGGAGCAGCTTTATGCCTCGGCAATGCTGTTTATCGATGACATTCTGTTGTACGACAACCTCAAGTCTATCCAAGCAATGTTGTGTTGCGCGGCGTATTCGCTCAGATCTCCGACAGGAGCATCACAATGGTATACCAAGAAATTAGTGTCTTGAGCTTCGCTTTGATTGACACTTGGCAGGAAACTAGGAGGTCAAGCACTACGCCAGTGCATCAACCTTGGCTACCACCGGGATCAAAAGAGACTCAAGTCAACCCAACTCCAATTCCAGCAGGAGATGCAGAAAAGGGCTTTTTGGAGCGCATACGTAATGGAGTGCGCTGCGTCAGTCGTGTTGGGGCGACCCCTGAGTCTACATTTCCAAGAAATCGACGTAGAGGCAAGCAGTCATGTTGATTGTCCTTTCTTGCCACACAGACCACTGACACTATGAGTAGCTCCCTCTCGATATTGACGAGTCCCGACTCACACCCATGGGGATAGTCGGGGCATCTCCTTCTTCGCTACCAAGCCCTCCAGGGATAATGTCTTATTCCAACCACGGCTTTCGCATCCGGATCTTGCTTGGACGCATCCAGACAGCGCTCTATTCGGACTGCACCCTCACCAGTGCCGAGAAATACGCAAGAGTAGGGGAACTGTCTGCAGCCCTCGAGGAATGGTGGGCTGAGACGCCGCCTCCAAGGGTGCTTCCCGAAGGAGGCGCTCTCTCCTTCTTCATGACGCCAGATTTCTTCAACGTGAGCTACAATTACGCTATACTGCAGTTATATCGGGTGCACATTGCCGACAGGAAAAACATGGCGCCCGACGAGGTTTTCCTCAAATGTCTGCATGCTGCCAGAAATATATGCCAGGGTTTCCGCCGTCAGTTCTTTGGCAAGCCAACAGCTTATACCTGGAGCGCCGTCCACGAGCTTTTCCTTGCGGGATTGACCTACATCTATTGCCTGTGGACATCGCCTGCTTGTCGAAACGCATCTCGCTATGATCAGGTGAGCAGCATGTGTACAGACTGCACAGTCGTGCTCGTAATCGTGGCCGAGCGTTGGTCTAACACAGCACCCTTCCGAGACACCTTCGAGGTTCTGTTCAACCGAACCATGACCATGATGGCAGACATTCAGCAAGGCAAACAAAGTGAGCCTGCTCTACTGTCTACAGATCAAGGAGCTTACCCACTAGATCTGCCGCAGTGGATCGCAGGGATTTCCACGACGGGTTCCTCAATGACTGGCGCGGACTGGCTGTTGAGCGAGTTGGTGGAGGACTTTCTTGCGGCTAGTGACCCTAATGTCGGTGATATGGCCGAGATACCTTTAATGTAGCGAAATGTGCATCAATCGTATTTAATCCGAATATGCTTAATCCTTCCAAACCATAGCGCAAGTCCTTGTCCATCTGTCAAGACAAGTGCGGTCTCGGCGTCAGTCACTTGATCCTCCTCAAGGAAGTTTCACGTAGATATGAAAGCCTAGGTGAAGGTTCACAGCTACCAGTGGAGAACAAATATTACAAATGCCATCACAGCTTTCCGAAGGAACCTATCATACGGCTATTCACCGACTGTGTCTGTAGATACACTTGTGGGGGAGTTGTTCTCTCGCCGGTATGATACGAGGCCCGAATCCGGTTGGTCGGCATGTCCACCCGACACACTCCACAACGAGGCGGCTGCGGCTACAAATCAGCTATCGGGAATGATGTACTAGGTCACTATGACAGTGATTTGACGCATGCTGATGACTGACTAACGTCTATGTTTCTCACGCCCTGTTGGAGACATGTAAGTTGGGCGTGATGTTCGCCCTAGCCTGCAGAGTCACGAATTTCTCTGCCCTTCACGCATATAAGAATATTCAAGTCTTGCCCTAATCATGATTACTTCCTAACATTGATTTCCATCTCAAGTGCTCAACTAAACAATTACATTGTGAGAAACAATGACCACCAGACAAACGACCAACAGGAATGGCTACTCGTCGCCATACCTTTCCGAGGCAGTGTCCTACAATGGCCTAGTCTTTTGCAGCGGAAAGGTCGGTCTAGACGCAGGAACGGGGGAACTGGTGTCTGACGACGCTGGGAAACAGACGGTAGGAGCAAATCGGGTGGGCATTGCTGACTAGGTTACTAACGGCGTAGAAGGAAGCAGCACTCAAGTTGCTCGAGTCGGTGCTCCGTGCGGCTGGTAGCGATTTGACCAAGCTGCTCAAGGTAGAATTTCCTCATCGTGATACAATCTGCTAGCTTGCGCTGACTATATGGCAGGTTAGTATTTATTTGACGAGCAGAGACTACTTTGCCGCCATGAATGCTGTCTGTTAGTTTTGACCTCGCCTCCTATTACTCCCTATATTCCAAGGACCTTGACTAAAATTAGAGAAGATATGGCCATCATCCCCAATCCGAAACCTGCAAGGGTTTGTGTTACAGTCACCGAGCTGGGAAAGAATGCCAAAGTACGGTGAAAGGACCCTAAATTTAAATAGGCTCATCTGATGCTGATGAATTGTGCAGGTGGAAATTGAGTGTATAGCCTATGTAGGGAGTGCTCCGTGAGTTCATGTTCGGTCAAAACTAGATCCTTCAAGCGGCATTGCTGATTGGACTGTGTCATCAAGGAGAGCACTGCTGTAGGGTGTTGGGATTGAGCAGCAGGGCATAGTGAGCAAAACATTGAGCGAGCCATATCTCTGGCGATAGAAACGCTTGGGCGAGAATCAAGACACGATGAGTGTACATTATGGTGCAATTTGCTCAATTAAACCCAGCGTTCTCTCGAATGCCAGCCATGTCAGCAAGTGGATCTCATCATATGTGGCTGTGTCCAGATGATCGGCATATCAACAATTCAATTGATTTGGAGACGATTTCTCAAACAACGTATGCAAAACCCCTTGAGCTAAGCAATTTCTTGGTGACCTAATCGGAGAATGGGCTGCAACGAGTCATGGCACTTTCTCAGTCACAAGGTAATATGCAAATTTACCAAACAAGAAAATACAACATCTCCCAAGCAATATCATGCGTAACAGATGGGAGGCGTTACTAGAACCAATATTCCGAACAAGATCAACCCACTTCAAAACTCCTGTGCCGACTTTCGTACGATTTAAGGCTCAGCCTTTCCTTCACCGTCCATAGACTTGGTCCTGACCGTGCTTTCAGATCAGTCAGCTTCATATTAGCTCCGAGTTTGAACTCTTTATGCTTACATTATCTTGCTGACAACGGGCGCCTCAGCCCCAGGTCGGCCTTCAATCACTTGGCGGTGTCGCGAGGTCTGATAAGCATTAAACCACGAGCCCTTGAAAGTCTCTTCGATTTCCTCCACAGTGAGGCCAGAGACCTCAGGGATCATGAGGAAGGTGTAAATAATGGCAACAAGACACCATGCGCCGAAGAACAGAAAAGCTCCCCATTGGTTAAAGCTGGACAGGATGGATGGCAGGCTAAACTGCATGGCGTATATAAACAGCCAGTGAAAAGCCTGACTCAATGCACCGCCAAACGAACGAATGCGATTTGGCCACAATTCCCCACCGAAGACGTATGGCAGTAGGTAGAGTCCTGTAAACAATTAGTATAATCCGACTTGGGATGTGGCTATTGCTCAATTTCAAACTTGCCCACGCTGTAGCCAAATGCATGAATGAACAAGGCCGCCACAGCAGCCTGCGAGGCCGCTCCAGGTACGGGTCCCTGCTGCGAAAACCGAATATAGACAGCGAGGTAAAGATGTGTGGCCATTTGTACAGCAGCACCCAGAAACAGGGATCTTCGCCGACCGAAAGCATCTATCAAGAAGAAAGTAGCGAACAACAAGAAGATCAACTTGGACGTGGCATACATGCCACTCAGAAACATAGATTGGTCGGTGCTACCGGAAACGCCGACAATGGCCATGATGGGCACAAAGTAGGACGTGATGAGGTTCGCGCCAGACAATTGCGCGAGAGCGTATGTGAGAAGGCTCTGCTGCACGCGCCGCAGATTCGAAGCCGAGGTGAAGGTCTCTTTGGCAATGGTCCACAAGCCAGCATTGCCTCGTGCCTCTGCCGTGTGGTTGATATCATCTTCGATTTCCGCAACCTCACGCTGTACGCGCGGATCATCTGCAGGCAGGCCCCGGATCCTCGCTAGCGCAGCAATTGCCTCCTGGCGACGATTGACGAGGAACAGCCAGCGGGGAGACTCTTCAATGTACAAGGTCCCCACCATGCATACAGCAAGGTAGATCATCGGTACAAACATGACGACCTGGAATTGAAGCTTGCCCACGGGTACATGGCGAAAACAACCAAGCGTGCAGAAGGTAGCTCCAATGAGACCAATGCCCATAGCAACGTTGAACCAACTGGTCAGCAGGCCTCGAATTTGCGGTGGCGAGATCTCAACAATCGATATTGGTCCGCTAACCGTTAGGGGTCCCAGGCCAAGACCTTGGACAACACGCCCAGCATAGAGGACTCCTACGTTGGGCGAGAAGATGGCAATGAGAGTGCCGATGCAGTAGACTAGCGTGTAAAGGCGATACGACCATATTCTTCCGAGTCTGTCGTTGATAAAGAATGTCAAGCCAGATCCGAAGCCGAAGCCAATATAGACGATGGAGATAAAGTTTCGAATCTCGTTCGCATTGGTGCCTGACTTGATATTGAAGTGTTGTTGGAAACCAGGTAGAGAGGGCATAACGGATGAGGCTCCTTGATCCCAGACTATGTAGGGAAAGGGCAAGAAATGTTAACCGACAGACCTATGAGCACGTTCCACTCGTGACTTGTCTGATGGAATACTTACTGACAGGCATACCGCCAAGAGCGTAGACCAAGGCCGATAGTAGTAGATGGCGGTTGAAAATGGTCTCCCTAGGAGCATCGCGGATAGCCTGGCCATAGCCGGCTAATGGCGACTTGCGTAAAATGCCCTGCAATGTCATGATGTCGAGTTTCTAGTGCATCTGATGAGAATGATGAGTTCCACAGACAGCTCTTTGAATGGATTCATGACTGCTCACATTTCTAAGTTATCATATCGTGTCCAGGCGGAATAAGGGAGGTCGTGGATGAGGAAATATTATCAGCGGCGAACTTCAAGGTCGACTTGGTCACCCCAGACTTGATAAGCGGTGCGAACAATTGAAGATGGCCTTCGTATTCTGCCGGTGAGGACTGCACGAGACTGTCTCGTCGCACTGATGTTTTGAACTTGGTTTCCTCATTAGTGTGTCGATTTGGAGTTTGGAGTAGGCGATGGTGCTCGCGCTCCCTCTTATCCGCCGCATCATGCCGAAACTATCGTCTTCCCCACCTGCCCACATCATATTAGAGATAACATCCCTGGTCGACATGGAGGTCTTGGATGAATTCTGGGGTACGGCGCGTTGTGTCCCCACATGGAAGCGAACCGACTATCGGGCTTGAACAACGTCGCTGCCGGGACGATACGAAGAATGTTGCCTATTGGACAAGCCATTTCCGCCGAGAAAAGAGGGTCCGAAGCTCCGTGTGTGGTAAGATCTGCCCATCCGGGGACGAGCGCCGGGCCAGTAGCAACATGGGTTTCTATCTCGATGTGAGACAAATAAGACGGGGTTCCATCGAAATCACCACGCATCAAATCCATTGCCACTATGCGCTCGCTCTATCTCATCCATAGTCTGCCCTCATAATGCCGCACTCTCTTTCCAGCAAGTCTGCGCCCGTCGTTATCGTAGGTGCCGGTGTTTTTGGCCTGAGCACCGCACTACACTTGGCGCAGCGAGGCTACACAAACGTCAAGGTTTTCGACCGGCAAGCCTACCAACAATCACAATACCGTTACAACGATGGCTGTGACGCCGCATCAGCCGGTGAGTTCGCCATTCATCAATAGTTTCCCGCACTGTTTTGCCCCATCTCTTTCTTTGCTAAACTTTTCGTAGATGTCAACAAAATCATTCGAGCTGCGTACGGTTCGCAGTTCGGGTATCAGACGCTCGCCCTCGACGCCATCAGCAAATGGAAAATGTGGAATGAAGAGATCCGATCTGGGAAAACCACACCTCCTGGATTTTCTACCAGCGACAAGCTGTTCGTGAACAACGGGACAGTGACAATGACTTCGGGTCTCGAACTAGACCAGTTCGAGAAGGACACCTTGGAAAGCATGGAAAGGATGGGCCTGAGGGATACGCAAATCAATCTACACGATCTGGAGCACGTGCAGCGAGCACAAGCCAAGGGATTTGGCTTCGCTGTTAATGCTTTCGACATCAAGAATATTAGCAGTACCCTGGATGTGCAGTCCGGGTTTGTTTATGCGGACAGGGCCTGCCATTTTGCCCGTCACAAATCAGAGTCTTTGGGCGTGAAATTCGTCTTGGGTAGTCCGCAGGGCGTCTTCTCCAGCTTTCTTGAAAATGCTCAAGGACACATCGCTGGTGTGAAGACAGCTGATGGCGCATCTCACGCGGCCGAGTTAACAATCATGGCGTGCGGCGGCTGGACTCCCGCGTTACTCCCCCAACTGGACCATCTTTGTGAGACTACAGCAGGTAGTGTGATCATGTTCCAGCTTCCACCTGACCAAGCGTTATGGAGCAAATTTGCACCCGAGAATTTCCCCACATGGTCGTGAGTTAGCACCATTCCAGAGTCAAGTCATGGCTTTTGTTGACGCTCTTGCCAGATTTGATATTCGACGCGGGGAATATGGCGGCCTGTATGGCTTCGCCCGGGACCCAGAAGGCGTCGTGAAAATTGGTTACCGTGGAACCAAGTTCACCAACCCTCAGACTCAGGCCGATGGTACGGCGCGTAGCGTTCCTGCTACGCGCTGGACGCAGCAATCCATCCGTGAGATACCTGAGATTGCCGCGCGCACCATCAAGAACTTTGTGCAGGAGCAACTGCCCGAGTTGCTCGATTGTGCCACAACCAGTCGCCTATGCTGGTACACCGACTCGTACGACAACCACTTTGTGATCGACTTTGTCCCTCAGACAAAGGGCCTGATGGTGGCTACTGGTGGCAGCGGGCACGGCTTCAAATTCCTCCCCAACCTAGGCGAGCATGTCGTTGACAGAATCGAAGGCAAGACAAATGACTTCCTCCAGGACTGGGCGTGGAGGGCTCGTGACGCTGGGGCGAAGTCGTACAATAGTATAATGGAAGGTGTCAGCAGCGATCGGTCTCTCCATCGACAGCCTTTGGTCAATTTTGATCGTTCCGCGAAACACAACAGTCGACTTCAGGAGTGAAGTGAGACATACTGACAGCATTGGCCAACTTCCTATGGAGCACGCCAGGAGAGACTTGTGCTTCGGTCTTGACAAGAATCATGGTCCAGAGTTTGATATATAGAGACGTTTAAATAGTGCCAAGGTAGGTTGAATAATATCTCAGCCACTTCTTGTTTCTTGCTTCTTGTTGGTGAAAGTGTGGAATGTGCTATTAGCACTATTATAAACCTGCATTATATTTAAGTTGATTCTTTATTTATAAAAAAAATGCTGAAACGCGAATTATATATTTATATAAATAATTATAAGTACTCAGTACGTTAGTACGATATAACCCTCTAATAAAAGCCCGTGGAAGCTGTTTATTCCTAATCATAATTTCAAATAAAGCCGCAAAAGTTTTATTTTGACGATTATTAAAACACTCGACTAATATTGATCTATAATCACCTCTCTCAGGTCCCTCATCGAAAGCGGACTATTCAAGGATATTAATGCACACATAAACGCAGCTGAGCTACTTTATAACCAGCACCCAGAAGTCATAGTTGCGGCCCGCGTCGATCCGGATCATAACCTCTCCGACACGTATATATTGAAGCATTAATATAAGCTGAAATGCTTTTATAGTTAGAGAGTCCTAGAATACCCCCTGTTTAGCAATAAAGAGACGCAGGAAGACTGGTTTAAATTGAGGATTGCCTATAATGAAATGATTGAGTACTATACCAATATGGAAGAGTTCGAGATAAGGATCGAGATGTGGCAAAAGGCCTTAGAATTATATGGCAAGTTTGACCTTTACCGATCTAAGCAGCAAATGTTAATGCGACCCCGTGTGTGGATGCCATGGACTTATTTGGGCATATAGAAATTGGATATAGCTAAGGCAAACATCTTGCCGTGCATTAAAATCCTCGAGTCGAGTGAGTTTTACTGGGATTCTAACTTAATTAGGTAAACGGCATAGAGAAGCATTATAATTGTCCAAATCGATCTAATGAGAATGCTGACACGAGCGCCTAGTAGGACGAGCGAAGTGTTGTATGTTTTAGGTAATATTCGTTAGGCCCAAGGCCGGATGGACGAGGCTTATTTGCTCTATAAACGCATAACCGAGTTTAACGAAGGGGTGAATGGGAAAACTCCTTACTATACAGCGAAATTCTACTTTAAGATCGTATAATACTGTTTGCGCCGCTATGAATATCAAAGTGCCCTGTAAGTGTCCCGCACCCTTGTGAGAAGTCTAGTTCCTTTCTGTGTGATTTTCTAGCATACACCCCTCTATTCAATAGGCAGTATAGGATGTGCCGCCGTTAAGATTTAGATCTATGCATAACTAGTGCGCAGTCGATGCCATTTCCAGAATATGCGGGGTATGTAGCACAGACACCTGGGAATAGAATCTGTAGTATAACCAGAGGATCTGCACTCACCCGTCAAGACATGAAAACATTCAATGATTCCCTGCAATTGGTGAAGAACGCAATCCATCATCAACTGGGACAGTACAGAAAATTGGCCAATCAAAATACTTTCCGAGCTAGTCCACTCTCGCTAATGTGTGTGAATTGATCGAGTTGCTTATTATAGGGAAGATACTAAGAACATGCATATTGCGACGCTGAGGAATCAATGGAGAAATGTCACCCAATGCCACAGCACCGGCCGAACTCCTGGCACCGGCCGAAAAAAGGGCTGATGGACATTGGGCCGGAGGGTCCACCCCGGACGCCCGTCGAGCTGAGCCATTCACCCCGCCCGCTTCCTTTTACCTCCCCTAGGCGTCGGCATGAGGGGCCTAAAGAGAACGCCAAGAAGGATGTTGACAGGAACAGGCAAGTAGAGCGCGACGAAAAATCATCTGTGAACAAGCAATATGACGTTGCAAAATACCGAGGGCACATGTTGCGGGGAAGATACCGAGGACGTGTGAAGTTCACCGAGGATGCGAATTGACACCAAATGACGGTCTAATGTGAATTCATGTAATTATTCTATGTTGTTCATTGAAGTGTTTTTTCCCCCACGTGTGTATATTCTCATGTTGCCCCGCTCGTGGAAATGGCGTACATGGTGAAGTCTCTACCAGTATATAGTCAATCAAAGGATAGACAGTAGTAGAATGGCAATTGCAAGTGATCTTGGTCTTATTCGATTGACTCCTTACGCGGCATACCCAGCTGGTGCCACGTGCAACTCACGGCAAGCTTGAACTGCGACTTGAGTCCCTCGACTACCTTCTTCGCGGTGTCAAGATGCACGTCAAGAACGTTATCGTGAAGCAAGTTTTGTTTGCTGGGCTAATCAGCTCGTAAGTGTTGCAGAACCCATAGCCACGGCATGTGCATGCATGTACGGAACCTACAGCTAAGAATCATCACACTTCAGGTCGCTAGCCGCAAACAAACAGCACAACCCCTTTGTCACGAAACGCCAGTCATTGGAAACGAGCTATGACTACGTAGTAGTGGGCTCTGGACCTGGAGGCGGTCCAACTGCCGCCAATCTCGCCGTGGCAGGCTACAAAGGTAGGCAAAGGACGCACTCAGACTTGGTACCATTCATGCAGTGCTGTATCAAACCCAATGCTCACTGTAATCCCTTGTAGTCCTTCTCATCGATGCCGGTGGCGATTCGGGCGACGCCATGGTCGAGGAGGTCCCTGCCTTTTTCCCGCAGTCGACGGAATTCGTCGATACGGAATGGGACTTTTTCGTCACCCGTAGCTCAGATCCTGCCGTGGAAGCCAAGAACATCATCACATCCTACCGGCTGGAGAACGAGACCATTTACACCGGGCCCGATCCACCCGCCGGTGCGGTACCAATCGGCACGCTGTATCCCCGGGCCGGGACGCTCGGCGGCTGCTCCAGGCATAATGCGATGATTGCAATCCGTGCGTTTGACAACGACTGGAAGGCCGTTGCGGACGCCACGGGCGACAGCTTCTGGAGCGGAAAGACTTTCCAGAGGCTGTTTGAGAAAATAGAACACTGCGACTACCTGCCAAATTCCATTTTGGGACATGGCTTCAAGGGATACCTTTGGACCGAAGTGGCATCACTCTTGCTCGCCGTGCAAGACTTGAAGGCTGTCAGCGTCGTCGTTTCGGCAGGAGCGGCATTGGGTAAAACGTGAGTAACCGAGTCAACATCCATCTTCGTCTCCGTCGCATGGCCGGGCTGGGCTGACTCTGTCTTTACTTTCCGTCGATAGCATAACCGGCACCCTTATCGGAACTATTGCCGGATTGCTCGAGATTCTGTTTCTGGATGTAAACGCTCCAGGCGAAACCATTATCCCCGGCGCCTACCAGGTTCCCCTTACGATGAAGGATCAAGTGCGTGGTGGAGTTCGAGACCGTATCTTGGACATTGCTTCAGCGACAAACAGGAATGGCGACCGCAGCTACCACCTTGATATCAAGCTCAACACCCTGGTGACCAAGATCGTATTTGACCAGAGTGGCAGTGACCAGACCCCTCGAGCCACTGGTGTCGAGTATCTCGAAGGGCAAAGCTTGTACCGCGCTGATCCCCGGTGGCAAAATGCAAGTGTAACGGGCGAGGGCACCATTAATGCCACCAAAGAGGTCATCATTGCCGGTGGAGCCTTCAATACGCCTCAGATTCTGAAGCTCAGTGGTGTCGGACCGAAAGAAGAACTAGAAAAGTTTAACATACCCGTCGTCGTTGACCTCCCAGGGGTTGGCACCAACCTAAAAGGTACGCAACTATCATGCTTTATGCTACTCAACTGATTCCTGTCATGTGTAAGTGGTCTGCTGACAATACCGCGACTTCTGGTGTTTCATAGATCACATCGAGGTCCCGATCATCTCCATAGCCTCATCAGACTTTGACCTGATTGATGGCTGCACTTTTGCCAAAGGGTATCCTCAGGTTCCCGACCCCTGTCTCGAAAAGTATCTCCATGCGAACACCCAGGTTGGCAGGGGGCCGTACGCCACCAATGGATTTCCCATCGGCATAGCACTCCACTCATCGGCTGCCGACGCCATTGACCCGGACGTCTGGGTCTACGGCGGGCCCGGCTATTTCCCCGGTTTCTACCCGCAGTGGGCGGACATCGTGTTGGAGGACCACCACCACTGGACATGGATCAGCCTCAAGGCAAATACCAAGAACGGCGGAGGCACCGTGAAGCTTACGAGCTCAGACCCGCGAGACGTGCCGGCTGTTGCCTTTAACACATTCGAAGACGACCTGTCGGCGCAGCAAGATATCCAGGCATCGTACGAGGGCGTCAAGTTTGCGCGCGACGCCATGGATAAGCTGATCCCGCTGGACGGCACTTTTGATGAGCAAGTGCCCGGCCGGGCCGATGCGCCCACGGAAGACGATCTCAAGGAATTCGTAAAGACACAAAGCTTTGGGCATCACGCGTGTTGTACCGCGCCGATTGGAGGCGACGATGACGAGAACGCAGTCTTGGATTCCGCCTTCAGGGTTCGAGGAACCGCCGGTCTCCGAGTTGTGGACGCAAGTGCCTTTCCTGTTATTCCCGGGTTCTTTATCGCGTTGCCGATATATCTCCTTGCAGAGAAGGCAAGCGAAGCTATTCTAAACGATGCTTGAGTGGCAAGGAGGAGCCTTCTCTGATTATCATGGGTGATTGTAGTCATTGCGCGCTATGGATAGGGGAAGGGAGAGGAGAGAAATATGAAAAATAGGTGGGACGCGTAATTCTCGATTTTCCAACATGCTTACCATGTATTATGAATTGTGAACTATATTATTCACCATATTGGAGCAGCGACCTCAACAAAAAAAGTGTCACATTAAATTCATGTCAGCGGCTTTGATTATTACGGTATGTAATTCATGAGCCACTGAACCAGCCCCCAAGCGATTGTGCTTACAAAGGCTCTGTAGACATGCTCGAATGTAGCCATGATACCCACGATACAGAAATATTCAATGGAGTATCACATTTACCAGCTGATTTATCCCTGCTTGCTAATTGCGGTAGTATACGTCATGTTCATATAATATTCACATCACTTTCATATCACATGATACGAAAAGAAAAGAAAAAGAAAAAAAGAACTTTCATTCTGCACCAATGGTGGGTGCATGATCAGATCAGTCCTATTCTAGTCTTCTGGAAATATGTCAGATGCAAACTTGGGGTTCTTCAATCCTCCAGAAAAAGAAAGAAAAAAATCCCGTACATTTCTTTTGGCGATTCTTGCAGCAGTGCACCAACCGGACGCTGGCAGGTAGAAGAGGAGCGCGGCTGGCGGCGGTCTCCCGGGTTGCGTTCTCAATCAGTTCCAGTCCAGCGCAAAAGCGTACTAGAGACTTACCAGGTCACATTTACATGCCGCCAAGGTTTCCTAGTAGTGACAGTGGGATTTAAGGTGGCCATAGCAACCCGAGGGGTGCTCACTGCTCAGCTAGTCGCCGCCTCTTGGTGATAGTGAGCCATTGCACTTGGACTGGGTTGTCATCCAGAGCCGTAACAACTTCCTGTGCAAGTATCGTCTTGCAAATTTCGTGCTGGAAAAACGCCCAGCGATTTCAAGGCGGTTTTTACGTATAAAAATTGTCCCGGTAAACGAGTTCAGAAGTATCGAGGGCTTGAATTCAGGAATTGGCATGTGCTGTCACGCGTCTCGTTCGTGGATTTGAAGAAAGATACAGAAGATGGTTGGTATGAATTCGTTTTGAATCAGCTTCTAAAGTTTGCAAATTATCCCTGACCAACGCGTGAGTTGGAGGGTATTGATCCCTACTTGACAGGACGCAGCGCTGCTTGAGAGCGCACCCGGAAAAGTGATTGATCGGTGTGTAGAGGAAAGCTAGCACATCGAAAGAACGAAAAAATGAAATGTTATCTTCAAAAGGAAGACCAAAACCATTTTCGTCGTTGTTACTCCTTGACACGCAGTGGTAGTGATTATCGACCGAATTTTGAGAAACGTGTCAAGCCGCATGTTTCTTGAGGTTGTTGGCACCAATGACACCAAGCTTAGCTTGGGTCTGAGCGGTAGTAATGGCTCCAGCCACAAAGTCTGCTCTCATGACCAGGTAGGATGTTCACGTCTGAGGATGAGTAGCCTACAGCTCATCCATTGGGAAGGAACATTTGTCCACCATTGGCATACCGCGCGGCCGTCGCCGGTTACGATTTGTGGGTTGACCAAGTTCAGTGCTTTGGGACTCGGATAAGTGCTTGTGCCTGGGAATATTCTATTCCTACGCGGACATTCCATCCTCGTCGTCGCCAGGGTATTCGTCGGGTAAAGTGTCAAGTAGTTTGACTCGGGGCAGAGATGCTGCTGATGCGACCGTGGTTGCGTGCTCTCTATCCATTAAGAGCAGTGGTGGCCCAAACAAAACCGAAGGATTATCTGGGTACTATACCCGACTCCGTGCGACGTGCAGTCTTTTCGCCGCATCAGTGTGTTTTGAAGACGCAGGTGTTCTGCTCGATCGTGAGCAAGCTCGTTCCTTATTATCGTTCCCGTGCTGCTCTCTTGCAAATTCTTTTCGTCAAAAGGAAAGGCAATATGTCACTCTGCCGATGGTGTTGAGAAGAACTACTGGCGATAAAAAGGAGCATCAGTCACTGAATTCTTGAGTTCTGACTGTTGATGGGAAGTCGAGATGTGAGAATTTATGAAGAGTGTATCATTATATATGAACCTGTCTTGTCGATTATCAAAATGTGGATGCAGAGATGGGATCCTGAGGGATGAATGGTAAAGGCTAAAGTGGAATTCGTGGTCTAATATATAATCAATATTTGTGTTTCCACTTGGCCCAAACGAATTCCACATGCTGGCTGTGTAATATTGACAATGTGGGAAAACATGATCTTAAAAACACAATTGGTAGAGACAAATAACGAAGAAACGCTTGACCAGACCAAATTACTCATCATGAGCCACCTACAAACATGGCACGATGACAGAAACGACGCATCAGCTGTAAAACTCTGAATAAAAACACAATCAAGGGTATCTATCTCTCTCATGACCAATAGCAAACGTGCCCTGAAAGCGTAAACCGCGCTTTCATGAGATTGCCATCCTCAAAACAAAACGCCAAACAGCAAACTCACGTGTGAGTGTACATCTCCATGAGTTTGATCTTCATTTCCTTCCTGGCGTTCGCGTCCACCATCCTCGCGTTCTCCAAGTTCGTAATCCTCTCTTGTAACTTTGCGATCTTGACCTCCTGATTTCTAAGTGCCTGTCGACTGGCATCGCGCCCTTTTTCCAGCCCCCTGGCCTTGGCCGCATACCTCTGAAGCGCACTGTGCACCTTGCGCGAGGCCAGCTCGTCAATCTGTTGGCCCTTGAGAAGATCCATGATTTCCTGAGTGATATCCCCGATACTGGAGCCAGGCGTGGCTCGTTGAGAAGATGACGGGCTCACTCCCTCTTGTGACGATGACGGCGTCTTTGGGTCGGCTCCAATGGGGGTGTAGGCCCCGGAGTTGTTGTTGCGCTGTCTCTTGTTGGCGTCGCTAGCCTCTCCGACCTCGGGCTCTGCAAACAGAACGCGCCTCACGGACTTGCCGGTCAGCGAGGGTGTCGGCAGGCTAGTCGCCCCATCTGACAACCGCTGCGCCGCCGGCGTGGCGAAGGCGTCGCGCTTCCGGCCGGGATGACTAGAGGACTCGGCAATGGCAGCCAACTGTCTCTCCTCATCTGAATCCATGTCTCCAAACAAGTCATCCGTGTCGCCATCATCATTATCACTAAGCTCAATCACATCCCTCTTGCGTTTCGTACCGGCTGATGGAGTTTGTTGTGCTTGGGCCGCGGCGACCGTGGATGCCGTGCCTCCATTCTGGGCCAACTCGTCCTCACCATCATCGCGGCCCAGTCTCTGGGTGTTTGCAGCAGTCTTGCTACTACTCGTACTGTCTGTCGCACGCATCGTCGAGCTACTCTTGGCCGTCTCCCCGCCACCAGACCTAGTTTCGCTCTGGCTGCCGCCAACGGTGCGCTCCAGCTCCTTGATGGGGGTAATTTCGGTGCGATGCGTCCAGTGTCTCTTGCCCTCCTCCCTAGGCTCTACGCGAGCGCTAAGCGTGGTCTGGACCAGCTTGCGCGGTGTCCGTAGGGACTTTTTAGTGTTCTGACCATTGCCTCCTGCCTCTTCGCCATCGTCAGGCTCGGTCGTGGAGTTATTCAGCAAAGCACCTTCTTCGCGCAGGCGGGCATCTTCAGCCCATAGAAAAAAGTCGCATTTTCGTGGCTCCCCGGTCTTGCCCTTGGTCCGGTCAATCTGGCAGGTGTAGAACCACCGGCCCTTGTTCTTGGATTCGCGGCGAACTTGGAACTGAACCGCCGGAAGGCGAGGCTGGCAGTTACCTGTGGGATTCCTTGATTAGTTTTGCGCACCACCAAAACATGGCCGGTGTATATTTACAGTGCCATTGCCCCTTGGTAAAGTACCCGTTGTCGGGCTTCTTGGTCGGCGTCTCAGCGGTGCCAAAAGTCGTCGTCGCTGAGGTCCGTCGGCGCGGCATGAGGGGAATGATTTAGAAGGTTATATGGGTCACTTTATGGTTTGGATAGCGCTGCGGCCCTCAATAATATGCGTCAAAGAAGCATAAAGGCCTTTGGAAATGATAGGGCTGCAGTTGTCATGTTCCAATTGTGGTCATTGTACAGAGTAGAGTTGCGCAAAGACGTTGGACATGGGGAGAAGAAGCTCCAACGGTCGCCCGGTCAGTGGGGTTGCGTCAGGCATGAGCCCAGAGGCTGGGGATCCAGCGGGGGAGGGGCGGGTCGCCGCGGGTCGCCCCGGATTCTGCTGCCAGCCGCTGGTGGCACATGTAAATGTTAAGGTCGCATGGACTGGTCCTTTTTCATAATGTCTGCCCATACAATCTGTTCGTATATAAATGGCTAGGCCATGCAGGTCATGGTATCTTATTTTTTGTATTATTTCTCGCTTGGGCCGAGGTCTCTATCTCTTTTCATGCAACATCCAAAGATGTAATAAGCCTCCTCTCGCGATGGGGGTATATCTAAAAGCGCTCATAACAAACACAATCCAAATGAAAGTAAACAACGGCAGACTAACAAAGGAGAGAAGTCTGCGTGACTCTCCAAAGAAGTAAAAATCCCTTAGACCTCGTACCAGTAATCATCATCCAGTCCTTCACGGCTTGGCACTACTCCTGCTCCTGGAGGTGGGCCTTGGTATGCTGCTTCCATGCGCACATTCAGCAGCCTAATCTTTAAGCCATAATCTTCCACCAGCGTTGCCAGCTTATTGGTTTCGGCCGTGATTGGCTTTTGATCGAGTAGCATCAACAGCCCGTCTAGCCACTCTGATGCCACACTATGGTTAAGAGGGTATAGGGTCAGCACAGGCTGCTCTTTGCCATCACCACCAGGTCGCGTCGCTTCTTCAGGGCTAGTAAAACTAAAGATGGTGATCTTGGTGGTCGGTTTCGAACCCGAGTTGGCCAGTGCCCCGGCTCCAGGATGGCTAGAGTCGTTATCCTCACTAGTGACAGAAACATTCGATACCACGGAGCTGACCTTGACAAGATCAACCGTTTCATTCAGTGAGTCCAATGTTGGATCGTGGGCCGTCTTCAATGCAAAATCGGCATAGTGAAGAAATCGACGATTGTGTGAGAGCTTGGCGTAGCGCCAAAATGTGCCATTGGCATGTCGTTGGCCTTGTGAGACACTTCCTCCATTGTTCTGTGGCGCGGGTTTCGAGAACCAGGCTCCTGCCAACAGGCACCGGATTCGCTGTTCCTTGACGAAAGAAAGTGACTCGTTGCGCAAATCCTCCCTCACTTGATACAGATGCTGGCCCCAGTTGTCCTCAAAGGACAAGTCCAGTAACTCCATCTGAAGCTCGCGCAAGCGTCCGCAATCAAACTCGAGTAGTTCTTCTTCAACCTCAACCACTTCCTTTGTACGTTTGGCTCGACCAATCACTTGGTCCACCAAGATGCGCACCAGTTGGGCTACCTTGTCAAAATCGTTCTGCTCCGCGCCGGTAGCTTTCCAGAGTCGGAAGAAGGCTGCCAGTCCTGCTGTATGAAGTCTTGACCACTGCAACAAGAGCGGTCTGTAGAGCTTGTCCTGCTGCTTAGCATCTGAAAGTTGATAGCCCCTGAGGTCCTCCATCTCGTTCTTATCGCTCTCAAACTGTTCGTAGAGAATCAAGGTGATCGCGAGACTTGCTCGTGCAACCGGGCAACGCTCTGATAGCGGCTTGACGGACTGTTCCAGAAGCAGCTTCTGAAAGCCATCTTCGTTCTTCTTGACATAGTCTGTAAGGTCCATCATGCCCAGAAAACCTGCTTCTTGGAATTCCGTAGCTGGACTCTCGGTCTCAAATCCAAGTCTCCGCCATTTCTCCGGGTTGTGTTTCTTGCTGGACTTCTGGCCAGCCTCATCTTCTGTTTTTGCCGTCCCATTCATGTGGTCTCTGTTTGGAGCGCTCGCCAAGTGTAGCGCCTTGAGAGCTCTTCGATGTTCAGGGCGTTCCAGATCCACGCGAACCTCTCTCCATTTCCTCAGCAATAACTTGGTAAGATTTTGAAATTCAAGCAGAGGATACGCAAGGTCCTGCAGCGCGGAGCTCTGCATCAGGCTAAAGACTGCTTTTATCAAGCCCAGATCTTGAAGGCGCTTGATGAACTTGGGCCACTCTTCGGAACCACTGGCCTTACCATTGGTGCTTTGGGCTCCTTCGTTCGATACAGCGTCTCTGATCAAGGCATTTATCAGCATCAAAGAGTTGGCGCACAATGCATGATCTGCAGATTGCAGCTGTTGTATCACCAGATCGAAGAATTGGGGGTACACGGCGACGGCCGGCTTCAGGGCTCGGAAGCCAAAGGTCCCAGGAATTCGGTTCTGGCCAGGAGGGCTAGATTGGGAGTGGCTGACGAGGGCAACTAAGATGGACATGGCGCCTCGCAGAATGTTGACCAGCGGGTTCGTTACGATCAACTCGACAATGCGCTCCACCAAATCACCAGCCGTCGGGCCTTCGAATATGTCCCAGCCCATGTCCACCTCGAGAAGCCTCGTCAAGCTCTGGAGCGAGTATGCCAGCGTATTTCCTCCTGTACCCATTATCAGTCGGCGCAGTATCACCAGGCCGCCGGACGATATGAAGACATCTGCAAACGCCGGGTCGTTGATGGAGGATTGCAACTTGAAAACTGCCATCTTTCGTGCGGCATCCTCGTCGCTGGCAAGGCGCGCCAGCAGCGCCGGGATATCTGCTTGGTCCATGGCTGCCGTTCAATTGAGAGTTCCGTCGGGAATGGTCTGTATTCGTGTCGCGAGAAGATGGAAACTGCAGGCGGGCACGCGCCGCGCTCGTCTGGCCGATTGGATAGATGCGCGTTCGTGATGTTCGTGTGACGCGCCTGTATTACATTGGTATCATTGTCGCCAGTTGTAAAATTCGAAAGGAAATGTTCTCGGAGGCAGTCGGTTGGTGCAAAGCAACTTGGGTCGGCTGTTCGCAGCTATGGAGTTTCTTGCCCGAGGGGACGTCGAAAAGGTGGACGAAGCTTTCCCATGGGAAATGGAGCGTCGTTCCTGAGCCGCTGGGATCAGTGGCTTCAGGGGTTTGACCGCTAAGGAATTAGCGGTGCACGGACATGGATAGCACCGATCTGGAAGCGCTATCATCTGAGGAACCCCTGTTCAATCACAATCTGAGATGTTGTCCCCTGCCTGATATTGGGATTTGGATTGCAATGATAGGTGGCGTGAATAGACGAGCAGTATAGTTGCAGTCACCTCTCCTCTAGGATGTTTGGGTGTCACTTTTGTCTCTATGCTGGTCTCCGGAATGATGAACCACATTGACTTGGAGCTTGTGACGGCTCCATACTCGACGACCATATTCACGCACGGCACATTGCATGCTTTTGGGCACTACATTAGTTTTGACGGTACGGACAATATAGCATATTTCTTGGCATCTGTAATCCATTGGTACTTTGCTACCTAGAGCCTTTCTTCTATCTAGAAGAGAACGTCCTCCTGCCCATTTCCCCTGTCAAGTGCGATGCTTAGGTGCGACATGTCCACCTCAAACATTCAGTCGTATCGAGGTCAGTTGCTTCTGTACGTTGGCGGCATGACATGTTTCATGCTTCTTTTCTGGGAGTCTAGAACCGGGTCCTCTTCAGGAACGGTCTGAGATCCGCAGGTACGATGCATATAGGCGCCATATATACATTGAGTATGAGACTTTTTTTTCAGAACTATACGATGATTTCAGAGTATCTACATGATGGACTGGGGTGGCGGCAAAGCTTCTGGCCCGAAGGAGAGCGGCAACAACTGTCACAAGTCAGTCAAGGCCTCCAGCCACAAACTTCAGGGAATTTACTCACTTCTTCTAATCGTAGCACGACAAAATCCTCGTTCTTGTCAAACATGAAGATTGGCGTCTTGAGGTCGCAAAACTCGCGAATACTAGGGAATGGATATGAGCTCTACGGACCGTTACATTTGGTAGTGTAATACTTACAACTGCCGGCACATGCCGCAAGGGCTCGCAGGAGGAGCGATATCAGTGGCCACGGCGACAGCCCTGAACGTCTTGTGACCTTCGGTCACAGCCTTGCCAAAGGCGACACGTTCGGCGCAGGTGCCAACCGGATATGCTGCATTTTCCACATTTGCGCCGCTGATGTAGGTTCCGTCGCCCGACAGAAGGGTAGCACCGACGCGGAAGCGACTGTATGGACAGTACGCCGTAGCCTTGGCTGCAACACTGCCTTTGGCCAGGTGGGAGAACTCGTCCGTGGTCAGGCCATGAGCCTCACAGGCAGACTTGACGTCTTCTGGTTTGGAGCTGGAGTAGGTTTTTACTGTAGTTGACATATTGAAGGGGGGTAAAAGTAAGATAGATCTGTTTATAGGAGGGACGTGGCGCCTTTTATCATCAAAATCTCACGCACCCATGTGCATGGGACAGATTTAAGGTCGGGTGTGCTCCAATTATCTTGACTTTGAGTTGCCGGATGCGGGGCGATTAGGGACCTGGAATGCGCCGCTATCCTACGATGAACCACTATCTTATGTGGCACCCAGTCAACCGCTGGTACCGAGACCCTTACTATTTGACGATCATGAACAAGCTCAAGAATGTGAGTTGAGAAGATCAACAGGAGTGGATAGTCTTGTGCCCTGATCCCATGCATAAAAGGAAACCTACTGAAGGCGATAATTTACACTACATTCGAGCCGTACAAAGGCTCGTCAGAACGGCTGAAATGAGGTTTCCTGACCCAAGATTGGAATCGTCAAGGGGTTCATCGCGCCGAGTTCCAGTTAGCTAATCTCATCACAACTAGCCACGGAAACCGTCGGAAACTCAACGATTAACCGTCATCTACCATCGTGGTTCGCTCGAGTGGCATATGACAAACATTATTAGGACTCCTGCGACACGTGCGAATCGTTGAGTCGTGCCCGTACCTCTTTAGAAGCACTTTTGACAATGCTTGAGCGACACAACTACGATTGATAGTAGTCTCCTAGAACACGAAGAAGAGATGAAGATGATCATGATGACAAGGCTACCAAGGACCTCGTCCGAATTCATCACCATATCGCCTGTAGACTCGCTGCAGGAGCAAGTAACGGTTTGTCAATAGCACTAAGATTTATAGAACTGCCAGAAACCTGCATCATGGAGGAGTGTTAGATGTGCAGTATAGACGCGTTCGTGTCTAGGATGGAAAGTGAGCTGAGATGCATACCCATTCACCACTTCAAGTCGCTATAACCAATTATTGGCACAATCATTTTGCGTTTAATACAGTTATTATTTCAAGCTTATGCGGCATTGGAAATAATTCAATCAAACATGGCGAACAAGAACCACTACTAGGCGGCACTTCCTAGATATGCAACAGTTATACGTGGTGGGGTTTGGCGGCATCGCTGAATACATTAACCCCGCCATCCATCTCGGTTGGCACAAATACGTCATCTCAACAACCCAGCTGTCGCAGTAAGGACGATGCTGATCATCTATTCTTTGAACCAAAACAATGTCAAATGTTCGCATGGCCTGATATTAACGCACGTTTCCTGCTTTTGCTATTCCCAGCAATTCCACAGAGGAATAGAGGGACTATATTGATCTGCATCTGTCTCGAGCATACTCCATACGATCCGCAGAGAGCAGGACAAGTGCTATCGGAAGCAAACCATTATCACCCAATAGATAATTTAGCCAAGCAGATTCCGACTGCCTCATTATCATAAAGAGGGAAAGTAATAAAGATAGACTCCCTGCCGTGAGCATGTTGAACATAGCAACTTCTCAGTCATGGACGCAAAGTGCATCCGACAACCACCAAACATGAGTTCAGTAACCGAGTAAGTCATGCTCGATCCACCACTGACGTTTAAATTCCATTGCGACTGGTTTTCCAGTTCGGTCCATCCTGAATCAGCCTTGGAAAACCCTTCTTGCATGGTGGTCAGCACACAATTTGGAAGGAAAAGGACCCTGAAAACTTGGTTACATTACCGCACTCGGGTCATGAAAACAGGTATTCCGGAACGCCGTGACGTCACACCCGGCACCCGGCCTCAACGTGTGCCCGGCACGTTTTTATACTCGCACGACTCCCTCTCAACCACTGCTTGTGGATTAGCTTTCGGAATAATTCAATTGTCTAAAACACAACATCAGTATACACAAGTGTAACCATTTTTCTCAAAAAACACTGGTGGACGAAAGGAAAGAAAGTGAAGAGGATCAAGAATACTCGGAACGTCCAAAATACTATAATACTGGAGTAATCCAACCAAACAAGCGACATATAAAAGAATTTGATCCGCCTCTTTCATCATGCCTCACCCATTCCACCCAGACGACTTCCCCATCAATGAGGATAGCGAGGTCAACCCAACCAAGGTGCTGTTCCTCAAGGGCACAATCCACTTCAAGAATGAGGCCTCCATCATGGACCTGACGGACAAGATCAAGCGGCCATTTGACGACTTTTCGCAAAAGTACATGAGGGACGTGGGCCGGGCGCTGGAAAAGGTCGAGGACGAGCCGCCAAAGTACAGCATCCAGAGCTCGGGCAGCATGATGCGGACCATCAAGACCATTGTGGACCGCCAGGGCGAAAAGGTGTGCGACCTCAACATGACATTCGTGTCGTTTGACAACTCGTCGGTGCGCTTCCCCGCCGGCAGCGAGCACAGCCGCCACGAGATTGAGCTCTACTCGGTCGACGAAAAGAATGAAAAGCACCAGTGCTTTATCCGCCACAGCATCCCCTACTTTTGGGACATGACGGGAGGGCAGCACGGCGTCCTCTACAAGGCCCTCAACCAGAAGCGTGTCGAGGTCGGCATGGTGGCCGGCTACGGTTGGGGCAAGGACGCCGTCCTCGTCATTGACGATAATGAGGTCGACGAAGTCGTGGCCATGGCGACTGCCATTGTCATGATGAATGGAAAGGATGCCATCGATTATTAAGGTCTGAGATTATGGTATTTTGCATTGGATCAACGATTGTATGATTATGAAGGTTCATCGGGAGGGTTCCGGGGAGTTTTGTGGCATGTTTTGTCCATTAATTTAAGACTTGTTAATCACATAGCTTCCTCAAAATTCAAAATCAAATCAGTTAAATTAAAGTCAAGCCATCCATGCAACAATTATTATTAAAAAGAAATAGAATAAATAACATTGCTATACCACTTTGCCAGGCCGGCCTCCTTGCGAAAGGCGTATTTGTAACCGTCTACTGCAGAAGGCGGCGAAATACACCCAAGCAAAGTATAAACCTGGCCGAGCTGTCGGGATAGGGCCTAATGGAGGGGCTCGTGTTTCCCAGACCCGTTAGACGTGCCAAAAAAATCATCTTGATGATTTTTCGCCGCATGAACAATGTTCATTCTTCTATCTTGACGTTCCTAGCCTTTGTTTCTCAAGACAGCAAGCCGTTCTCTTCATTCCTTGATCCCCCAAAACTCGTGAATGGCCTCAATGACCTCGCTCGAGTTGGTAAACGGCATATTGTGACCACCAGAAACAACGCGCCAAAACACATTTCCCTCGCCGCCCATGAGCGGCAGCGCGTCCTCCTTGTAGTCGGCCTTTTGGATCAGCTCATCCTGCCGACCCAGAATCACGGCCGTGGTGCCGGGCTCTCGCTTGGCTAGTTCCCTCCAGTCTATTATCGCAAGGAGAAAATCCCATTAATCAGCGGTTGCTCTTATTTCGGGTTTGAAACACAGGAATCATGGTGCTCATAATTGATGATAAAAAATTCCAACTCACAATGATGCTGCTCAAGTAACGGACCATGGCGGATCGTCGACATGAATGACGGCACAAATCCGGTGTGGTAGTCGAGCATCCAGCGGACATAGGACGCAATCTTCGCCTCGATAGGACTTGGCGAGTTTGGCGTGTCATCATCGACAACCTCTTGCACGGCCACATCGACATAGCCCTCCTTGTCCATGGATGCTCCTGGCAGTTCCAAGGTGGTGGCTGCTGCGGCTGCGGCAACGGCGCCGCCGTTGGTGACGGAAGAGACACTGCTTGCCCGACGGCGCTTGGCCACGGCGTTGCCAATGGGGGCCCGGAGACGGCGGCGCGTGAGACCTTCGAGGAGCCGCTCGGGCACGAGGCCCGACGTGAAGACGAGGCGGCTGGCGCGGCCGATGTTGGCGGCGCGGATCAGGCCCGCGGGCGCCAGCAGCACGAGCGAGGCCACGAGGCGCGGAAACGCGGCGGCAAAGTTGACGGCGATGCCGCCGCCCAGCGAGTAGCCGACCAGGTTGAGGGCGCCGTCGCCGGTCCAGGGCAGCGGCGACGAGGCCAGCACCAGCAGGATCTGCGTCACAAAGAGGCGCGTGTCCGACGGCAGGTCGCCCACGCCATCGCTGTAGCCGCGCCCAAATAAATCCTTTTTTGCGAGATTCTCGGTCAGTTCTGGTGCGACCTGATTTTCGTCGAGAAATTAAAATGGTGGAACTTTACATAAAGCATCACTCTGCATCCTTTCGATGCCAGATCCAAGGCAATATCATTCAGAGTCATACATGAAGTGCTGATGCCATGAAGGAAAAGCACCTTGCGGCCTGTTTCGGGTCCAAACTCGTACACGCGAATATTGCCATACTTTTGTTCATTGTCGAAATCAGCATGTCTCGTTCCTTAAATGGTCAAGATGGGATATTTTTTACCGGAGTCACGACATCTCTAGCGCCGGGAAAGTGATCAGGTTGGTACGGAACTTGTGCAAGTTCCTCCTTTGTGAGCCTCGGTATGGTGGTAGTTAGGGGGCCTGGGAGTATTTGAGGTCGCCGGGGTTCTAGAGACCATTTGAGAAAGATCAAGAACGTTACAGTCGACACTATAGTCGTGATTACGATGGTGATTGTACTTGTTTCTGTGGGTCCATTGCAGAGCTCCGTGGCAGGTTCCATCTTGAGAAGCCCGCTTACGGGCCACGCGGAATCTGGAGGCGGTACCGAAGCGTTTGGTAAACCTGGGAATAATTGCGCCGCGACGCCCAAAGGCTGGGAACAAGCCAAATATATGGAGATCTCACCTTTGTATAACGCGCTTGCTGAGGAGAATTGCGAAAAGGAGGTGGCAGAATTATGAAGAAAGTGAGAAGAATATCACGCATTCATGGTGGAAGCCTTACAATTATGGTGTGTTGTCGAATCCCAGCCCGTGGGCCGTGTCACTTGGGCGCGCCCCACGTGGCTGGGCTGCGGCCATGCGATGGCATCTCAGATCCGAGACTGACTCGGGGGGAAACCGATTGTCCGTTAGTAGTCGCCAAGACATATCTGCACTCGCCGGACGGAGATGTTGGTGAATGCATGGTGCCACGTTTGCTCTATTTATTCACTCTGCTGACTTGATGCACGACATGATGCATTATCCACTCGTCTTGCCTTGTCATACATATATGCGTGGAGATTGCCTCGCTTACATGATTAAAACCATGAATGTGAACGTATCAAGCCAAACATGTGCACCAGGATACTGATTCACAAGAAAGATTGCCAAATAAACATGCGGCATGATCAATTAACACTTGGAAACAAATGGTATCTCACCGAGTTTGTATGTCCATACTTTTCCCGTTGCCCAACCTGGACCCCCGCCCCCAAAAATGCGCCAATATCAGAACCAATTAACCACAGAACATCGCCATGTCTTTAGCCTAGTCCCACTGCCCAAGCCGCGCCTGCTAGCTGTCTGAGCAGGCCGCAAAGATTCTCGACGATGGGTGGAAGCATATCCCCTTTGCTGTAGTTTCCCCTGAAAATTCCCTCCACAATTTCCATGCAGGCCTTTGGGTCTTCAATACATTCGGTGCGCTGCTCATCTCTTGTGCGAATGCTTGGGCGCCCCGGTCCAAAGCTGATGTAGCGCTGTACATGATTGGACTCTAGTCCATCGACAAGTACAGTCTCCTGGTTCTCCATGGGCGTGGACTCGTGCTTCGTAGCCTTGACAACGACTCCAAATGCCCATATTGCCAGTGCTGCGTGGTGCACACAGACTGCGTAAAAGTCCTTCAAATGGCCATTGGGAAATAATTTTGCTTGTCGTAATATCTGACCAGCGTGCCAGATGGCTCGTCGCGCGTCAACACTGTCTGACCATTGTTGCAGCACTGGATAAACGCGCCGCGCTTGCTCCTCTCCTTCCTTTCCGGCAAAAAGATGCAAGTCATCCATTGATACGTGGAGGTTCATCATCAGAAGATTAAGCAGCAAGCTTTCCTGAGCAGACAGTGATGCATGCCAATCCGACGTCACCACCTGGAATGTCTGAAGTGCTCTGCAAAGTTCCTGATGGCGTCCATTGAGAAGTAGGTGTGGGCCAGCCGAGAAGTTTGTTGCAAAGGAATTCAGCCGGTGCACCGAACTCAATTGCCGCCACTCCAGTATAAGATTCCAGAAGCAGTGCAGATAGATTGAAATTGCGTATTGCGCGTCCAAACGCTGGTAGTTTGCGGTGAGTAGGTTGATGTCCCGAATGAGATCTGGCAGCGATGGTGGTCTTCTGCCTTGACCAGAGGATCTGGCCAGACACTGTCTCTTCCATTCCGTCGCGCTCCGTGCAAACCATAGCTCCTTTGCTTCCGGAAGCGGCAGGGTCAACTCCGCATACGAGATTGTCGGTGGCGCGAGCGTACTCATTGACGACTCGGCATCTCGCAAATAACAATGAAATACAAGCCTGGTTCGGTCAGCAACTCTGGCACTACGTATTGCACCGATCCATGATTATTACCTTTTCCAGCTTTCCAACTCGTGCCATCGTCGCCATTTTTCTTCGAGCACATCCCCCTCGTCCGATGCCTCAACAGAAATGAGAGGATAGGATGAGCGCTGAAATTTACCGCGATATCGCATCATCTAAGCAATATATCAGAATTTTTGTGGCTATTGGATGCCAACGTGTGTACATACCGTAGTTGGGACAAGGAGATGGCATTCCGCAATCTCCATCTTACGTCGATTGCCACTCCATAGTCCAAAGTCCTGGACTAAAACAAGTGTCTGTACAAGACCCAAGTTTTGAGTATTATTGTTGTTCTCTTCGAACTAAGGCCCCAGATCAGCGTCGTATTCACAAGGTGTTGACTGGATATCATAGGCTGGATGTATGATGCGAATCTTTTCGCGCAAGATTATACCAGCTGGTCGTTCCGGTCCCTGCTACAGGTTCGGCAGGGGTAGAAAATGAGGATAGACCAGGGAAAGTCTTGCTGTAATCGATAATGAAACGCAATCAGATGAATAAACTTACTCTATTAGGTATAGCAATGCCTGATACTTGTCAGCTCTGAGTATTTGACTCGGCAAGAACTTTTACTTACGCATCGCTTCTTGAATAGAAAACGCAAATCTTCGTAAAGCCGACACTGGAGTCAGAACAGCACCAGCAGCGAGAACTATACCAAGCCACTCTGGCTGCTGCTTGTTGAGTTTGAAGGTGCCCCAATGTATGTAGGAACTGACAGAACACAGATGCGCGGCAAGATACATGTGCACAAGGGTATCGACTACATCAGTAGAAGGAAATGATGAGGCGACGCGCAGCCTTAGTGAATCAGACTTCAAGGACTGCAATACAACGCTCAGTACCTTATCCCGACTCGCGGGGTCGACCTTTTCCTTGATAACGCGGTCCATCTGTTTTTGTCTCTCCTGGAATCGTTCACTAGCCGCATCACGTTGCGGAATCGGTAAATTTCCATACTCGGCGTATAAAGAATCTCTCTCCTGAGGTATCCAGCGCCACGGGGAATTGGTCCATATCTTGGCAAGGTGTGACCTCATTTGTGACATATCCACCGTGGAATCGTCCGTCTGTGGCGTAGCCGCTTGTGTGATGACCTGACCGTTCCGGTTATTCTCGTCCAAGTTCCAATGATCAAGCAGCCCGAAGTCCACATCTGTGAGCTCATAATTCAAGTCGTCACAAAAGTCCAATACGGCCAACCCCTGTGCTTCTTCGGGTCGCGCAGTATTTAAGGAGCCATCGTAGAGCACATCCCGTAGAAAATCAGTAAACGGCATTCTCGTCATGTCCACCACGCCGTTATTGGGGACATAAGGCGGATTTACAAAGGATTGCATCTGAACAGGCTGTTCACCAACAGTCTCGGGGGTTGGCAGCTGTCCTGTGACTTGGCTGTCCTCGGGCTTGATCGATGCGATCCCTCCGGCTGCTGGGCTTCCCATGGCAGACGAACCGCGACCTTCAGAGTTTGGGTAGTTGACCTGGCTGATTTCGTCCACATTCGAATGGGCCTGGGCAGACAAATGCAATAGGTGCATGGCGGCGGCAGATCCAGCCTCTGACGAGGCATACTCGCAAGTCAACTTGCGATTCCGGCATCGAGTACATGGCTTCACCTCCTCACATTTTACACGAGCTGTCGCGCAGGCTTTACATGCATGAGACACACGCCCAGCATTGGGGGATGTGTCCGTCCGCCTGCGCTTTTTCGACGGGTCTCCATCGTTTTCGTGATTTGCAGCATGTCGCTTCAATAGATCGGCCCGGGCGAATGCTTTCCCACACACTTGGCAAGAAAATCGTTTACCCAGGGTACTGCGCGTGAATTAATGTCAGTACAGATTCCGCCATCGCTATCCGCGCGCAGTGATGACAATTAAACCTTTCACCTGTTTGGGCTGATAGGCTCATGTCGTATCAGACGTTGATGCTAGCATTCAGGTGTACTAACTGTGTTTGTATATGCCTAGCCAGATGCTCAGGGCGAGAATAACGTCTTTGACAGTCGGCGCATTGATACAAACTTTGAGTCAGGGTATGACTTCGTGCTGCTGGAGTCTGTAAACCAAGCGCGCTGGCAGTCGCATGCTGCGCACCGGACGGCTGCGTAGTCGGCGCACTCGACTGCGCTTGGGGGATCGAAGTAGGCGGGAGAGGCAGCGGGGGCGGCGGGGGCACGGTAGTATATGGGCTGGCTATGTGGCCGACGGCAACATGATGCTGAGGTTGGAGAGACGGCGCAGGACGGCCGTTGGGCGATGGTATCGCGTACCCATTGGCAGCGCTGTCTGGCTCGGCGGGCGTGCGGTGGACGTCGGGGCCGGCATTGGCGTGGAGGAGATGACTTAATGAGTTGGCCGACATTATTGGAGCGCGGGCGACGCAAGTATCAGGCGGATGGAACCATGCCAGCTAACCGTTCTGCGGGCTTTGCTTTGCAAGGTGGGAGAAGCTTGCTGGCTGGCTGAATTTCTTGCTTGTCGTTTGCGATGTATCTCTCTCTGTGTTCTCTGTGTCCTCCCTCCCCTTCATTGATGTGCTGCAGGGTCACTTACGGAACTGAAAGTCCAGGCTCAGGTTAAACAAGCCCGATGTGGGTAAGGATTGCACGGGACGCAAACTCGAAAGCATCGGAGGGCCCCTCGGAACTAGGTAGGATTTGGGGGAACGTCTCTCCTCTCCGTCGGAGGGTGGGAATGTAACAATAGAATTGATTTTGGCCAGTGACAGAAATGGGTGCCCGCACTGAACTTCACTGGCTGCTCATGGCCGTCGATGACGATAGCGTGCGTGAGGGCAGAAGGTAAGGAAGCGAATGTGGATGGAATGGCAGTTGTACGTAAGGTCAGGGCAGTACTAAGGCGAAGCACTTGGTGCTAAATGGGGCTTCTGTTGGGTCCCGTAGGGTCTAGTTCATCGGCCAAGCAAAGATTCCCCAGAAATTTTACGGCAGTGCTCAGAGGTACTTTGATACACTAAACTCTACCAGTATCAATGTGAGATACCTACCTGTAGGTAATGAAAATTCATTAAAGATCATGCTGGTGGCCTGAGCACATGCGCAAATCAGCCTACTAACTATCATCTTCTGTATGTTCTCGTGATTTTCTGACTTGTTCGCTCTCCTTTTCATGTTTATGGCCAATGATATTGGTCTAGATTACATAGGTAGGTACCTACCCTTAGTGAAATGCTACATTGAGCAGATGCAATGTTGAAGATTTCAGTCGACGTTGCTCGGGCGTATTCTTCAGGTGTGGTGGGTCTTGGCTAGCATTCAATTAGCAGGTAACTGTGTTAGTATCCCCGCAGTCGGCCACTCCAAAGCAGCCAGGCCTTTCAGAGTAACATTGAAAGTTTGTGTGACACCAGTCCTCTATGTCCTAAAGGCATTGGTTCACATGAATGTGGCGGGCCCTTATACCTACCGAACCCATATAGGCCATGGTTGCATAAACTCAGATGCTCCGCGATCGTTCGCTACAATCCTGAAAATCACAGGTCTGAATCTTGAATTAACAGGACAATGCAGGCAGGTAGCACTAAATCGAACATGGCTGTTGTAACGAATTAGATATGTTTTAGTCAGCAGCCTCCTGTGGAGAAAGTCCAATGATCTACGGGAATTGTCGAGAATATACACTCTTTTAACTCGATAATATATCAATTTATATATACATTATGAATGAGGTGCTGCCTGTAAGCGAGTATTGCAATTCATTCGAAGTGACGCGGCCTCCCCCTAGCGACTGCAAGCCACGAATCTCGCTGAGCTAGGGTCCCGCATACTTGCCAAGATCTTTGGGTTTTGTGCGTAGTGCTTGATTGCTCAATGCCCATAGCCTCTCTTCGTACACGGCAAATACGGAGTATATCGAGCTCATTGTGTAGGCTTATTGGGGACAGATATCCACCTCAATTTGAACAAGGCTCTTTGCCAGGTGAATCATCGTGTGTAAGCTGAGCATGTACCCAAAGGCTTTTGTCAGGGATTGAATACTAATCATTTCCCAAGATCTAGCATCTGTGCCTGCATTGCAGCATTCCCGTGTTGCTGATGCTTTTGTCCACACACATCGAATCAGCCCTTGTATGTGACAATCCGTAATGTACGAAGTCGAAGATGCTGGAAGAACACCGATCAGTGCAAGCCAAGATCACCCAATCCCCGCGAGTCATGTGAAATGAATGAAATAAGGTTTCGATCTGCCTTTTCACCGAGAGAACTTGTTCCCTCGAGGCCAATCTATGCTATCAGGCTGCGTGTCGCATAAGCAAATACGACACATTTCTTGCTTTTAGTGTTTTGTTTTTCCCTCCATTCTTTTCTTTACTTTTTCGCCTTTATCTCATGATCAAGTGTTACCATTGTGTTTCAAGCGATTTTCGGCCGAGCAAAATGATTTCGCATCGGTACGTCTCGGGCGATTGTCGTTCTTCGGGGCTTTCCGCCGGTACACACTGTATTACAATAAGCCAGGGGTACGACTTCTCCTGTGAAGATGGATCCGGAATTGCCGTGTTGTATCAAGGCCACTTGCGTCCAAGGTCGCACTCCGTGCTGCACCGGCGATTATCAAGAACTGCGGCTTGCCAATCAGGGCCCGCCTTAACTCCATGAGTTGGCAGTATGTGTTCAGCCCGTTGCAGTCCGTGTGCTACAAGTGGCCATATTTTGAGTCAGAATTCCCGTGCTGGTGGTCCAAAGGATACTCAGCCTCCTTTGCCAGTTTCGTCAAGGGAGTAATACACATCGGAGAATCAGCCTCTCACCGAGTGCTGGTAGTGATGAGGTTGGCATTCTATAGCTGTAGAGTAGGGTCATCAAACTGGAATAACTTTAAAGAATTGATCGACAGCCAGGATGGTACAAATGAAACCATGAGGAGGGAAGTGTAGGGATGGTCAATACAGCCTCGACAAGTACGGTCTTTATCTGCATAGCTGTGCATTCCCGGCGGCTACGCATGACAGCCCTGTCGAAGACCTCGTGAACGACGTTCGAGTCGATTATTTGCAGCCAATTGTCCATTCAAGTCTGAGAAGATGGAGTTTTACCGAGAACTTCTCATTTCGCATATGCGAGACGGGTGTCGCTCCTTGGTTGCTTGGATACACCCATATCTGTGCCGCGGGAGAGATTGCAAAATGTGAAGACCGGAAAAAAGAATTGACAGCGGTATGGTGGATCTCTCATTAATATGCTTGACTGGGAATGGCGAAGGGGAAACAGAACAAATACGACGTCTAATTCAATGAAAATAAAGATGAGGAAAATAGAAACAAGGAAAGTTGACCTGTCTGCGATTATCTCAACCGAAGAGATTCGAGGACAACCACAACTATGCCTACCCGTGCTTGTCGAAACCAGGTTGAGACATTCGTCAACGTCTCGTCGAATTAATCGAACAAATGAGGTATTCAAGTTATGCTGCTAGCACCCCATGCCGCCAAGAGCAAGGATTCGAGGGCCGGCTTTCCTTCCGCTTGTATGTCCAGTATCCTTTATCGGTTGGAGGGCCGGGATGTGGAGGACGCGTCCACACGTCTGCCATTTGCTTGATTTGTGCATTTCAACCCGTTCCAGTGGTGCATTGGGGGCAAATAGAGGTGGATGCAGGCCGGGTAGTATGCAATTATTGACCCTTTGACCATGGATACAACTGCTTGTCTACAAGGTACAGACAAGATTTGCAAAAACTATCACGTCAAGATTCTCTTGGTTTTTTCTTGCAACTTCGGCCCCTCTATCCAGAGGAGAGCCGAATAGTAGTCTAATGTTTTGGAGAAGATTTGTTCAGTCGATGAGTGGAGCTGAAGTGTAGCGCGAGCAGCTAAGTTAGTACCTTGAGTAACCCCAGATTTCCAATGACCCCATGCGGGTTTCTAGGCTGAGCTTAACTAGAGCTAGCGAATCCTGCGAACATTGAAACTCTGGAACTCCCGAAACCCTGTACTCGGGGCAAGCCACCAATGCAACCAACCTGAACGCACGCGAACCGCTGTGGTCGCTGTGTAGTGGACAGTAGCAGGCTTTGGCTAATGTAGCTGGGGAGCGACGTTGTACCTCCTTGTCGAGATTGAGGGTCCCGCTCGCACACACTTCTTTTTCCACCTCCCGAGCTGCAACTCCCGTCATGGGCAAGGTTGAGAAAGCAATTATTGCTCAGTCGATCAACAGATCTTACCGACCACGAGAGACAAGACGTTCCCTTGCTGCAATTATCCGTACAGTGCTAGATCTCGTATCACAATGAGGCCCGGCCCAATTCGAGGGAGCTGCAGAAAAGAAAGTCCTTGATATCCCACCTGCAGGTTCAGAGCATTTCCTGGGAGACCAGCCCAGGGGGTTTATACAAGCCGTCTGGTTACATCGCCAGTGCAGTTTGTTTTTCATGCTCATCGGTGCGATAGACAAAGAAATAGGGCTTCCCGACCTTGCCGTCGACTTGTGACCTCACCACGTCTCGCGCCCTGGCAATCAATCAGTCCTATTTGGCTACCTGGGTGGTGACTTTCAAGCCGCGACTGCATTTCATGTAGCTGCCTTGCCTAAATGGTTGATTCGCATATTTCACAACCCTGGCAGACTCGCATCTTTTACTCTGCAGAATCGACGACAGCCGAAATCCCTTCTGCATAATAACCCCCATCCCACGTCCCGAGACGCCTCGTGGTGCTACTGTCACTGCTACTACTAGCAACGCTACACGTGGCCCAGCCCCAATCCGATATAAGGCCTGTATGCTTTCTATCAGATCAGGAACTCCAACGCTGTAGATCTCCCGAGGTTGCAAGAGTTCTATTCTCGGCCCCACCATCCGTTGTCCTATGCCCAAGAGACTCTAGGGAACTGGAATCATACTCCAACCCCAGTCACACTCCTTTTCCCTCAAGCGGTGGTTATAACTTCCCCAGATTACCCCAGAGTCTCTATTCAAGCCAGATCCACTCAACCCGGAGTTGAGTACACTGCTCTTCACAACCTCTACGAGCTCTGCGTTCATTCAAAGACTTTCATCATGGGCACCAACGACGTCACGACGGCCACGGACCTGCACAATGTCGACTCCTCGACCGAGAAGCCGACCGATGGGCTAAAACTAAGGACTCTTGGAACCGTTCGTCTGCGCCATCACGAAACAAACGAAATCATCCTCATTCCTACTCCTTCCAAGGATCCTAATGATCCGCTAAACTGGTAAGAACGATCCAATACTTTGAGATTCTGATTCAGGGGTATTTACTGTGAACCTTAGGTCCAAGGCATACAAGTATTATATGGCAACGGTTATATGCTTGGCTATGCTCATGTGTAACTTTCTTGCTGCAGGTATGGGGAGCTCTGTGATTTTTGCAACTTAGGAAACCAACTACTCATCATTCATAGGCCCGACAATTGCCATTGCGTCTACAGCCGTGGACTTTTTCCCCCCTCCAGCGACGCCCGTCTCAGCTGCCATCAGCAAGGTAGCATATTTTTTCACGACTACAGCTTTGCTGCAAGGCACGAGCAACTTCTTCTGGGTGCCACTCACTAATAAATTCGGCCGACGACCCATTTACGTTACCAGCTATGCAATCTACTTTGTCTGCTGCATCTGGCTCATCTTTGAAAAGAGCTATGGCGGCTTTCTGGCAGGACGTATCCTTATTGGAATCGGTGCTGGTGCTGCTGAAACGATTGCTCCCGTTTCCATTGCCGATGTTTTTTTCCTACACGAGCGTGGATTTGTCATGTCGTGAGTATCCCTGACTTGAAAACCTAACAATCATCGGCAAACTGACATGAATTTTAGAATGTACACTTGTTTCCTATCAGTCGGTGTGGCGCTCGGTATTCTGATCGATGGGTAAGTTTAATTATGTATTTTCAATAATAGCCAGCTAACTTTGTCGTCCACAGTCTAATCGTCATCGACCACCACTGGAGAGTGATTTACCAGGTTGCTGCTGGCCTCATTGGTTTCGTCCTCTTGCTTGCATTCTTTACATTCCCCGAGACGGCATATATCCGAGAAATCCCACCCGCCAATGTTGCAGAATCTCGGACTGTGGAGAAGCCGCAAGGAAGTGTGGGTTCTGATATCGAGTCTTCAGCCCCTTCGGCCCCTCCTCCCAAGAAGGAGACATTTTTTCAGAGCCTCAAGATTTACCACAGGGTCTGGACGGATGAAAGCTTGGTCAAGATGTTTGTGCGACCGCTGGGTCTCATCCTGCTTCCACCTGTTCTTTGGGCTGCTCTGGTACAGTCCGTCACCATCGGCTTTGTGGTCGCAGTAACTTCCAATGTAGCGCCAGCATTTACAGCAGCTTACGGCTTCCAGCCCTGGCAGGTCGGTCTATGCTTTATCGCTGCCATCATTGGATCTCTGCTGGGTATACCTGCTGGTGGTCAACTGGCCGACATTACGGCGGATTGGTTCACAAAGCGCAACGGTGGAATAAGAGTCCCCGAGATGCGACTTCCCGCCATGATGCTCTGTCTCATTACTGCGCCACTGGCTTTGATCTTGTACGGTGTCGGAATTGAAAAGCAACTTCACTGGATCTGCCCTACCATTGGCCTTGGTCTTCGTAAGTCACACACGAAAGTTGACAGGCACTCTAACTAACAGTCCCTACAGTCAATTTCTCTATTTCGCAGGGTACCAACGTTTGCCTTGTCTACGTCATCGATGCATACCGTCCAGTCGCTGGAGAGATCACCCTTGCGGTTATGGGCTTTAAATGTTTGTTGTATCCTTTAGCACAAATTCATGACAATACTGACTAAATGCTAGCCATGTTCGGTTTCCTCCTTTCCTTTTACACGAATCCATGGGTCGAGCAGTCCGGCTATCTCAATGCATATGGTGCCATGGCTGGAATCGCCGCCGCTGTGTTGCTCATGTGGATTCCTCTCTACATTTGGGGCAAGGCGATTCGACACGCCACCTGGAACTGGAGCATCCTCTCCTATATTCACTGGGAGGATGACAGAGAAGTGGGAGAGTAAGAGCTCCAAGACGCTTCCTCTACAGATGATCACAAGCGAGCAAGAAAATGCCCACTTGTTGTGCAAAATAGCGCTTCTAGTCCAAGACTCAACAGTCCGAATCTTGACAATGTATTTATGAGATATCAAAGGCACAATATATCTCTATTCAGAACTGAAATTAATATGTTTATCACATGTTCTATTGATTCATTTGTTCTCACCTCGGCCCTTGATATCGAAATCGCACTACGTTTTGCCTCGGATCATTTTCGGATACAAATTCGAAAAGGAGCATTGGTGTCTAGGATTCGCCACTGAATTTGCAAAGGCCTTTATGAGACAGGTTGTATTCTTCCTATCAGCTGCTAGCACCTCAACATATTTGCATTCTCAGTACCGCTTGCTTTGGAAACACGAGCACACTATCTATCCATCCTACCACAACCAGTCACATTATACATGGTCATGAACTAATCGCGTCATATAATAAATAATAACAACCATATGTGTCAATTACGCTAGTAAAAAGCCAGAGTCAATGATGGCATTAGTACCCGTCTGGCTTCTGCTCTTTGCAAACACAAAGACCTGCTCGGCAACATCCTCGACCGTCGCAAGCCGCTTCAGCTTTGTCTTTTGGAGGTTAGCCTCCTTTGCCTCATCTGAGAACCTGTCACCCCATTCCTGTTTTTCAAAGTGTTAGCAGAGCCTCCCACTCAAGAGGACAGAATATTCGAACAAGAAGCCGTACCGTGAGGAGAAGTCCTGGAGACACGCTGTTGACTCGAATCTTTGGCGCCGCCATGTTGGCCAACGCCTTGACCAGATGAATCTGCGCGGCCTTGGTGACCGAATACGCCTACGATAGTGTTCAATTGCTCGTCAGCATGACTCAATCCTCCTTGCAACCAAATTTTTTTTTTTTTTTTTTGGGATCTATCCATCCTTTTGCAGACAAAGACTCACCAGAGAACTACCACTGTGGCTCACGCCCGCTAGAGATGCCGTGGTAATGAAAGCGCCTTCCGTCTCGTCGAGATGCTTCTTGGCTGCGTGCATCAACCAGAGGTGCGACTTGACGTTCATGTTGAAACACTTGTCCCAATCTTCTTCGAATGTATTATCTGTTGATGGGCGGATAAATCCATTATTAGACTTTGATAACTTCTTTATCGAGGGAATAGGAGCCAGCCGAAGAAAACTTACCGTCAATACTGGTCATATCCCGGATCCTCGTCCAGCCACCATTGGAAAAGACGACATCGAGCCTGCCCATGCGGCGTACGGACTCGTCGACAAGGGCAACAATGTCGTCGCGCTGCGACAGGTCCGCCCGGACGGCGGCAAAGGCGCCCTGGTGCTCAGCGGGTGGCAGCGGCGAGAGGCCGGCAAACTCGGTCACGAGCTGATTGGCCCGCTCCGCGTTGCTGCTGTAGTTGACCACGACCCTGTACCCGTTCTTGCAAAACAGCCGGGCGGTGGCCGCGCCGAGCCCCGCGCTCCCGGCGCTGACGAGGATGACGGGGATGGCTGTCTTGGTCGCCATGATCGTTGTAGCAGGGGGAAGAAAAAAGAAACACTTTTTATTGTGGGTGTAGAACAATTGATTGGTTATTTCCCTCGTCTCCCGGCGAGTTTCAAAGGGAGACAGTAGGCAAGGTAATGTCAAAAGGTACAGAGTATGGACCTCACGACCCTCTAAAAGCTTCTTGCCCCGCGGATAATACCGATAAGCACGGGGATTTCAGGGTCCTGGCACACGGGACATATCCGACGGCGGAACAACGTGGATGAGGGGTTGGAGAGGCACAGGTGTGTATATTTTCGTACTTTACCCAAACGATGTAGGATCTGGTACTAACCATTCATGGCCATACAGGTGTGTTCCTGCTTGCATACATAGTATGGATGTATAATCGTGGGGTAAAAAGGGTTGCTCAGGGCCCTCTCCCCCTCCTCTTCCCTATCCCTCTCAATAGCCAAAAAAGACTACCACTAAATAGATCGGGAGCAGCGTCCAATCGTGTTTGATGCCGGTCAACGAAATGCGTGTTTCGGGACCTTTGGGCGCCCACATTCCATATATGGCGCATCTTGTACGCCGTTGCGGGCGCCGGTGAGCTGGTAGGGAGTGCAGACGCTTGATGCGAACGGTTCTGTATCTATGGAAGGAATACAGTAGCAGATGAAGTAGCACACGCATCCCTCGATGCGGTCGGTTGCCCCCTTCCCCCATGTGAGGTGACTTCATGAGCAGCAAATCTTGTGTGACTTGTGCATGTCGTCGATAAATTGGATCGGCACGTGTATCTGGCCAAGAGATTCCCGGTGTATTCTTGCTGCCCGGATCCGAGTATCAGACCATCCACGTTCTTAGCACCCATCTCACGATCTGAAGATGGCATGCACCACCATTATGTTGTCTCTGCAGTGCAGGATCACCGCGCCGCGGGTGTGTAGTCAGCGGGCTTTGAAAAACAGCCGTTTCCCCGGGTATTATCAAAATAATTGGAGGGTGCATTCAATTCATATTACACTCTGCAATCTCGAGGGTGCAAAGCCGCAGCAAAGCCCCAAATTGCCTGTTTTGGTTATTGGTTCTGCATGATGCAGCCTCTGCCCAAAGAACGGGACGCGATGACCCCCCTCAGCGGCAACAGTGATGCTAGTATGGGTTGCTAATGTAAGCTGTAACTGCTCCTCTGGCCCAAGGATAGGGCGCTAGCTGGCATGCATTCTTGATCATCTATGATGAGCAATTTGCCTTCGCCGCACTTGAAGAAACGGAATCCCTTTTTTCCCTCCCTCTTCGTGCTGTCGGTGAGCAAGATGCGCTCTCTCCAGCGCTGCACAACTGCATGCCAGGCACTGGCTTGGGGCAAAGTCGGCTTGAATTGGTTTGGGTGACTGACGGGACGTTGGAGTCAAACCCCACCTCGGAAGCTGGAGCCCCAAGCGGCTCAAGCTGGGGGGGCCAACAACCAACCAATGTTTTGTCACCACTTCCTAAAACTTGCCGACGGGTTCGTGTGTAATTTGGACTTGCCGTTAGCAGCGCCCACAACGGACCGATCATCACCATTTGACAATTCCAATGCAAATGTCAAATTGAAGTGGACGGAGACCCACGTGATTTTGAGCGACCGAAATCCCATTGCGAAGCAAAGAAAAGGGAAAGAGAGAGGGGGAGAGAGGAGGGAGCGAGAAAAAGAGAGACATGGCTGACAACAATGCCGGGACTGGTAGACAGACCTTGTGTAGTCTACGCAGTAGGTAAAATCATAACGCCCACCCTTACATAGTACTCGTTACCTACATCCTAGCCCTCACCTCCGCTTCCTCGCCCTGTTGATTCTTCTTGCTTCAATCCCGGCACAGCGCTGACCAGCATCTGCCAAGAAGCTTTCCCCTAGTGACTGAGCTAGTATCTCATATGTAGCACCTACTACCGCAAACCCCAGACGGCTCAAGGGGCGGTCCCGTATATGCAATGTGGGGTCAATTCAGCGGAGTTCCATAGGTTGGCTACAGACGGCACTGTGTTTTCCACGAACCTGATCGAGGATGAGCCAGTCATGATGCAGCGACGCGCCGTTTTCGATCCTGTCGTCGTTCCTTGTTCCCCCCTGACCCGGTCGAACTAGGAATGAATGAGGGAAAGAAGGAATGAATGTATGAACCAGGTACCTACCTTAGGGCACACGCTGCGTACCACATGTTCATCACCGGAATCCGGAACCCACACACAGCCGACCACACCGTCAGCCATGCCATGCCATTCGATGGCTGGCCCGTGGGCTGTTCTTTTTACTATTAGAAAGCAAAGCTGTCAACCGGATATACCGCCGCCACGTACCGTCGAGATACACATAACAATTGGCTCTCGCCCTCACATTATCAAGACTTGAGCTTGCCCTCTTCCCAGCTCGAGAGATTCGGCACTACTGCCTACAGCTTTCCTTTTCTTCACCTACCGTGATACAACATATAGTAGGAGGTGCTTGCCTGCTTGCTTTTCTCAGAATCAGGTACCTGCCTGCTATTTCGTAACAAGTACAAGCAATCTCTTGTCAGACATTACCGTCACACTGGTCTCAAAACCTCTCTTGCAATTGTCTTCCTTTGCATCACTGAACGAAACGCAGCTTCCAGGGGCCACTTCATCATGGCAACCAATGGCGCTACTAATGGTGTTTCCGACGGCCATACCAATGGAGTACATCCTGACACCAATGGAACGACCAACGGGACCACACATAACCCACTTGTCCACGACTACCCCAAGCCTCTCAAGATTGTCATTGTAGGAGCCGGCTTGGGTGGACTTTCGGCTGCCATCGCCCTCCGGCGCCAGGGACATGATATCAAGGTAGCAACCATTGATTCTTATCTATTGTGCTACGCAGGGGCACTGCTGATACACTAGACTTGCAGATTTATGAACAGTCAAAATTCGCCAATGAGACAGGCGCCGCTGTTCATCTGGCACCCAACTCCAATGGCGTTCTCCGCCGCTGGGGAATCTTTGCCGAGGAGTTTGGCGGTACGCAGATGAACACCTTGGTAGAGTACCACAGCACTGGCGGCGTTGTCCAGGAACTAGACGTCAGTGGCACCAACCAAATGTGGCAGCACCCGTGGCACCTGGTCCATCGCGTCTCGCTCCATGACAAGCTTAAGAAGGTTGCCACGAGCTCGGAGGGATCAAACCCGGCTGCGACGCTTCAGACAGCCGCAAAGGTACTTGAAGTTGACGCTGATGCCGGCAAGGTCATTTTTGCCGACGGCACAACAGAGGAGGCCGACGTTGTTGTGGGTGCTGACGGCATCTACGTAAGTCTAGATTATATGAGATTCATTCCTTAGTGAGCAGTGCTGACTTCCAAGCAGTCGAAAACAAGGAAAGCCATTGACGGAGGACAATCCAAGCTTTTTGGCTCGGGAAAAGCTGCGTTCCGATTCCTCATATCCAGAGAGGTTGCTCTGGCAGATCCTATTACCGCGCCATTGGTCCAGAAGAAGGGAGTTCTCAGCATGTGGTACGGCTCAGATAGACGAATCGTCATGTATCCCTGCAATGACAACGAGACGCTCAACTTTGTCTTGATCCACCCGGACACGGAGTCTCATGCCACTCCTGGTGATGGTGAGTTAGGCAGAGATGCACATTAGATTTCTCGACTGACATGACTTCCAGAGTGGAACAAGCAGGGAACCGTTGAACAGGTTCTCAAGGTTTACCAGGACTTTGACCCTGCGGTCAAGCACCTGATCAGCAAGGTTGATCCATCAGAGCTCAAAGTATGGCAACTACTAGATATGGACAAGCTTCCAACTTGGACAAAGGGAAAGCTCGCTCTCATTGGAGATGCAGCTCATCCTTTCACGCCGCGTAAGTCTGCCTCTCATCTCATACCAGCAATTTCCCTAACATTTCATCATAGACCAAGGACAAGGTGCTGGTCAGGCCATGGAGGATGCTGCAGCACTAGCAACAGTTTTGCCAGCTGGAACAGCACCTCACCAAGTTCCAGAACGCCTCAAGCTCTACGAGAAGATCAGATACGAAAGAGGACATGCCATTCAGGAGTACTCGAGACAGGCAGGCAAGGACTGGATCAATGGAAGGCCTCAAGTGAACAGTGAGTATTTGCAACGGCGACTTGAGACGACTGAGAAGCTCACAATGCTTTAGTGATGGAGTATACCGCTTACAACTTTGGCCACGATGAAAATGACAACTCTGCAAATATTTTCAAGAGATGGCTCTGGTCTCAGAAGACAGACATGTACTGGAGAATGCCGATAGGCTTTGGTCCCTTCCCAGGACCTCGAATGGATCACCTCGGACGGCCACGGACAAACCACCTTGAGCGAACGTTCAAGACGGCCTCTATCAAGTTCAAGACATCGCGAACATATCTTGAAACACTTTTGCCAACTTCTCAGTACAGTTTTGCAAGCCCTGCAACTGTGTGCACGGCAAGCATCTCCATTACGACGCTAGACAATATGTCCTGGCTAGGAGGCAAGGGTTACAACCACTGTGGTCTCTATGTCCATGGAGTGAAATACACAAAGAAAGACGGCACCTCAATTGTTGGCACGCAGCTTCCCGTGCTATTTGAGAGTCTGACGGACCCGATTGTATCGGGTCGCGACGAACTGGGCATGAACAAGATTTTTTGTGACATTGACATTCAGCGCGAGGCAGGATCTTACAAGGCGCAGTGCTCGTGGAGAGGTGCTAAATTCCTCGACTTTGAGCTCCCCGATCTCAAAGAGGACGACCCTGCAAGTGAGCACGGTACGATTGGTGGCGAGGCCGACTATGGCATCCTCACGTACAAGTACATTCCGGCCGTCGGCGAGCCAGGCAAGGCAGATGTTGAGTACGCCTGTGTGGTGCCGCATGCAGAAGAGGCAAGACTCTTCCCCGCCAAGGTCAACAAAGTTGCACGATCTGCTTACCCGGTGCTGATGTTTGACCGTGGAAACTGGGATACTCTGCCGACTCTGCACCACATCACGTCGGCTCTGGCAGAGATCCCCATCTACGAGATCATCAGCGCAAAGGTGGTGGAAGGCAATGGTGTGCCGGATGTGTCTGCCTGCAAGAGAATAGAATAAGATAGTCATGGTTGATGAAGCATTTGTATTTGTTCCTGGCAATCAGCGGTCCACCATTGATTTGAGTAGTTTTCCTTGGATGCATATTGAAAGATTTCACTTTTATCTTTATTCCATCTCCAAATGATGACTATCAATCCATCACACTTTCATGAACGCGTGATCGTATCCTAGTTTTAGCGATGAACATCTACCAAAAGTCATTGTTTTCAGTTCATCTGTTAACTAATACTACGTCGCCCCACAATGATGAACAATCATCACCACCAATATTTCACAATAGACAAAAGCGCACCTTAGGCTGCAGCCCAGCTTCTCCCCGTTCCAACTGTGTACGGCAGTAGTCATCTGAAGTTGCCCCGTTTTCCTAAACAAAATGAAATCTCTCTAATCTCCACCAAGATTCCGTACCATCAAGGGCCGAGCCACCGGCCCCTCCCCCACTTACCGCCAATCGCTATAGTCGCGTTGTTGAGTAACACCGAAGAGTCCGTATACTACTGCCCCTCGCATGAACATGGGACATGTGAGAATACACTGCGGGGTTGCGGGGTGAACACTTTCGGTCTTCTTTTCTCGAGCTTCCCCGTGTTTGTTTCTTTTCTCAGGGTCTTTGGATTTGTAAACCTTTTTTTCCTTTTGTATTATTCAGGATTGATTGGAAATCCGGGCGATTAATTCAACGACCTGACGCCAGTAAATAAGAGGCAATTGAACAACTTGGTGTCTCGCCTTTAAAAACAAAGTCAAGAGAAACTCTCGAACATAGTCCAGCTCGCAACTCTTTCAGGAACACGCTCTCTCGAACCCTCCACCAAAGTTCCCGAAATCTCAATACTCTTACCGACGTGTCTGGTCTAGAAAGAGAAACCGATAAACCGTTTCCTGCTCTAAAAAATAATCATGGCATCCGGACACAAGGCCAACGACCTGCCCAAGGTCCACCGATACATTACGGACCATGATACCGAAGGCAAGGCAATTCTATCAAAGGCCCTGCCCTCCCCGCTACCGGAGCAGACCATTCTCAACGGCGTCGTGTTTGGCCTCGGCTACGTGACCACGGAGCGGCCAGTCGTCTTTGACGAGGGCAAGGACATTGCCGCCTACACGCCGCTCATCAAGGACCCGCCGGGCATCGTCATGCCGGGCGGCACCGTGGCGCGCTACGTCGACACGCCCCCGGGTTCCATCAGCCCCATGCACCGCACCGTCAGCCTCGACTACGGCGTGGTGCTCGAGGGCGAGGTGGAGCTGGTGCTCGACTCGGGCGAGACGCAGCTGCTCAAGCGCGGCGACCTGGTCGTGCAGCGCGGCACCATGCACGCCTGGCGGAACCCCAGCAAGACCGAGTGGAATCGCATGTTGTACTTTCTCCAGGAGAGCGCGCCCGTGCTGCACGGCGGCAAGAAGCTCGAGGAGGACTATGGAGAAATGGGTGACGAGGTCAAGAAGAGTGGGAACTAGGAGAATGTTGACGGTATTTTCAAAGACTACATTTTAGAAGGGGTGAGACGTGGAATCTGCATATTGGCCTCGAATCATTTGTATATATCCTGACATGTCTGCATGAATGAGCCTGAGTGGCCATTGAGCTGGGTTAGAGGTCGTGTGCTTTCGGATTTCAATCGAAAACCTTTCAAGATCATGATGCCTGCAAATCTTTTATTAAACATGCAGCCAATTGTGTAAATCTACATACCGTTCAGGGTAAGAGTGTGATATAGAGAAAGGGACGCTCGCGATTTTGGTGTTGATCTCGAGACCCATGAAAATTTCTAAATCTGGATGACCAAGCATCAATTAGGACCACAATATTGATGAGGTAGGTAAGCGCATATTACGTCGCAGGGTACTGCGTATCAAGTCATAGGTGATCGAGCATTCACTTTCATTGTCGGAACTTGGACAGTTTCGGCCGCCACAAGGCAGATTCAACATCAGCTCAATGTTCATCCCGGAACGGGAGTGCTCGCTTAGATGTTGGAAGCGGGGCACCCTTAGGTACCTAGGACGCAGTAATATGGCAGGCTCTACGATATACTGCTGTGGTGACTGTCTCCAGGAGACAGCGGACAGTAGTACAGTGAGGCGCAGCTGCTTCGCTACTCTGATGCAGCTACCGTAACCATCCTTTTTCAACTTGGATTTTCCGTTCATTATTTCCAAGCTGATATCTCTGAGAGACTTTCAAAGAATGACGAGAATTTCGACGCCATTTCGCGTTGCTCATCAACAAGGCTCCCCGTAATTGCGTACATGGTGATGATCGAGATTCGAGACAACGCACATCATGCCCCGCATTCTTTCCATTGATGGCCAGCCATCCATTACAGAGCTGGTGTCTGCAAACACAGTCGGATCTTCTACAGTTCTCTCCCCTCCAACGGGCAATGCAAGTTGGTATACGGCAGGAAGCGATTTTTGGTAAACATCATATACCTTTCTCAGAAGAAGTGATGCGCATATATTGACAGGTCCGTAGCTTCTATGCCGTAGCCCAACAAGCGGCCAGAGAGTCCAAGGCGAGACTGTCTAGGCTAAAATTGACACCAGAGGAAAAACAGTTACTTGCCATCGTGCCATCTAGCTCTGATGCAGTAATAGAAAAGCTTCATTTGATCGTGGATGAGCGGGAGGAGGCCCTCAAGCGCCCAAAAGCATTCCAACGAACCAACAAGTTTTTTACAGCTTTTTGCGAAGTAGTTGGTAAGACTTCTGGGCTGGTACAGACACTGGTACCCCAGAGTCCAGAGTACACGATTCCATTTGGAGTTCTAATCATCTTGTTTAGAGTATGAGCAAAGTCCTCTCAACACTCATACTAACGTGTCAAAGCCAAGTGCTAATTCCACTCATCCAGGCCGTAGTGACCAAGAAGGACCGGGAAGAATCTCTTCTTATGTATCTCGAAGCACTCGGCTCAAAGTTGCCCCTCGTTGAGTTTTATCGCAATGCATTTCCCACGAATGCTATGAAACTTGCCGTGGCAAATCTATACGCAGAGGTCACCAAACTTCTTGATGAGGCACTGCTGTACTATCGCAGTGGACGCCTCGGAAAGCTTGTTGATGCAGTGTTGCAGCCAACCGAGCCAAAGTTTCAAAAGAGCATGGACCAGATCGATGCGGAAGTCAAGAAGATGCAGGACCTCAAGGATGTGGCCCACGAGGCTCAGACTATTGACATCAAGGACACGGTGACAGGGAACGCTAAAGGTCAGTAATCATTAACACAATGTTGCCATCTATTAAAGGCTCATGATGCTTGGTACAGCAATATCTAGACTGCACGAGAACTTCGAAAAGGCAACAATTGCTATCGGTATCAGCATGGAACTTATCAGTGAGAGAATGACTGGGCTGGAGTCCCAAGTTTCTTGTGAGTAATGGGATCAACTGAATTTTTCAAATGGTTCTTGGAAAGAGCTCACATTTATTGTCACAGTTATTGGCAAATTCGAAATGTTGAAATATGCACAGTCCTTGCAGGAAGCACTCCTTTCGTCCGTCGGCGACTTCTACTTGGATTCCGAATCTCTGCTACAGAGAGTCATGTCTCAAGGATTTCGTCTGTCACCAATCGATCGCTGGGAGAACAATGGAATTCTGGAAAACCTAGTGGCTTGGTCTCATGGGCGCCACGGACCATTATTATGGGTTGGTGGCCAGTCAGGCAATCGAGACTCCTGGGTCACGGACTTATCCATGGACATTGTACAAGCATTCCTGCCACAATCCATGACGACCCTGTTTGTCTTTTGCTCGGACATGGCATTCAACTCTCTCCCTCCAAACCCCATCCTTCTCGTCAAACTGCTCATTGCTCAGCTTTTGGAGCTGCATCCTCACATACCCTACGAGAACCCCATATTCTACAGTCTGCAGAGGTTCCGCCATGCCGCGACGTTTGACCAGGTATGGAGGATATTCGAGAGTCTGATCGGCAACTTGACTGAAGTATTCCTGGTGATTGACCGAGTCGAAATGTGTAAGCCTGGTGGTCAGGCCAGCCTCACTGGCGACCTCCTGCCTGCCCTGGCGAGATTGCTAGCAGAGACTAGCGGCCGGAGGGCGATACTGACAAGCATATATAACCCCCCAGAAAACATGAGCTACGATGTCGCACGAACGATTGAAAAGGTCTTTATTGACACGGGTGGGATGGGCGAGGAGCGAAAATGAAGTCGACTGGTAGTTGAGAGGCCCAATACCTAGATACCTAATCAAGGTACTTGTGATGAGGGTTTGGCGAGAATACACGTTTCCCTGCTTAGTTTCAAGCAGACATGCAAGATGGATGGAACTTTACTTACACGGGTCATGCATGAAATTCAACATACTCGTCTCTCCTATTCGGCTACCAATAGCGCCACCCAGCCTTGCTGTATTTCTATGCATACTTTCATTGTAGAAACCGTCATGTGGTAGGTCTCAGTTACGTCAATTGGACGCACCCTGCCAAGTATCTACCTTCGGCTGTGGCAGTGCATGGATAGTAGGTAGCCATGGACGCAATGATACGCGAGCGACCCCTGTATCGAGCTTCCACCCCTCCAAAGACGCAAAAGTTGGGGTCCGGATTTGGCATCCTACATAATGGCGAACGCTGGGGCTTTCTATTCAGCACGATGAAATTCATTTCTCACAAGGTCTCACACTTTTGAAGTTGGAGATGTCACCCTCGGAGAACTCGTCCGAACCAGACACGTCGAAGCCGCCGGGTGTGGTGGGAACAGACGGTCATCACGAAGCTGAGCCCGACAGAGACAAGATTGAGACACCATCGGCCAATGGAGCCCAGGGACATGCAAATCAAGATGCAGTCATATCTCAAGCTCCAGAAGATGCTAGTGGTTCTGTTATACCCCCACAGGACGCTACTCAATTGCCTACAGCTACACAGCACACCGAGAAACTTCTTGACGGTCCCAAATTCAAGAGCTCAGCGACGCAGACTGACCCAGACACGGACATCGATAACGCCCCAGTACGTGTTGTGGGGAACGGAGACAGTCGAGGGAGTGATGATGAATCAAAAACGGCGGAAGATGTTCCTGAGCCAGACTCAGTAGAAGAGGTTCCATCATCTGCTATTGGAAGAATCTATAGAAAAGATGGAAAGAGATTGGTAATTGACGAGTCCCAGTGGAAACCCACAATCACCGAAGACACGACCACGCGCTTTTCCGTCATGTATGAGATGGAGGAAACAGACAAGACTCGTGTTTTCCTCAAGAGTAAATATCTACAAAAACTCTTCAATGCCTTTTGCAAGCGCAAACTCTACCCAGCATCATCTATACAACCCGACGGCATAGCAATCCCAAAACCCTATGCACCGCTGTTTTTCCATTATGACGAGATGCTCGCCGCAGCCGAACAGCCCGAGTTTACCAAAAAATTTGACTCGGATCAAGTACAGAAAGACTTGGACGGGTTGAAATCCTGGTACGAAAACTGGGTGGCTGCGAGTCACGAGGCAGCGCGCGATGCGATTAAGCGCGATTCTGTGGAATTCAATAGCCTATGGGCCGTCTTCAAGCCCGGCGACTTGTTGTATGGCCTCGACGATTTTGGGCAGGCTCGGCTATATGTCATTGCTGCGACGAAATACCGCAGTGGCATTGATACTCTCGGCGACGACGTGGAAATGGACATGATGTCTTCATTCGTTCCTATGATACAGTCGTTTATGAATCTAAAGAGGAGGTTCGCCGTGGAATCATGGTTTCTGGACTGGGATTCATCCAGCAGAGTCTTCAAGCGAAGGAGCTTCGTGAGCGGCATTCCCGTCTACACGGGCACGCGCCGCATCTCCGACCTTGATGTGTTTCCGCTACGCCACTACAAAGGCGGAGACCAGGCCGCCATTGACGAGCTCCTCTCCAGACTTGACGAACGCGGACGTCTTTGGAAGAGCATCATGGTTTCCAGCTCGACGTGCATGCATCACGACGGGCCGGCCTTGGAGTTGGACGCCACAAAGGACGCATTGTTTAGGCGCAAGAATGACCATATCCACCTTAACGATCGCGTCATGGCGGACAATGACGGCTGGGCTCTCTTTGGGGATAAAACGTCCCTTCCACCGCCCATCAAGACCATGATGAGCTCCATGGCCGATGCAGGAACCTCTGAATCGCCAATCTTGGTGGGCGGGTTCGATGAGACTTATGCAAAATACGACAAGTGCTCCCCCGAAGACGAATTTGACGCCTTACAGGCACAACTGTGCCCATCGCAGTTGTATTGTTGCGCCATCCGTACAACAAAATGGTATGTTGCGACCATTGCCAGCCTCAAGCCTATTCAATGGAAACGTGAGGCCATCGATAACCTCGTCGTGAATCCAAACACGAAGAAGGTATTACGAGGGCTAGTAGAAGAGCACAAGAAGAACAGAAGCCAAGATGAAATTATCAGTGACTTTATTCCCGATAAAGGGTGTGGGCTGGTCCTTGTTCTTCATGGCCCCCCTGGTGTGGGTAAAACACTGACAGCAGGTGAGAACTGAACCTTTCGGTGCGCGTGTTTCGGGAGGTCTGGTGACAATTACTAATACAAATAATGGCTCACAGAGTGTATTGCAGAGTATACAGGGAAGCCTCTGTACTCAATCAACATTGGCGAGCTCTCGTCTGAACAAAATATTGCCGCCCGCTTGGAGAACATCTTTGAGCAGGCCTCTCGCTGGGACGCGGTGCTGCTCATTGACGAGGCCGACGTTGTGCTAGAGCAGCGCTCCCTAGAGAACATCAAACGCAACGCCATTGTTTCCATCTTTCTCCGAATGCTCGAATACTATCGCGGAATCCTCTTCCTCACGACCAACCGCCTAGCAACCATGGACGTTGCCTTTCAGTCCCGCGTCTCCTTGGCCATCAAGTACAGCGAGCTATCGCCCGCCCTCAGACGACAAATATGGCTGAATTTCATTGCACGCTTGGGGAGCTCGGAGACCGAGGCCAAAGAACAGCTCCTGGCTCGGCTGGATGATATCAAGGAGTGGAAACTCAATGGGCGGCAGATCCGCAATGTCATCACCATGGCACAGTCGCTGGCGCTGGCAGAGAATCGGATGAGAGGGAGGCTTCGGTTTGATCATATCCAGCAGGTCGCTGCCGACACATTGGGATTTCAAGATCTCTTTGAAGAGGAGTATCGGACTTCCAAGGTGCAACTGTCTAACATGGGAAGTCACCGGTTTCCAGAGAACGAGGTTGAGCCATATGCCCGTGGCACGCTCACTCAGTCATTCAGGGCAAATCACTGGCAGTAGAATTATGTAAATCAAGGCATCAGATCCACTTGATGGCAAACATATTTTTCAAAAGTAATGTCAATGAATAATAATAAAAACATAGTTTTGTTGCACAGCTGAAAAGAATAGATAGTGACAAAGTGTCAGAGCGCTGCAGGGCTGCGTGGGGGTTCCACGTGGGGGCATACAGATTCGTATATAAGGACCGTTGGATCGCCGTACAGGTGGTTCCAACGGCAGGCTCCAGTTGTTTTCTCAATATACCGGTGCCCATCACTCTATCGTTCCACTGATTCTTACACAAAGGCCAACCTGGCAAGGCGAAGAGATTTATTGTAGGAGGATACTAGGGGCAGAACGTCCCAAGGCACTCGTTGCAGTGGTCAGCCTGGCTGTTGTCAAACAAAATCGGTGGACTTGGAACGGGCTGAGCATTTGGAGACCCGAGTCGTTGAAGGAAGGAAGATACTGTAATCACCCAGCCACCGTGGCTGTATACAGTGGGAGCCTCGCCCCCATCTTCTTGTAGCGACGGGCACTCGTCGGTCTATTGGCCTCCGTGCCTGAGGCCACAACGCATCATGAAAGTCTCCGAGCCTTGCGAACGTTGCGAGCCTTATATGTATATAGGCCTCCTCTCGCTTACGTGCAGAATTTACTGATTGACTTCTTCTTTGTTCTACGCAACTGATTGACTTCTCCTTTGTGTTCCGTAACTGATGGCGATCAAAGTTACTACAAAGCTATTGAGAGTTTGTAACCGTTCAGTTGTCACACTCAATATAGGCGACTAAACATTTTCTTATCAGATACTCTTATTCGAAGCCTCCTTAAAAAGCCAGTAAGCCTCAGCCTTTCCGCCTTGCGATTATCGCGATTCCAGTCCCGCCTTCATTTGCCATGAAGCCTTCTCAAGCTTTTCGCCTGCTAAAACTCGGCATTATACGCAAGCCTCGTGTCCCTCGCTTCCCTGTGGCCTGTCGCGTCATACCGAAGATCCGAACCCCTCGATTGCCTCAGTCGGGATGGCGAAAGACCGCTATCATTAACACAATAATTACAAGTATTGTGACGGTGGTTTTTATCGCTTTATCGATTACAGTGGCCATAAGGAGCGGCTCCTTGGGAAGCATTGTGATTTGGACCGGCGGCTGTGATACTTCCAGTAATTTCAACATCATCCTACACCTTCTGCTCAACTCTGTGTCGACGGCCGTCCTTGCCTCCTCGAACTTTTTCATGCAGGTACTGGCCTCGCCTTCAAGGTCTGAGGTTGACAAAGCACAGCGAAAAAGACATGGACCGAGATTGGGATCCCGTCAGTACGAAACCTTCGCTTTCTTTCGCCACTAAAGATCGCCTTGTGGACAATGTTCATGCTCACCTCGGTTCCTATACATCTCGTATTCAACAGTACCATATTCGAAATCAATTATCTCGGCGCAGCTTGGACTACAGTACTGGCGTCTGAGTCGTTTGTCAATGGCGCACCGTATTATCTGCCCGGGGCGAGCCTTTTGAGCGGCAGGCCATCGCTTTTATATGATAAATCTAGATCAGGGCTACTAGCTTCCATAGCTGCCAATGCCTCCAAGTGGACCAAGATTGATATAGACACGTGTAACAAGCTACTTAGTACTTGTCAGCCGATGACACAGTATAAGGACATTGTGGTAGTCATGACCTCGGACAACACTACTGGCTTTACACTCGACGGCTGGATTCCAAGTGGCATCTTCGATATGGCAACCAATTTCAACCAGAGCTTAGGACTTGATATGGCCGAAAGCGGACGCTGCTACGGGGTACAACACACAGAGTCTTTCGTCAGAAAGAATCTCAATGAGTTGGGCATCAACGGCAACACACTGGGCAATTACGGCGACTTTTGGAAGCAGCGTATGCCGCTGGACAGTCCCAATTCGCTGTGGTACGCCACTTCCTGCTCGAGGGATGCGGCGCACGATGATGGAACGGGATGCCGTCAGAAATGCAACGGTCTGGATCTGCGGGCAAGCACCGTCAACTTCCAGAGCACGGGTTTCCTACAGCCACCACCTTTGAATCTGGAGATGCCAGACGGTGTGTGGCCTAATGGTCCGCCGCCTTCTCTTAACGACACAGGCTGTCCAGTCAACGAAACCATGAAGGATTTGAATGGAAGTCATACGGTTGCAGTCTTGAACCCAAGCTACTGTCTCGCTGAACCGTCCCAAAGCTGTATGATAGGCATTTTGGTCCCACTGCTGATCTTTGTCACAATATGCCTTCTTCTCAAGACATTGACAGCACTGGTTGTAGTCTTTCGGCCGCATGGAAGGATGCTCGTGACACCAGGTGATGCGATCGCATCGTTCATCCGGTACCCAGACCCAACCACAGTCGGCCGTGTCACACTTGGCCAGCCCAGTCTGGGACTCGAGGTCTTACAGCTTGTGAGACAGTTGGAAGGCTGGCAGTATGACTCAGAAGCTGTATTCCTTGAGTCGGTGCTTTGGCGCCCCAGACCGTGGAGGAAGGCCGTCTGGTCGGGATATGCCTCGGTTCGCCGGTCGGCATGGTTGACTACTTATCTCCTGATTGGCGGCATCTTTTCAGTTGCGTGCTGCCTCTTCATCATAGCATTCAGATCATATGGGTTAGATGGTGACAGGTATGCTTGAGAAATTTTCATTGATACTTACCCCTATCTTTGTTGACCAGTCGTCCGCAGAAGCTTCCACCCCGTCGGCCGGGGCAATGTAGCTCCCCTAGGGAGACATCTTCAAATGCTCGAGGCCATCCTTATCGCCAACGCTCCACAGCTCATGCTTACCGAGGGCTATTTCTCCTACAATTCGATATTCACCCGTCTCGTCCTAGCCCGCGAATGGTTCTCATACACGGTTGCTGCACGGCCGCTGCGCGTGACAGACCCTCGTGGCGAGCAGGTCTCGACGTACCGTCTGCAACTACCATACAGCTACAGTGTTCCACTTCTCGCTCTCAGCATTGTGCTCCATTGGATGGTCTCCAATACATTTTATATAGTCGTCATCTATGGGGGTAAAGTCTTCCCCTCAACGCTTACCGCTCAACTTGGATGCTAATTCCCATTCTATCAGGTTTTTACCAAACTTTGTACCCAGTCAAGGACTTTACTCTTACTGGCGTGCCTCCAGACATTTACGTACGAGGCCTCCAAATGCAGATCGGCTATTCCACTTTGTCCATCCTTCTTGTCGTGGTCATCACCACCGTCTTGGCGCCCGTACCCTTGGTCTTAGGCCTCCGCAGAATTAAAAACAGTAATATGGTCGGCTTCCCCAGCAATTCGATCGTCATGAGCGCGGTATGCCATGTCTCTACTGTCACAGCCTTCAGCCCGACTGAATCTGGTAATCGCCCTCCCAGGCGCCCTTCAGAGGAACGCGACGTGAGTTCTGAGCAGGCAACGTCCCAAGAATACCAATTGCTGCCTCGGCAGTCATTTTCACAGGGTGGTACAACCATCGAATTGTCGGACCTCGCGAGTGGTACCAATGGGTTCAGCTCAGATGATCTCTCGGAAGAGCAGGATGAAGAACACACAAACAACAGCCCGGAGGCATTATTGCCCAACTCGGGCAGCGAATGGGACAGCGATGAGGGAGATGCTAGAGACGTTTCCGAAACGGCGATCGAGCGCCAGGAGGGCCGAGATCGGCTGCGGATTTCGCGCTCCCTGTTAAGATGGGGTGAAATGAAGATGCCGCCATCGTTTCACGAACAATGGGCAGATTTGGACGACCCCGTAGGCCATCTCAGCTTTGGAACAGAACTGCAATGGCAGGGGGAGCCAAAGGAAGGCCGGCTATATGTATAATAGCCGTGTTAATACTGGCATGACGATCGAGAGATGATAAATGCTTGGGCCATACACGGATGTATCCGGCTCTGTTACGGCCACCGCCCCGAATAATCATAAATTAGAAGCGACATTGGAGAATTCACTGTGTCTTGAACCTTCCCAATCTTCAATTTCTCAATCTAATACCATCAGTTCCCATGACAAGCTTCGGAGGTTCCTCCCATCTTACTTCGAATGTTGAAGCGACGCGCGCCATGGATATGCGGCTCAAACACTCCAGCGAGCTCGCCGCCAGAGTTACTAGCTTGGGTAATATGTGCTTCTTGCCTATAGCCGAAGGCAACAGACAACTCGTCTTGGCAAGCCGCAACGTTCCGTCAACTGTCAAGCCCCAAAGCCCCCGCGCAACCGTGAGTTATTTGAGCTGATAATAGGAATTATCGTCGTGTGGAAGCGTTCATAGAATTGTATATCTAATGAATCTTTCCATCTTCTTCTTCTCTCCCCGGATTATAATAATGAACCCGTCTTTGTCTTTTTCTTTTTTAAACACTGCCCCGCGCGACTTGGATTTCCACATAATGAGTTGGACCAAATGCCCGTGACACGTTCGATTTGTCCTTGAGGGAGAACCAATGGCAGTGAGACTAGGTAAAATAAGGTACAAGAGAAGAAATTTTATACTTGCCAGTCACGAATAAGTGACAACAAGCATATCCGCAGCACTCGGTGGGCATAGTTATATACACACATCCATACCGCTTTAGGTGCCAGCTAATACCTAAGCACCCGGGCGTCTACCCCAGTTACCACCCACGTACCGAATACACTAAGTTCCGGGTTTCTCCGGCGAATAATAGCTTAATTTGCAATGTGTTGGCATCGTAATAATTTGAGTAAAGGCCGATTAGATAATCGGATGTATGTTTACCCCGCCGCTTATATAAGTCCATCCCCGGAAAAAAAAAAACGGTAATCCTATTGCATTCTCGCAAGTCATTTTCACCATTTATTCCCTAAATCTAACCATTGATTACCCCGTTACTACTCAATATGTCGCGAATTTCTTCGCAATCTCGCATGCATACCTGGAAACGAGATCAATATGTCATCTCAACCGATTCCTCTTTGGTTCCCATCAAAAAGATTGGCGCTGTCTTTGCCTCACCAATATTTTATTGGGCCAAGGCGCTTCCGGATGCAGTCTTGAAAGAAACATTGGAGAATTCACTGTGTTTTGGTCTTTACCAATCTTCAGTCTCTCAATCTGGCACCAACCCAGCGGATCTGAGTTCGGCCGAGTCACGGACAAATGCAGCTGAAGTTGCGCCTACAGACGCCACAACCGATGCAGGTCACGTAGCGAGCGAGAAAACCAAACCCGACCTGAATCTCATAGGATTTGCGCGTTGTATTACCGATTACACGACATTTCTATACTTGACCGACGTTTGGGTTGACGAGCTATACCAAGGCAAGGGTCTTGGCAAGTGGCTCATCACATGCGTTCAAGAGGTCATTGAGAAGATGCCATATCTGAGACGGAGCATGTTGTTTACCGCAGATTGGGAGCGTTCAGTGCCATTCTACGAGAAGTTGATGGACATGACGTTGCTGGAGACTCAAAGAAATGCCGGGTTGGCCATTATGGAACGCAAAGGGTTGGGACATCCGAGTTACGGAAGTAATAGTAGCAGCTATAATTAAGCAAAGCTACCATACTACATATCGATTTCAAAATAACCCTAAACCACAGTTCCGCTGTTATCGGCGCAAGAGAATGCAGATCCAATGGCACCTGACGCATAAGCGTCTATAATCTCCTGAATAACACTATAAGTACCACCAATTGTCATGAAGGCACCAAATGCAATCATTAGCACATGCAGATAATATGTAGTGATCTGCCACACATTGCCCTTGCGGTAGTGGCTATAGTCGTGGCACCAGAGCCAGCCAGGAAGACAAATGGCTACTGGGGAGAAGCAAAGGCTACCTGCCAATGCCAGGATATAGTTGAAAATCGGTATACCCGACGCAATCAAAAAGGAGCAAATGGAGATACCAATGGTACAGCCGAGCCAAGTCGCCCAGTGAATGACGGTGTTCTCCTGCAGGTGACGAGAGTTGCGGAGGACTCGCACAAAGATATATTTGGCGCCAATGTGGACATAAAGACAGGCGGAGACGGCAAGACCGATAATGCCGACACCGTAGGCAACACGTTTGATGACCGGCCCGGCAGAGCCTAGTGATGGGGAGGCTACCCATTTTCCACACCAGTAATAGACAACAAAGCTAAAGGCAAGGTATGACGAGGTGACAATAGCCATACATACGTAGACGGCCTTGTTATAGTCTTTGGGCCTTTTCATCTCGGAGATGACGGGTAAAAATGCAGCCGTGGCGGCACTCGAGCAGAAAATGGTGGCGCAAGCCGTCATGCCAGCAATAAAGGTAGGATATCCGATAACCACGAATCCAAGATCAAAGTCGCCGGTTTGAGGGGCAATGGCCGGTCTATCACGAGTCGTTACACCGACGCTTTTGATTCTGTTAGAATAAAATCCATAAAGGTCAATTAACTCGATAAAGACCTACACGACAATCATGACTGCGATAAAGACGGAGATGAATCCGACCCATGTGAGCCACGCAATCTTTTCAAACTTCCTCACGCTTGCAGCTAGGGCCACAATCACAGTGGCAACAAGGGAGAACCACTGGGTGCAAGTTGCATGGAGCGAGAGGGCGTTGAATGCCGTCGAGACGCCAATGATTCCAGAGGCAGCGCAAATGACATAAGCGGCCAGGAAGAGGAAACCAACAATCTCCTTTACAACGGGTCCGCCAACGAGGTGAGCCATGTCAGCAATAGAGTGGCATCCAGCATGTCTGTTGCGAAAGTTGCCCTGTACAATGGCGCAGTATGCGTTTAGGAGGGTCAGAGCAACAACGACCACGGCGCCGGGAAAGGCGCCGAGGGCGTTCATGGACGATGGAATCGACAGCACACCGGTGGCGAAAATGACTGCGCCGGGACGACATTAGCATGTTTGTGTGTTGTCGGACTCTTTGCATACCTGGGGGACTATACTCTTGAGGAAAATTACGGATGCTTGGATCCAGTGCACGGTTCTGAAGTCGACAACGCCATCTCCCTGCTTGAAAACCTCGAACTGGTTCGTTCCTTGTTGGATCTTCTCTGCCGAACCAATTTCTGCGTCAAAGGACGCAGGGCGAATATCGTCACTTTCTTGCTTGGGGGCCATCTTTGGTGTGGAGGATGGAGAGGTCAGTCTTGGTATCGGTGTGAGATCTGAGTCTCTAGTGGTCCGCAAGATCATCAATTTATGGTTTACTTGAGTATCTTATCATTACATATAAATACATCTTCAGAGATGGCAATCAACAAAGGTCATTTCAAGTGTATCATGATGCCGACCAGCAATCTCGAGGTGATCCGAAAGATAAGCTACCTCATTGCGGGCAGATGCGATGAGCCAAGACGCTCTCGGTGACCATCCCCCCTGCGATAACCAAGATAAGAACATTCGACTAACGAATGCCGTAAGAGAATCAACCTGAATTCTGTTTATAACAGAGTTTGAAAAGCATTTTCGCGCCTGGGCGTTGCGTTGTAGTGGATATACTCGCCACGCTAGGCCGAATATCGGTATTTGGGGTTTCTGGGGAAGTTTCTCCAATAATGCTAAAAACAGTACGGATGCCCAGAGGCCAAACTATTGAAAAACCCCAAATCTCAAGGGTTTTTTTTATATTCGCCCCTTAATATAATATTCCATTATAGCATATTTAAGGTATTTTTATTTATATATAAATTTTATAATAAAAACGCAAATATATTGCTATAAAATATATTTTTTAAATTTATGCGTTAAATTATAACGCGCTAATAAAACTTTACGGCCGGCTTAAGCTATTATAAGCTATTACGCGCTACTATAGGCTATTACGCGCTGCTATAGGCTATTACGCGCTATTAGGCGCTCGCACGGACTACCGGGAATTCGCACGGATTACCGGAAAATCCTTTGCCTATTATAGCTATTTAAATTTTTTATTTGCGATCCGCTAATAAAAACTTTTTTTTTTAATAATTAATAAATTTAAAAATAAATATAGCCCTAACGTTTTTTTCCGTACGGGAATATACGCATACGACGGCTTAAATATTAATTTTTTTACGTTTATTATTTTCCGAATATAATTTACCAAGTTTTTTTTTTTCCTTTTGCTAACGATAGGAAATACGCGGGTATACGCAGATTTAAATTTTATTAATTATTAACGTATATAATTTAATAAATTTCGATTCGTACCTTTTTAATTTTAAATTATTAATACTAAATAAATAAAAATAAACGCGATCGCACTAATATTATAATTATTATACCTAATTTCGGCCGTTAATTTTTTAATAAAAAAATACTTAAAATACCCGATAACGCTAATATCGGTTAAGCTAAAACGCGCGAAAATATAAACGCTATTATTATAATTATTATAAATATTATCCGTAAATCTAAATTTTAAATAGCTATTAATATTACCTTAAAAGGCTAGGTAAAATTGCGTATTTTTATATATTTCCGCTTATTTTAACGTAATTTTTTAGGAGCTTATTTATCGCTTTAAACTAAAAATAATTAAAATTAATTAAAATAAAAAAATCGCCGATTTTAATTTATTTCGCTAAAAGCGTTACGCTATTATTATAGCTTATATAATGCTTTTTAATAATATTTATTTTTTTTATTTTCCTTTATTTATATTCGTTAATCCGCAATTTTTAAGCGATAATAAAATTATTTATTAATAATATTTTAATTAATTCCGCTTAAAAAGATTTTATAAAAAATGCTTCGCTAATATAAAAACCCGGTTAATCCTATTTATTTCCGTTTATTTATTATTTAATAGTAATTAATTTTTTCGACGGAGTTTATACGAATTATTATTATAGCGGCCGCGGTAAAAATTATTTATTTATAATTTAGCGTAAAAAGGTAAATTTTTTTTTTATAAATATAATTATTTCCGTATATTTATATTTATTATAGCTTAATAATTTAAGCACGATAGCGCTTAAAAGCGCAAATATACCGATGCTACCCGTTTTAATAAATTTAATAGCACCCGCTTTATTATTACCGATATAAATTTATATAAAGCTATTATTATTAAGCTTATAAGATTTCCGTTTAATCCCGCGCGTTCCCGCGCGTTTTTAGTCCGTTATACGCTAATATATTTAAAAAGATTTGTTACGAACATGCACCCTTGCATAAGAACAAATAAATGTGTTGGCGCTTAAGGAAAGAAGGGAGGGGCTTAGCACCGAAAGCCGGGAATAGGTTAAGACGGGAACCACCATCCTTAATAGCTGCCAACCAGTTGCCTGACAGGATTATAGTCTTGGCAATAATCTAAACGGTTGGATTATTAGGATTATTGAATTTTATCGATTTTAGGGCTATAAAGTCGATTTGGCATTATAATCTAAGGGATATTAGTAAGGGAATAAACGGATATATATTATAAAAGGACTTCTTATATAGATAGTTATTATTTTAGTGATTAATTTAAGCATTTATTTTATTTATAGGTGAAGTATTTAATACGCTTTAACGATTTTATTTGTGAATTAGTTTAATTACCTTTATTTTTAAAATACTTTTTGCTTAATACCTTTTTTAAGACTACTGCTCCCTGTTAGCATAAACCCCAATACCCCTTATATTTTAGGTTTATTTTGGAAACCCGTAGTGTAGTCGTTATAAGATTTGGCGTATTTATATCGATAACGAATTTAACCGTCGTCGTCGTATTTACTCCACTTTTATTAAGGTTCGCGGCAATTGCCGTAATTTTAATAATATTAATAATAATAATTTTGCTTAAATACCTCGCTTTTTAAGCACGCGTATTTGCGCTTATTTACGGTTATTTATAGTTTTTTGCGGTTATTTATGGTTTTTTACGGTAATTTTTAGTTATACCCGCGTAATAGCTTTTAGCTAATTATATAATTATATAAATTTAGATTTTATTTAATAAATATAAATTTTTACGCTTATTTATTTTAAATTTTATGCGTTTTCCCGTGGTTTTTTATATTTTTTATCGTTTAAATTACGTTTTTATTTTTATTACGAAATTTATAATATTTATAATTTTTGCTAAAATTTCCCTATTGCACTTTAAATTTTGCGCGATTTTTTAGGGAGTTCCCGACAAATTACGGGAATCTCCTATTTTGCTACGGAATTTATAATATCTATAATTTTTGCTAGAATTTCCCTATTATATTTTGGATTTTATGCGATTTTTTAGGAAATTCCCGGCAGATTATAAAAATTTCCTATTTTGCTGCGAAATTTATAATATTTGCAGATTTTATCGCAAAAATCCTAAATACCGAAAATCTTATTAAAAATTTCCCGGTATTTATATATTTTATTATAAATTAAAATTAATTGTTGCACGGATGTTAATACAGCATCGTATAATGCATAAAATTAGCTTTATAACGCATATTATATCGTTATAATAGCTATAAAACCCTTCGAAATATTATTAAATAACGATATATAGGAAATCAGTAAAACTTACCCTATACTAACCTATAGTTAGTATAGCACTATTTATAGCCATTATTTATAGTGCTATATAGTTAATAAGGCATTATAATTAATTATTATAGCTATTATAGCTATTAGAACCTATTAGAATTTAGTAAAACGTTCTATTAAATCCAGCCTTACTAAATATAGCTAATGCACCTGGCTATAATGGCCCTAGGTTATAAGGTAACCTATATTATAAAAATCTATAAATTTCGATAATTTTTTCGATTATAAATCAACCTTATTATTAATTAATTTAATTATAAATCCAATTTATTAGTAATATATTCCAAAATATTTTTATTAGTTAATTTTATAGGTATAAAAGGTAGTTATTCCTCCGTAATTAGTTATTTTTTCCTTAAGCTTTAATAAATCAGTTATATAACCTTATAACTACTCCTATGGCCTGATTTTACGAATTATAAAGAACGCTTCCCTATGCCTAAATTATATAATCCACTAATTATACCTTAGAATATTAATTTATATATATTATTAATAAATTATAAATATTAATCGACGTTTTTTAGAATTTGCGCGGTTTATTTTTTTTTTTTATTATTTTTAAAAGAATTCGAAATAATAATTAATAATTCCTTTTTTTAAGAAGCGCCTTTTTAAAATCACCTATTATTTTTTAAAAAATGCCTTATTTACGTTATAATTTCGAAAAATATTAAAAATGGCTAACGAACTAATATCGCTTTAATTAAAAGATTTTATTTTTTTTTGCTATTTTGCGAAAACGCTATTATATTAATATAATTCGCTATACCTTATATAATCGATTTTAAAAATAAAGCGTTATACCTAATTAAAAGCAAACGATTATAAATAATTCCTTTATTTAATATATTCGTAAAAAAATTTTTTAATACGGTATAATTAATAATAATTTAAAGCGCGTAATAAAAAAAGCGGGATATATTATTTTTTTATATACTATTTTCTAAATCCGCTTAAATTTAAATATATATCGCAAATATATTTTAAAATAGCTTATAAAAAAACCAAATATATTATAAACGTTTTTTTTAGCAGAAAATATCCGAAAGGTTATTATTTAGCGTATTAGCCGATTTAATTTTTAAAATTATTTACGATAACGGAAATTTTTTATATTATTTAATTTATTATAGGAGGTATACCGGAAATTTTATTTAAATTATATTTAATAATAACGTAACCATTTATATCGACGAAAAAGAAGATAGATTATACCTGGACCAAATTTTACTTAATATATCGATATATATTATAAATTATCCTATTACGGTTTTAAAATATATATTATAATTAATGCTTATTCGCGATTTATTACCTAATATTATTATAAATATTTAATATATTATGCCCGAAATATAATCGCATAATATTTTAAAATTATCGATTAATGGGATTTTATCCCGTTAATATTACGTTTTAACCGTAAAGGTAAAATTATTTTATACGTATTGGCTTATTGGTTTTTATCGTAAATTACGCCGAATCGGCGGTAATTAAAGAATTTTCGTCTTTAAAAACCTGGTTTACGATAAATAGTTTTTAATAAATTTATATTTATCGATGACCTTATATATAAAGCTATATTAGCAGGAAATCGAAAAAAGGAGATAATT